AGTTGCAAGCGAAAAAGTTCACTTGTAATGCAGACGAGCTACGAAAATGGAAAATTGGAGCGCAGCTGACAATGCTCCCATTTACCCCCTTGATTTTCCATCCCATCCCAGCGAGAGGGAGAGCGGGAGAAAAAGTGTCAGTTGATATCCCGGGAGCAGCTTGGTCAAGTTCCCACAGCCGGGAGCTGGATGAAAAAGCTTTTGCTGCGTAGCGAAAATAAATAAATATTTGGTTAATTCGATTTTTAGCTATGATTGTCCAAACGCAATTCTTGTTGATATTCAATATTCAAGGGTTGCGACTGGGCATCGCGGCTCGAAATAAGAATACAACTCGGCAGCCAAATCATCATTGAAGTGCATTGTAAACTGAAAATAATTTATATTAATTCGATCACAACGACTTTGTTGACCAAAGGCAAATAAAATCCAGTGAAATTATAGGATTTTGTGTTCTAAAAAAATATTTAAAAAGATACCTTGATAAAATTAAAGCTCTTTATTTGCATTTTCTCGATATTAAGTTACACAAATCCAACTGAACTCAAAATGAAATGAACTACCAGTTAAATGAAAATCCATCAAAGTTTAAAAATAGTTATTATTTCACGTATACTCCAGCCACTGATAAATAACACAATTTTGGCACAAAAAGAATAATAAATTGCTTAATTAAATACAGATGTGAAAATCCAAGAAGACCTTTACTTTGGTTGATGCTTAATTTGTAATAAGAATAATGTCAAATCATTTCTTCATTTCATTTTTCCATAACTTCTGTCAATTGCAGTGACCTAAACATCAATTAATTGCTTGAAATAATTGCTGAATGACTTTGGGGAAAATCAAAGTTCACTTCAAACATTTTAAATATTAAATTTCGCAAGTGCAAATGCAGAAATAAATTGCAAAGTCGAAAGGCATGCATTAGCCCGTATCCGATTCAATAAACACACACAAAATAGCTATTCGAAAATTAAACAACCATTGGCCAAATATCGACACAAAATAAACATTCCTGTCCATATCGATGTTTTAATTAAAAATTGGCCTGCAATGAAGCTGAGAACTTTGTTGAATAATATTTTTGGGTATTAAACAACTTTCCTAACCGAGCCACTTGTGAGCGAATAAAAAAAGTCAAAAGTAATATATTTTATGATGGGGAAAAAGCCAAGAATTTACATCAGCAAAACTTGCGTTATGAAGTGAGGGGAAGCTGAGCATAGAGAACGTATTTTGTAACAAATATTTGCCAAGCATCTTTTGACAAATTATGACTCGGGTCCTCGTCCTTCCTTCGACTTCTTTTCCTCGTCCTGTGCTGTGTTGGTCTTTGTTTTTTTCCTAGAAAACTATGGCTCCAAGTTGCCATGACAGCGTTGCCACATTATACAACAAGTGCTCGAAATAATAAAGTTAACAGCACTTTAATAGTTACCGCCTGCCACTCCCAATCCTCCAAACGCCCCCGCAAGTGGGCTGGTAAGGCAACTTCAGCAGAGGCAACATGTTGCCGGGCAACGGGCATAAATGAGGGGCTTATCCTATCGAGCAGCACAACTTGAGCAATAAAATTGCTTTTATATACGAGAGTCTGCGTTGAGGATGAGCGGAGAAAATAGCCTGAAATATTCCTGGCATGCTCAGATATACAACCATTATGGGCGGGACAGCAGATAAATTTTCCACTTTGATTTCTGCGCTTAATAAAAATCAAATTTAAATGCGGCTGACAACGCACCGAAAAGCCGTCAAGTCGTCGCAATGCCATGTGTGAAGATTACACGGAGAAAAATAAAAATAACTTAAAGAGTTTGACCAAAAAATGCTTAAAAACAAATAACTAAGAACTAATTCGTTATTAGCATTATTTTATTTATATTTTTGTACTCTTTCTTGATTGAATTAACCAAAACATTTCGTAGTTTCTTAGATAAACATACTCTTTAAATGTTAATAAATGAAACAAACAATATTTTCTATCAATATCTAAAAAGTATTTCGTATTAAATTTTCCTATACTATTTTCTAAACTTTCAAACTTTGGTTTTCAAACACACTAAGCCAATGGTGAAAATTCTAAGAACTTTTCGTCTTTGTGTAGCAAATGAGCTTGGGGCCAGCAGTGGAGGCATTTATGGCCAGCTGATGACATGGCTTCCAACGATCCTGCTGCTCCTGCTCCAGGAATGTAATAAAGTTGATGCTTCTTTCGGTTCTCGACTCTTTGGACTTTATGGCTGGCACATAAAAGGAAATCAAAGCCACCGAGAGGAAGCCATCCGCAGCTGGCCAAGTCAAAGAGTCAGTCGTCCCGCTAAATGGCTTTGCCAGGGAGTAAGAGCTCTATGGAAACTTCGGGCTGAAGCGCGGCTAATAAGCTCTGCAGACCTGCGGGGCGTATGCTTAATATTTTGAGCCAGTTGGCGCTTATATAAATGCCGTTGCCCAGAGCACCAAAGCGGAAAGTTCTGCATAAATTCAATTAACTAAAAACATGCAAATGAAAACTTTTTTCGAGGGCGACAAAGCCGCGGGACGAAAGCAGTGGAATGCTAAAATGCAACTCATTCAGATGCACAAAAGTGGCAATTGGAAGTGGCCACCAGGCGCGTCCTCCACTTCCTCCGCCTTGGTCCTCTTTGATCTCCTTCCCTCGCCGAGATGTTTTCTAATTATTTCGCTCTGGCTTTGGAGCATCCTCTTTTTTTGGTCTCGACTCAGTGAACTATGCGTGTATATCAGCAGTAGGAAATGCAATAATGTAACGAGTAATTGCGCAAAATAAAATATAGTCAGAAAAAAATATAATAATAATAAAGAACGGGCAGTTACGCAAAGCGTAGTGGGCGGTCAAAGGCCATGCAATCTGGCGGGGAAAACGGCAAGGACACCACTGCCAGCAGTTATGAGTGCGGTAAGCGGTTGGTTCGAGGGCAACAAAAGTTGTCAACGACAGCAACGGCAGCAACTAAAACAAAGCCCTGACCTGTGGGCGGTGGAGCGGATCGAGCGGATGAAGGGCGCGGAACGTGGGGCGTGCAACGTGGCCGCAGAAAGTTCAAGCGCTGCTCACGCGCCCCAGCCACGTGATTCTGCTCTACGGGCTCCTGTTGCCACACTCCAGCAGAGCAGCACTCGCCTCGTGCCCCGGCCCAAAAAGGATATTAATTTCCCAAAGGTGCCGTTTTTGCTGGCGAAAATCACGCAAAATGCTACCCTGCCTTTCCTGGAGTGGGTCAACGAGTCGGGGGACAACTTAACGGCAAGCTGGGAAAGTGGAGCCTCTGTCAAACGGAACATCATACACCCTAGGCTGCAATTATAAATACAAAGTAGTCCATTCAAGGCTTCCACAGATCGTACACAAAATTTTAAGTAGGTGTAATTGTAATTCATTCAAAACATCCGTACTGCGATTACGTGACATAAAGTAGTAATAAGGACGTAAAGTTAGATGACATTTCCATTTCTTAGGAACCTAAAATTAAATTTATGTTAATAAATGTTGGATATTTAAATGAAATATATCGTATTTTTGAAAATTTTAAATCAAAATAATGTATTAAAAATATGAAAACGATAATTTTCCAGATATATTTCATCACTTTATTCTTTTTATATAGAACTGAACTTTCAACATTTTACTATTTTTATTTGGATACCTTAAGTAAAAGGTTCTACCGAAAAGGTTTCATGTCTTCTGATACTATAAATTAACTTTAATCTACAATTTGAACATTCCAAAAGGACTTACAAATTCATGGGACCCGAACAGTTGATGAAAATATCGCCGACGCGAAATAAAATTAAAACGCACGCACACAAATTAAAAACTTTCAATAGCAACAATTTTCATTTAAAAATTCAACACCATGCACAGGGACAGGCGGTGAGAGGATTGGGAAATGGAAGGGGAGCTTGGGGAAATGGATTTTGGGGGAAATGTGCTGGGGATATGATGAAAATCTGGGTGGGCGAACTGGCATTTCAGCTGGCACAACTGCTTGTTGATGGCCATTGAAGTGGGGCGACAAACAGATTTATGAAAACTGAAAAATATCCATTGTAATTTGACTGTGCGAGTGCCAAAGGAACCGGGAACAGCGATGGAAGCCTGCTGGGGAGCGGGCAACAATTAAAACTATTTTGGCCAAAACAATATCGGGTTGTTGCCATCGCCGCCAGCCTTCACAGTTGCCAGTTGTTTGCTCCTAGTTGCGCGGGTTGTTCGCTCCTGGCAACATTTTATTAGAATGCAGCCCGAGTCCGGGGTCAAACCGCAAAAGAGGGGGGTTGGGGCGCAGCAGTTGTGGCAATTGGGAGTGGCAAATGGGTGTGGCAGCACAGAGGAGGTGGCCAAAAGGGTGAAGGCGAAAGGACAAGACCAAAGCTGATTGCTTGCTGCAATGCCTGACAGGACAAGGGGTTTGGCTATACCCTTGCCGCAAGGTTATTCAAATCAGTTGTTGCAAAACTCGCTGGGTTAATGGGTCTTGAGGGTGACAACTTTTAACTTTTATCTTCGCACTTCTTTAGGTTTTTCAGTTCTTAAAATATCATGTGAAAATAGATATTATTTTGTCTCTGGTTGTACATTTTTTTATTTTAATTTTTATTTAGTTCATCTTAAATTTACATAAGTATTTATTTAACAGGTTAAGTCTTGATAATATTTTAGAAATGACATGCTTTTTGATAAATACATTATAGGATAGGTGTTAATTACTTACCTCATTAAGGGCATTGACACTTCGATGTTAACTATCATAGCCCCTATCTTGTGTTGTTCTGTTGTTTTGTCATTGCTCCTGTCTGTTTATTGTGCCAGCGCTGCAGAAATCCAAGGCATGTCCTTTGGCCAGGGATAAAGTGCAGTGGCGGCGGACGTAGAAGAGAACGAGGACGCGGGAATGCGGCTGAACAGGAGCTTAGCAAAACAACAGCTGTTGGCCTGCGAACCCCGACCATTGGACCCTTGAAAGTCTGGTCGCGAATTGCTTTCCCGATGGCAGTGGGAATTTATTGCTTTAAGACTTAATCAATGGCTACTGGCACTTCTTGGTCTTCGGATCTGACAGTTCCTGCATCTTGAAACCAGGAGGCGGTGGCTGGGTCTTCAGGGTGGTGGGTCCACCCTTCGGCTCGCTGGCAAATCTCCCATTACGCGGACCAGCGGGCGGCAGCTTGTCACATCTTAGATCCGCCAGGATGTCGCCCAGACTCTTCTCGTCCAGATCCTCGTACATATCATCATTAACGGCCAGGACAGGGGCATTTACACAAGCGCCCATGCAGTAGTCCTCCTTCAGAGTGAACTGCATATCCGGAGTGGTCTGGCCATGCTCCAGATTCAGGGTTTTCTTGCAGGCCTCAAAGATTTCATCGCCTCCGCGCAACTTGCAAGGCGTCGAAGTGCAAACACTGACCACATATTTCCCGCGTGGCTTCATGAAGAACATGGTGTAGAACTGGGCCGCTTCGTAGGCATCCATTGGGTCAATCTTTATAACCTCGGCCACGGCATGAAGGGCGCTGATCGAAAGCCATCCCTGCTGCCGCTGTGCAATGTCCAGGAGGGGTATCAGGGCTCCTTTCCACTCGGCTTCTGGATACCAGGCCAACAGGGCCTTGACCCTCCGCTTATTGTCCTCCGAGAACTCGAACTTCAGCTTTTCACGCATCCCACGGAGATCTGTCTTGGCTGCAGTCCGGAGGACCTGCGACACGTGGATGGAGCGGATTCTATGAAGCAAAGGCTGCATATTGGATTAAAATATATTTTCCTTTGTGTGGCTTTCCTAACCTACGGACAATGAAATTCCAATCGTTTTGACATTCTTCTCCCAGGAAATATTTTATCAAAGTTGCCTTTATAACATTTATTCTCTTAATATCGAGTATCAAATAAATAATATCAATGACAATTTATTGGTTATTCAATGAAAACAAATACGTTTAATTCCAAATAACATCAAATAATGATAATTAAATGATAAATTCGTAAAGTGGGAGATATTTGGACATCGCTTTTGATTAAATGTCCAACAGTTTCCGATTTATATTTGCATTTGAAGTGAAAGGATGAATTTGAGGTAAAAAAAAGAGAAAACAATAAAATATATTTATTTGTTTACATATAATCCATGCTAAAAATATTTAAAAAGTCAACGCTAAAACATATTTGAGTAGAAGATGGATGTATTTTGGCCTTAACTCGAAAACTTAACTTTAAAGCTACAAACTGGTAGCCAATTCTGTGTGCTGCTGCTACATACAAGCTAGTTAGTAAGCTAATATTTCCGTTTCCCCTTTATATTTAACTATACTGTAAATCAGTTCTCTCTGGCGAAATTTCAATCAAATTTTGCCGTGCAGCTGCTCGTCATGACAACGTTGAGTGTCCGCAGAGCGAGGTCACAGCATGCCAATCAAGACTCCCTGCCACAAATTGTTCAAATTGCATGCCTCTCTTAATTGACAATATAAGTGCTGCAGGTCGGGTTCATAGGGATAGCGTAAGGATACACCATTTCCCCGAGCACCTCACACTTCACGTACAATCGCAATGGTTTGGCAACACGGTTATCAACACCTGTCCCTTGGCTCATTTACAGCATTTTTATTACGGGTTATTAATGTGCCGGCGCATACACGCCCAAAAAGATTAGATCGTAAAACGCAGGCATTATGCCAGCGCAGTATCCGATCGAAATCCATAATAAACAATTAGGATAATGGCTATTCAAAGTGGCATTGACTGCAGATAGCATAACGCTAATGTTGTAAGCACATGTAATGGGAAAACATCAAAGAACCATGGCACATGTTGCCTCGCAAAATAACAGCCAAAATATAGGTCCCTGGCCAGAACTCATGAAAGTCAACAATTTTTATGGCCTTAAGGAAGGTACTTAAATGCTGGTTATAAGTTTGCAAGGTTGTGGTGAAATTTCCAATAATCTTTTCTGTTTGAAGATTTAATAAGAAGGATTAATCTTGTCAAGTATAAACTTAATTAGGTAAATGGCCTCAGCTATGACCATTATGAGGCTTCAGGCCTAAAATTGTTAAGTATTTTACTTCATTATTACACACCTTGAGTGGTCATATTTAAATTGGGAATTTAGTAGCTCAATAATTACAAAATATCTAAAAATGTTTATAATGATTTTTATCAAAAATTAAAGTCATTAACATAACAGCAAAGATGAGTGGGTATTACTTATTAAAAATACAACTTCTAATCCGTATTTACAGAATTATTGCCACCGTCTTCAGTTTCATAATTTTTTGATTAATAATGCGTACTATAGAAGTTTCCAAAACTATTTTTAGAGGTCTGTGACCCACAAGAATACCTATAAATCTGCATGTGAATGTACACGTTAGCCGAGCAAAAGTTTGGCGGTCCCAAAAAGTGGCAACAAAATGGGAACTGCAATTGGCCACCAAGTACTTTCCAAAGTCTTTTGCATGGCAGTTCACATAATTCGTGTTGTGATAGTCTCGGCCTCGTTTTGCTCCGGTTCTTGGAGGGCAGCAGTTTTCGGGTTTTTGTGCCCAAAAAAACATAATTAAGTGCTTTGCAAGTTGTTTGGCTGTAGGGGAATTTGTCATAACATGGAAGGGGGAAGAGCCCACAAAACGAGTAGCACAGCCCCGTTGATAATGTACTAAGTAGTCATAAATTTTACTTTTATGCGAGAACCACAAGCGAAGAAACTCTGGGGAGAAGGGAAACCAAACTAAAAGTTGAAGCAGAACAGAAACCAGAAATCAGAAATCAAGAGTCGGCGAAAAGTGAAATGGGCCCTGTTACCCTTTTGACCCCAGTCTCCAACAAGCTCAACAAGTTGGCCCAAGTTAGCGAGTTGCTGAGTTTCCGAGCTACCCAGCTACCGAGCTGATGAAGTGGCAATGGCCAAGAGCTGGACTTTAGTTGTAGTTGGCCAGCGTTGGAGTGGAAGCTGAAATTAAATCAAACATCAAACTCAATCGCAAAGCCAAGAAGGGAAAAGGACCTCTCCGCCGCCGGCAAAATGAATCGAAATGGGGCAGGGACGAAGTGCCAAAAGTGTTAGCAACTTTGCCATATTTCTGTTGATTTTGCTCGCACAAAACTGTGGCCAGGCACGCAGCCACGGGCGTGATGGATTAGCAAAGTTCGAGTTTAGCGGCCGGGCTCTCCCTGTTTTTAATTTTGCAAAAATATACCAAACTTTGTGTGCGCAACTGCTCCCGGCCACGCCCACCCAGGAGGCCAAAGGGCGTGTCCTGGTCCGAGGGAAGCCCATGTTTCATGTTTTCGATCAACTGCAGCAGGACTTCGAGGCGAAATGGCAGCGAACAACGACAGTGAAGCCTTTCAGTATCCTTCAGCATTTGGACTGGGAGCAGGAGAAGGAAGCTCAGCAGTTGCAGGCTCACACAAACTCTAGTTTTCACATTCTGGAAGAATTATACAAGGATCAAAAGGCTTATGAGCTTAAAACAACAACCGTACAGCCATTTCATATTTTGCAAAAACTGGAAAAGGACCTAATCAAGGCTAATCAACACACCACCACCATTAAACCTTTTCACATAGTAGGAACCCTAGTAGAAGATTTAATAAAGAAGGACCTGAAAGATGGTTATCTGGAGAAAAAGCCAGTAAAGTCCTCGGAACCGCTAGCTGAGCACAAAGCCGAGTTGAAACCGGAATCTCGAGCCAAGCAAAGTCAGAAGCGGAGACGGAAACGGATTCGCCGCAGGCGAAAACGTATCCGCCGACGTCGGAAACGGACACGTCGTCGTCGGCGTAAGAAGCGGAAGAAGAGGAGAAAGAAGCGAAAGAAGAAGAAACACAAGGGTGACAAGAAGAAGAAAAAGAAAAGGGGAAAGCGGAAGAAAAAACCAAAACCAGAGGATCACCAGGAGCATTCAATTTTCCAACCAGGTCAAGTGATCTTTGCCAATCCCACCAAGCCGCCGTATTACCACCATCCTCATGGTTATCCCTATCCGCCGCAAGTTCAAACCATACCCACAGCTTTACTGACCGCCTTGACAACCAAGAAACCCAATAAGGTGACCACCACTCACCGTCCCTTCAGCAAGATAAAGTATCTTCTAAGGCACAACAGCATCTTTAAGAAAAAGAAAAAGGAGTACCTGAGCCACGTCGGTCAGGTGCTATACCCCTTTGTTAAGTTCGTGGCCTTCTTCACGGTCCTCAATCCCTTTACATTGGGCGTCTTTCTCTTCACCCTGATCTCTCCAGCCGTTTTTGGATTCCTTGGTTTTGTTGCTTTGAGTGTGCTGGTCAAGCCCTTCCTTCATCTGGTGTTCGGTGTCAAGCGCAATGTCAATGCCTTCGATCGCAAGAGGTGGCTGGCCCACAAGCAGGCGGAAAAACTGAAGCTGGGACTGAGACCGGTGACCATACACAAGCATTTCTATCAACATGGTCCTGTGCACTCTGCCCCACCGGTCAAACTGCGACCAGTGGGTCACTGGAGGAGGGAGGGAGAAAGACCAGCGGATCAGATGCCTTTACCGCAGCGACCACCAGCTCTGGGACCACCTGCTCAGAGACCACCCTATCAGAGACCACCACCTCAGGGATCATCACCCCAAAGACCACCTCCACTGCAATCACCAGTGAATCGATACAATCCTTTACTACCTGAATATCGCAAGGCTCTCAGATACGAAAATACTGATCAGCCTGGAATCTTTTTGATATAGCAACACTACTGACTTCTGGTATTCAAAGCTAAAGAATTAAGTGATACAACTTTAGATTTAAAATATATTTCTAAGAAATAAAAAAAAAACCTAGTTCCGTTAAGTTAAATAAAGCTTACAGAACTTTGTATTTTTATAAAATAACACATTGATTTAATGTGTTACAACTTTAGCTCAAAAGAATGCCAAGCCGCCATCGGGGACGCCATATACTCCATCCAACCATCCATTGTACTCCATCCACACTACAACGAAGTTATCAGAGGAAGGGAGGACTTGGCACTTTGGGGACTTTGGACCCCCACTCTCATGCGTGTACTGCATTAAAATTAACATGTTGGCAAAGTGAAATTAACAACAGCCAGCCCAAGGATTGTTGCCGAAATCCAATTAAAAAGTTTGGCAACTGGTAAAGCGGTTGGCAACCATACCATCCCTGATTCCCCCTCAGGTCCCGTAGACCATCATGTGAATGTCCAGCTCCCGCAGCTGTTGTAAATTCTCTCCGTATCCCAGCTGGAGGAGCTTCTCTTCTTGCAGATCTTCTACAGGAAAGACTTCGTGGAGGGGCAGACGGAGTTGCAGTTCCGTTCGTTCGAAGAGCCTTCGGGCCTCCCAGCGAAAGAGTTCCACTGCATCGTTAAGGTCCTTGTGCCGTAGGGAGAAGTCCTTCAATCGAGGTTGGTTGTATATAAGCATGTCCAAGGACGCCAGCAGACGCATTACGAGGAAACGACAGTATCGCCTACGAACATAAGCGATTGGCATGTCCTTATGCGTTTGAAGATGCTCTTTAGATTCTTCTGTTCTGTTGTAGCTCCACAACGCAAGTCCCAAAATAAGGACTGCTTTGATACAAACGATATGCAACATGGTAGACAGTGGAGTGATCTCCTCCAGCATCACTATTTGGCGCCACCAGAGAAGGTCGCATCCGTGGATGCAGTATCCGTAGTCTAGGACACCAAATCCCAAAAGACAGAGCAAGGCTATGGTCCCCACCATATCGTAATAAAACCGAATCAGTCCAAGGATCAACAAGTTGCTAGACAGGATCCTGGTCATTAAGAAAGAAAGCGTCGAAGTCCTAACTTCTAAATTTTGAAACACTTCACAGTTCATTTAAGACATTAATACTATTTTTAGACAACTTAAATAATTTTGGTTAAAGAAGGAAGGTTTTCTAAGTTAAATTTGATTAAGACGCAACCATTTGAGGACTTCAAATTTTGTTACAATTTATAAATCAGATAAACACAAGTCCAATTCGATCAAGTGACAAAAAACTTGGCAAATTTATCAAAGGCATGAACAAAAAAATAAATTTATAAATTCAATTTTTTTTGGCTATTAAAATTTTCTTTTTTTAAATTAAATTTATGTCACCTACAATAAAAGTTATAATCCATTGGTCTAATCAATTTATCGCTGTTCCTTAATAATATTTAATACTATAAATATTATTTTGCTACAAAGAAACCAATTATTAGTTGGCCATTCAAATTCTATCGCAATTCAACGCATTTTCAGCGCTTTCCCACTGGCGTAGTTGTGCTGTTTTTCATCTTGTTGCTTCAGCTCACGGCATTGGCACTTTGTTCATACAATACACAGAGCCAATATCAATTGCGCCGTTGCAATTTGCCAACATTTTGCAGGCCATCATAATGGAATCGCCTTGGGAACGTCATTTTGTTTGGCTCAAAACAAGTCGTTCGTCGCCAGAGCTGCAGTGCATTGTGAAGACGCTGGAGACGATTGGAAATATTGGGAGGGAGTAGAAGTGGCAAGGTTTATGCCGGGAGAACAGAGCCCCCTTTGAAAGACACTGAAAAACAATATCATAACCACTTTGTATCACTTTTTGATGTATTAATAAAATAATGATTAATTAACTAGGTCAAAGAATAACATGTAAATTCAAAAGATTTTTGCGTTTAAAAGATTTATTTTTTTTAGCAATACAGCAAAGCTTTTTGAGTGTTTCCTTACAGTGCAGCACTCGGAGTGCGAGGCGGAAAATAGAACGAGTAATAATAAATAAAATTGTAGCCAATTCATAAGGATTTCGCATTTTGTCGCTTCAATCAGGCAATTGATGGTCTCCAGGAGAAGGAGTGGGCTTGGATTTGCATGGCATGGTGGATGCTCCAGGACCACAGGACGGGCGAACGACTGGCAAACAACATTCATTCATATTTGCCAAGTGCCGATTGAAGCTGCCTTTGCATTCTGCTGATCTCCTTCAACGCCAATACCACCACCGCCCACTACCCATCACCACCCCGGTTCCCTCTGTCTCCCTCCACCCCGCTGCCAATACAATGTGCGTATAAATAACGGATTTCCTGTTATAAAATATTTGTAACGACATTTTCCCCGATTTATGTATCCACACATATCCACACATACACGGCATATGCATGCTTACACTATGGCATCTGTGCTCAAAATAATAGTATTTACTGTACAGAAAAAATGGTTAAAAAATATGGTGAAGGGTGTTACCAACATCTAAGTTAATATTTATTTTTACATACTGTTGCACTTTCTTAAGTTAAAGAATCTACTCGATCTACAATCAATACCTCCCAATCGCAAAAAAAGTTAATAATCAAAATACCAATTAATCGGAAAAACTTAGTTTTTAACTGGTTTTATCTGCTTTAAAACAAGGTTTATGTTACCTTCGATCACTATATTTTTCCTATTTTCCTGAACATTGCTGTCACCGCTGGAATGGTAAATATATTGCATTGTGCCATTGCCAGTGGATGAGCATGTACTCCACTCACTATATCCCTTAGATATATGTATATAGCAGTGCCACGATATCTACGGCAGCCGCTCTCCCCTGCCAATTGCTGCCACTCAGTCATGGCTGACAGTTATGGCTATATATGGATATCGATATGGATATATGCCGGGTAACGTCTTCGGATTGCAGCTGTCAACGCAGCAGCAAATTTTACCCGCTCCTAAATGTGCTGCTTAGGAGTCGAGAGTGGAGAGCCACTGGATTGATGATACTCCAACTGGCAGATGCAGTTCCAGTTGCACTTACTACTGCAGGAGGGAGGTGCATAAATCACAGTCATGCACGTGTTAATATCCTTGAATGCGCTCGAAAGCTCCATTGTTGTCAGCGGATATCCAGCACACAAAAGGTAAATGGCCCTGGGAATGGTTATGGGTGTGGAGTTATGCGTCCTGTTTTTGGGGGCAGACAAATGACCAAGGGTCAGGCCACAAATGATACCGGGGAACGTATGATTTCCAAATGATTGGCAACACAATTATTCCAGCACTTCCATCCAGCTCATCGCATCGAATTTAGAAAGGTAAAGTAGGAGAAGGCACCCTGGATGATCTATGGCATTAAAGTCAATTAATTAAGCAACAAAAATAATCCTTAAATGTAACCAACTTTCAGAACTGCCACCAAAGTGACTCGGAAATAATTTAGGCCGGTGATGAAGAAGGGTTTCGAGTTCAGTTGGATGGCCAAAGTCATCAGCTTCATCAGCTTGACATTCTCTTTGACATTGCTCGACTGATGAACCACCTGCTCCCAGCCGGAGGTATAGTACATCATACCCAATTCATCTGTCTGTAGGGGAATCATAAGATTCTTATTGACTATATGGATTGATAGTAAAGAAAAGTTTTAACCGTCTCGAGGAGAATAGAGCCCAGCATTCCCAGGGCTAGCAGCTCCATGAACTTAGCTAGGAACCATACGATGTAAACCACATTACCCCAGGGATTCTGAAAAAGAAAACTTTCTTTGGTGACGACATTGCATACAGCTAATGAAATGAAGAATCAATGTGGACTTATGAAGTTTACAATTGCAAGGACTTTCAGCATTGCTTTGGTGATTATTGAAAGATTTTTTAAAGGAATATCAAATTAGTGTCTTTAAACTAACTAACGATAAAGAAATTGAAAGATTTTCTCATTGTCAACACATCTTCGGATTACAAACCGTAAAAGCCTTGAAGAACAAAGCGCAGAGCAGGCCGGCACTAAAAGCGAACATGACAAAGATGCGAAGACTGAACTCCTCTTCCACTCGTTCCCCAAAATCCCTGAGAACCGCATTTCTTCGCAGGATCTGGGTCAAAGCTAGCTGATATCTTGAGGCCAAGTCCATTGTGCTCTGCTCCTCTAACAGCACATTCGTTGAGTGGCGGAGATCCTTGCCAAGCTGGATATATCGGGCATTCAAATGCATCATCATCTCACCCATGACATTTAGCTCGCCAAAGAGCATGCTGGTGATGATGAAGCCCACCCAGAAGTTGAGTGCCAGAAGTGGGATGAAGTAATACAGCTTGGTGTTGTCGAAGGGATACACCTGCTTGTAGAGCATTTCCCGTCGGTGGTAGATGACATTCGTCACCGGAACCATTAGGAAATTGAACAGGGTCAACAGATAGACCGTCGAATTGGCCCGTGTGGCCAGCATTTGCTTCTGAATCCTGGCAAATAAATGGGGATCCATCTCCTCGCTAACATAGATTTTCGCATAAAACCGCTGCAACAGAGCCCTGAAGCGATCCTTGTGCCAGGCGAGTTGATAGCACCGTATCTGCATCTCCATCAGAATCAGATATGTGGGCATGCCCGTCAGCAGGTTGCCCATGTCCTGCCGATTGGCAATCAAATAATGAAAGTCCACCTCGTTGTGCTCGCAGAAGACCAGAAAGCCCATAAAAATCAGCAACCTGTCCACGAAAACGGTCCAACGACCCGAGTCCGCCTCCAGTGGCCAGGCAATGTGATTCAGAGTCCTGTATACTACCAGTGGCCAGGCCATCGGTGCCAACTCTCCACTAGGGAGACGAGGCCTATAGCGATGGGCCAACATGACTGCTCGCGGTTCCCCTGGATGGACTCCCATTTATATTCTAATTTTAATTGCCGCCGGCAATTATATTATATTTAATATATAAATTGCAAAGTTAATTGTGGTTAATTGTTGGTAAAACGAATCAAATTAAATGCTTTTCAAGGACAAATGTCAAAACCCAATTTGATTGACAAATATTTTTAAATACTTTAATCGCTAAGGCTTTAATTTCTATAAAATTCTGTTGCATTTTCAGAACAAATATTCTAAAAAGTTGTTGAAAAGTATCGCACTTTAAAGCGCCCGAGTTTTTTTAATATTTTGGAAATAAGGAAATTTCGAAATAAATCATATTCAAGTCGATTAAATATAACCATTATTTAGACTAGTTAATTGAGGAAACAATCTTAAATTCTAAAGACTTGTTCTACTTTAAAATCAAATCATTCTCCTAATCCACTCGCTTCACAGCATTTCCCTCTCGGTGGACGACCGCAAACAATCATTTTTATGATTATGCTAAAATAACACTGACATAATTCCAATAAAAACGAAATTGCCCTGGCACACTGACTGACAGCTCGGCCTTTGTGCGCCAGGTGAATCAGGCGGAATCCAAGGCACCAGGAGCAACCAGAAGAAGTCGATGAGAGGGGGGCGAAGTATGCACCTGGGAGCAGCTGCTCATGTGTGGGTATGTCCCGGATCCTGGCCATATCAAAGGACGACCGAAAAGGCGTCGGAGCAGAGCAAATTCAATTCTCTACTGTTGATTCTCCGACCGCCGCTGTTGTTCTTTTTGTTTGATAAAAGGATGAAAGGCTGAGGAAAGGCCAAACAACAGGAAAAACCCAAATAATATTAATATGCAAATTGAGTTTTTTAGTTGAGTGATCTAAGCGGATAACCGAGGGCCAAGTCAAGGCGAGTGCCAGTCTCGAGGGACCGACAAAGTCGGATGCGGATACGGATGCGGACTCGGAGTCGAAAAACGGGGTCTGTCTCTCTTTGGGGCATTTTGTTTTTTGGTTTATTGATTGCCGGCGGGACGGCACACGTACGTACATACATATCTGGAGCACCAGTCGGTTTAAATGCGAGTTTCGAATCAATTGAAATCATATTTTATTAAACGTTTACGGGGCCATTTCCCACAGCCGCCGCGGGTGTACGAATATAGGAAAATATTTACAAGAAGTCACAGACTGTGTGACCCACGCCAACGAGAAGAAACCGCCGGCAGCAACGAACGCTTCAAATATAAACACATAAAAAACATTATTCGTACGGGTATGGTACACATAAATCCGTATACGTATCCGTATCCGAATCCGCATTCGTATCTGTATCTGCGGCTGTGTGGGCCGTCGGCAAACTCCGGGTTATGGAATTCTGCTGATTCGTTCGCATTTTTTGTGTGAAAACAAATTCCAAAAGAAATTGAAACCATCCAGACGCAGATTGAAAGCAAACGAGCGGCGATGGACGATGGCAAACAGAAAGACCCACGGAAAGGCACGAACCCCGGAAAGCTGCAGAACCAGCAGTCTGGAGAGGACCGCCCGAGGGATTGGCCAAATGTCACGCAACTTTCTGCCACATCTCCCAGCTACCGAATGGTGTTCGAACGGAAAGGCAAACCAAACACCGGGCCCCGCCAGCAATTGATTTATAATTACGAGCACCAGCAAGGAAGACCGGAAGTGGGCCAACAAAAGCCGTTTTGGCGGATTTGCTCAATTAGCCAGCTCAGACATGAAACCGAGACCGAAACTGAGACCCAAATTGCCAGCGATTTCAGATTGTTTGCCTATTGGGAGCTACACTCAGCAAATAACTGAGAAATGGACTGAAAATTATACAAAATAATTGGAAACACCTACAGCAGTTTTTATCGTTTTTATTTTACTTAAGGACTAACTTAAGTTCTGTTTCAACTTTTACAATGAATATAAATTATTCTCAGTGCATTCTTCGACATAACCCGCAGTGCGTAATATCCGCCGGGCGTTTCACCGGCACCGCCTACTCTTTTTTCCTTTTAAGTCGACTGCGCCTTCTTTTATTTTAACGTTTCCTTCCACCTGTGGCACACGCGTCCTATGAATGACCAGATATCCAGATTTCCACGAAAATCTCCCCCCGCCCATATACTATGTAAAATATATGCAAATTGGTTTATTTTCATATGGCAGGCGAGCCTAAGGCCAAATGGTCCTGGGCACGTGTGTCGCCCTAGCATCAGACTGATAAAAAAGGAAGCACAGGAAGGTAAATCAAAATATGCAGATGCAAAGGGTAGTGGGAGTGGTCATTGTCTAGACTTAATTGGGGACCAGCCCCGAGATCTGGTCAGTATAGCAAGAGGAGATATTAACTTTCCGAAATTCCCACGAATTACACAGGCTTCGGCTTCAAGCATTAAAGTAATGAAAATCGTATTTACCGAAAGGAAGTAATTCTAAGAAAATCAGATATTAAGTTTGGATAGGTAGTTCATGGAAAACATGCTTAATATTATTTCTTAACTATATTTCTTGGAAACTTTATTAAAGTATTCTGATTTTCTTAAAATTTACCTTATTTTTTGAGTGAAAAATGATTTAAAGAACACTCTTTGAAGACTTGAACTCAAAAGCAAAATTTTAAAAGGATTTGCCATTTGCACTTTGAAATCTTTGATATTCATATCAAGTATACGGCCTGATTTCCGATGTGTGGCTAGACTTTGGGAACGTTTGCCAAGGTCCTCAAACAAAAACATAATTTATTAAATGCTTCCCCACTTCCACTTTAATAACCTTTATATTCATATCAAGTATACGCACTGATTTCCGTTTTGGGTCATGATTCGCACAATATTAAAGAAACATAAGCAAAGTCACTTGAAATATCTAAACGAGAAACCAAAACAACGTAAAGAGGGATACATCCTGACAGCCAACCGAACTCCTCCGAGCAAAGGCACCTGAATAATTAAAATGTCTATGGCAACGCACATTCCCACACTTAGAGGCAGACACATCCATGATGATCCGATTGAAGTGTGGATGGGGCCAAGAAAGCTGCAAATCGAACACGCAGGTTTACATGCGCCTAATCCCGTTGTCAGTAGGATGGCCCAAGGCTGACTGAATCTCCGACTCCCACTTCATCCACCTTGAAGGTCCTACCCAGAGGCCTCAAGCATGTCCGTTATTTTGTTTACAAGAAAACATAAATCTCGGCTCCTGCGGCCGGAGTATGTGGAGTATGTCTGTGTGCGGTCGAAAGGATTGCCAGCCGTCGCCGCTGCCGTGTGAAATGGAACATATCATCACATCCCCGACCCGAACACATATGTGTGGGTGTTTCGGCCGGGGCTGCGGGTTTACGGCCCTCGCTCTTTCCCTGGACACCCACAAAAAAAAAAAAGGACGAAGGATGAGTGCCTTGGGTTTGGGATTGGGTTATGGACTGGAGGGGTGGCAGAAAGCTTTGGTTTGCACGCGTCAACTGGAAAATCCTTTTGACATGCAGGCGGCCACTCTTTGGTCCGAAGCTGGCCATAAAAAATGGGCTTTAGAAGCTGGGAATCCAATTATAAAGAATTTTAAACTATGTAGCGTGAACAGGACACTTAAAGTGGGCAAAAAGGGAAACCAAGCAAAAGCCAGGTTATTAGCGGATGTAGCCGTGTGTCCTAGAATCCGGTGGTATGTATCTGTGTGTGTGGGCAAGTTATTAAAAGGAAGCCAGTTCTGACAGGTCACAATCAGTCAAGGGCTCACCCAGCTGAGCTCCTACTACTACCCACTGTATAAAAATTGACGTGAAATTTATACGCCATTCCCGGGTTTTCGGGTTGCCAGTTGAAGAAAAAATATAGCAACAATCCATAAAGTAAATGTAGCATTTAAACAAACAAACCAGGCGACATGAGAGTTAGATTGTAGATGGCGAAGGCGGGGATCCGGGGAATCCGAACCAGGAGCTGTGACAAAACACTGGAAGCCAAAACTGACAGTGACAACTGGCTGGAGTGACGGGGAGCACAAGGAGCAGCGTTGATGATGCTGCCCCATCTCCGAGTGGTAGGAAAAAATTGACATAAGCGGATATGTTACCCAGCGCCTTTCCGGAGCGTGTTAGGGCGTTTCTTTTTCGATGGGGAAATGCGAGTGGGGGCAATGGGCGTGGCATTGCCTCATATAGGCGGCTGCTGCATGAGCAGTGAGCAGATAAATTAATGCGATTTTTCATGTTGCATGCTTGAGTTTGATTTATGCAATTATATGTCTCTATATGGGTGGTGGAGCATGTGTATCCGACTGCCTGAGAGCGGGTGACAGACAACTTTTGTCAAATACGTCTAAAAGCAGTCATTTTTTATATTTGATATAAAGCGGAAATGCTAAGAACATTTCCGGTTCGTTACCTACGCGCAATGAGAGCTTAGTGAAAGAAGTTGAAGTATCGGGGATACTCTTTAAGTGGCTCTGGGGAACTAATTTAGCACATGAGTCTCTTTAACATTTACAACAAATATATTTAGATGTTTAGAAAACTAAGGTTTTAAGAACAACGGAAAACTTCATCAATATTTTTGTTCTAAAGGATTAATAAAAGCAAATTTTTGAACAGCACTAAAATTGCTAGAAATAAAAGAATAATAACAAACAAAATAATGGAATACCTCAATAACTTACAAATTCATAAATTGTAATATCAACCAAAATCTAATTTTACGTTTCGTTTTCCATTTCAGAGCCATGAGAACAAGACTTTATCTACTCCACATAATGGAGCAACTGCCAAGGGAAGGGCAACAACAATCGAGTCCGGAATACAGCCGGCTGGGCCATGTTAATTTGTCATGATGCCACTTGCTTACTAGTTCTGCTTGTGGCCCACTCATCCGCCGGCAGCCAGGAATACTCGTGCTGCATACGGAAATTACACAACAAATGGACTTTGGGTCCTCTTCGTTTTTCTGGAATCAGTAGAACAACCTGAAATCTGGCCAAATCCGATTAAATGCAAATGGCCCCGCAACCCCCGACGCATGTACACACATCCATAGCGCAGATTAGTTGCGTAAGTTATCAGTGGGCAAGTGAAAGGAGGTGCTGGCTGTACAGGTGGGACCAGATTTGAGTGGTTGCACTGCAGCAATCGACAGTCAGGCAAACACACTGCAGAAATTCCCAGTGTCCAGGCGGTTATACGACTAATTAATATTTCAATGGCCGATCCGGTTGCATGTCTCTGCGAGACTTAAAGCCATGTCTAGTAGAAGTTTCAGAACTGCTATTGCTGCTGCCTCTGCCAAATAGCTGAATAGCTGAGCATGGAAACTCATTTTGGCCATTAATGGCCGATGGTTTGCGGAGTAACAAGGCGAGACTCGGCTGCCGGTTGTCGGGAGTCGTGAGTCGCCGTTTCAAAAGGAAATGACAGCCATTTCCAATTTTAGCTCCGCTTGGGAAAGCTAGCAACTGGCGCGCCAGGAAGGACTCTTTAAACTGGAACTACACAAATTGCTTGCTTAAAATATGCGCTTAAAAAAACTCCCTCCCAGCCCAAGTCCTCGCTTCCCTAAAATTTGAACATTGTCGCAAGGCATCGGCATCGGCGACAGCATCAGCATCAGGATTTTATGTAGCGCATATTCCTGCTCCACATCCCCCGGAAAAGTGGCCAATAGACGACGACGAAAATAAAAACGCCACTTCCGTTTTATTTGCGCAAAATTAAATAAACCGAAATATGGCTGACCATATTGGCGCATAATGGGCAAAAATATTTTTTTCATTAATGCCCCACGCCCCATGCTACAGCGGCAGAGTAGATGGCAAAATAAATAAATAAGCGGAGCCAAAAAGGAAAGCCGAAAAGTAAAAGCTCCGACTGCGACCGGCTTATTGTGTGTCAATATTTGTTTGACCAGGCCAACGGATCCAGTTTGGTGGCTAAGTGAGTGGCTGGCCAACAGGCGGAGGTGGAATAATAAAATCATTTTCATAGTTTCACTGCCTGCAGTTTGATCGGGCTTTGTGGAGCTCAATGAAATTAAAATGAACCGTCATTAAAGGTGGCTCCTTTGATATTTTCAACGATTTTGTTGTCATAAATTCAAGTTAACAATTTTTGATGGAAATCTTTCATAACTTCATGTAATAAAATTGTGAGTTCAATTATTACGTTTAAGTAAACGTTTTAAAATAGTTTGAAACACTTTATAACTGCTTACAATCTTTAATATATTAGGTTTTTTTCTTAAAAAATAGATATTTGCCCAATATCGCTTTCTTATTTTAGAATATTTATGTAGCTTTTCGAATGGCTCTAAGTACATATTTAAATAAAGTTAACTTTTAAAACATTTAATAACTTTATAATGCTATTTATCTTGATAATTATGCTTTAAACTAAATGAAAAGTAAAGAGCAATTAAGTTTTTCACACCTTCCGCAACTTTTCCTTTCATCAGCAAACAAGTGTTCCACCTTGACATCTTCTCATCGCCCATTTCACGACCCCATCGTGACGTCCTCAACACAGGGATAGTTAAGCTGCTTCAAAAGCAATATTAGATGAAAATTTGTGTAAGCCCTAAAGAAAAAGCCCATTGAGCCAGAGTGTGAGACGATTGCCAATCGAATTTAATGCGCATTTCTTTTTAAAGTGCCAACAGCTGGGAACACACACAACACCCCCCTCCAGAGTCATCTAAGAAGGCTTCTTTTGTCAACAGCAGGGTATTAGGAGGGGAATCCATCCAAAACCCCACTCCGGAGCAACCCAGCGAGCCGCACTAATCAACACAATTACGGAGCAGTCGAAGGAAAACTTTTCTAATTGGATATGAAGACGCGCACATGCGTTTCTTTAAAGGAATTTTACTCCATCAGCGGAGGGTCCAAATATTGTGACAAGAAAATGGCTCGAGACATGGATCCCGGCTCCGCGCACCAAGTTCCAACTCCGATTCCCATTTTAGGCTTCGCATCTCCGCCTGCTGAAATGCTTTGACAAATTATTTTTAAGCCAATTTACAACTTGAGAAAAAGTATCAGGAAAACATATCACATCACACCCACACATACACAAAGGGTGTTAAGTTGGGTGGCTGACTGTTTGTGTAGGTAAAGCAAATATAATGCGAGGGATAAAAGTGTAAAGTTGACAACCCAGGCACATTACTCACCCGAGGTGCAAACCAACCAGCTATCCAGTAACGCGGGAGCTGGGGTAGCATTAAAATAACCAGCCAACCGATTCAACGTCAAGCCAGAGCCCAGAAATGAGCATGGCCAAGAGAAATGGTAATACGGCTGGTCGAGAGGGCCCATCCTGCTTCTTTTGCCACTTCCTTGAGCGCCTGTATTTGCGACTCCACCATTTTACACTACTTTGGAGCATTTTCTCAATGTCTCTCACTCGACAAAATGTCGACAGCGTCGGCGGAAACCATTAATTTTGTCACTTTCGGAAGTGTAAAGTGGCGAGCATGTGGGAGTCGCAGGCCGGGCCATTGACCAGGTCACAAACTGGATGGCCAATAGTGAGAATCATGAAAGGACAATTAAAGTCCTGCTCCTGTGTGCACCTGTCCACGAGTATATCTTGCCACCTGACTTTTAAACAAGTTAATTGCACAGACCGCAGGCCACATGACACTTGATAACCGCGAAACCACAACAGTCCACTATGTGGAATTTGACCCGTTTTTGTGGCCAAAACTCATTTTTTGAAAATATACAAATTTACGTTTTTTCAATTTTACCAAGTTAAGAAATGATCAAAATGCTATGTTACATACCTAAAATGTTAATTTAACAGCTTACTGTTAAAATACAAGCTGTTAAAGCCAGCTGTAGCAAGCGAACACCACGTGCTGTTAGAAATGTTAATTTTGTGGTGCAACTTCAAATTTGCATATCTCTTAGAAAAAATCATTAAATAATCTAATTCAAATTGAATATTGATTCTTCAGGCTAATACTATTTTTTTATACTAATACGTTGTGTGTTTCGTTCGTATTTTTTTAACAATTTGTATGTTTAGCAAGTGGTGTTCGTTTGTCACTTTTAGAAAGAAAGTTGAACTTTGCAAAGGGTTTTAAAAAAAGTTTCAAAGAGTATCAGTGAGTGTCCATAACTATGTTATAGATTTGTCAATTCTGAATTCAGAATATATTAGCTCATTTGCGTTTTTTTGCGAATCTTTGCGTAATTTGAATTTTTAGGAAGCAACTCTTGTTCAGCAATGCACAAGTTTGGCGTAAGCAAGGGAGTAGAAGTAGAAGTCATCCAACTGTATGCTGGTGAAATTTAGTTTTCAAATGGTATCGACGCAAGGGAAGAACAACAATACATACTTATTTTTATATAATAATAATGAAATTGATGAAAATGATGCAGTTGAAAATGAATACCTAGAATAGTACTACCAAAAAAATTAATTTTTTAATAACTTTTACATTTATTATCCGATCTGGACCAAATTTGCAGGACACATTTGAAATCGAACATTCATCTTGTGTTCCAAAATTGGGGTTTCTAACTTGAAAATTGCGCTAAATATTAAATTTTTGTGGGCGGAGGGGGGCGTTGCCACGCCCACTTTTCAAAAATACCTTCCTTTAGTCATAACCATCATTATACAAGAAACCTAGAGTGGAAAATCTTGTTGATTTTAAAAATATTAATTTTGGCCACAAAAACGGGTCAAATTCCACATAGTGCAGTCGTATGTCAACTTAATAATTACAAATGCATAATTTAATAGTAACGAGTGATGAGGAATATCAACGGGCACCGAAAGATAGTCGACGTAGAGAAAGATGCTTAGTAGTAACGAAAGTTTAGAGGTGGGCTTATAAGTAGTCATGGCCAGTTATCCCGATTAGCGGCCAGCTCAGTCTTCGATGACGCACATTATGTTGATGCCGCTCTTGCCCAGATTGACGCACTCCAGCGCTGATTCCTGTTGTTGGCGCATGTATATCAAGAACTGGATGATCACGTAGAAAAGGTTGTTTCTGTCGTACACGCAATTATGCAGCTCCTTGTCACTTATGAAATTAAATTTAGGGTTAAGCTGGTTACTGGTGGTCAAAATGGCGCAATGGGCCTTGTTGTGGACTGCGTTAAGTACATCCTTGGTAGAGCGTTTCTCGTCGCGGATAAGGACGTAGCGGGAGTGGAAGGGCCGCCCACCGCCCTGCGGCAACGGCATCAGTTGGCTATCCAAGTACACACAGAACAAATGGAACAATATCTAAGAAATAAATAAAGATGTTGATAACAAGATCATAAGATTTTGAATTTAATCCCTTACCGCTGCATCAGTGGGCAAATGCTCGCCCCATTCCTGGCCATTATGAGTTTTGCCCGAGTTCCAGCGGTAATCGGCTATGCAGGATCCCTGTGACAGCTCTTTTATCCGCTGCACCAGGTACTCCTGATTGATAAAGGTGTCCAGAAAGGGCAGAAGCATAGGCAACATAGGCGCACATGTCTGTACGAACTGCTGGTTATCGGCCGTCTTGCGCAGCCTCTCTAGGCTCACAGCTCCGATCTTTAGGTCAAGCAGACCCCGCTGCCGAAACACGTCGTCCACATAGTTGATCTCCTTAACCAAACGCTGCAGTATTGTAGTGGAAATCCACTAAAAGGAACATTGTTAGTATGTTGTAAATAAATTTTCAAATGCAACTTACAAATCTTAGATTGGCCACGTATTGCGACAGTTTGTCCGTGGAGATACGTTTAATGACCTCTGAATTGCTGTCCCTAAACTGAAAACCACCAAACTCCTCAATCGATGTTGGAGCATTTTCCGTAGAAACTGCCGGCGCCGGCGACAACTGGTATATGGTGGTTTTCAGCATATACGCCGCATTGTTGCAGTAGTTCCAAAAAGAGTTGGCGGAGCCCATGCTCTGGACATTGGGTGTTTCAGAGGTATCTACTAAGCTACGCTCGCGTTCTGCCTGCTTTATCAGACCGGGCAACTTCCGGATATCGGTGATGAAATCATCTCGGCGTACTTCTGCGTAGGGCGACATGTAATTTGACTCGTTGCTCAGGTTACTGGCATTCAACGAGTTGTTCTGCACCATCGACGAGTTGTAGGAGGTGTTTTGGTTTGTCTGCTGAGGAGTCCTTGTGGGACTGGGACTGCGACGCATGGACTGCGAGCCCCAACAGGAGTCCTCGAATGAGGAGTGCCAGTTGATAATGGGAATGTCGTCTTCCAAATCGCTGTCGGGTTCGTAGCTGCGTGGTTTTTTCACGGTACGAGCGCAGACCGTCTTAAACGAATTCTCTGGAGAATATTCAGAGATTTATTAGTAAGTCGCGCGAGTAAGTTTTAGATTCATGTGACATCTTACCTTCCTTTCCGTCCAGCAGGCACTTTTGGCTATTGGTCCCTATCACCTGGTCACCGCCAAACCATAACCACAAATATTTGCCGAAGCAGGCCAGTGCACTTAGAGCTATCAATCCGGTTATGGTGCACTCAGCCAAGAACCAGTATGTCCGGTAGACGGAGCTGCATGCCTGGCACATGTCGAAGAGGAGCAGCGACAAAAGCAAAACATTTATGGAGCACCACTTGAGATAGTAACGCGCCTGGGCGGTCCGTAATCGCAGGTCCAGGCTGCGCTGCACCACCGGGTTTCTGCTCAGTGGCGAGCTGTGGAACGAATAGTGGTTAATTATCAGAATTTTGGGTCAATTCATCACATTTACCAATTGCTCCTGTTGAAATTCATTTTCTGTTTTCCTGTATTTAAGAAAAAATGTCTGGATGTGGCGAAAAAGCCGGGAAACTGGCGCTATTACTAAGTATTATCGATGATTCCAGCAATGCTGCAATCGATGCACTCGATATTTTTGCTCTGCTCTAAAATTATCTGATAGGTGGCGCATTAGGATTCCGTGTAGAATATTGTGTAAAAATCATGTAAAAGTGTATAGTTTTATTATCTGACGAGGGTTGGCGTTTTGAATATATTTAAGCTATTTCATGCACCGCTGCAAAAACTTCTTAACTCTATATAAAAAGTTCAATATATTGTGGAATACTGGAAAAAGTATAAAAGCTTTATTTTAACTTAAAGACAAAATACAAATTTCATAAAATTTTTTTAAATATTTCTTTACTTTTCGGTTTAAAAAATCTTTAAAAACGAACTTAATATTTATATGTACAGCCCCAGATATTAAATAAATAATATGGGTTATTTATTTATACCAATTTATTTAAGAAGGTACGCTATAGTCGAGTGTCGCGACTATAAGATACCTGATACTGTATTATGCAATTTTAATATATTCATTTTGCTAGTGGAAAATCACAAGGCTCCACCTATTGTCAGAATAGTCATAACCATCATTATACAAGAAACCTAGAGTGGAAAATCTTGTTGATTTTAAAAATATTAATTTTGGCCACAAAAACGGGTCAAATTCCACATAGTGCAGTCGTATGTCAACTTAATAATTACAAATGCATAATTTAATAGTAACGAGTGATGAGGAATATCAACGGGCACCGAAAGATAGTCGACGTAGAGAAAGATGCTTAGTAGTAACGAAAGTTTAGAGGTGGGCTTATAAGTAGTCATGGCCAGTTATCCCGATTAGCGGCCAGCTCAGTCTTCGATGACGCACATTATGTTGATGCCGCTCTTGCCCAGATTGACGCACTCCAGCGCTGATTCCTGTTGTTGGCGCATGTATATCAAGAACTGGATGATCACGTAGAAAAGGTTGTTTCTGTCGTACACGCAATTATGCAGCTCCTTGTCACTTATGAAATTAAATTTAGGGTTAAGCTGGTTACTGGTGGTCAAAATGGCGCAATGGGCCTTGTTGTGGACTGCGTTAAGTACATCCTTGGTAGAGCGTTTCTCGTCGCGGATAAGGACGTAGCGGGAGTGGAAGGGCCGCCCACCGCCCTGCGGCAACGGCATCAGTTGGCTATCCAAGTACACACACAGAACAAATGGAACAATATCTAAGAAATAAATAAAGATGTTGATAACAAGATCATAAGATTTTGAATTTAATCCCTTACCGCTGCATCAGTGGGCAAATGCTCGCCCCATTCCTGGCCATTATGAGTTTTGCCCGAGTTCCAGCGGTAATCGGCTATGCAGGATCCCTGTGACAGCTCTTTTATCCGCTGCACCAGGTACTCCTGATTGATAAAGGTGTCCAGAAAGGGCAGAAGCATAGGCAACATAGGCGCACATGTCTGTACGAACTGCTGGTTATCGGCCGTCTTGCGCAGCCTCTCTAGGCTCACAGCTCCGATCTTTAGGTCAAGCAGACCCCGCTGCCGAAACACGTCGTCCACATAGTTGATCTCCTTAACCAAACGCTGCAGTATTGTAGTGGAAATCCACTAAAAGGAACATTGTTAGTATGTTGTAAATAAATTTTCAAATGCAACTTACAAATCTTAGATTGGCCACGTATTGCGACAGTTTGTCCGTGGAGATACGTTTAATGACCTCTGAATTGCTGTCCCTAAACTGAAAACCACCAAACTCCTCAATCGATGTTGGAGCATTTTCCGTAGAAACTGCCGGCGCCGGCGACAACTGGTATATGGTGGTTTTCAGCATATACGCCGCATTGTTGCAGTAGTTCCAAAAAGAGTTGGCGGAGCCCATGCTCTGGACATTGGGTGTTTCAGAGGTATCTACTAAGCTACGCTCGCGTTCTGCCTGCTTTATCAGACCGGGCAACTTCCGGATATCGGTGATGAAATCATCTCGGCGTACTTCTGCGTAGGGCGACATGTAATTTGACTCGTTGCTCAGGTTACTGGCATTCAACGAGTTGTTCTGCACCATCGACGAGTTGTAGGAGGTGTTTTGGTTTGTCTGCTGAGGAGTCCTTGTGGGACTGGGACTGCGACGCATGGACTGCGAGCCCCAACAGGAGTCCTCGAATGAGGAGTGCCAGTTGATAATGGGAATGTCGTCTTCCAAATCGCTGTCGGGTTCGTAGCTGCGTGGTTTTTCACGGTACGAGCGCAGACCGTCTTAAACGAATTCTCTGGAGAATATTCAGAGATTTATTAGTAAGTCGCGCGAGTAAGTTTTAGATTCATGTGACATCTTACCTTCCTTTCCGTCCAGCAGGCACTTTTGGCTATTGGTCCCTATCACCTGGTCACCGCCAAACCATAACCACAAATATTTGCCGAAGCAGGCCAGTGCACTTAGAGCTATCAATCCGGTTATGGTGCACTCAGCCAAGAACCAGTATGTCCGGTAGACGGAGCTGCATGCCTGGCACATGTCGAAGAGGAGCAGCGACAAAAGCAAAACATTTATGGAGCACCACTTGAGATAGTAACGCGCCTGGGCGGTCCGTAATCGCAGGTCCAGGCTGCGCTGCACCACCGGGTTTCTGCTCAGTGGCGAGCTGTGGAACGAATAGTGGTTAATTATCAGAATTTTGGGTCAATTCATCACATTTACCAATTGCTCCTGTTGAAATTCATTTTCTGTTTTCCTGTATTTAAGAAAAAATGTCTGGATGTGGCGAAAAAGCCGGGAAACTGGCGCTATTACTAAGTATTATCGATGATTCCAGCAATGCTGCAATCGATGCACTCGATATTTTTGCTCTGCTCTAAAATTATCTGATAGGTGGCGCATTAGGATTCCGTGTAGAATATTGTGTAAAAATCATGTAAAAGTGTATAGTTTTATTATCTGACGAGGGTTGGCGTTTTGAATATATTTAAGCTATTTCATGCACCGCTGCAAAAACTTCTTAACTCTATATAAAAAGTTCAATATATTGTGGAATACTGGAAAAAGTATAAAAGCTTTATTTTAACTTAAAGACAAAATACAAATTTCATAAAATTTTTTTAAATATTTCTTTACTTTTCGGTTTAAAAAATCTTTAAAAACGAACTTAATATTTATATGTACAGCCCCAGATATTAAATAAATAATATGGGTTATTTATTTATACCAATTTATTTAAGAAGGTACGCTATAGTCGAGTGTCGCGACTATAAGATACCTGATACTGTATTATGCAATTTTAATATATTCATTTTGCTAGTGGAAAATCACAAGGCTCCACCTATTGTCAGAGAAAGTATGTTGAGTAACTGATGGTGACGTCACTGTCCATGTGGGGATTTATAACTTAAATTTCTTCATAAATAGCGAAATAATGATCCGATTTAAAAAATCTTCGATAGATATTAACAGAAATAAGTTATACAAGGTCAAACGAAATAATATTATAGACGCCACAGTATTCCGCGATTTGTGGGCGTTAGAGTGGGCGTGGCCGGATGAAAACTGGTGACAAATTGCAATGGTTTTTTTTAAAAATGCGTGTTCCTAAACCTAACTTTCTAGCTCTTATAGGTCCCGATATTTTTACATTTTTGGTTTTCCGAGTTTTTAGGGTGGGCGTGTCTTGATCGGAAAAAACACTTCGCATTGGGGGCTTCATGAAAACGTACATGCTTAATCCGAACTTTCTATAGTTTATAGTTACCGAGATATAAGCTTTCGCACAAAATTGGAAAACCGTCTTTTGAGCTTGGTGGGCGTTAGAGTGGGTGTGGCCGGATAATGGTACTATAAGATGCGCTGGCATCTAAAGATTATACATACTAAATTTCAACTTTCTAGCTCTAATTGTTCCTAAAATTTCAGCGATTTTCGTTTTTTGCGATTTGTGGGCGTTAGAGTGGGCGTGGCAGGATGCTGTAATAAACTTGTATCAACTTTGTATCTCTTATAGTTCAGATCTCAGCGTTCATACGGACAGACGGGCAGACAGACGCACAAGAAGAATATATATACTTTATAGGGTCGGAAACGCTTCGTTCTATCTGTTACATACTTTTCAACGAATCTAATATACCCTTTTACTCTACGAGTAACGGGTATAAAAACCGGAAAAAATACCGAAAGAACGTACTTAGATATCAGCTTCACGTTTATATATTTTTTTTTCAACTCAGTTTCCACATATATCCATTTTATTTATCGATACAATTACTTACTATACTATACGACTTACTATATATGTACGTAGTTATTTTCAATTTAAAAAGAGACCTCGCTGAGTGGTGTTCCTCAGAAATGTGGTACAAAAATTAATATAAATGAACTTTGATTGCGTTATATTCTTGACTTTTTTTTAATTTTTTAATAAATCGGTAATTAATGGTGAAACCTAAGCCTGAACATATCAAGTTATATAAAGTGTTCCAAGGACTTACATAACTACATAACTACTTACGCACGAGTTTAAAAATGAGACCTGATGGGATCATGTTCACTTCAGTTTGGTTTTCGGTACAGCTCATTCATTGCCTAGGCTTATACTCACAAATTTGTTAATTAAACTTTAATTTTGTAAGCAATTCCCCACATATTATTTATTTTCCATTACTCAGTACAACTAATGTAAAAACTATAACCTTTCTTTCCTTAACCATCAGCTTCACAAATATATTTTTGTTCTACGTCACAGTTGGTATCAAACATATTTCCATTGTATATATCCACACAATTATTTTTGTCTTCTACGTTGTTTGGTTCACCCTGTCTCCATTTGAAAAAGGGGGCCCTTTTGCCGGACACGACGGAAAGGAATTCGCCCGTCATGCTGATGTCGCTGACTCCCAGCCAATAGCTATTACCTCTCTCTAGTTTACTGTTGATTGCATTGAAATCATAATCGTTTTGGATGGTGGCCAGATGACCGCCTATCTGGCGGCACCGTTCTTCCGCGCCATGCCAAGACTGATGAACTTTATATTCGATGTAAATAAGTCTTGAGCCTATCCGCTGAAAGAGAGAAGATACGCTTTTTTTGTCAAATTTTTCCTGTAAGGCTTCAAATAGTTTTTCAATCCGATCAATTTTTGTTTCCTTCTGCTCCAGAGACTTATCCAGTTTGGACAAGTTATCCAAGAGCACCTTCTGCTGCTCCTCAATACGGTTAATTTTTTCCTGCGTTTCGTTGAGTTTCTGTTGATCGCAAGTGCTCCACTCCTTCTGATGGAAAGCTATGTGATCGAGCATTGGCTTCAGTGCCGTAAGGCAAAACTCCCCACATTGATTTGGAGGATCGTGTAGTAGGCATACGGATTGCCCACTTTCTCGACGCTCTGCGAAGGATTCATACAGATGGTATGAAAGGAACACGATGAGCAAGAAAATATGGGACCTGACCATAGCGGGCGACTCGTTAAGGCAAAGCCGTTTAAGACTCTGATTCCCATATTTTCCGCTTGCTTTCAAATAGCCTCGTAATAATGCGATAACTCGCCCGACGCGATTTATTATATACGTTGATATATTCATTTAAAAAAGAAAACACGATAAAGCGGGGTTCTTCAGAAATATTGTACACAAATTAATATAAATAAACTTTGATTGCGTTATATACTTGGCTTACATTTTTTTTTTTAATTTTTAAATAAAACGGCAATCTTAGGTCGCATTCCCATAGATTTGTATATTTAATTCTTATGTGCCTTTGAAGCCTGCATATATCAAGTCATTTAAATTGTTCCTTGGATTTAAATATAAATATCTACATAAACGAAACAAATTATCAGCAAATATTAAACAAACAGTGTTCTAAGACCCCTAACCTAGATTTAAAGCTTACTAAGTTATCCAAATTGTTATTCAGGTAAACATCAAGTCTGTCTTTAATCTTACGCAGTAGTTTCAAAATTGGGCTTGATGGGATATATGGTTATTACAGTTTAGTTTTCGGTGCAGCTCATTCATTGCCAAATGTGTTTTTTTTTTAAACTGTCGAACCTAACATTTGTTTTGTGACCCATTTTCCACAAATTATTTATTTCTCATTATATACAAAATATATAAACTGAAAATTTCAATTTTATTTGCTTTAATTAAACATCGGCTTCACAAATATACACTTCCTCTTCATCACAGTTGCTATCAAACATATATCCATTATATATATCCACACAATTATCTTTGCCTTCTATGTTGTTCGGTTGACCCGCCTTCCATTTGAAAAAGGGGGCTCTTTTGCCGGAGGCCACGGACACGAACTCGCCCTCCTTAGCGATGTCGCTCACTCCCAGCCAGTAGCTTACACTTTTTTCTAGTTGGCTGTTGATTGCATTGAAATCATAATCGTTTTGGATGGTGGCCAGATGACCGCCCATCTGGCGGCAGCTTTCTTCTGCGCCATGCCAAGACTGATGCACTTTATTTTCAATGTAAATAAGTCTTGAGCCTATCCGCTGAAAGAGAGGAGATACGCTTTTTTTGTCAAATTTTTCCTGTAGGTCTTCAAGTAGTTTTTCAATCCGATCAATTTTCGTCTCTAAATCGCTGGGAATTAGATTCTTCCAGGAACTTTCCTTCTGCTCCAGTGACTTATCCAGTTTGGACAAGTTATCCAAGAGCACCTTCTGCTGATCCTCAATACGGTTAATTCTGTCCTGCGTTTCATTAAGTTTCTGTTGATCGCAAGTGCTCCATTCCTTCTGGTGGAAAGCTATGTGATCGAGCATTGGCTTCAGTGCCGTAAGGCAAAACTCCCCACATTGATTTGGGGGATCGTGTAGTAGGCATACGGATTGTCCACTTTCTCGACGCTCTGCGAAGGATTCATACAGATGGTATGAAAGGAACACGATGAGCAAAAAAATATGCGACTTCGCCATAGCGAGCAACTTGTTCGGGCAAACGCTTTTAAGACTCTGATTCCTATGTTTTCCGCTGACTTTCTAACAGCCCCGAAATCATGCTGATAAGTCGCCGGATGGGAATTGCTACAAATACTTTTTTTTAAATAAATAAAACACGATAATGTGGGGTTCACAACAAAATAAACTGTGATAGCGGTACATTCACCATTTATCTTTTTCTTCTTAATTAATTGCCAATATTTAGTTACAGAATTGTTAAATAGTCATTAAAGCCCCGGTCGTTTAACTCAAGTGTCCAACCGAAATACGGTCACCCACGAGTGCCCCGTGACCTGACCTATGAGAAGTGCAAGTGTCGCTCAATTCCCATGGTTTGATAACGCACACATATACAATATATTACATATACAATATGTATTCCATATACAACCTCTCTCGCGCTCATACTGTTATATATGAGCATATTTTGTAGGCAGCTCAGCCGCGAACCCATAGATAAAAATTCAATTCGTTTTGAGACTCTGAAGAATAAACTTCAACGACTAATCTAATATTCAAAGTGTTATTATTGAAGGGCTAATTAATTACAGTACAAGTATATCATAAGTTTTAACGTGATAATGTGTTTTTAATTTGAATTACTTTCCATAACCATGAGCTTCGCAAATAAATGATTGTTCTTCATCACAGTTGCTGTCATACATATGTCCTTTATATATATCCACACAATTTTCATTGTTTTCTAAGTTGTTTGGTTGACCCGCCTTCCATTTGAAAAAGGGGGATCTTTTGCCAGAGGCTATGGATACAAACTCGCCCTCCTTGGCGATGTCGCTGACTCCCAACCAGTAGCTAATACTTTCCTCTAGTTGACTGTTGATTGCATTGAAGTCATAATCGTTCTGGATGGTGGCCAGGTGACCGCCCATCTGGCGGCAGTGTTCTTCCGCGCTAGTCCAAGTCTGATAACCCCTATGTTCGATGTAAATTAGTTTGCAGCCTATTCGCTGAAAGAGAGGAGATACGCTTTTATTTTCAGATTTTTGCTGTAGAGCTTCAAGTAGTTTTTCAATCCTATCAATTTTTGTCTCAAAGTCGCTGGGAATTAGATTCTTCCAGGAGGTTTCCTTCTGCTCCAGCGACTTCTCAAGTTTGGACAAGTTATCCAACAAGACCTTCTGCTGATCCTCAATCAGGTTCAATTTTTCCTGCGTTTCGTTGAACTTCCGATCCAGACTTTCCTGACTCTCTGCAAAGGATTCATACAGAAGGTAGGAAAGGAACACGATCAGCAAATAAATATGCGACTTGGCCATAGCGAGCAACTTGTTGGGGCAAAGGCTTTTAAGACTCTGATTCCCATATTTTTCGCTGACTTCCAAACAGTCCCATAATAAAGCTGATAATTCGACGGATGCGATTTGCATATGTGCATCTCAGGAATGTGATTAAAAAAATGAATATGAATAAACGTTGATTGCATTTAATTCTTCTTTTATCACTTTATTTTTAACAAAAACCAACAATCGTAGGTCGATTGATAAAGCGTATATCTTCGCATTTTTATACAGCGACTCATTTCAAATAATTCTTAATATTTGTTCAAAATAAAATCATTGAAAGCTTTAATAAAATATATAATATTTCCTGATTTATTAAGATTAGGAAGGAAAAAATATCGATATAGTCCCGAACGGTATATAACTAGGATTCCCCTAACCTCAAAACCCGTTTCACAGTTTGTCTTCTCCTCCGCCGCTTTCCGACTACTGTAGGTCCGACTCCAACTCCTACTCCGATTCCGGGAACGGGAGCCAGTTGCAGCAAAAGAGGATTGCTGACCAGGGCAGCGGCGATGCCCAATACAGTAGCACTGGCCAGCGGAATGAGGAAACTCTTTGCCAGCAGAGCTTTAGGCGAAAGCTCCGGCGATCCCTTGTGGGAAACAATCTCATGGGAATCGATGGGATAAGAGCTGTATGAATAGTCGACAGGAGGCCCTGGGTAATGAGCATGCTCCGGTCGGGGCCTGTAAAGATGGTACGGCACTCCTGCCTCTCCACTAGAGGAGTAGCCGTGTCCAGGGGCAGGTCCTGTGTCGTAGCCATGCCCATTGGAGGTTCCATAGTCGTAGGGATAAGGATGGCTTTCATAGGCATAGCTTTTGCCAGCACTTCCACTGCTAGAATAGTGACCTGCCAGGAAAAACGAAATTCAAAAATTTCATATTAAAAATTTATGTCAAATATATTTTTGATTTGGTTGATCCCTAAACTAACCCACGCTAATCCGGTCATGTATATTTCCACCCAACCGCCACTTGTCATAGGCCTCACTGAGATTCTCATTTAGGCTGCTGATCTGGGAACCATGACTGCCTCCAGCTGGTGGCAGCGATCCAATGGGCTTCGATATAAAGCTGGCAGCTGTGTTGTCTAACTTGGAGGACGATGAACCCGGTCCCCGATAAAATTCCGGCGGAGGATCGTAGCTCTTAGCTGCTGCAGAACCAAGAGGGTCCAATTTCACTATAGCCTGGCGTTTCTGGGGCTGCATGGGCTTCCAGGATGCGGATTCCTTCGAGACATTTTGGGCCTGCCCGGCGGCATAAGATATAAGAAGACCGAGGCAAAGGCCAAAGGCCGGGAGTAACTTCCCATTGTTCGCGAACATTTCAACTGAATGCGCCGCCTGCAGATCGGGGGATTTTATAAGGGTCCAACAACCATAACACGCCGGCATGTCGTCACCTGGAGTGGGTGGCATTACAAGCGGTGGCGACAAATTGCAGGCAGACAATTTCAAACCACGATTGCCGTCGCGATTGCTTGGCTGCTGGCATTGAGACGTCTGCAGTGCGTTTCGGGAGCGATTAGTGCCGCCAGCTTGGGAGCTCTTCAAGATATTGCCAGTGGGTTCTTTCGTCAGGCATTTCATCAGATGGAGCATCAGGCATGTAGTTGCCAATTTGTCCCTCTCTTGGCTTATTGAAATAAAGCGTGCGTACCCAAAATGTGTAACCCCAGGTGGCAGGTGAGCAGCAAGAAATTAGTGGAGATATTCACGCCCCCAGCGAGCAGAGGGGCAATTTCAGCTTAATTAAATCATTTATCGCTGCATATTTTAGACGTGGGTGTTCAGCCAAGGGGAACGATCGGAGGTGAGGTCGAGAGGGTTAGGAAAGTAAGGTTTATACACAAAAGAAAGTTCAGTCTATGGAAAATATTTCTGAGGGGATTTTTAAAAGATTTGTTGGAAACGTTACGATATGTTTTAGATGATTCTTTTCTGTGAGTCTTTCTTTTACTCAAAATAACTTCTGTAAATCTAAGCAACTTGCAGGTAACACAGGGGGTTTCGTGAGAAAGAGATCCATTCTTTATGCAAACAGTTCCACCGAAGTCTATGACGCTCAGGTAAATAGATAGAACTTCGACTTGTCATGGTTAGCCTTCGATCTATGCTCCTAAAGTTATTACTGATCAAAGTGATATTTGCAGTGAGGTAGAACGGCACTTCTCAACAAATATACCTGTTATTTGTCGGGACATTTTGTTTTAATATTTTATTTATATTCTTAAAATGTTAAAATAACGTTTAGATTATAACCAAAGAATAGCTTAAGTTAATATTTTTGCCTTTGTTGAGCAGTGGGACGCTTCCGATACATTTCTGGAATATCCTCGGGATCGGAATCCGATGCTGGTGGTGAGGGAATATTCCCCTCTTCGTCACCCAACACCAAGCGTTCTAAGATCTCGACCTGAACATTAAGGATGGCCATCAGCTTGAACATCCGCTCTCCGCGTCTTACGTAATCGGCATGACACTCCTCGTCAGAGAACTTTTCCTTACGAAAACCAAACTGGGACTTCGTGGCTTCTCTGTTTTTATTATTCTCCTCCTGCTTCTTTAGCTCCAGTTCCACATTCTGTGCCACAGTTCGACCACGGCGTTCGTACTTTCTATGAATGCATCGAAAGAACCTTTGGGATACATCCATATACTCGATGCGGAGGAACTCCCAGAAAGTTATGTGGCTCCGGTTGGCTTGTTCCTTTATTTCCCTGCCCGTCTCATTAAAATAGTCGTAGATGACGGAGGCGAACACATTCATCAGGATAATCGCAATCAGGAAGACTAGGATCATGTAAAGCAGAATTCCCAGGATTCGACCTCCGTGGAAGAAGTCCGAGGGTACGATGCCTGCATTAAAGCCAACGGAGTACCTGGATGAAAAAGATTTTTATGCAGTTTCGACTACTTAGGACTTGATACCTACCACATACAGGTGACAACGGACTTAATAATGTGATGAAAGAACACCGCGTTGTTCCCATTTGGAACGGCCAACGCGATGCCGATGCCCATCAATAGGATTAGGATGATAACACCCAAGCTTACCACGGCTCGCCATGCTGAGAATAGCGTGCGGGTGAAGTGCTGGAAGACGGAAGCGAACTGCAGCACTTTCCAGAGCCGCAGAGTGGTGATGCAGACCAAGAAGCCCTCAACAATGGACAGTATTTGGTGTATTCGCAACGGACGCTGGAAATCTAGGTACTGCCCCTTGGTATAGGTCTCGATCATATCGAGAAGATGGTCCGTCTCGATGTCGCGCAAAACAGTTAAACCCAACATAACAATGTTTAGCGCACAAATAGTCAGGTCCACAATGTTCCAGGCTTGGTGGTAGGCCTCCGGATCATGCCAGACCTTAGAGACAACTCCTCGTCCAAACTCAAGGACTAAAATGGTGTAAATGCACAGCCAAAAAATCTCGAAATTTGTCCTGTTTTCCACAGATCCGAGCATTCTCACCGTGTCCACATTCACTCGGGATATCTGGGTGCCAAACGGAGAGTTCTCCACACGCAAAGTGATCACCGTAAACACATTCGCATCCGCGTTGTACATTGTGAAGTCAATGAAAAGAGCCGAGGTATTTTGGTTCACCCATCCATTTGTTCTGAGGTATTCAACCTGCTTCAGGCAGTGCGTCTAGCAGTAATCTCAATTTATAATATATATTTTATAGAATATAGTAAGTTAACTACTTTTGTACCCATCATCAGTACTACGTAACCAGCGAGTTCCGGATAGTTCAGCAAATAGCCATAGTGATTGAAAGTGAGCAGCAGGCCATTTAGAAAACTAAACTCGAAGTGAGCTGGCCGAAAGGGGTCATATATACGCCAGAACTTGTCGGTATAATGCAGCCTATGGTAGGGGAGTCGCCACTCGGGCGCATATGTGGTTGTGTCCCACTTGGGCGTGCCCAATCCGTAACGACTGCTCACAGGTCGCATCTGTCGCAAACGCACCACCCCAATCGTCTGCCACTGATCCATGGCCCACCATCCATCGTAACCGAATTCGTTTGGCGAAAAGAAGGCTTCCACCATGGTAATCTCGAGAAAATTGTAGATCTAACGGATAGTTTTGATTAAGGGACTTGATTCACTAAACATGACTAAATCGACTTGAACTGTGATCCTAGTCAAGAATATGTATTCGAGTACTAGTAAATATGTACTTACCTGGTAGATGAAATATACCTCCGACAGGCCATAGGTTTCCGAGGTGTTGTCCGAAAAGAGACGTACCATGTTGTTTGTGTTGTAGTAATGAAACTGGTTTTCCTGCATCACCACCATTATCATTAGGGCCAAAAAGTAAGACCCATAGAGGAGAAGGTCGCCAGCAATGCGTTTGTACCTCTGATTCAGCGCCTCGTTCTGGTGGGCCTCGGTAATCACGAGCTCCGAACGAAGACTGCGAACTCGAATCTTCAAATAGGCGATGCGGCTCTGCTTGGTCATTCTCTTCTCCGGCTTGTGGGGCTGGTCCTTCTGCGGCCATGTGGCATAATCGATGGCCATCACAAGGTACCGAATGGGTTCGTAGATGACATAGTAAATGAAGAACACCAAAATTATGGTTACCATCATCGTCTTGAATCTATGTGGCTCGTGCACGAAACCCGAGTAGATCGAGATCAGGGTGAAGCACACTACCAGCACGATAGCGGTAAAACCGAAACATGCCAAATCCTTGTTCTTGAAATTTGTGAAGTTCATTTGTTACAAATTATTTGCCTATTTTTTTTCCTTATGTATAAGCTGATGACATTTAAAGCACAGCTGACTGCTAAGGATTAAAATATACATAAAGCGGGTCGTGGTATACACCCTCTTTTATTTCGTGTTGATGTACGGGCTCATAGCTGTCTTTTTTTAGAAATAGCTCGATGAACAAAACGAGTTCCCTTGCGCTTACTCCTGGTGACTTGCTTTCTGAATAACCGTTATTTTTCTTCTTCTCTTCTTATTATTTTCTGACGAGTAATTCAGCTGCGAAATTCGCCTGCATAACTATCGTCATCCCGTTCACTCTCACTTACTAAGCAACTCAAGGGACCACCTACAGCAATAAATAGCTTCGTCAAGCTTACTCAGAGAGTACCGAACTGTAAACCAACTAGGAACGATTCAACATTGAAACGAGACATTCATCTGGATACGAGAGACACTTGAAACGAGAGGCAAACAACGGCCATTACATTCAAATAAAATCATCGTGTCACAACCCACATTTAATGATAATAAGGATAGATGGGAATAATTTTAGCTAATCAAGCCCAGGCTATATTAATAAAAGTCATACTCGATTCAATACTTTCAACGTATTTGTATTTAATATTGATAGTTGCCATTTAGTAGGTATTTATGTATATTTAAGTATAAATGTATATGCACAATTCATTAACTTAGTTAACGTTTCTAAATTAAAGCGGTATTCTTCCGAAAGGTCCTCTTGTATACTTGGAGACTAGGTGCTAGAGTGGATAGTTGACTAGACATACTGATATAATGCATATAATACTGGCTGATCAAGACGACGATCCGGATCACATGTCATCTAGATCCGGTGACGGTGGCGAGCGCTTTCATACATTTTCGGAATTGACTTTCAGTGGCCCGGGACCGGGAGATTTTCCGGACATCTTAATGAGACATGGACACTGAGAACGGAGCCTCCGTGGAGGAAACACACATGCTATATACGGTTAGATACAGGTGGATTAGTTACTCTGGTTAAGATTTCCTCTGACGATTCTGGGCGGGATTAGTTGCTGGGCAATGGGGAGCGCTTGCCCCAACCACCGTGAAGCTTCTGCCATTGGTCGCGTTTGCCCCACATGCCCTTAAGGTTGTTCCAGGTGGGTTCGCGCTTGCCCCAGGCGCCCCTGAATTTGTTCCATCCCTGTGCTTGCCTCCTCTTTCCCCATGCCACATTCATGCTCTTCCAGGCCCGCTTCTCCACATCCGGCTCGCCTCCAAGCTCATCCAAATCCTCGCCAGACTGCGATTGCTGCTGGATTGGCTGCTGTTGCTGCTGCTGTGAGTTTTGTCCACTGGCCATCCTCTCAAAGGTGTCCCAATCGATGGTGTTGGTGCCATCTGTAATCACCAGCGGCACAAAGTGTCCGGTCATGTAGATGTCCGGATCGCTTGAATCTCCGCCTGATGACCGCTTGCCCCATGAACTCTGGAGCGATTGCCAGGCGCGCTTATTGTTGCCATACAGGTCACTTTCGCTTAGTTGATCCAGTACCACCTGTTCGGAGAGGCCTCCGCCTCCCGGTTCATTGGATGCGGGACTGGCGGCACTGCCGCTGGCCACCAAGCTGCCGCAGGCGCTGCCCAGAATGAGGAGCACCAGCAGGAAGCCATAGGTTCTCCGTGTCTTCGTGTAAGCCATCACTGTGGAAATGCAAAAATCAAAGGTGGAAATATTTATGAATGGACGTCAAAATTAAGGCTGCGTCGTTAGCAATGCACTTTAAGAAAAATTTGTAAAAAAGGTGTTCTCTGTTGCTGGTGTGATTGAAAATTAAAAATAACAAAAACTTAAAAATCATGAATAAAGAAATAGGTTTTTACCATGAGATTGTATTGTAAAATTGTATAAATGTCAAAAAGTTAAAGCCCAGGATAATTTAAGTAATGCAAAATATTAATTCTAATTAGATTTATGGCCACGTTTTGAAGAGGCTAAACACGGAAATTAAATTCAGAAAATCGTTTCTTGGATTATAAGAAAAGAAAATTTTAGTTTTATTGCTTTCAGTGCAAAGGTGTAAATATGAATGAATAAATGCCTGGTGAATAACTGATCCCGAGGAGGAAGCACAACCGCGCTCACGGAATGCTCAATTAAGCCGCTGCCGACGGCACTCGACTGCTCCCTGGGGGTCGTGGGAAGTCCTGAGGAGTCCTGCGGCAATCATTTCCGCCCGCGCCTCAGAATTACTGGAACACGCGCAAGAACAACAGTGCGGGGAACAAGAGTAGCGATTTAGCTAAATAACCTCTCTAATTGAAAGCGGTGGGGGCCGCTGAGTGGGCGTGACTGGGTGGCCCACCTTCGACAGGATAGCTGAGGTCATGCCGTCTGTCGACCGCTGCGTTAAAAGGCAGCAGCGCATAACAGTTACAATTTATGGCCTATTAATGTCCCTTTCGGAGGTAGCAACCAGCGGGGTAACTGGGGAGTAGGCATTCCAGTGGGCCTCCCGGAATGTGTGCGCAGGCCAAACAATACCAGGGAAATGGAGGATGGAGGGGCAAAAAGCCAACGCAGCGAATGATTGGCAAATGGAGCCGGAATCCCAGTCGATAATGATGCCTCCTTAAAACGTTAATATGCTGCCCCACAGTCAAGATTATGGTTATGTTTACGCATTGGCTTAAGTGGCTTGCGATTGCACTTGCGGCCACTCGACAGACTAGACAAAAGCCGGAGGAAAATTCACTCAGTGTGGGCGGAAAAACAGCGTTTGTTTGCATTTCCTCCCAAAGTAGTTTTCCCTATGCGTTCGCATGAGCATCGCAACCAAATTGATTTGCATACATTCTGGCATTAGCCGTCAACATATCCACATCCTGCTTAAAGGACACTCCAAGGAAGCGGAAGCAACAGTGTAGTATGCGGGAATTATGTGTCCATTATTCCGAATTTGTTTAGACGCAATAAACCTTTTGAAACCCACTTAAATGTTTCCATATTATAAAAGTTATTAAATAAGTTATTAAGATTTTACGGTTAAGGTGTGTAACGAATGAAAATCTGTACTGGTATATCATGAATTCTAGATTTCGATTCTTTCGATTCAAAGTTAAAAGACAACTAAGATTAATTAATCTGCTAAAATTGTTCATTTAATATTTATGTAGAATATTGATTCAGTCAATACGATTACTATTATTACGATTATTAATACATATAAGCAAGTTGGAGTCTAAAAGTCATTTCCAAAGACTTTGGTTATTAAAAAATAAAATAATCTTTACGAATTTGAAGGCAATGAGGCAGGAAAAAGAAAAAACTATATACTGTAAGCTTTTCATAAGGCTAAGATATTGCAAACAAAAAAAGCCAACATCTATTCCTAATGAGCAAATCTAACCCCTTAACTGCCTTACATTCATTAGAATTAACACATTTGCCGTAATCCCCGTCAGATTTTATGGTCATTGCAAATCAGCAGCAGCTGGTAGGCGCCATCATCAGCCGGGAATCAAGTATTCAAAGCCCAGCAAAATCGGAGCCACCGACGGCAGGGCGTCGGTAGGTTTGGTATCTTATCTGGGATGTCGCCTGATTAAATGATGTTGCTTGCCGCCCGCTTGGATTGGCCGACTAATTGAGTAGCGTTGGCCAACCCGTTGCTGGATACGGATATGTCCCCTAGCTCCTGCTGATGCCCAACTTCTGACTTTCTAACTGATTGTCCGAGTGCAGAGTTGGCCGCTTTTTCCGGCTTAGTTTTTGGACTTAATTTGTGCGCTTGTCGTTGATTGATTGACGCTGCCCAGATGAAAGTTTTAGCGGCTTTGCGCCAAATTATAATAAATAGCCACCGCGATGATAGAGCACGCATCGAATTTTATGACCCCCGTGGGTGGAGGGGATCATTGTGGCACAATGAGCAGGCGGCAAACGTGCCGGGTCAACTTGTAATTGAAATTAACTGAAAATATTTATGGCCCTTGTGGCTGACATTCCTCCGAATTTGGTAGTTGACTACGTCTACTTCATTATTAATTTGCCAGCCTGTTGCAGAATAATTCATTTGGTGTCAGGACAGGAGATCCGGCGTCCTTGAGGCAACTCCTTACTCCTTCAAGTGTCGCAAACAAATTTTCGCGCCAAAATTAAACAGCTCGCCGCAAATCGAATTTGCCAGCTCTCCTCTATTTTTTCGTATGTCTCGATAAATAGGTAAGGCAAATATTTGCCAAAGGATGGCATTTGCCAATAAGTATTTTGTTTAAATAGGTTTCCTGCCGGCACCCACGCTCAAGAACTCGCCGCCTGTTGCCGCTGAGTGTGAATCGAAATCTTCTCGGGGACATGGACATTAACGAAAATTCGTAAATAAACAAAATATCCGCAAAAGAGTAAATATACTGCTCGTCTCAAGCAGGTTAGCCGTGGGTATTCTCTTTCCCTACTTCGAATTTTGTGGGCTTGTTTGCTGAAGGAGTTCTGCATAATATGGCCATGTTTTGCAAATAAATTTACGCTGATGAGTCCTACCAATTTTTAACAGCAATCTATTTTTAAAAATGTTTCAATATTTGGAACCGAATTTTACTCAATTTCCGCCGAAATCGCTGCATTGGGTTTTAATGAATATTTTAAAGGGCTCAGTCCATAAATGCCGTTAAACAAAATGTCAGCTAAATTTGAGGCAAATTATTTTTCCAAAAACCCAACACAAAAAAAGTATATTCACAAAATTAAATTTTAACTTCATTGAAATTACATAAAATTACATTTTGGTAACCAAAAATGAAGACTTTTTCTTTTCAAGAAGATTTAATAATCAAAAATTATGTAAAAATAACCTGTATAAAAAGCTTAAATGTAAATTGTTAAACTTAAGCTCTATTTCATATTTCTCCATTCCGGATCATTTTTTTTTACTAGATAATCGAACATAGAACATACCTAAACATGTAGCCGTTATAAATATATTTAAAAAAAGACTTTATTTTAAAGTACAAATAGAACAAAAAACTCTTGTCTATAGAAATTAGAATCAACAAATTTGGTAAGCAGGTATCGTTCTAACTTGCCTAAAAATTGTAAAACATTTAGAATTGGATTAAATTATAAAGCATCTTAGTTTTAAATCAAGGCAGATCAGTAAAAAAGACGCAAAAGAATGAGTAAAAATCAAGAAAGAACATAAAATAGCTTGATTTCGGTTCCTTATAAAATTAGTTTTAATATTGGTTTAGTTTAATCAAGATTTATTGAGTCGTAATCAAAATAATCCTTTTTATCTTAAATCATTATTGGTTAACTCAAATCTCTTAACCTGACTGTATCCTGAACTATTCCAATTTCTTTAAACGTTATTTCTAATTTGGACACAGCCAGCAAGCATTAAAATCCCGCTTAACGTTATGTTAACTGCGACATTGAAATATTATTTTTAAAATTTTATAAGTTACAACACGATTATAAATTATAATATATTTTTAAGGTCAAGGCGTTTTAAAAAAAAGTAGCACTTTACAGGAAAGAAAAAATAACCCAAATAAAGGGGCTTAGAATAAGAATTAACATTCCTGCCAAATGCGGAACTAGAAAAGCTTAACCACAAGAGTTCACTTTTGAAATTCATTTCCTGTGGCAACCAATCGAATTACTAGCATATTGAATATCGAACCTACCACTCACCTGAGTATGTTTCTCCACGATTTTGAGGGTTTTTAATGTTTTTTTTGTTTCAGCAAAGCGGAAACTGCGGCCAAGGTTTTACAATTTTATTTTGAGTTTTACGCTCACTCTTTTATAGAAATTTTTTGCACATGAAATAGCGTTTATAAGTGAATTTACGGGCTCGACTGCAATTCAATTAGCGCTCTCACTTGACCCGTGTGAAACTGATTTCGTGGGGCGTGGGCTGACCAGTTTGTCCTGGTTGTGCGCAAACCTGTTGATCAACTACAAATGATACGCAGACCGGTGCGGCGGTCGCTTATAAATCAAAACGGAAGCGAATCGCCAGCCGAACTACAATCCATGGGCCCACGAACGAGGCTTCGTGCCTGCGCAGCCGGCAGTCCTGTTAATACACACACACTCAGAAACAATGGCAGGGGGATATGGATATCCGCTTGTCGCCGTTTCTGCAACGGAAGTGGCCGAAAAGTGTGTTGCCTACTTAGCGGGGCGTGTGTAAGTGTGAGTGGGTGTTTGGATGTGTATGGCTTTGTGAGTAAGAAGAAGCCCCGAGTTTAGGGCACACATGCGCGATTGTTTATTTTAACTCCCCCGGACTGGCCATTGTCGATCCCCTGGGGAAACCGAGCCTTGGACTCATTCAAATTCAGGTACACGCTCTACTTGGGGCATTTAAAATTAAACACTCCACGAACACACACACTTACAATGAAGCAAATGGAACAACTGACGACAGCATATTGCATATTGCATTTCTTTGTCGCCGGGTGGCAATTGACCAAACACAAATACGATTCCCGCCACTTACCATCCACTTACCTTCACATGCTCCAAGCTCCATGTTCAGTACCATCACCCCAGCAGGACCTAAGCATCTGGAGGAGAACCCTTTTAGTGCTTCATGAATATTTATGGCGACACAGCGCCTCTTCTGTTTTGTTGCTAAAAAATGAAAGAGAAAAAGAGCTTCTTCAATTACAAGAGTCGCCACGAAGATGTCAAGTGGGAGTGCCCTGTATGTGTATCGTTTTCTATGGGGCACATCAACAGGTTTTCATTTGCGGCCATTTGATGGGACGCCGAATAAACGATGATGGGAATATTTATGACACTCCTCTGCCGGTGCGTATAATGAATGGGCCATGAGAACCCCCTTGCATGTTGGGGCCCTCACCCATTCGGGTGATAAGCTACGTAGTTACTAATTGATTTGGCCACTGATAAATCGCTGCCGACTCTCAACACCGATGACAGCTACATGTGTCCGTTACTCCGCATCACGGAAAAAGTTTGATTGATATTTCAATATTTATTATGAAAAAAAGAAGAAAAATTATTTAAATTAGGAATTAAGATAATTTTGACGGCATATATAAAAAACGGAAAAAAAAAATTAAGTCACAAAATATTAAGCTCAACCTTTAAGATTATTAGTTTTTCTCAGTGTACATGATGAGTAGTGGATTGCAGTGGCAGCAGCAAACGATTGTAAATCATTTCCATTTACGTGTCTGGCTTAATTGCAGGCATCCGACGGAGACCTTTGAGCGATCCATCTGGGTACGTCACCACTAATGTTTCATTTGCATGGTGACAAAGTGAATTAAAGGGGTTCGTCCTAAAGGCGGAACAATAGCCCACACTGAAGGAAAATGCATCGAAGCCTTGACCAAACGCCTGCTCCTTTCATCTGAATGCCACACTTCTATGGGATTCCCTTGGCGCTTCCATTGTGAAGATGATGTAGCTGGCGCTGTTGGCAGCTAATAATAATTTGTTTGCACTTTGCATATGCCATCTGGTCAACAAAGGGCAGGCGCAGGCTGAACGGAAGTCATGGGGTACACAATATCCTGGGGGTCAAGGCAAAGGAAAAGTCATTGAGGTACTTTTACTTCCCAATAATTGAGCTTACTTTACTAAATTTTTTTTATTAATCAATAAAGTTATAAAGCATTGAGTTCATTAAAAAATAACTTTTAAAAAAGGTTATAAAAATGTTTTTAAAAATTAGAGTGATTTTCGCCCCACATATGACATCAAAAGATATCGATATATCGTTGCCAAAAAGTCGAGATGTAGTCAGTTTCTCTTCATAATCGTTGCACTTCCCGTGCACCAATTTGACCATAAACTCGATGGCCAAACCGCGGTTTTAGTGACACAGGACGATGACTTTCAGCTGCTGACTGCCGACTTTCTAAGCAGCAGATTCTTGGCTAACTTTCAGCCCCGAAATTATTGTTTTAAGTTGAGGTTCGTAGAATGCAGAACTTCTCGGTACACGCGTGATTTTGCCGTTCCACCTCTTTGTCGTTATGCAGTGGATTCTTATTATAATCACAGTTCTAAGGAAGGCATTTTTAGCTGTTGCAAGATTGGATGAAAATTGTGAATGCTGTTACTGCACCTACACCTGCATTTGAGCAGACTGCGCTCGCTGTTCTCTTGCTCTAACACATGGCAATATATAATAACCCTGAACATTGCCAAGTAAATTATTGAATCCTATTCATTAAATGCCTGCGGTTTAAGGAAAAGATTATCTAGCACGCAGAAAATGTAAGCCGTTGCGTTTCCTAATTGACGAGTCGCATAAAAATCGAGTAGCTGTGCAAATAATGTCTTGAGAGCTCGAAGGTCTTGAATGCTCTGAAAAATTATAGAGTTCTGTAAATAAAAGAATTTATTTTTATGACATTCCGGCGGAATGTTATGCGTATGACCATTTCTTTCAAAATTATTTTGTGCTTTGACGCCATTTTCATCTCGTAATCAAAAAAATGTTCAAGCCGTATAAATGACCTACTGGTTATTAGGGCTTTCATCCTGCTGAAAAAGACTTCAATAAGTAAGTTGGGGTATAAAATAATAATAATCTGCTTAATTTATTTAAAAGAAAAGCCATTATAAAAAATAGTTTAAAGTAATAGTTTAAAACCAGCAGTTAATAGAGAAGGCAATTTGCGATAATGAGATTAATAATAATATATATATTAAGCTTAACTTAAATATTATTTGTGAGTGCCTTTTAAGATAACATAATCAACAATTTATGCTGGCAACACTGCTTTTAGCGATGTCCCCCACCATTTTAAGTGATTTCATTCTTTAATATGGTTGATACATTCGCTAACAGCCTAAAATCAACTCATATTTTAACTAACTAACTATTTACTTTTATTGTCCTCCTTATTGTAAACAATACTATTAATTACAATAGGTAAATTATTTAAAATACATATTTACGTTTATCCGACTACCGTTTCTATTGATACTTTACTAATAAACTATCGGTATCCATATATCGATAGACAACAACAGAATACAAATAAAAGTATATCCGAGCCGGCTGAGAAATAAGTGGTAATTTCACAGTTCTGTCATGAAATAAAGGCTACGCAATGGAAGTAATTCTACCTCAGGATGTGCACAATGCTAAAAAGTTCCTGGACTGCGCAGAAAAACTGGAATATGACGAGTTCTCGGCAGTAAGAATTTCCGACATAAACTAATCATTTACCTGGCTTCACGGTTGAAATCAATATTTACAGAAAATGTTTGTATTCTACAATGGACACAGCGATGTGGATGTGTTCGAGCTGATGGGTAACGATCGGCTGTCGCAGTTGATCTATGGATGGGAGGTGTGCCACCTGCCCACCAGGGAATCCGAGTCCTTAAAGGATCCTGCGTTGCGTCACATTGTAAGAGTATTGGCACACCATTCGCTGCAAATGTGGTTCAGCCAGGAGTGGAGAACTTGTTCTGAGGGCCTTAAGCACTTGCTCCTCTACAGCATCACCAAAGCGGTGCCGGCTCTCTACCAGATTAGCGACCTGGCTAAGATCGACTGGGCGTACATCCTGCAGTTTCAGACAAATCCCTGGAGCCTCCCGTACCTTCAGGAGCTATTTCTCAAACTGAAAGAGAATAAACACCATGCCATCGAGCACACAGTCCCTATGGCAACTGAAGACGGTTTGTGATTCCTACATATCCATATAATGCTAACACTAATTGCTGTCTTCCTTCAGACATTGCTTTTTTGATGCAGGAAGGATTGTCACTTATAGTCTTACGCCTAATGCAACTATTCAACGCCGGCAACTTTGAAGCAGTGAAACAGCTCGCACTTCGAATGCTAGCTGCTTGGTTGAAAGCACACGAAACGGTCCCATTTGTGACCATAGAAAAGGATCAGAACTCTATTACCCTAGTGGGCCATTTATATCTCCTCACTATTTTCGTAAGAGATGAAAACCGCGGTTATGTGATAGATAATTTGGTAAGAAATGGAACAACCCTGCATTCCAGAATAATTTAATTACAAAACCGTCCCTTTAGATGTACAACATTCGTTTCTATGCTCAGACTATGCAAGAAGCTTCGATCTCTCATGACATTAACTTCACACCAGCTCGGCTTATTGCCCAGGTTTGCGTGCGTCTGAGACTTGGCAAGAATGACTTCTTTAAGCAGATTGGATTTAAGAAATTCAAGCTAAATCTAGTCACCTCTTTTGCCGTAATGCTGGAAGCCTACTCAAGCTATGTGCTTGGCAATCTTTTGATGGAACTTCAGGCACTCAACGAGCATGACTTTCTGGAGCACTTGCCACAGTTCAAAGAACTTATGTATCGCTATGTTGAGGAGCGGGAAAATAGCGAGCATTTTCTCCTCGAAGAGCTGAAAAAGATGGAGAACCAACGGAACAGCCACCTACAGCCACAAGTAGTTCAGCTAAATCTAAACTACCAACAGCAAATATGCAAGGGCAACCGAGCCAGTAATATTGGCAACTACAAGAACTGTGACGATGACGAGAAGCCTTTACCAGAGGCCGACGAGGAGCAGGACAGACAAATAGATCCGGTGTTTCAAAATGTACCAAACAATGAGGAGGTTCTGACTTTTGTGTATAACTTACTAGCAGAACGGGTAAGTCGAGACATCTAACCACTTAACAGCTTTACTAAAATGGATTTTCTCTAAAGAATTTTTCTGGCTGGAAGTTTGCCAAGATTGCTTTGCTTCTTAAAATCATTGGGCAACAGTTGAATGCAATAGAAATATGGCGCTATCACCCCGGGTTAACTATCGAGTTTATGCTCAATTTGGAGCAGAAGATGTCTGCGAACTATGCCGATTTGGCTAAAGTGTTTTCTGACCATGGATTCATGGAGGCAGAATTCTGGCTGACAGCTTTCTACCTTCACCCAATGACTTTAAATTACAATGAAGTGAGGCGCTGTTCGAAAATCAAGAAAAAACGTCAAGAGGAGGAAAACTGGCCGCCAGCTACGGCAGCCCACAGCGTCAAATATGAATTACTGAGCTCGACCATAGATGTGGACGAGATTGTAACAATAACGAATCATCACGCACCAGTGGCCGATTATGATCCCGTGTACAAGTCGCTGCAAGCTTTGCGTCTTCCCCGCAGTATGATCAAGGACCTTCTAACAGTGGTTTTTCAGCCACGTAACAAGCGCTACTCATGGGCTCTGGATTGGCATACGCTACACGAAAGATGCCATGCTCTACTTAAAAGCCAGGATTTGAAGAACAAATTTGTGGCCCTCAACATGGCCGAAGCCGGTGATCACTTGCAGTTTCTTCAGATAGATTATGCGAAATACAGAGATCGACCACAGTTGGACTACGGCACTATTGAAGAGGGCTACGAGAATGCGGCCAATTTGCCAGAAGCAGAAGAGGAACCAGAACCGTCGAATGCAGCAGACGAAAAAGAGGTAAAACCCACGCAGCAGAAAAAGAGGCGACCAGCTAAACGCAAGTTTTGGGATGAAGGTAAACAATAAAATCAAGCTATCACATAATAAAGATTGACTAACATTATACTACTTTAAAAATCACCATTATAGTGCTATCAGAAGACGAAGAGGAGGCTTCTTCAAGCGATTCGGAGCACTACTATACGGGCAATGGCCGAAGGACTCGGATTCGAGCTGCAGCCATGGTGGCGAATGCTATGTTATCTGACATGGATCGTAGTATGCGAACTGGTCGGAGATCAAGCTCCCAAGAATCGGAAACTAAATCAGACTCAAAATCTGATGTTGAGGGGCAGTTGAATATCAAATCCGTTCTTTCACAACCACCACCCCCAAAAGAACCAGCAGCCACTGACGAAAAGCGCACAATCAGCGATCTGATGAAGGCACGAACCAAATTTAGCAACGAAACAGGAGGCTTTAAGGCCTTCGCCGACATCTGGAGCTTTGAAAAGGAAGAGCTTCAGAACGTGGCAAGCGAGGGAAATAACCTGATGGAGTGCAGCTCGGTGCTTAGCAAATTTAGGAATTTGAAGACCCTAAAGATGTCGGCAGCGGTTAAGGTGCCCGTACAGCCAGATCCACAGCCTGCAGGAGGAATGGTTCGCACAGGATCGGAAACTGAGAGCGTGAACTCCGAAACCTCCACGATGGCAACGGTCGACTTTAACGAGGAGACCAGTGACGATTCCAATGGTGTAAGTAAAGAGCTAACACCCTCGCCGCAACTTGATTTTACAACGGAGACAGAAGTGTTGCAGCCCGCTGATGATACTGAGACGCAGGAGCCCCCAGAGACAACAAAGATGCAACGGGAGCCCCTGAAAACGAAATACTTGAACAAGGACCCCGTGGAAAGTGGACAGGAGACCGCGGAGCCTCTAGAAAATTTACAGTTAAAAGACAAGCGCCTGGCAACGGAACTGCTTCTGGAACAGGGTTTTGAAACAAGACAGCTGGAAAAGACAGAAGAAAATAGACAGGAGATAGAAACGTTAAAATCTGGACAACTAGAAGACCCAATAAGCACCAGGGAGCAAAAACAGGAGCCTGTCAGCACTGAGCGAACTACAAAACTACTCATGCCATTAACCACAGGAAACGATACAGGAACAGACACTGCGGAGGAGATCTTGCATGATGATGACCCTAGTGAGAAACCCGAAAACAAGAGCTTGAAAATGGACACAGTTAAACTCCGACAAAAATTTAACTCTTCTTTATGGGATACTACAGAGAAGGAACGGGAACGCCTCATCCACGAATGCCTGACCCGAGAAGCGCAGGTGCGCTTAAACAAGTTGACGCCACAGGACATAGAAAAGCTCAGGGGTGTACGGGTCCGGATTAAGCGGACTAACTTGGTGGACTACTACAGGGATCATAAACTCCACAAACGTAGAAAGATCGCAGAGAATCTAGTGAGCCAGAGCCGCTCACACACCGAAGACAGCAATGCATCCTCGAATAGCTACGATTCACGTAGGTATAGTAGGCGCCGCTTGAAAAAGTTTGTGCACATCACATCGGACTCGCCAGCACCTTCGGTGTCATCCACGCCATCTCCGCGAATGTTGGTCAAGTCGGTATTTAAGCACATAACATCCGACTCCTCCACAGATCTCGAGGAGGTACCTCGATCTTTTTCAGTAAATAGAAGACGAGGACGCGGTCAAAGTCGGATAGGCGCTGGACCAAGATGTTCACGACGAACACCATCTATTCCACCGGATGTGATCGAGCTGTCCTCGGACTCGCTGTCTTCAAACTCTCCAGTGCCGGGTGCCAACCATCCTATGATACACTTTACACAGGTTATGGAGATGGACCCGCTGTACGAGGAGGCAATCGTTCCCTTCTAGCACCCTGTTCACAATTCGAGCAGGAATCTGAGCCGGAGGCGAAGTTCTACGTGCTCGAAACGAATGCTGGCGAGGGTTGACACGGAGTTTGAACTGAGTAAAATGTTGGAAAAGCAGAGGAAAAAGGGAATACCAAGTATAGCTGGGAAAATTGAATTTGTCTCGCTTGTTAGAATGCAATTAGCCTTGGGCACATTTTGGTATTTATTTTGGCTAGGACAGAACCAGGATTCTGATAAAATTATTTACGTGTACATCTGTTTGTCCAAGTGCCCGGCCTGGGCATTGTATTTCGGTTTGCGTTTGCTCTGTGACGACGCCTGCGGGCCTTTTGAAAAAGAACTCTTGCTGAGTCCTAGAAAATACTCAATGGGAAAAGCAAACGTATCCACTCTTCAATTAACTGCCTAATTGATATGCATTGTGGTTCTAAAAAACGAAATTAGCTACACGCGTCGGAGGAGTTCTTGAATATGGATGACGCCGCCGGTGACACGTGGCTGTTGGTGTGAACTTCAGTGGCAAAGTATATCAGTAACTTAGGGGTTAGGAAATTGTTAGTGGTTTTTGATTATTATGGCCAACATACAAATTAGTATTAATACAGTTAACTTTGATTTTAAATTATAATTAAGTAATACTATATGTAACGTTTATTTGCTATCTGATAGTTTACAAGTTGCAAAAAATATAATAATGATGAAAAACAACTACTTGTATCGTTTTAGTTTTAGTTATACATGAATGCATTCCCTAATTAAATGAAGGTAAATGTTTTCAATATAAAGTTTCAAACTCGATCCGTTTAATTCAAGGACTTTTAAATTTTCTCAACAAAAGCACTTAAAACACAGGAGACAGAAACCCATAGTTCATAAATCTGAAATGTGGCATATTATTAAATTAACCCACTTGAAACTCAAGTCCTCGCTCGTGCTGGCAATTTGTGACGATTGCCGCATATCATAACAAATCCGCACGTGGCACCCGTCGGCCACTTGAAACTGCAACTTCGATCCTCCTTTAACCGGCTTGCCACAGATAGGAAATCCACAGCGGCACATTTGGCCACTTGAGCAGTCGCTAAGACCACGGCACGTGCCAACGCCTGGGCTTTGGATCTGAATCAGGAGAATGGGCTCAAGGGGAGTGAGAGCTTCTGGCCTACTACACATGTTGCGTTTTGGGAAGTGGAGGCGGTATCCTAGCCACGTGCCACTAACCCGTTTAGCGACAGGCGTAAGCCCTAAACGATTATTGTGGTTTAGTGGCGAAAAGCGAAAGAGTTGCGAGTAATTGAATCGTTTGAATTGCAATCGCATTAAGCGCACATAAGTTCGATGTTGTGATAAAGAATTATATATTTTTTGGTGTTGAAATCCTTATACTCTATATAATAACATACACTTCTTTGATTAACTATTCGGATCTGACGATGATATCTGCACTAGAGTACCCAAATTGAATAAAAATCTGGAATTGCTTTTAGCAGAGTTATAGTATTATTTATACTTTTATGAGTTAACACCCTTTTAAATTATATTAGTACATTTTAAAAAGTATAACTCAAAACGTCATAACTGAAACCATAAAAAAAATATATTTACCTAAAATTTGACCTTAACTATAAAATATTTATATAACTCCATACAAGGGTACAAAAACTAGTTAAGAACTTTGATGATGCCGTTGGTGACATTGCTGATCCTCGGAATCAGACATCCTTCCGATTGGCTTAGAGAGCTCCGCTCGCCGCTAGAGCGTGAAAAATGCTCGTATTTTGACTGGTAGTGGTGCCTGCAGAACGAATCTCCATCTCCAGGAAGTTCACCCCGCTCCCGTGATTACCAGCTAGATGACGTTTGTGTGTGAGTAGTCAAAAGCCACCCCCGGGCGACAATCACGGCGCATATCTGTTGGGATTTGCGTTCAGGGTTCTACGCTCTCAACTTTGCGCTATGGCGCCGCCACGACCGACGACAATGCGCCGAGGGTTGTTGCCTGGCAGTCCGGACCCAAATCAGCGGGCTTAATGGCTGGCCGGGCACATAAAACCGGTGCGCACTCCTTGCCAGCTTTTAGTTGGTGCGGGCACGCGAGAAGCGAAGAAACAACTCTCACAAAGCGGAAATCGGAAATGTGCTAAAGGATATACACACTGAGATATAGATACGAGATCATGGCTGCCTGTTATAATGCATATACCGGTGGATCGCAGTCCTTTGAGTTCGATGAGGACGACGACGATGCCTCCTTCGACAGTGGCTACGAGAAGAGTTTCGAGACGGAGGCCCAGTTAAGTTCCCGTCGGCGCTTAGACTTTGATGACCAATTCAACGGCACTCCGCCGATTCCGGCTGTCCAGCAGCCGTACTCCGGCAGCTCCTGGGACACTGTACCGCTCAACTCACCTCCGGCGGGATTTGTGGGTCTGCTTGACACGAGCAGCAACCATAGTACGCGCAGCGGCAGGACGCTTGTGGAGCATCTGAACAGTCGGGCCACCAATGGTGTGTTCGATCCGCCGCTGACCAGTACGCCGATGAAGTCGCCAGAAGATCCAGATGCTCCACGACCAAAGCGAAAATATGCCGTCGGAAAAAACAGAGTAACACGCTCGCGCAGTCCCACTCAGGTGGTAAGGATCAAGCGGTTTCGTCGGATGAAGGCTAACGACAGGGAGCGCAATCGGATGCACAACCTCAACGATGCACTGGAGAAACTACGGGTGACTCTGCCCTCGCTTCCCGAGGAGACGAAGCTGACGAAGATCGAGATTCTGCGATTTGCCCACAACTATATCTTTGCTTTGGAGCAAGTGCTGGAAAGTGGAGGTACGATCAATCTGGATCTGGAAAAGCTGCAAAACTTCACGCTGAGTGGCGAGAGGATCACCAAGGAGCTGTTCGATGCTTTGTTTGTGAATCCACAGCCGTTTCCCATGTTCGGAGGCGGCAGAATGTTTCCATATGGCCATGGAATTGCTCCCCTTGCTCAGAATCATCCTGCTTCTGCTCCGACTGCGGAGCATTCTCCCGCTATGGGAGGCTTCCAGCAGGGCATGAACTACCCACAACAGCCACCAGGATTTGACTTTACAGGCAGCATGCGATTCTACCACCAACAGCAGCAGCAGCAGCCGCCTCACCATCTGCATCATAATCCCCAGCAGGAGTCCAGCCCGCAGCAGTTCTCGCAGGAGAAATACGATCTGTTCAGGGGATCCTTTGATGCAGCTGCTAATCTCGAGCCTACTCACTTGGATTCAGGAATTCACCATCAGAGTAGCTTTTACACGCAAACGCCGCCGTGGAAGGACTATCCGGAGGATCAGGCACATCCACATGCCATTCCACAACCACACAGCTACAAACAGTTTGCCCCACAGGTGTAGCACAGATTTGGGGGCCAAACGGCGATCTGAGGTCTCTTAGCGTGATATGTTTAAAGATTGCAAGGATTTGCAGGAAACTAATCTAGAGGAATCCCAAAGAGATGCATCCGTGACTTACTTTTGATGACAACTAAAGTAACTCGGGGGACTCATCTCAGGATTTCCCTTCTTTACTTTCCCCGAACCACTCGCAATCTGTTGATATTGAAAGTAAGTGAAAACATAATTGGCTGCTTAGATTATCATTTAGTTTGGTAATGAACATTTCACTTACCAAACTAAAGATATTCCATGAACTCAATTTGTTTCGTGTTATAGAAGGATCCTTAAAAGAAAAGCCAATTTTTACTGATAAAAAACCATCCATAGTTAAAACTCACTCAATATTTACTCATTTCATGTTCATTATAATTGGTTTCTTTTTTAAGGATCTCAGTGAATAGTTGAATTAAAAGTGCTTAACTTTAGTATATTACAACACATATTATAGATATCTCAAGTAAAGCACTTTTATTATCAACATATTCCCTTTATATTCTTCTTAACTAGATAGTACAAATCGGTTGTCCATTTAGTGTAAGCGGATATGTACCTTACCATTCTAGACCTAAGACTAGTCCTAACGATCACTGAAATGTACCAGGTATTAGCCATAATTAACTGTACAATCGATTAAGTATATGTAGGTTATGCCAGATAATATTTCTATACTATATCAGTTATTGCAATGCAAGGAAAGCGAGCTAGTCAGGGCCAGAACTTTAAAGTGATAAGATTGAATTTCGATGTAAAGCCATAAAGATTTATTTTTGCAAATAAAGTTGACGATCAAAACGAGCCGGAAAATGGATGGTAAATGGATAGAATGGGAGATGCTTCTGGGCAAAGTCAAAAATAGTAGCCAAAGCAAACAACCCTGGGCAGCAAAGAGAATTGGTACGGTTGTGTGCGGATTTGAGATTCCAAACAAAGGACTTAAATTCAAATAAATATTGTATATTGCAGTGCACATAAAACGAATGGCTTTGTGTGTGTGTGTGCACTGCAGCTTGTTTTTATCGTAGGGGGCATTTTTCGCCCTTACAATTCGACATGGGGTGAGTTCAAGTAGAAACTGAACTCCGTACTCCCGGGCTCGGCCTTCGGAGTTCGAACAATGGAAGATTTCCCGTCACCTGCCACACAATTACAAAACGAATGTACCAACAGCAGCAGCAGCAGTCAGGACCGGCAATCCCAAGCCTGAAACATGAGCCGTCAGCCAGTGGACCTGCATGAATGCCACTCAAATTATTTAGTTGAATGAACCGGCAAGAGTCGAGGGAAACTTTTGCCTAACTGACTGACATTTTCCGTTACGAGAAAAGGGTGAAAAGGTGATAAAGATGCTGCAAAGCCGGTAAGGAATTCTGCATCTCAAACTGAGGATTAACTTAAGACTCTTCTCTCTCTAAGTTTAACTGCCACATTAAAGGGGAGCTTCGAAAAGGATTTTTAAAATAAAGCTTAATGGTAATCATAAACTTTTTCGTTATAGTTTAAATGAAAAACATTAAAAAGAATCATATAAGTATATGATTTATGAATAACAATAGCACTTGTCATTTATTACCAAAACTTACAAATCAAGCTAGATATCCAAAACTAAAATTGTCATTTTTAAAAATATTTCTTGTATTTTAGACAAAAATGTGAAATTTTTAGTTCCAAATTTTTACTTTTTGCGGCTTACAGAATATTAAATTCAGCTCAGTTTTGGGGTTATAAGTAGGACTTCCTTAACTAAGCCGGCGTTTGTCATTTGAGCAGCTTTGTTGGAGGTGTCGGGATTTATCTTTACAATAATCATTATTATGGACCGGCATGGGTCCGGCATTCCCTTGTCCCGTTGTGTGGCAAAGGCGCAAATACGCAGCGGGTGAGCCAGCTAAGCTGCATTCAATTTTCAGGAATCTCGTCAAGGGATGAGGACGTAACCTGGCACGAACGGGCATCATTAAAGGACGGGGTTGCTGTGTTTCGATGGTTATCGGCGGATCAATGACGACATCTCCAGTTCCGTCCCCTTGTCCAAATGCTAATGCACTGCGAGGCTGGAAAAACAATTTGGCGATGGCCATAAGGCGATAAGGCAACCAAAATGGAAACAAATTGCCATGGACATGCTAAAAGGCGCAAACACAAAGGCATCTTCGGCTGCGGCAAGTGCAGGTCCTTGGAGAGCGATTCATATGCGGTCCAATGAGACTGCATAAAGGAGTTGGGTCGGCTAATGGAGGAGGGTTCGACTCACGGATACTAACCTAACTGAATCAAGTTTCTTTGTAAATAAATAAATATTGAGGGATTAGTCAATGTAGATAACAGTAAGAGATACCATTTCAGGCACAAATAATGATAGTCCGTTGGTTTTCTTTGAAGTCTATTGAGAAATTAGTAAATATGTACGATTATGTTAGATTTGTTTTACTTATCGGAATCCTTAATGATTTGTTTTTTGTAGGATCTGTGTTTTCTCATAAAAAAAGGTACAGAAAAAGCGACAACAAATTTACTTTATATAGCCGAATTTCGAATTATACAACTTTTGCTTATACAGTCTTATATTTTCTTTAAGTTATACTTAAATTTAATAGAGAATAAAAAACAAAAGAATCATTAAAATACATTTAAATTTCTATATCAAATTATATCACTTTTAGGTCGTTTTGAAACCGCAGAAACTTAAAACAGATGCACAAGCATACGACTCCGGATATTTAATGAACATTTTGTAAAATCGCAAATATTCCTTCCCTTGGGTATATAGAATAGTGGGTTAAAGGTGGGTTTGGCAAACGAATAATAAAATCAGAGTTCAACCCTGAAATTCAAAGGTATGAAATATCAAGATCATATATCACACAATTCCCGACAACTTCTCGGTAATTTGTCCTTGCCCTTTTGCGATTCCCATTTCGCAAATCGAATTTTATTTGCCGAATTGATTGTTTTACGCCTTTTTAGCAAGAAGTTGGCACACATTTTTGTAACCCTTTGCCGGTGCACGTGCTTTTTTGCAGTCCCCCGATCCATTGTTTATTACCCCTTTGGTCCTGATCAAACATTCGAGGCAGAGATTCGCTTTGGTGCTACAGCTACACGTTCACTTTTTAGCGGCAAGTTGCTCGACCTTTTTGCCCATTCATTGCCCTGCTCGAATTGGTTTATCTGTGAAATCTTTGACGTCCTCCTGTTGTTGTTTTTTGTTCGGTGAACCTTCCGGGGTGTACAACCTCGTATACGTTACTGTTCCGAAAATGAAAACCCAGGGAGAGATGCAATGTGTGCCCTACCTATGCCGCTTGAGTCGAGTTGTGTGCTCATCTAACCGAAAAACATTGGATAAACAAACAGCCGCTCGAGTATTTTGTTACACTTAGTACCAGAACCCGAACCCGGACGGGACCTATTTATTTCTCTATTTTTTCACGAGTCTGTGGAAGGAAGACAATCTGTCGCATTTGTGTGCAATGGTCTCCCTTTGGACTGGAAACTGTAAAATGTTATGCGAGCCCTGATTTTTAATCCGATCAAAGCGGTTTTAGTCAAATTTAAGCAGATTTATGTCACATTGTTGAGCCAGAAAGTGGTACGCAGCTAAGGGAAAACAAAACGAAAATGTTAACACATGTAAATCAAGAATCAGATAACTATATCGTCCCTGCTCCTCTATTAGGCAAATCGAATTGAGATCATGTTCTTGCCCACGACCGATAAGACCAGAAAATTCGATTAAGGTTGCGGAAAATTAAGTGAATATAGAATTGCTGTGGGTTGTTTCTGGACATTATATATTCTCGTTCACAGTTCTATATTTAGGTTTAGTTTTGAAACTAAAAAGATGAAAAGTAAATGTGTAGAATGTGAGTTTTTCTATAGTAGGAAAACAGGATGTACTTAGGTCAAAGGATCCACAAGAAGATGTTGTTGAATAAATTTATTAGTCAAATAGTTACTGGTATACAATCTTTATTCGTGAGTAATATTTACTCCCTTGACATATAATTACCGTTTACATTTCCTTGAAGAAAAAAAATGACCATACACATGACTGATTATTAAGAAACATTTTCAGAATCCGTTTATCAAAACGCCAAGCAGTTTACCATCCCCATATTAAAATCATTTTTTATTCCAGTCACATTCTGGGACTGTGCCAAAAAAAAGAATAGGCATTTCAAATATATTCCTTTTCCAAATGAATAAACTGTTAGACAAACAATACATTAAACTTTACAACTTCACACCCGCTGCCAGTTTACGCGAAACATTAACATTGTAGAGGAAGGCACCCTTTTGCCCAGCTGAAAATGGAAAAATCCTGGCAGCAAGGAGTGGTAGATGGTAGCTGTACCACAAACGATGAGTTGATTGTTATGCAAATGAGCTTAGCCAGAAACCATGAACCAGCAACTGAAAACCAGGACGAAATGTGAGAGCCCAACCCCAGATTTCGACTCGGATCCGGGTGCAGTTCATCAAGTGGTCATAAATTTATAGGTAGTTTGCAGAGAGCTACGAGGACTCGAGAAGCTGCCTAATTACTATGCAGCGCCATGTGCATAATGAATCTGACATTTCTAATTTATGGTTGATATTTGTTAATTTTCCTTTTTTTTCATTTTGGCTGTGCATAAATTGAATCGGAAGAAGGTTGGCACTAAAATGTCGGCAAAACAACGGTTTCATGCCCAGTTATTGCTGAATGTAAACAACGGACACGGCACGAGCGATTTCGTAGAGGTTATGGTTATGGAGGAGAAATCCTTTCAATGATCCTAAGCTGACGCATTCTGGTAATACCACTTCCGGCTTAGAGCTACCATTCGCGCGAAAATCCCGCGGTAATTCCACCATTGTACTGGCTTCCGGAAAAAAGGGAAAAATTCGGGAAAAATTTGCGGAAAATCTTTGCAAAAAAATAATTGCGAAAATTACCCCAAAATATAAATGGGAAGCAGAACTAGTAGTTAACTGCAATTACGCAACCCCTAAGTCCTTTTTTTATGGCCCTGTCACCTCCGAAAGCGACCGTTATGATTCCTTGCCTCACTTTCCTGCTCGGCTTTTCACTTTTTGGTATGCACGCAAGGCTTTTCACTATTTGTTGCTCTATCGGGAGAGGGAGTAGGTCCGTTAGTAAAGGAAATGCCCTGGCTCAGTCATTAATTGTTGGAATTGTTTGTCGGTTTGTCAGCTCGACATCTGGCTAACTATCTGACGCCCGACACTAGCTGTCAGTGAAGTGAATCTGGGGTAAAAAGTTAATTTCTGGACACCTGCATTCAGGCGTTATATGTGTAATGTAAATAAACGTTATGAAACTAAGTTGATTGAAGCAGATTAAATCTATAACAATGATTTGATGTCTTTTGACCATTGTTTTTAAAACAATGTTGATGTAAGAGCTATCATTAAGGCCTTCAGTTACTTCCTTAAATCTCATTTCAATGCTGGTTTTAAAAAACTTCCGTTATCACGGCCATGGCTCTCAGTTAAGAGTTGGTAATGGTTCTAGTGACTTTATCTAGAGTATAAAATTTTTGCAAAATTATATCAATTAGTTTGTGCTTAGCAGCTACCAGCAGCTGCATATGTTTTTCATTTGAGTTTTTACAATTGCTTGTAGCGGTTATTGATCTAAATTAGATTTTCAGTTATCTGTAATAATTCGAAAGATTTTTAAAATCCAAGGACCAACAAATTCAGTATATACTTGGAATATGCTTTTTGGTTGTTTTATGATATAAACATTTCAAAAAATCAGAGTTAAACAATTCACACTGACTATAACCCACAAGTTAAGCTTTTGGCGCCCTAAAAAACTCTATCTATCCGGCGGTATTAATTGGCGATTAACGAAACTTTGGGCCTGGAAGGTTGGCGCCATGAATGATTTCCCAACGAGTCGCTGTGACACTCGAATTTGTAGTGTGATTTATGAGGATGACACTGCCATCATCAATCACTGTTCAAGTGGAAGGTGATTTAGCAAAACGCAAAAAAAAGAAACGGAGACTGCAAGGGAAATGCAATTCAGGTTAGTTAGATTTTATGTAAATTCAAGAGACTTTCGCTAGTAGGGGAAACAATTTTAATTACACTCCATCTCAGGGGTAGAGCAACCCCCAAAGGTTCAGTTAAGTTGACCCAGACAGCACTTGATTCGATGTCTTGCGTTGTTGATGTTGTTTCGCCTTAAAAAGTTATAAAAATACGTCGATGGAGAGTGGCAGCAACCCCCGGGAGTTCATCCTGCACCCTTTGATTTTCGGCCAGGATCGGGGATCGGGGCAGGACCAGCATCATCCCTTGTTTTCCCGCCCGTTCTCTCGTTCGTTGCCAGGGGCTAATGAGCGCCGCACATTAGTTTTAACAACATTTATTATTTATGGGTTTTCCCTCCCCTCTCTCATTGCATCTATTGTATGTCCTTCTCTCTTTCACTTTGCCCGGAATATTTACTTTGGACGTTACATTTTCACTTGCGCCTGCATAGTGACGCAGTTCTCAAAATGAACTCAAAATGGAATTTTGCAATTATTCTAAGCACGGCAACTTTAATTGGAATTTCGTATCCGGAGCGGCTCGTTACCAACTTGAGCCGGGTCTGATGGTACTTAAAAAAGGCCCGGAAGCTGGCAAAAGGATAATGCGAAATAATCTTTGAGTGGTTTGTCTGATGGCAGACATAAGATGCTCAAGGAATTTACTTGTTCAAACATTTAAGAACTATTTGTAATTAGTTTGAATAATAGATTAAACTATCTAATCCTTCTATATTACGTTCTATGTATTTTTATTGTAACTTAATCCTTAGATGTTGGATAGGTTTCTTAAATATTTAAACCATAAATCCCATAAATGTATGTTGTGAAAAGATTAATAATTTTGTAAGCCATTTGTCTTCTTATCTTTGTATCCTTGTCTTCTTTAGTGGTTAATTCGTCTCTGCTTTCCATATTTTATATTTATTTTAGTGAATGTATTAATATTCGGCTTGCTAACTTATTTTACCTTTAAAAATCAATGAATTCCAGCTTTCGCTGATCACTTCCACTTTCCGCGCCCACATTTTCCTGGCTTTCAGCTTTCCATTAGTAGGGATACCATCCATTTGCATATCACTTCACACGTTCGCCTTTAACGCAACGCCAACGCGTCGGCGAAAATGAGTAAATGGTCTCGTTTTGTTTTCCACATTTTTGTAGTTAATAGAATTTATTTGCACACATGTTCACATTGGTCGAACTACTTAGTCGTTTATAAATATATTTACTTAATAGCAAAAACATATGCATTCTGTTTGAAAACGGGAAACTCATTTTCGGTAGACACGCACATGGCCTGACTTTGACTCCTGGTCGAGGATTGGATGGTGGAGCTGGAATTGGGCTTCGTTAGGTGCGATATTTATTCTACACTTGTTCGGCATGTTATAGGCAAATAGACGATAAGATAAATATATAAAAAATAAATGCATTCCATACCTGCCAAAGCACGAATAAACCCCGCGAAATCGGTCTGGGAAACCAGCACTTCGGCAAAAATGACACAAAGAACTGACTCGACTTAGGCTAATCGTTACACTATACAGTATTATATATTAAGACTAACCTAGACTAAATGTTGCTAGATGTACATACTAGATCACGCGCATAGTATGCTTAATCTTATGGTATATGGACTGATTTGGCATTCTATCGTCTACCAATCTCTGCTAGAAAAAAGACCCGGTTCGCAGTTGCCGAGCGGAGATCCTTTGGAGGAGGATCGAGGATCTCCGCTGGTGCAAAGGGGGCTTGAGTCTTGGGCACTAGTCTACTAGGTTGGTGGTCAGTGGTTGAACCTGGACCTATCCGTGCAGAAGATCAGCTGCGGCTACAAGGGCCCGTAGATGGGTTCAGAGTAGAGCACTGCTGGCATGGAGTAGCTATATGAGGTGGGTGTGTGCTCTGTGGGAGTTCTAAGACTCGCCTGTAGACTTCTCTTACTGTGACGCTTCAGCCTGTAAGATACATTTTAAAAGTGGTTATTCTGGGTTAAGATCAAGACTAACTTACTTCTTTTTTAAACAGCAGGCTGTGCACAGGGAAACCATTGCTGCCAGGCCAATGAGGGCGGCCAAGAACACCAACCACGCCCCAGCCGAAGTTAGCATTCCCGCGAAGATCGCCGCCGCATGAGTCTTTCGCACCGAACAGGACTCCACCTCACTGACCCCATAGGCGGCATATATATCTATGAGCTCCTGCCGCAGCTGCTCCGAGTTCATCAGCTTCTGCATCTCATTAAAGGACAAGGCGGCTCCATTCTTGAACATCTGGAAGCAGGAGCTGGTGGAAGTAAAGTCCAGACTCATGTCGGGCCTGGTGAACACCTGGGTATCCAGCACATGGAGCTCCAGTCCCAAGGGCTTCAATTTCTTCTGCAACTGTTCCTGGAAGGGTCGGATGTTGTGCTGGATTTCGTTGGGTGGTCGGGCAAAGACGAACTTAAGCAGGGATTTGTCACGGATCACGAAAACCTTAAGATTACTATGGGCTTGACGTTTGGGTACCACGGAGTTGTTCGCCATCACCCGCATCAGGAAGTAGCCATCCACGTAGTCAGCAAATGATCCCCCAGTTCTAAGTTCCCCAGTTCGGTTGTTAAGGGTGAAGAGATTTTGCAGATTTCCAACAGCCAGGCTACGACTTCTCTTATAGAACTGTGGAACGAAGGTTACGTTCTCGATGGAAAGAGCAATGGCTGGAGCTTCGGCATCCGCATCACTGGCCTTTAATGTGGTCACCACTGTGTCGATGGGCACATTAATTCTGATACCCACAGTAGGATCTGGCTGCTCGAATTGTGGCAGATTGTCATCGATGTCCTTTACACGGATAGTGATTCGCAGGTGTGAGGGATCTTGGCGGTCATAAGGATCTCCAACGAACTTATAGCCAGGTTCGCCCAGTTTCATACACTTAACCGTCAGCGTAAAGGACTCAATTTGCTCCCTATCGATGGGCTTTTGCGTCTTGAGAATGGCCATGCTCTCGTTATTTCTCTCTACTGCAAATATTTGCTCATTATTTCCGTCAATGATAACGTAGTCAATGGCGGCATTATCGCCCATATCCTCGTCTAAAGCACTGAAGTTGCCCACAATGGTGCCAGCCGGTTCCTCCTCCCTCACCGTCATGGTCATAGGTCCTTCGTCCTGCGAAAAAGAAAATTAAGCGATATTATTTCATGAAATTTTCCATTTAAATATTTTTAAGCTTACAACTTCTCTGGCGAATCGAGGCTCGTGATCATCCACATCTAGAACTGCAATCTGCAGGATTCGTGTCACCGACTGCTTGGGCTGTCCATTATCACTCACTTCTAGAAGGATTTTGTACATGTTCTTCGCCTCTCGATCCAGTGATTCCCTGGTTGTTATCAATCCGGTGTGGGCATCTATGGTGAAGGCTTCCGCATCTGGAGTATCTGGCAAAATACGATAGGTGATCGTTCCAGAGGGAGTGTTTTCATCATCCGGATCGCTGGCAATCACTTGGAAAACTGGAGCTCCAATCACAGCATTCTGAAAAGGATAGTTTTGTTATAGAACAGCAAATGATGGTTAGTATAAGTTTCTCACCTCTGTGACATTCGCCATTTGTCCAACCCGAGGGGCCAAAAAGTAGGGTACACCATCATTGGCGCTCACATCTCCAATATAAATGCGGACATCAGTATCGGTGGATAGGGTTGGCTGCTTGGGCAGTTGATTGCCACTATCCTGGGCACGAACAATCAGTACATACGGATCAGAACGACCCTTACCCGTGAGATTACGTCGGGTGGATATCAGACCACTCTTAGGATCGATCTTGAAAAGGCCATTAGCCTCGCCCTCGTTGACCAGCTCGTAGTGCACCTCGCCACCCAGACCCTCGTCGGCATCCACAGCTTCCAGCTGGAGAACAAACGAGTCGATTTGAGCATTTTCCGGGATCACAGTACTGTATTTCTTTTGAGTGAACTCCGGTGCGTTGTCATTTACATCCAGCACTTCAATCTGCAGATCCACAACACTTTGTTTGGCATCTGTAGGACGGCCGGGAGAATCCTCTGCCTTGATCTGCAGCTGAATCCTGGGAGTTCGCTCCCTGTCAATCAACTGCCCGCTGGCCACAACTATCTCTCCTGTCGTATTGTTAATCTCAAAGAGCATGGCGTGCTCGCCCTGCAGTGAGTAGATGATCTTGTGATATCCCAAACGCTCATCTCGAGCATTGAAAACTGCATCCTTATCCAAAGCTCTGACACGGATTACTCTCTCCGGATGAGGTTTGTTCTCGATGATCGTGGCTCGGTATGAGCTCTGCTCGAATCGTGGACTATTATCATTCACATTCTCTACCGTAATATTCACTCGGCTGACGGTACTCCTTTGACGATCGGCACTATTAGCACGGACTTGGAGTTCAAAGTCAGGACCAGTTTCACCCAAAGCCTCGTAGTCCAGTCGCTTCTTAAGGATCACCTCTCCAGTTCTTTCTGCAACCTGGAAATAGTCCACTTGCTTGGGTTCAACCAACTCGAAACTGGTAATGGGCTGCCTTGTTACTGGATCCTCTGCCTGGAGAATGAACAGAGCACTATCGATGGGCATTTCCTCCTTGATCTTCACGTCAATAACGGGTCTTGAGCTAGTCCAGCCAGGGTTCTTAAACACAGGATTCGTGTCCTGGAAGGATTGCACGTACACAGTAACCTCAGTGAAGTCCACTTGCCCCTCGGGATCCACCTCTGCATTGAGATCTTGCACACCGACGGTGAAGATAATAATGGCGGCTACATCATGGCGAAGTGAACCATTGACAAAGATCTCACCGCTTTGACTGTCCACACGGAAGGCTTCCTGCAGACGGTAGTTGCTCCTATTGGCTATGTTGACACCTGCTTTTGTGGTGGCAGTGACAGGACCAACCATACTGTACTCCAATTTGGAGTTCAGGTCCTTGTCAATGGCCTTGACCCGAAGGACACTCTCGCCCACAGCTGTCCTCTCGGAAACATAGGCTGCATAGCTATTCTGCTCAAACTTGGGACGCTCATCATTGATGTCCTTAACATTCACATAAACCGTTGTGGTGGCCGTTTCCGGAATGGGAGTGCCCGAATCCACTGCATTAACTATAATCTCGAAGCTATTCATATTGGAATCACGATCAATGCGGGCTTGCGGAGATACTGTTATCAAACCAGAACTGAAAGAGGAAATTGATTAGATAAGTAAGCCCCATACTTAATCTTAAGATACTCACATCTCATCAATTTCAAAGTTGTCGTTGGCTCCCACAATCCTATACCGAAGAAGGCTGTCCAGACCATCCGGATCGTGGGCAGATACTGAAGTAACATTCGATCCTGCTAAGGCATTCTCTGGTATGGAAACCCGATAGCTTGGTGGGCCTATGATGGGCAAGTTCTCCATATTTTGGAAGTGTCCGCGGAAAATGGGTCGCTGGTTTCCAGAGATGCCAACGCGAACAAGGACGCGAGTTGTATTGGACAAGGGAGGAATACCTGAAAAGAATGTCCCAGTTAATGAAAAGTTCTTCTTAACAATCAAAAAACTAACTTACCGAAATCCGTGGCAGAAACCACTAGTTCATATTCGCCACGTTCTGTGTCCATAGATCTCGCCGCCTTCTGGATGACGATCTCCCCTGTATCCGGCTCGATGCGGAATACATTGCCAGCTATGCTATTCTCGGATACAATGGAATACTTTACCCTACCATTTCCTTGGGTGGGCCCATCTGAATCATGGGCGCGGACAAAGAACTGAGGTTCGAAAAGAGCTGCTCCTTCCCGAATGGTACGACTGTACTCCTTGCTCTCGAAATTGGGATGATTATCGTTTACATCTGTGACTCCAATGAAGAGATTGGCATTGGCCTCACGCTGACCGCCATCGATGGCCACCACTGTGAGACTGTAACTGCTCTGTTTCTCGTAGTCCAGAGGTTTCAGCAAGTAAATACCTCCTGTCTCAGGATCAACATAGAAGTTGTCAGCACCGAAACCTTTTAGAACATAACGAACATGTCCAAATTCATCAGAATCCGCATCGGTGGCCTTCACATGGCCTATCAACGCATCCACGGGAAGATTCTCAGCTGCCGTAAAACGATAGGTTGCCTGGTCAAACACCGGAGCATTGTCATTAGCATCCAGCAGATGGATCTCTACTCGGGTCTTGGCTTTTTCCACGCCCTTAACCGATGCCACCAAATCGAACTCAAACTTTCGGAGGTCAGGATCGAGAACATCGTAGTCCAAGCGACTCGCATTCAACACCTTGACAACCACTGGTGTCCGGCCTTGAGCTTCGGTGGGTGATACTGCAAATACTCCGGCGGCATTGAACACGTCTTTCAGTGATAGCTCATAGCGACTGTTCTCGCCCATGTCGCGATCATCCACAAAGATCGAGAGCCCAGGCAGGGGCATTCCATTCGCCAGGTTCTCCGTAATGGACACATTAAAGTGTGGTCCACTGAAGGTGGGCTGATGATCGTCTACATCGGTGACCACAATGGTAACTTTTGTGAGCGAGTGCTCGGCAGGAATAGCTCCATCGATCAGCTCGGTGGCTCTAATGGAGAACACATAAACTCCACCATTCTGCAGGATCTCCGCGTTTTCACGATCCAGTGGCTCTGAAGTGGTTTGCAGCACAGCGGTTCCCTCTCGGGGATCTCCAAATGGCACTAGCTCAAAGTGTCCGAAGGGTTCATCCTCAATAGATAGGAATATATCTCTGGGTATGCCCACATCACCATCTATGGCCTTCACTGTGAGTATGCTCACTCCAGCGGGTGTGTTCTCCGGAACTGTGGCAGAGTACGGGGCATTGGTAAAGACTGGCGGTTGATCTTGGATGTCAATCACATTGATTGAAATGGTGGCCAGAGAAGAAAGGCGGTTATCCAAAGCGCTATCGGAGGCGGAGATGGTTAAGATGTACGAGGGACGACTTTCAAAGTCCAAAGGTTGCTTCAATGCTACTCGGGCGGTGTAGTTTCCATCGGAAATTTTCACGGCCCGCACCTCGAAGAAGTCACAAATGTCATTTTCCTGGAAAAATAAGGGAAAAATAGGACTTGAAAAAGAACCTTATAAATTGAATGTCAAAACTCACCTCTACGCATTTCATCTGAACCTCTGCATTGATGCCCTCGTCCCGATCAACCACTACAATGGGTGGCTCCACAGCGAGCTCCGCACCCACGGGCAGGGATTCGCTAACACTGGCAGTGTAAGGCCTGCCCAAGAAAGTCGGCTGGTTGTCATTGTAATCCCGCACCGGAATCTCCCGCCTTTGGGAGACGGTATTGGGCTCGGTGCCAAAAACGCCCTCGTCCGTGATGCTGATAATAACCTCGACGGTGTCTTGGGTCTCTCGATCCAGCTCTTGTCGCAGGCGCACCACTCCCGTCTCCCGATCTACAGAGAAAACGGGTCCGCTGATGCTGTACTTCAGTCGACCGCCTTCTGGGTCGGTGCCTGCAATGGAAATTGTTTTCAATAAAGATTTTAGCCAACTTAAATATGTAAAAATAATCACTTTTTATAAATTCAGTCTAGACTCTTTTGGCTTTGTTATAAAACTAAAATACTCGGCTGATTAACCAGTAAACTCATAAATACCCCTTGAAATATAATGCCACACTTTTTCATTGTTCATTTATAATGACCTTGATTACCATTAAGCATTGTAAGACCCAGAAAATGTGTTCTTTTTATTCAATTCTTACCAAAAAACTATAATAAAGGGTTCAAGCATCATAAAATCTTAAGCGTTCTGGGGGGCTTGCCCCCAAAAACTCCCGTGGCTTCAGTACAAAAAGGCTGGGAAACTTCATGGGAATTTACCAAATATCTTTTTCCAGATTAAGAATTTATGTTATTTAAGATAGATTGTTGTTCATTAAAACATAAAAAGGAAAGAATCATAACAATATTTTATACGTGTTGGTGACGTGTGTTTGCCAGCTGGAAAAAGTGCAACAAATTTGTTGGCGACGGTTTGTTGGCTTGTCGGTGGGTCCCGGTGTTTGACACGCTCACTGCTTTAATTACGAGTAATCCGAGCCAGCGTCATATGCTGTCACTTCGTGGAAGTCGTTCAGTAGAGCCGCCGCCGTCGGTTTATGTAAAAGCGTGTGAAAAATGCTAATTCAGTTCCCACAACCTCCTTCGCCACCGACTTTTCCAGTCGACTGCGGTTTTCCGGCCATTCGGAACTAGGGCAACTAGTTAGTTAGTTGAGGGTCTAACCCTAAGTGGATTGTGTCATTCCCCATTCCCCCGGCATTTTCTCTTTCTCGGTGCCTTCAGTTTAATAACAGGAAATTCATCTACAACTATTTGACTTGAACAGCCAAAAAATTTCAGCTCCGGGGGCAACACGAAATTACTTTAGAAATTCTACCAAAAGCAATCATGGAGAGAAGAAAGAAAACAAATGAACCCGAGAAGCTTACAAAAGAAAACAGAGACCAATAAGCGGCCGGGAAAACAACTTTTGGCAGACATATTTTTCAAGTTTACTGGGTGGTGGGGGCAGCAGGGAGGCATTGGGGAATAGTTGGGAGCGGGTTTGTGGTACACCGACAATTGCAGCATGACCACAAAAAAGCGGGAAGCAAACGGGCACAGCCGCTCCTCCAGCTTACCAAAACCCAAACATACCGATATCATTTCCCCGCCCCTCAAAGATGCCCAAGTTTATTGCTCTATCCCAATCCCAAACCCGATTCCCTTGCTTTGGCTCGTGAGTGACCATTTTAACATTTTTCAATGTACATAATCATTTTTTCCAGCTCACACTTAGCCATACCGTGTAATCGTAGGGTGTTTGGAGTTTATAAAAACGTGGAATGAAGTCGTAATTTAAGTATTAAATATATTAATATCATGAAAAGCTTTTATTTTAGTTTAAGTACTCAGAATGTAATATTAAAGCATGTTTTTTTCTCAACTCTGATAAGTTACATATTTTAGGTTGCTACGAATCCGTTTTAAATTCTGTGATAAATCATATTTGAAATGAAGTTAATATGGATCCAAAAGTTAGTGCACATATAGTGACTATATTTGTCATTATGACGCTTTCTTAACTTACAATAATATTACTTTCATTCTCAGATCTTATCAATAATGATATATGAACCCTCCAAACAGCTGACAAATGTAATCGATCTACATGAAGTAAAGGGTATCTCTAGATCAACCCTCTCCACCTTTTCGATTCTTGCTCGTTTTCTCTTTATGAATTCTCATGTTCGATCGAGGTATGTGTGTACATATGGCTATGTTTTTTAGGCAATTGGGAGAAAAGTGGAAAAGCTGAATGAACACTGTAATTGCTGGTACGTGCGAGTTGTGGAAAAGCTTTCCTACTTTTCACTTCGCCCAGCATGGATGCTTTCCCCGAGGGGGAGGATGTAATTATTGTGGTTACCATTGTTGCTGTTGATGCGGCAGAAATAATTTGTGATTTCATGCTTGGCGGAGCGTATTTGTTAATATTTTGGTTATTATTACACATGGAGCAGTGGATAAGCCGAAAGAAGCGATAGAAATAAAGAAACGCCCGCCATGTGCCAACATTCGGACAATCATTCGTTTTACTTAGTGGTCAGTGTGTAATTAAGTGGGCATGTAAGGAAAACTCAAGCGGCTAACCGATAGGAGTTTCCTCTGTAACATTCCGTGCAATTAAATCCTCAACTTTCGACACCACCAGGAGGTAATCCCAGTGGACGACGTTCGAGTTATGCAACAATTGACACTCGGTATTGACTTGCAATCTCGGATTATGTTGTGCCAGTTATGGTTTTAGTTTCCCGGCTCACCGTTTAGGCAGAGCAATTTCCTTGGCCTGGTCAGTTTTTCCATTTACTTTTCGGTGTCTAGGGGTTTGTCTTTTTTGTACGGCACTCTTGATTTCAAACGCACCAAAGCAAAGAAAACGTGTTTCATATCTCACGGATGCCGCTTGCAAAACGAACCAGTCTCCGTCTACGTCAGCATCTGCATCCGAGTCTCAGTTACATTTGCAGGCGGAGTCACTGGGTGAGCATCATCCAAGGCGATTTGGCACACGCTCGGCAACCAGTTAAGACAATGCCCCATCTGATTATGAAGTTGCCGTGGCGCGGCATCAAATTGCAGGCCTCTCGATGTCTACAAACTGAAACTGCAACTGCAAATGTATCTTTTATCTGGGCCTCTGTGTTAGGGTGTCATTTGCTATTGGAACAGGTGCAAACCAGATTTGCCAGTTGGATAATACGATTTAGGGGGAGTGGCAGGCCTACCCAAAGTTTATTAAGTCTTAATATACTGATGGAGGAAATCGACTCTCGGTTGATTGGCTGCCACTCTCGTTTGGAGAAAAAGTGCTGTTTTCATTCTCTATCTAATGGAGGCCATTACCTTACTGCAATCACCATTATCGTGGACTAACACTTATCGTCGGTGCTACGCACAAACGTGTTCAAATGCATTTCCGCCTGCTCACCTATCAGATACATATGTATCTGGGTGTCTTTGTTTGTTTTTGTTTGTCAATTGATTAGCAAACTGCATTCTTGGGCGAGCTAACTCCAAAAAAATACAAACCAGAAACCAGAAAAAGAAAAAAATAACAATAAAAACATGAATATCTTGTTGGCTTATCGTGCATTCTTGCAGATTCGCACTGCATATTTTTAGCCAACTTGCATTATGCAATCGCAGATATATATATATCTGACGAGTGTGAGATACGAGGGTGCTGAAAACGTGCGGCGACCACAAAAATCCAATACCCGAGACAAGGTTGACCCGAAGTAGGTGGCCCACCCAGAGCAAAGCGGGTCCAAGAAATGAAAGTCACCATTGGTAATTTGAGGTATGATCAAAAGCCAAATTACAAAATTATTAGAGCCAGTTTTTGTGGAATGTTTGTCTCAACCGAAGGGGGAATACCCTTTCGTGTTGGATATTAAATTTGAAGACTATTTAAGTGAAAGTAATGGCTGCCCATAAACGAAATGATCACTTAAATTAAAGGGATAATTATGAAATATTAAATCATATCCATTGCTTAAATACTAAGACTATAGGTTGTCAAAATGACCTCTTTTTACTTTTTAATGTTTGGAAAATATAAAACTTGTATAGAACATTGATGTTAATAGTTTCCCTTAATACTTTTAATAAGGTACTTCTTACAAGCCATTAATACATCAGAATATGAGAAGATGACATGAAAAGGTAGATCAATAGATATCTTTTCATTTTTAGACTATGTTAATTACTTTAGCATTGAGGACTTAAACATAAAATCATACATTTTATTAAATGATTGAAATACCATTATTATTTATGATAAATGATTTTGCATATGATTTATAGTTACAGAGTATTTTAAATCATTAAACTATGCAGGCCTAATTGTTTACCATTCCGAGACTGCTCCCATTTATATTTAAAGTTCGTTAAAACAATTGCACGGACAAAAGTAAAGACAAAAGATAAACAACTTAATAGGTAATTTGATAATAAGTCCAAGTTCGTGACTGACTCAGTTATTTACTTTGTCTGACAGTGGACTCTAGACTTCTTCGAAACTGGTTAAGATAAGTAAAACTCACTACTTATCTTATGCTAAGTCAGAAGGACCTCAATAATACAGATGTTTTAATTACATATTATCTAGGTTATGTAACCACAAAATTCCCTTAATTTAACCCACATATGTAGCTACTAATAAGCCCATCTTCCCACACTCCATCAGGCTTTGATCCATCTCTTTTTTGGCCAAAACAAAACAAACTACGGCCAGTGAAAGGCATTGCCACAAGCTGTGTGGGAATTGGGCTATTGGTGTACATTGTCTTCTTGGCTGCAATGAAAGCCGTGAAGCAATTCCGCATAAAATTATGAAACGTGACGGCCCCGTACTACACATGTTGATAAGATGTCGAGCATGCAATCTTGTCTAGAACTCCCCCAACCCAAATTCCCATGAAACACCTGGCTGGAACTCACCTTTCAACTGGAAGACGGGACTGCCGACGGGCGTGTTTTCCGAAAGGCTAAATCGGGACATATCTCCGGTCCCCGGGACGAATTGCGGCGGATGATTTACCAGTTGGCCAGTGGTCAGGCTTAGAAAACATAGCAACAGCAGCGGCAACATGTTGCCGTTGCTAATTTTCATTGCCGTTAAATATCCGTATCCGTTAGGTCCAAGTTTTCGATGGTGTTCACTCGAGTATTTAGCACATGTAGAACGACACCGTTTCAATGTATTTTTTTATTTTTTACTTTCTCACTCCACTCTGCTCGCGTTCTTGGGCTGGCCGAAATGCAAAACAAACTCTGGTTATTTATTGGGCCCGAAACAATGATTTTTCAATGCTAGCTGCAACGCCCCCCTAAGTTGGCCTTGTGCCGGGTTGGCTCAAATGGATTGGAATGGGCTGAGATTTGAGCTGATCTCGCAGATCTTGCTTATAGCTTAGCCTTGCCGTTTGAACTTTTGCCAGCTCTCGATCGCATTCCGTTTAATGATGTGCAAAACATATGAAACAGAAACACCAACAAAAAACCAATATTCCGACGAGATCTAAAAGAAATTTAGTGGCGAACAGAAGATTTCACTTTATGCACATGTGAAAAGTGGCACATGATGATGAGGCGGCTGCTGTCTGCCAGTTCCGATCATTGGGCACTTCTTGGCGATTGGCAAATGCGGTGATGATGGCTTTCTTTTGGTACCAACACACACCAGTCCGTAAGCGGAACAGGGGAATGTGCAAAAGTGGCTAAAACAAATAAACACAGGCAACAGACTGGTTCAGGTATGGCATAGTAAGTATAGTATAGTAGGTATCTATGGGTTCTTGTTTTGGCCAAAAAAGAACAGCAAAGAGAGTGGCAAATAAAGGAGAAGGAGAGAGAGTGAGCAAGGCGAGACGAAAGAAAAACAGGAAGCGAATGCAATTCTGGGGGCTTAGGGCAAATGGCTCTGGGAAAACTATAATTAACACTAATGTGGAATGACCATTTCAGGCAAACTATTCCACACTTTATGGGTATTTTTTTGGTTTTTGGCCAACGCACGCAAAAAACACACACACTCGAAACCGCAAAACGGATGACGCTAGGGTCCGAAACTTGATCTTGCGACTTCTTGTTGTTGCTGGCAGCTCTGGTATCTCGAGTCTTGTATATACAGTATCTCGCGGATAACCGATTTTAGGTTCGAGTTTGAAGCGCGACAACGTCTGGACGGAGCGACGCTCGCTTACCTTCTGGCCGGACTTACCTGTTGCCACCCGTTCTTAGCTCTCGAAAGAGAGGTGCAGATACTCAGCCACGAATACTGGTTTTCAGCTCATGCCGGTTCTGTTTTGGTGCGGGTTTCGCGCACGCGCAGTGGAATTGGCAATGAAAACTCAGCGTTTGGTGAGAAGCCTACTTTTGGGCTGTACAAAAAAAGTATTTTCACTAAAAATAAAAGTCTACTTTAATCAGCAATGAGAAATCTTTCATATTAGGTTTTTAAGGGAATATTTCTCACCGTATCAACGTGGAAACTTAAATTTAGATAATACATTACTTACCCAATCGTTTCTGTTAAAGCTAAAGCTGATGAATCTAAGCTAATAAATTGAGATATAATTTATAGGTTTGATTAAATTATCAACCCTACTAAAATGTTTTAGCCAATAGAAAACCTCTTGTTGATATAAATAAACATACATTTAATCTATATTTCATTAAAATTTGTTAGGGTTAATAAATCGTTGCTATATGGAATGATATTGCTATCCCTAACTTACTCTAAGTACATCTAGCGTAGTTAGTGGTTAGAGAGCATCATCCACCTGAAACTGTATCAGATCCTCGACGGGAAAGCGGAAAAGCGAGGCGGTCTGTGCCTCGGCTGCCAACTGCTCGATGTTGGCGCTTTTCGGGTAGCGATAGTGCTCATCCACTGGGGTTTTTCTATATCGATGATCCTGACGAATGCTGGCCAAGGATACAGGATCTGGATGATCAGCTGCTACAATGGGATGCTCAAAATCAAGCAGCGGCAAGTTATCACTGCGGGAAATGGTACTTGAGCGATTTCCCGGCTGAGATGAAAGATGCTGCTGCCGAGTCGGTTGATGTTGCTGCTGTGTTTGATTGAGCGATAGATGATGTTGTTGCTGCTGTTGGAGTTGCTGCTGCTGCTGTTGGTGCTGCTGCTGTTGTTGTTGCTGCTTTTGCTGCTGTTGTTGCTGTTGCTGGTGAGTGGTGTTGCCATTAACCGCCTGTCTCGGTTCTATGGGATTGGGTGGATTGGGTGGCGGCAAATCGTTTGAATTAATCGCGTTACGTTGCATGTTGTGATTGTAGAATGGATTGGTTGAGGCGCGTATTGTTGCTGTAGGTTTCTGCTTGGGAAAAACATTCAAGTGCAACATGATGGGGCTAGTGTGGCTTTCCACCTGACCCTGCTGCCCTTGGCTCTGACCCTGTCCAGGACTCTGTCCATAAATAGGTTCATCAGCATGCACGCTCTTCGGAGGCGGATACTTGTGGGACTGGGCGTGGTACAACGCCTGTTGCTGACTATATCTGGTAGCCTGATCGGGGAAAACAACAGGCTGTTGGGTGGGAAACTTAAAGGGCGTCTGGTAGATGCCATGACCCATCTGGAAAGCGGCAGCTGTGGTTCCCGTTAAGGCAGCAGGCGAGGGTAAAGCGTAATCCTGCTGGAATGGATGCCGCATGACAGAGGCAGGTCGTGAGGGAGGCAGCACCGGATATATATCTAAATTGAGCTTAAATGGAACTCTTTTAAGAAGCGGCTGCCTGGTGGCATTCAGGGTGAGCACAGGTGGTTGAAAGTGCTGCCCGAAGGGATCTGCCACAAAGTGCTGCTGGCTGCCATGCTCCAGTAACTGTTGCTGTTGCTGCTGTTGTTGTTGCTGTTGCTTCTTCTTCTTCTTTTTAGACAAAGGTTTGCCATTCCCTAGTGGCTGCATGGCCAACAGGTTGACATCCTGCGGCGATCGAGGCTTGTAAGGATATAGCTGATCAATGGACACCCTTTGGTGGGGCATTACTCCGGGATTGTACCACTGCATAGGCATGGGCATAGCCATTGGAAACATGGGCATCGGAATGCTGAACTGCATCTGCTTCTTGTTGCGTTTTCCCCGAAAGAAATTTCCTATCCCACTAGACTTGAAATTCTTGAAGCTGCCAGCTATATGCAAGCCCGTTGGCATCATCACCATGGGTGGCAATTTACTGGGTGCCAGTCCTCCGATGTGCAGGTGCTGCAGAATGTCCTGGATGTTGTTCAACTGTTCAGCAGGACGACTCTCACCCTTTGTGAACTGCTCAGGATTCGGGCCATCGTAGGGAAAGTGAAAGGGTTTCGGGTTGAACTCTTCTTGAGCTCGCAGAGCTCGGCTTCCCGGTGTTTCCGAGTACTGACGTCTAAGTAAACCTTTTGTGGGTGCCGGCGGCGGCGAAGGTGAGCCCAAGGACAACTGCATGTCCTGGGTGGTAAGACGCGGTGGGCGTGGCATCTGATCACGCAGCAACCCCCTTAGAGGCGTCATGGTCGACGATCTCTTTGGCAGACGTTCATACACATGGGCGTCGTCCGGTTCGTGTGACGATGTTGCGTGTTGCTGCCGTTGCGCTTTCGTGCGCCACGTCCCGTAGATAGGTGCAACATTGCTATCGGCACGCTCCAATAAGTAGGCGGTTTCCCCAGCAGCTCCCTGCGACGCCTGCATCTGCTGGAGATGCAGTTGCAACTGCTGTTGTTGCTGGCGCAGATATTGTTGCTGCTGTTCGTGCTGCAGTTGCTGCAACTTGGCCCGCATCTTCTCGATGTCGCTGTCACCGTCTGAGGGCTCGGGCTCCGTCGTGGATGGTTCGTCTGCTGAGGACTCAATGTCGTTGGGCGATTGCTGCTGTAGATGCTGCGGTTGGTGCTGCTGATAAAGTGTAGCTGCGGAGGCGACCTTCACTACCATGAGAGACATCTGCAAGGCATACACAAAATAAGATCAAAGATTATAAGGTTACATGTGCTTCAAGATAATTGCTTATTTTGCCAAAAAAACAAAGCATTGAGAAATAATTGTTTACATAAATTGAATCTTAAGAGATGAACAATTGCAAAGCCATTTCACCCAATCAAGATAGTCTCATAATTGTTTCCAAAATTATAAGATGTGATCTCACCAGTTTTTACTTTTGGATTTTATACGCACACAATGAAGGACATTTTTTGTTAAAGATAAGTTTGTTAAGAGTTTTTGGTTCGTTTTAATATGTGATGAAATATATCCTTAAACTTTTGCCTTTCTGCATGTAATCTGTTAAAAAGCTATAGATATGGTCAACTCACAATTGTGTACCCCAGAATCAGGCCCATAATCCACCGCCTGCCTTTAGTTGAGCCTGGATCCAGTCGCGTTCGAGTGTCCCTTTGTCCTTGACTGGCTGCTGGCTGCATGAACATCTTTCCGGACTCTGCTGCTCGAACCACTCGGCTTGCCTATCGCTTTATAAATGTGGGCTTGAGCTTCTGCCTCATCGCGGATCGCAACGATGACTGAGTGCAGCCAGGCGCTGGCGGCGCCTAAAAAGCGATGGTTATATCGGCCCAAGTGCAACAGCTTAATTAGAAAGTTTAATAGTTTGGCTGCGAAAGCAAAACAGCGAACTGCAGACAAATAATTTGATTGCTCAGGCGAATTGGTGCTCCCAAGCATGGGGAAAAGAAAGAGATATCAAAAAAGCGCATTGACCATGAAAATCTGAAGATCGCAAACGAAGTGACTAGAAATATCTCGAGGGGGCAATAAATCCGAAGTGGTTATGCTCTGACGGAGGAGTTTATAATGCTATTAAACATTCTAATTCCTAAACTATATTCATAAAAGTGAAATGATCACAGATGATAGGAAATAAAATGATAAACTGATGCAACATTTTTATATTGTAATTCCCACTGTCAAAGTCATTTTTAGTATAACTCGATTCAAGGATTTACTAATTTTAAAAATAGGTAACTTTTTAAGTACAAAACTTAGATAGATTGATTTTTCTGATAATGAGAGGATTTTCTCAAAAAAACCTTCAGTATTGTAAAGAAAACTTTTACTTACTATCCAATATGTAAATGTACAATCTAGCTTAGAACCAGTTTCTAAATTCAAAGAATTTAAATTGCGCTCTGCCACCAGTGAATGTCAAGGTTAACTATTAACCTGCACCTTAAGCAGTTTATTGCTTGCAAGCAACAAACTCCTTAGCATAGTCGTAAAAACCGACTTTTATGATAGCGGCTTAAAGATGAGCGCCCAACCAGACCACAACATCTCCCGGACATGAATTGCTCCCATTTCCCGCTTTGCCAAATATAAAATAAATGCGTGGAAATACTTGAAAAATGTATTTCATTGTTCGTGTTTCAGGAATTGCTGGTTAAGCGTTACAGATGTCCAGTTTTCAAAGACCGCAAGTTAGCTCACATTTCCCCATCCCCAGAAGAAAGCAAAAGAAAATGCTTATAAATATTCGAAAAACTTATTTTATTGTTCAGGTTTCAGCGATCCGAATAAAAGGTTTATTTAATCGTAATATAGAGCTATATAGTCTTGAGCTGGCGTCCGTCACAGACGACGGCCGCCCATCGATCGTAGCGTAGTGGTAGAACATAGCAAGAGTTGGATAGACTGTTAGCTGTACAATTGGGGCACTCATTTACAATGATCCCTAGCTGTATGAGTATGCGATTCATTAATTACAAAAATAAAATAAAAACAAACAAGTGTCGTCCTTGCAGGCGCCCCAGTGGCGCCCTCTAGCACCGCTGGCGGCTGATCGTGTAACGTTAGACTGTACGAGTATTGACTAGATCAATCTAGCCCTAGACGAAGGCCCTATCCCTAATCATCTCTAGATCTATAAGTCTAGAAGGTGAAGGGGATGCTGGGCACGGGGTACGAGTAGCCCTGGTGTTTGGTTGGTGGGGGTGGGACGTAGACTGTGGTGCGCTGAGTCGGGGGTGGCACGTACACGGTGGTGCGCACGGTTGGTGGGGGCACGTAGACGGTGGTCTTACGGGTGGGTGGTGGAGGAGGGCGGGTGGTGCGCACTGGTGGGGGTGGCAGGTAGGTGGTTGGTGGACGGGTAGGGGGGACGGGTTGGGGGACGAGTGGGTGGAGGAGGTGGGCGGGTGGTGCGCACTGTTGGGGGTGGCAGGTAGGTGGTTGGTGGCCTAGTTGGGGGCCTCGTGGGAGGCAGAGTAGGGCGAGGAGTAGTGCGGATGGTGGTGCGCACGGTGGCACGAGTGGTGGCCGGTGGGGGTGGCTTGTTGGTGGGTGGCAGGTAAGTAGGAGCCGGGGTCGTCAGACGACGAGTAGTGGGTGGGTAGGTGGGGGGACGAGTCGGTGGAGGAGGTGGGCGGGTGGTGCGCACTGGTGGGGGAGGCAGGTAGGTGGTTGGTGGACGAGTTGGTGGCCTGGTAGGAGGCAGAGTTGGACGAGGAGTGGTGCGGATGGTGGTGCGCACGGTGGCACGAGTGGTAGCCGGTGGTGGTGGCTTGTTGGTGGGTGGCAGGTAAGTAGGAGCCGGGGTCGTCAGACGACGAGTGGTAGGTGGGTAGGTTGGGGGACGAGTTGGTGGTGGGGTGGCACGAGTGGTGCGCACAGTTGGGGGAGGCAAGTAGGTGGTTGGTGGCCTAGTTGGTGGCCTGGTTGGGGGACGAGTGGGTGGTGGAGGTGGGCGGGTGGTGCGCACAGTTGGGGGAGGCAAGTAGGTGGTTGGTGGACGAGTTGGTGGCCTGGTAGGAGGCAGAGTTGGACGAGGAGTGGTGCGGATGGTGGTGCGCACGGTGGCACGAGTGGTGGCCGGTGGTGGGGGCTTGTTAGTGGGTGGCAGGTAAGTAGGAGCAGGAGTGGATGCACGGGTTGGTGGGCGAGTGGGAGGTGGCGTTGGACGACGGGTGGTCACTGGTGCTGGTGGCTTGTTGGTGGGTGGCAGGTAGGTTGGGGGAGGACGAGTTGGTGGACGGGTTGGTGGTGGGGTGGCACGAGTTGGGGGACGGGTTGGTGGTGGGGTGGCACGGGTGGTGCGCACAGTTGGGGGTGGCAAGTAGGTAGTTGGTGGGCGAGTTGGTGGCCTGGTAGGAGGCAGAGTTGGACGAGGAGTGGTGCGGATGGTGGTGCGCACGGTGGCACGAGTGGTAGCCGGTGGTGGTGGCTTGTTGGTGGGTGGCAGGTAAGTAGGAGCCGGGGTCGTCAGACGACGAGTGGTAGGTGGGTAGGTTGGGGGACGAGTTGGTGGTGGGGTGGCACGAGTGGTGCGCACAGTTGGGGGAGGCAAGTAGGTGGTTGGTGGCCTAGTCGGGGGACGAGTGGGTGGTGGAGGTGGGCGAGTGGTGCGCACAGTTGGGGGAGGCAAGTAGGTGGTTGGTGGGCGAGTTGGTGGCCTGGTAGGTGGCAGAGTAGGTCGAGGAGTAGTGCGGATGGTGGTGCGGACGGTGGCACGAGTGGTGGCCGGTGGTGGTGGCTTGTTGGTAGGCGGCAAGTAAGTTGGAGCCGGAGTCGATGCACGGGTTGGTGGTGGTGGTGGCCTGGTTGGTGGTGGAGTTGGACGACGGGTGGTCACTGGTGCTGGTGGCTTGTTGGTAGGTGGCAGGTAAGTTGCTGGTGGACGAGTGGTTGGTGGCCTAGTTGGAGGCCTGGTTGGAGGAGGAGTCCTTGGTGGTGGTGGTGGAGGAGGAAGACGGGTGGTCACCGGTGGTGGTGGCTTGTTGGTGGGTGGCAAGTAAGTTGCTGGTGGACGAGTGGTTGGTGGCCTAGTTGGTGGCCTGGTTGGAGGAGGAGTCCTTGGTGGTGGTGGTGGAGGAGGCAGACGAGTGGTCACCGGTGGTGGTGGCTTGTTGGTGGGTGGCAAGTAAGTTGCTGGTGGACGAGTGGTTGGTGGCCTAGTTGGTGGCCTGGTTGGAGGAGGAGTCCTTGGTGGTGGTGGTGGAGGAGGCAGACGAGTGGTCACCGGTGGTGGTGGCTTATTCGTGGGCGGCAGGTAAGTCGGAGGAGGCCGCGTTGGTGGCTTGGTGGGTGGCCTAGTTGGTGGCCTGGTGGGAGGGCGCGTTGGCGGCCGGGTGGGGGGCTGGGTGGTGCGCACGGGCAGATCGAACGGCACTTGAGGCGTGGGGTAGAAGTATCCTTCGGCGGCACGAGTCTTGCGCTGAAAGTGGGTTCCATATGAGTTCCTGCGGTTGAAAGATCAGCAGATCTACAAACTTACCTCATGGGTATCGGCCGATGCGGTGGCCACAGCCACAGCGCAAAGCGCCAAGACGAACAGTGCACTTCTCTGTGGGGAGGAGAATAAGAGAAGGGGCGTGTTAGTGGTGCTGCATCTGGATGGGCTTGGGAGGTGGTGCGGTGCAGAGGTGTTCAGACTAACGACTGGCTCTAACAACCTGATTGCGACTAATTGATCGCCTTCTAGGCTAATCGCCTCTTCACGCTTAGTGACGACGTGGCCCGGATCGGAAGAGGAGGCAAGGCAACTCCGCTGGCCTGCAGTTCAAAACTGTGGTAAAGTTCAGCCAACAAAGCCAGCGAATCGATTTAACATAATGCATTGAAAATCACCCGAAATGTTAACGCAGACATTCAACTTTGACAGGCATTAGCATCTCTAGGTCAGTCCCCACCCCCGGAGCAATGTAAATCTCGAAGATTGGCGCTATTGATACATAATGCCTATGCTAATCCGATGCGGCACAAGAGATACGAGCTCGATTGGGACCCGAGGAAGCAGCCCCTGAATTATGGCTTCCGACGATGCTGTCAAAAGGTTCATTTGCATTTGTCGCTGGGGTTTTCGGCAAGGTCATTGTTAGTTAATGAAAGTGCTCGTCGACGGACGCATCTGGTCGATGAGCTAGCTCAATTAATTGGCCGCTGGAGAATTTTCGGTGGTTATAAAAATAGCCGATTATGCCAGAAACCGGCCCGGATCCGGGCACCAAACTTCAGACCAGTTCTAGCCATGATTATATAATAATCAGCCAAGACAGGCCATAAAGATAGTGAGAAAATCCGAAGTTGCCTGCCGAAATTAGCATACGCATCTGCCATAAAAAAGAATAGTATGCCTCGGGTGTCATTTATAACCAAATCTCATAGATTACTGCCCATACCTCCAAAAGCGGCTAGGTCTACATATGAGTTTTTTCCCCCTTTTCTGATTGTTTGCTAATTTCAACGAATATCTGACTTTTGTATGTAAATTATTTAAAATAATTTATGCTAATGAACCTGAACTTTTTGCTGTTCTAACTTGTTTTAAATATCGCATCGGCAACAATTTGGCTTAGGAATTCGAGAATCAAATCGGGTTTCAATTATGGGTGGAGGGAACTTGAGGCTAAGAAAGTGAAAGGACTTGGAAAGATACTCGCTAAGGCAGAGTGCTTCTCTCTGGGCTGTTCATTATGCTAATTGGCAGCTAATTAATCCGATTCACACCACATCGAGGGCAGAGCCTCAATGCCAAGTCTGCGAGGCAATCAAATTAGTCCGAAAACTGTGAGAGATTTCGCCGAGATTATAGCCTGGGTAATACCGCCAGGGAGCCCTTCAACTTCTTGAATAATGGGCGGCCTTTCAATGACAATCTAGCAGAATTCTAACCTAATGGAAACGTTTTTATGGCTATTTACCTAAATACACCAATCGCAAATTGCGACTGGCAAATGTCAGAAGCAAAAGCGAAAATTATGGACAAAAAAAAACAAGTTTTAATTTCATCTTCTTCAGCCATGTCAATGCTGACATAGAAACTGCCGCCACATGGCAGAATGCACATGCAGCTGGTCCATCCTAATGACTTAATACGCAAATTGCGGATCGCGCCAAGGCGATTTAGCTCTGTGGGCGAGCAACACGGCGTATGCGTAACATTGCACTCGATGCCACTTGCTTAATTTCTACATGGTTTAAATGTCAACCGCCAGCTGGTCAACTCTCGGCCGGATTGATGATAGACCTGGTCCAGAGCTGGACCCTAGCCAAGATGTGAAATGCAAATAGACGGCGATTGAATTGGAACTGCAGTTGGCTTTGGCAATTTGTTTGCTTTTTCTTCTTATTTACGATGCTCGGGTATGCACTGAGAAAAAGTTAACTACAATATACTAACAACACTAGCTTACTAACTCTATTTTTATATCCTAATTGAAACCTAAACTTAAATGGATGGGAAAAGAGTAACTTAAACCCTTTTTTTTTTGCAAAGTTTTACGATGTGTTACTTTCTAATATCTTAAGTGCCAACCCTTTAGGGCTATCCTGTATTGTTACATTAATTAAAATTGATTTTGCTATAGAAAAATTAGGTGATTTGGATGAAACATTCATTAGGCACAGATCAAAAATGAATCTAGTTTGATATTTTAGTCTAGTTTTTTTCTAATCTATTTGTATTACTGTTATGCCAAATATCACTTTTAAGTTATTAAAATATCCTTTTAAAACACAACGTAAAACCAAATTTATCCCAAAATATTTGAAACTATCCAAACTGATGCTTTTTCTTTCTCTGCAAAACTGTTTCCTTTGCGAAATGTCTTGTTTGTCTTCACACCGAGGGACACTTGTTTAGTTATTTTATTTTTGCACTTTGCACACGATCATTGTTCGTTTTGGTATTAGGTTAGATTAGATGGGAACTGGGTTCGGTTACCATGGTGTACACTTTCGGACTGCTACAAACGGCAGTTGCAATAATCCCGGGTGCGGAGGTAATCCTTTGGGGTGCGTATGTGCGTGGATAATCCTTGCGGACGGTACTGTGAGGATCGGAAAAGGAGAAGACGCGACCGATCGTATCAAATTCAATGGACGATTGAATTTGATCGATGCCAAGCTAAGTTGGTTTAACTTCTAGGTCGAGTGTGGAATACCAACTAAAGCATCAAAACTTGTAGATTTTCTATATATACTCGGACCCAGCATCTGCCCAGACGGGCAGCGCAGTCGGCAGAGGCATCTTCACCTGGGCGACAGCTGTTAACACACGGCCAAAAGCCGAAATCGAAAGCGTTTTGGCCAGATGAAGATGTGCCGAAGTCGCTGCCTCTGTTGACGTCAGCGTCGACTGCTGACTGCTGACTGCTGACCAGACTCCAACCAGCCAGTCAACCAGTCTCGGTTGTTTGATGTTTGTGAGTTAACAGCCAGATAACATGGCTAAGACAAAAGGCAGCCAAATTGAGGCCCAGTAATTATGGCAGAGGAGCAACTAAGTCAGCCAAACCACCAACCAACGAAACAACCACCAACGCCTGCTCTTGTTGGCATTTCTATTTAGCCAACTGCGATTTTGGGCAAATATGCTCGTACTTTTTGGCAGAAGTCTTTGGCTAGTGTTAAACACGTTGTCGTGCAGCATTTAATTTGGTAAATGGGTCCGAGCCACCGAATTTCATCAATCGATGAGACAAGTTGGCTCGTCGAGTCGAAGCGAAGTCAAGTCAAGGCTCCCATCGAAGCTTGCCAAGGCAAATAAGGCCGAGAAGATCAGGCGTTGGCTAATGGCAATTACCCGGCCGGAGCAGGCCTAAATGCAGTTGGTGTCGAAGTTGGAGTTGGCCTATTGAACATGAACCGGTTGACTTGGCCAAAAATGCGTGCGACCGGGGGTCAGCAGATAGCAGCTGGAGTTGAATGTTAAGGTAGGCTTAAAAACTGACTCTCTGACTCTGACTCCGAATGCGACTCCGCCTCATCATCCGAATGACCTTTAAACGCACACTCGATGATCGCCGATCTGCGATCTACGATCTACGATCCGCGATCCGCAATCAGTGCTGCATTCTTTGAGCGACACCCAAACGGGTTTCAGCATTTGTCATCGCCTGCATTTCGCTTTTTTAATAACTAGAATTTATTAATTTGCCAAACAGTCACGTCTAGATTTTAATGAACCAATCAGAGTGACACCCACTGGCCAAGCCAAGTCATGAGCCATCCCAAAAATAGAAATGACTTTGAACTCTTTTGGCCCAAAGGTGCGTGGTCAATGGGTAGTCAGGGCCAATACAACGCCCAAAGGAAGTGCAGCCGAGCGGAAGTCACCCCTTTGGCCATCATCAGGTACTTAGAGGCACAATTAATTCTTAACTTTTTTATTGCATAATTGCTGGCTAACTATTCGGGTCATAACTTGCTTCGCACATCCCCACAAAGGCAATGACACTCGACAACGACGTCGACGGCGACTGCTGACATTTCAAATTTGTCATTGCGGATAACTGAAGCGACTGAGTTGTTTTTATTTTTTTTGTTTTTAGTTTTTAGAGTGTCGAATACCGGCTAGAGGAAAAGCCTTTTTTTGTGCCGCATCATCGGACATTGCAACAGACAATTATTCAACGTTTTCCATGCCAAAAATATGAGAATTTACAGCCTCGAGTTTTGGACTCCACCGAAGGACGTTTGTCTGTCACATCAAACAAGTCCGTGACTTGTGCCTGTTCTAAACCGCATTCTGGACAGGTTGCTATTCGGATAAATTAAATTTATAAAGTGGCCGATCTAGGGGAGTTTCAGCTTTTGTGTGAATTGTTATTAGCTTTTGTGTTCGGGTGCGGAAATCATGATATCTAGTTTTTCATTATGTTTTATCAGCGTGGAGATCTCGTCTTGGAGCTATTTCCGAATGCTGCTACAGACATTGTCTTGTTAAAATGGTCTTTTTAATCATCAAAAACTATGCAAAAAACCAGGTAAACAAATCTTAAATCATAATGCTGACTAAATTTTTTCTGGTACACCTCACAAAAACTGCTGGCCAAACAAAAAGCAAAGCTCATCACAAACAGATTTTTAACAGTCTGCAAATTTTGTTTAAGGTCGTTGAAGAGTTGTAAATGTTAACATGGGAATCATCATTCCAAATTCTAAAAATTATGTAGCTTACTTTTAAAACTGAATATTACCATAATTTAATAAAATATAGTAAATTAAATCATTTTTAAACTTCTTTTCGTGCAAGCAGAAGATTCATTGAGCTGCCCAAAGCCTAGACTTCTGCTATTAAAAGCTTGTACCCATTCAGGTAGACAATTAATATGGCTTATCTAATCCTAGAGCAAATTAAATACCCTCACGCACCGGCCATTAAAATTGAAATCAAGTCTCTTGGCGAGAGGCACAAAAAATGTCAACCGAAAATCGGCTAATGAAAAGTGTTCGCCGTGGAACAAAAAAGCCAAGAACGAGATGTCGCCACTGAATATTTATTAGCAGGCCGATGACTCTCTGGCCACCAAAAAGAAGAAGATACACGCATCTTTGAATGGATGGAGAAGCGTTTTTGAGTGCGTGGATATTCAAATTTCGCGGATCTTGTCTTCGAGAGGGAATCATATAAATTTCCGAGTCAAATGTCACGTCACCTGCGTCAGCGTTCGGAGCAGAACACACCGCCGAAATATCGTTAATTGTGCTTATGATTTATGCAAATTTTTCCCTATACATAACGCATTTGTCCGCGTCTCTCTGCCAAATTCTACATGGCTTCAGTCAAGGCGGACTATATTGTTTTCTGCTTAAGATTTATATTTATGTAAATCCGCCAACCAAACAAACGCCCGACTTGCCTAACTAGTTTCCCACTTTGTTTCAATTTTTTTTTTATCACTTTTAAATTCGGCTTAAAGTTCTGGTCTAGGAAGTGGAAATACCTAATACCTTTATTGAAGGTCCAAACTGGAATTTACAAGATGTCAATCTTCGAAATGGAAAGTTTCTAGAAAGACAAATTTCCTTAAACATCTGCTTAAGATTTGACAAGTCAAAACAAAGCTAAATGCTTACTTAATCAATAATCTACTTTAAATGCTAATTTGTTTGTGGTTTTTTTTGGGGGTTCAAGGAAGTGCAATGGCTTCAAATTAAAATTGCTAAGCGAAGAAATAACATTCTTCAAAACTTATAATTAAACAAGACTTAATTTATTTTTACAGATTTTAATTATTTCTGTTAAAGATAAAAGGTGGAAGACTTTAAAACTTAAATATTTCTGTATACAATTGAGCTAAATTCGGGTAATTGGCCTTGAGTGAAGTTCATAATTCATTCATTGAGTCCATTAATCAGACTGACCAATATCGATTAAGACTCTTAGCCATATCTGAATGGGCTGAATGGAAATAAATAAGAGCTGACTTATCGCACCAACGATATGTGAAACATTAACCTTAAATTGATTTAGATCGAGCGATAAGCCACAAATTAATTCTCTCAACACGATCTCGGTCGACTTTGTTTAAACAAAAAGAAGTACAGTTAGCTGATTTCAATGCAGAGAAATCCAGAAATTCCGACCGTAAATTTATGAATATGATTTGGCAAAATGTACAATGCTTGCGATGCGATTGAATAATTGTTAACAGTCGCGTCGGGCAAATCGCATAAACAACCTGCTAACGGCATTTAGTTAATGGATATTCCACGTCGATGGATAAATGGCGTTTGAAATTCATTTAAAATCTGTGAAATTTACTTGAAACAAAACCTGCAGCTAGCTGCCAAATTAAAGCTGGTGTGGCGAGTGAGTGAAAAAAAATAAACGTGTTTTTCCCCCGCGAAAGACCCAGAAACAACAAAAATATTAATAAGCCTTATCAAGGACACGGCCGGGCGAGCGTTAACCAGTTTTATTCGGCCAGCAATTTATGGGCCACAATTGCGGGCCATTGCCATTGGAATCCTTGTCGCGTTAAATGAAACACCCAGACAAAGTTTTTGGGAACCGTTGAGGGTCACCGCGCTGGGAACTGTGAGACTGACTACCTGTCCAACGAGAACCGGTTAAACAGAATCTCTGCCCTGCCCCGGCCTATTACATAACCGAGTGACCCTTGAAAGTTTAACCAACTCTCCGCATGGCCTTTTAAAGCGAAAGTGCCGGGCTTAACCAGAATTTACAAGACCCGTCGAGCGTTATCCATTAATCAGGCTAGGAGACCGCTGGAGATCGGTAACCGAATTGAGCCTATCATTAAGCTGAGGCGACACCCCGTCTCAAGTTCAGGCCGAGACCCGAGATGCTCCGCGGGTCAAAACGAAAACGGAAGGTGCTCGAAATGGAACTTGAGCTGATGGCTCACATCAAGACCTGATTAATGGCCATCTCGAGAGTGCACTTCACCCCTGCCATCTTGGCTGCCAAATTAGCCCACTTGGCTCTGAGATACAGCCAAGCCACCTAGCTAACAATCGGATACGAACAAACATTTTGGAGTGCAAATAAAAACAGAAATTGGAGCACTCCGACTCCGAGTCACACGCGTCGACGGCCACAAGGCTGTTTAAGGCCAAAATTAAATACAAAAATTAAATATACACAAATGAGATAAAAATATAATGTATGAATTGGAGCTACAGATCAGGCTCAGACCCTCGAAGTGGATGTATAAATTCTACACGGATTGGCCAAATAAAAACATCGAGCCAAAAATTAAATTCGTATAAAATCCATTTGTTTCGGGTTGGGAACTGCTGGCCAACTGGTTATATCGCCTCATTTTAATAGCCAACTGGTTCGTCCCAGTACATAATATATTGCCATTTACTTATATCTTGTAGGCAGACCACTTTTGACAGCGGCGATTCTACGCCCGAAAATCCAAATTAAAAGGCAGACATGCAAATTTGTCAGTCTTTTATTTTTTCATCGAACACACCCTTTGATTTACTGTGGAATTAGTTAATTTTTCTAAAAAAATATATCTAATTTGAGACTAAATATACTTATTTATCTGTTACCAATCAGATAGTTTCCTATCTGATAGTTCATAGATCAATGTTTTGATAGCCTTAATTATCTTAAATGATGTTAAATTAAAAAACCAATTAAGTATGCCAAATGAAATTTTAATATCTTTTAATACAGTTTTTAACAACTTTAACAATGGTGAATTACTAAAATTAAAAGACAATTAAAGTAAGTCCTTCAATTTTTAATAGTAACTCGTTTAAAGATTAAATTGCAAATATGTATTTATACTTTTGATGATATGCCTATTAATACTGATTAAAATTATTAATCTAAACTTAAAATTGAAAATTTGAGTATCAATAATTCCAGTTTTGCGTTTCTAAGAACTAACTTAAAAATTGGAACTAAAATGGAATTATCTAGTGAATTAGTTTAAGTTAAAGGGTATTCCCCTTTCGACTTTGCCCATCGATGGTCATTTAATTTTGACTTAAAGTAGCTTCTCATAAGGTAACACACACTGACGCACTTCCCAGAGCCCAATAATATATACATATATTTATAATTTATCGAAGTCTGGACAATCGGTGGCCAGTGAAGTGTCTGATCGTAATGGCAGCCACGAACACCATTCTGCACTTGTGAAGGCACGAAAAAGCCACATATTTTCCCAGCCGGCCATAAATTTCAGTTTCAGTGGCATTTATGATTTGTTGACCCGGGTCCAAGACCACACATTCATCTACAGAATTTTGGGAGCTACCCGCTGTCTTCCGCTTCAGGGAGCCTTGACTTGGTCAGGCAAACCAATCGCCAAGATAGCATTTAGTCCTGATGAATACCTGAAAGGATCTAATGGCTTTAACTCAAGTTGACATGGCATTTGAGGCGATTAGCACCAACTTAATTGGATTATGCAATCCAAAGACGTCAATCAGTGTGAAGTCCCCTGCCCAGTACCCCGCTCTCGGTGGCATCTTCTCGTCTCGAAGGTTAGATGGACCAGTTTTCTAATGAATTTCAGATAAAGTTCGACTCGGACTAGAGCCACAATGAACGCCTAAGTATTTATTAGCTTTAATTTGAATTTTCATATAAAATAAAACCGCGAACCAAACTCGTTGAGGCGCTGAGGAGCTGAAGCTTCTGCACGGAGATACATTTAGACATAGATGCTTCTATACGAAAACATAAAACAACAAAAAAAAGCAAAAGCAACACCGCCAAACAAAATCAAGTTCACCTCGAGTGTATCAAATTTGTATAAAATTCATCAGTTAGCAAATACGTCAGCTGGTAATACAAGATTCAAACTTTGTGGTTAGCTCTATGCTAGTGAGTGTGTGTGTGTGTGGGCATTATGCAAAGCAGAGGAAGAAGACCAAGTCCAACATTTACCATATATATATATATAGTATACAATATAGACATATACCTGTTGAGCTCGGATCGGATCGATTAGCATTTTAGTGGCTGCCTTAATGATACTCCGCCATGGGAGCCATTCCAATGCAGTTCTGCGTGGCTAAACTATATTTTTATGTGGAATCGATTAACTCGAGCCATACATCACACGCTTGTTCCAACCATTCGATATGCCCCACTCAAGGCCCCCCTCGGCGATCGATCCGAAACAAGAGTCGGAATCAGCTCAGAAGTGGCCAAAAACCATCGCTGATTGACCACTTAATGGGCCATCTTCGCACTTCTTATCGATATTAATTGCATTGCCAGCCAAAGAATCTATCACATTTTATGAAAATTGCTGGGTAATTGCTCAATTTTCTCTCTTCATAGCTCCATAAACCGACAGCTCACATTACTTCTTGGTATTTATTGAATTGGCCTGGCATTGAAAATATCCCAGACTTAAAAACAGAACTTGGAGGTCTAGCTTATGGTTAGTCACTTTTTAGTTTGACCTTTACTAATAAATATGTTTCGTAACTGCTAACAGAAGTCAGCCCAAAAAAGGTTTTTCAAGAGCTTTAAGTTTTTGTTCCAAATAAATTCTTATCCTGAATGTTATAGAAAATGTACAAGAAACAATCTTAAATCAAAACTAATAATTTTGTAAAATGTTAAAAATAAACTTGGGCAATCAATTTTTGTGCTACACAAAGTCTACAACACAATGTTAGTGAGGATAATACTGAAAGTTATCCTTTATATCAACATAATCCCTATTTTTAGAGCACTCTTCAGTTTAAGAAGTCATATATATACTGCAGACTAAATCCATTTTTTATAACCACAAGAATCCGACGTAGTTCCGTTTGGTATAACGGTACATAATCAATAAATAATTTACTGAATTTATAAGCTTTCGATTTCGTTGGCGTTTGCGTCAGCATAACTTGCTCTGCGGCTAAAAACAAAAGTAATCTTAAACAAAGTTTAATTGCTTTCTTAGGATGTTCACATGCCCGAAATCTCGTTCCCAAAAACCATTTTGTGCAAATTTGTAGCGAAAATTTATAGCTCAGAATAGCCGAAAGTATATATCCTAAGCTGGATTTTGGTAGTTAGCGACGGCAGAAGCAGTCGACACGATCCACCGATCATGTTCGAACATGTATGCTAATTGAAATTCTGGTTCTCGAACTTGAATATCCATGGATGGGATATTTAAGTAAGAGTTTTGTGATTAGGAAACAAATTTAGCACCCGACTTGATAAATACCCGAACTTTGATATTTAATAACCATAAAAGACAAACTTTCAATCATAATTTACTAATCGTACTATTTATTACATAAGATCGTTTTCGAAATCGTTGTGTTTTTGTTTTTGTTATGTAACTTTACAATGGATGCTTAGTTTATGGGGTCATAAGACTACGGACTACCTAAGAACTGTAGATGCTTAGGGTTATTTCAGTTATTTCGTGTTTTTTTCAGGCACTCGAATCCATGATAGTTCAACGTGCTTAGACTAAGTGTGTACTCCTTCATTTCCTGCTCCTGATTTCCAGATGAAGAACGATGACCACGGAATTTTATCGACTTAAGCTAAGGAACTAGATCGTAGAACTATATCTAGGGATGCTCTTCTCTCCATTCTCTCTCTCTCTCTCTCTCTATTTACAGCTCGCAACTAGAAGATACACTTTCCATATGGACATGCTTCGTTATTCGTAGCTTAAAGTTAGGTGTGCCTTAGGTGCAATACGGATTACAGATACAGATACGTTTGTTTTGGATGCAACAAGTCTTTTTGAATGTGAATGCTTCGTTTCTTATTCCTACTTCTGGTTCTAGTTCTCCCCTGATTTCACAGCTCCGTGGAATACTCTTCCGGTTTGACGTTGAACTTTCGCCAGCAAATGTGATCCGCCGCTCCACCAGCGGTCGCAGGTGGCGGCAATTTGTGCGAGTTGACGTTGACCACCGAGCTGGCCGACCGCTTTACATGAACGCTGGGCGGCGGCGGTTGGGCGGGAGCGGCCAGACATCCCGTGGAGCGGCCAAGCGGGTTCCGAGACATGGCCAAAGCGGAGTTATTGTTGCTCTTGCCATTGCCATAGGTTATAGATTCGTTCGAGGGCGAGATCTCTATCCTTGTGGCATGGCCTGTACCGCTTCCTCCGTCGGACAGGCGACGTATGTACACCACTTCGCGATGCTTCTCCACCGATTCCCTGGGCGGTCGCATCTGTGTTTGGGTCTGCGGCTGAGCAGTCTGCCTCATCCTCTGGGAATACCTCGTGGGCTTCGTATCACTAGCCTGGAAAGGCACATACTGCTGCTGCGTGATCCCCGGAAACTTATCCACACTGATATCTTCTTCGATAGCTGAATCCCCAAACATGGATCCACTGTAGTTGGGAGAACTGTTCCCCGGTGTGGATGACTTCCAGTGCTGTTGATGCATGGGCGTCTGTGTTTGACCTCCATTCTGAACTCCATACTTTGTCGCACTCGAGTACTGACCCTTCTTGATGGAGTGCGTGTAGTCCCGGGTTCCCCTTCTCCTTAGGGTGAAGTCCCTGCGTCCTGTATCTTGGCAAACGGAGCGCCACTGCTTCCAGGAGTGACGGGCTAAGGGATCCGCTGGTCCCCATTCCTTCGCCGGCTTGGAGGCCTCGCAGATCATTCCAAAGAAATTGTACTCCACCTGTCGGAAGATCTGCACACAGGCGATAATCACTATCACGGCCAACACAAAAAGAATTGGTGCCCAACGTGGCAGATACTCCGCCAGCAGATCGTACTGATCATCGTCCGCACACCACCAAACCAGAATTCCAGTTAGTATGGCCGGGCAGATGACCCACAACCACATCCAGACTCGGAAGATGGGACGTCCGATCGAGAACTCCAGATCGGTGTAGATGTTCTTGGCTCCATAGATCCAAGTTATGGCAATCAGCTCGAACACCAAGGCCGTCACCACCATGGTGCCCACCAGTCGCGAGTCCAGCACGCGGGCGATGAGGAACTTTGGCGCCGCAAAGGAAATTACCGCCACCACAAGTCCAATTAGGCAGATCACATAGTTAGGACGTCTAGGCACGAGACGCGTGGAGGTGTAGACCGCCACCGTAATGGAGACCATGGCAGAGAGGATAATCAAGACGTAAATCAACGATGGAACCAAATGCTGCAGCAAATGGCTGTCACCCTCCCGGGAGCCATTCAACACCCGATCGTAAATGGCGGTCAGCGGCTTTAGCTCCTCCATATTTTGGTAGCCATTGGCCGAGAGATCGAACTGGACCATGAACAGAGTCACGGCAATGGCGTTGATCAGCAGGTTGAAGCAGAGGTAAACCACCGAGGTTCTCACGGCGTCTCCTTTGTACAGGAACTTGCCCGTGACCATGGGCAGGGCTCCAAAGCCACAGTTCACCGAGAAGAGGACCTGCATCAGGGCATTGAACCAGATGTTGCTCTCGGTCAGCAAAGTGGCATCGAAGCCCCAAAGTTCCGGGAAGTAGTGACGTGTAAAGGAGTTGCGCACCTCCCAACCAGTGAGAGTGCAAAGCAGTGTCAGACCGGCTAGTCCATAGACGAAGATGCTGCGTCGCAGGATCTTGGCATTATGCGTGCTGTTGGGTTACAAAAGAAGATTGTTAGCTAATTTATATAATAATTAATGGTTCTTAGACTTACCACAGCATTACCACTATCCAAAGACCAATCAATCCGGCTGCTAGGAGGCCAAAGTACATGGGATTACGCCAAAAGGGTGTTAGGAAGGTCTGCTGCAGACACTCCTGTCCACTGGTTCCCGTCAGGAGATAGCCACTCTGAGGAATGACATACTTAAGATAAAAACTCTTTACAAGATTAAGCAATACTAACCATTCGCAACCTCACGGGTCCGGCACATTCCCGGAATGGCAGGTCATTGGAGGCAAACATCCCTATGTAGGCCAGTGCCAGCACGGCCTGCAAGGACACCCAAATGGCCGAAAGCCAAGAGGCGAAGCGACTGATAATGCAGGCTCCTAAAAACACGGATTTCGATTAAAATAATGTACTTGCTAGCAAAGCAACTTCAATTCTTATTTCTTAGAATAAGTGAAATCATTTTTGAATTATGAGTCAGTAACTTAGAAGGCTAGCCCTACACTCGTGTCCCGAAACTGCTATAAAATCCGCTCAAAGTACAAACTCAAAGTATCACCTTGCTAACAGACTACAAAAGAGCGGAAGAGGAGGAACCCAGTTAATTAAATTACTTTTGTCATTTAAATGGCGAAATTCAAAAAAGCAAAACCATTCGTTTGAAAAGAGCTCAAGTGAAAACTAGTTATAAATGAGAACGAGATTTTTTAACATCTTTACATTTACATTTATAACGTATTCTGCAGTGACGGACAACCCATTCGCAAAACCAGATCAAATTGACCTTAAAAACACACCCAAAGCTGTTAATATTTAAGCAATGTAAATTGATTTGGGGACTACCCTAAGACGACATTGAAAACTGTTCAATAATAATAATAAAAATGATTTGGGTTTCAAAGGTTTTAGGGTTTGGCTTGATAGCTCGATAAATATGAATAAAATATATTAAATAGCATTGTCTGTTATGGTTTATAGTGGCCGAAACTGTATTTTCTTGTTTATTACACACTTCCTATATATTCATTTAGGCCACATTGTGTTACGTTTGCCAATTCCGTTAGCACTGTTTTTTATGGTTTTACTGCTGTATTGAACCGCAAGCTAAAGGTGAAGGAGCACTCACATCTCATCTGCACTCTCACAGGTAAGACAATCTATAGATTCTGTTCTTCGTTCATTCATATACGCAATCGGCACGTGTCATGAATATTTTGCCTCATTTATCGTAATTATAGCTTGCGAACCACTCACTCATGAAATGCTCCACTCAATGAGCTTGGTGATTTCGTAATGAAATGGGTACATTAAAGCCGTCGTCGGTGGCTTGAAAAACGTTAAGTATTGCCTTAAGCCATTCATGAGTTTTATAAGTCATATAACAATTTTAATGCTCATCAAGAATAGGCTTTTATGATGGCTCTTTTAATGAGCCAACCAAATGCAGTGCTGCTTAGTAAGAGTATTTATTTTAGGGAAAATGTTAAGTTAAATTTCAAATTCGTTTTTATATAAACAATTTATTATTTTGTTTAATGAATGTCATTTTGTATTAAAAGTTTATAAAATGGCTTTTAATAGCAGTGATTATTTGGTTTTTTATTCATAAGAGAAAGTAATTCAGAATCTAGGAAAGGTTATTGCCGTTTTAATGTTAGTTTATTTCGCACTTAATCACCATAGTAAGAGTCATTCCTCATACGCACTGTTGGCTTTGTTTGCTTTATTTGATGGTTCTAAGTTTGGATATTTCTTCTATATTTCTGCATAACTTAACAACTATCTCTAAATTCGTTGATAAGCTTTAACAATTATATAAACATTCTTGCGATCCAAGTTTGAAATCTCGCAAAAAGGGCGATACAACGAAGACATTCCTTTGCAGCCACCAAGCATTCACGTGTTACTTTGTTGGTGTTTTTATTATTACTGAGGTCTTTTCGAAGGTGTTGTGTCGTAATTTGCAGTTGTCGTTTTTGCTTTTTGCCATTATTAGTTGTTGCTCATATTGCTCATTTTTGAATTCGTTTGTTTCTCGTTACAATTGTTTTTGGTTTATACTTTTGTTCATTTAGAATTTGCCTTAAACGTCTCTATGGTTATTTTTTGTGGACGCGCCGCCGCTTAGCCCAACACGGTACCGCCGCGACCGCGTCGCCATCTTCCATGTTTGCTCGTCTTTTTCGGCTTCCGTTCCCGTTCCGTATCCGGTAACGCCCAAGCAGAAGGCTCCCTGGCAGAAGAGGGATTGGGCGGGGGGCGGCTTTCAGATTTTGTTGTTTCTGTTTGTTCTTGTTGTTGTTGTTCTTGTTCTTGTTTTGGCGTTTTATTACTAGATGTCCTTGTTGGAGCCGCCTCCCGTTTGTTTTTGCCCATTAAACCCGCTAATGGGGCGGCAACCTTGGGGGTGGCTGGGGCTTCACCCCCAAGGCGGGGATTTGGTGAGCGGGCCGACAGTTGGCGGCGACGACGATGGACAACGTTGGGGGCGTGGCGCGCCAGCGATTACACGAACGGGACACACACACCAATGCATTTTGAGGTTTTAATATTTTTTTTGTACGATTTTTCAGAGATTTTTTGCGGTTGTCCTGATAACACACGATGATGATTTTATCTACTAGGTCACATTTAAGTAAGTCTTCTCTTTTTTTAGTGTATTTTATGTGTATTTTTTTAGATTTTTTTGTTTGCATTGATATACTTTTGGTCTGATATTTGTATTTTTTCTCATTTTGTCATTTATCATTTTCGATTCGTGATATACATATATATGTCTTAGACTTTTGCGGTTGTTGATTTTGCTTTCTTGTTTATTTAGTTTGCTCCTGTGCTCCTGTGCTTTTGCAATTGCACTTTGCAGACATCCTGGTTGGCAAGGATGCCCGCAAAATGCGCCTGCTCTGGCCTTGGTTTTTGCTTCAGAGAGTGAGAGAGAGATGACGAAAGTTTTGCAATCGTAACTTCGGCTACCAACGGACACAATTCGAGAGAGTGGGGGATGAGACGGGATGTGTCCAACCGTCGTTGCTGCGGAATGCACGACCGCCCATTGGAGGTCCTTGCAGTGCGACTATTTAAGCGATGTTGCCCGAAATTACAACTTGAGAATTATAAAATGGCGGACTGCAACTGCAGAGCTTTCCATTGCGGAAGCTTCGTCCTGCAATGGGGATGCAAAAAGCTGCAGCTGCAGCTTTCACTTTGACCCCATCGCCGACACGGCGCCAACATAAAATACAACGGGGATGCTTCCGTTTCTGTGCACCTGTTGCCTGCCGAAAAGTATGCAACCCCCGTCACTCACCTTTGAAAATGGGCGAGGCACGCCAGGTGTGCGCCGCCCCCTGGCCCAAGAACTGGCCCACTGAAATCTCCAGCAGAATCATGGGCAGGCCGACTAGAAACAGCAATACCACATACGGCACCAGGTACGCCGACCCGTAGCGGTCCAACTCGCGTGGGAAGCGGACCACGTTCGCGTAGCTCAGGTTCAGGCACAAACAGAGCACGAGACCGCGGAACACCGAGCATTTCGTCTGTAATAAAAAAAGAAATGGTATAAATATTGGAATTAGGTTGGTCGGGATGGGTTAAGCATTAACCTACACCCACCAGATATTTAACATCCCTCACTAACAACAAGGCGTGATGTACTATCTATTGACTAACAGCCTATAAATTGTACTGCAAATTGTTTATTATCAAACTTTGTTTTTTCATACCACAAATAAGTTGAAAATTTTCCTGCAGATGTCAGGTTTTTATTGAAACGAGTTTTTAATATTATTATGTTTGGGATATTTTCCAATTAGTCTTGCTTCATTTTGTCCATCAACAGTTTTTCCAATGAATATGTTAAAGTGTTAGGATTAGTTTCGGTGAGATTACTTTTGACTTATTTGGTGCATTTTAAATGTGTTGAGTTATTTATAACTTGAGATGATAAGATACCAACAAAACATACTTAAAGCCCAATAATATTATAAAGTTATTGGAAATCGACTAACAAAATAATATCGAAGTGCGATACAGGAACCTTTTATAATATTGCACTCATTAAACCAATGACAGGTATAAGATCATCAAGCTTAAGATTTATTTAACCATTTAGGAAAGTATTAATAGCAGCTATGAAACCCTCAACTATTTTTGTGAATGGTTTTAACCCTGAACTCCCTTCGAAGAAAGTAAAAGTTTACAATAAAAATTAAGCATTCAGCTGCTTGAAAAATTTGCGGAGCTGATGAGAAAATACAAATTTACAAATTGCTGTCATATGCAAACCCATTTGGGTTTTGTTTTTCTTGCAGGTAACCCAGACAAATAGCGGCAGTCACAGTTGCCGCATCCGCCGACATTAAGCAAAAACAAAAAGATACTCCTACAGAGCGTCGCCGTCATTTCCGGTACTTCCGCTTTCGACTTGTGTAATTTCGCTATGCTTCGCTTTATTTTCATTAATTACACAATTTTGCTTTCTGTTTATTTGTCTTACGACTCGTATTCCTCGAATCACTCCCCCCACAACACTCTGGCTTAGTTCTTTGTGTTTGCACACAGTGAGCGGCAAAAGAAAGTGCCCGCACCAGCAGGGTGTCATGGGGGATCTTATTAAGCGGTGGCCAAAATTCGCTCATGACTGCTATAACTCATCTGCGAAATGTACAGCATAAGCCCATTAGATGTGCCCGCGCAAATACATCAGCAAGCAGCTAACAACAATCCTCACTTTGCTTACTTTCAAAGTCGGAAAAAAACTAAAGCTAAAAAGAAGGGAAACCTTACCAACCAAAGAATACCTCTGACTTAGCAGAAAACCTTTAAAATGTTAAATCTATTTATGGTACACTTCCAATTAGTTTAAACTATATAACAGATAACTTCTTATATTTTTGCTATCTTAAAGTAAACAACTTAAAAAGCAATACTTAAGCTTCAAAATAATATACTGCCCCTTTTTTAGTTTTAGTGACAATAAATATGAAAACTATTTAGTATTTCCAGCCGCTTCCTATGCAAATCGACGACTTTGATGACCATCTGAATATATAATATAAACTCCCCTAATCTAAATTAATAACATGTCTCTTGTTTAAATTTAATAAATAAATTATCTAAACTTTGTTTTTTTTTTTAACACATAACTCTACAAGTTCTTAACTTCCAATGATAAGCACAGGGTATTTCATCTACTTAGCCGGCGAAGTGCTTTTAAGTGAAATTCATTCAGTTAGACAACCGAACTGCCAACAGGGCAACAACAGCATCCGAGCGGTACAGCGGTAGCAACGTGACGCCCAGGTAAACGCAGTTAATAAAGCGAAAACCGCACAGTGAAAATGTAAACAAAAAAAGTCGACCAGCCAAGCGGCGTTTGGAGCGAGGTTTATGAGCGTGCAGATGACGAGCGTTATATGGTCATATATCATATGGCATATCATGCATATCATGATGGCCCCCACAATCATTTAACCCCCCTATACCTATACCTGCAATCCATACCCCGCTCCATAACTTACTTTTCGATAGTATCGGAAGGGTACATCCTCGTGCACGACGTACAGATAGTCGGCTAAATACTTTGTCGTTGGTATCTCCATCTTGGGACAGACTTTGTATTGTTTGTAGGTATCAAAGAACTTGTCATTTTCTTGCATTTGTTTTTTTGTTACATACAAATCGGATTCAGTACTGTTATGCTTTCGATTTGTTTCTTTCTGTGGGAGGTGGGGCTAAAAAATTAATTGCACTGCACTCGAAAATAAATAAATTACAATTAGCAAGAGCACTCCGTGTGGATTTTAAGTATTTCGTATTTATTTTTGTAAAACTCATGCTAATTAAAGCCTCGACTTGTAGGTAGATTTGTGTCAAGAAAATAACAATATTTTTATGCAAGTGGAACAAGTTATCACGTGACGACAGCGAGCCAACAAAAAGCGCAGACTTTTAAAATAAATTGGCAACACCTTCAGAGCCTGGCCCTGAACCGCTTATTGAATGTCTCGCTGTCTCGTTTTGTTTTTATTTTTATTTAAGGTATTTGTATTCTTTTTTCTCTCTCTCATTTTTTCACAGATCGCCAACGCATATCAATGACAGTTGTCATGGAATTATAGTACTCAAGCTCCTTCTATATATAATACATATATTATATTTATATAGTTAGTTGTGGTTGCGGATTGCCTGGAATTCAATTACATTCGATTGCACAGAACTCATTCGCCAGGCGATTCACTTCACACTTTTTTTTTCAAATTTCCCCGATTGCACTGCGTTTCCTTTTTCTTTCAACTGTTTTTTATTTTTATTTTTTATGTTAAAATTTCTTTTTGCTTTTTAAAGCCTTTTGGTCGAGCGTGTGCACTCATCACCGCTGCAGCGTCGAGTTGCGACTGCGCAGACGACGATTTTGATTGGGGGGAAAATCGAATTCGAGTGCCCCGAGGAGAAAGAGGCGACCAGAGAGATGGCCAAACAAGTTTCCCCCTAATATGTAAACTTTTATTTGGGATCTCTCTTCGCTTGATTTTTCCTCTGGCTGAGTTTTCATCTGGATGAAGCCCAGATGTTGCTTGTGGACCACACCGACCGTGCGAGCGAGCGTACCTAACTGCTCTCTCATTAATGCAGAACTGACGACTGACGTAGTGCCGGCGGCAGCAAAATAAAAACAGCACCACCACCAATACTACCATCAGCGGCTCAAAAGCAGCGACGGCACCAAAGCGTGGCTTTCTATGCACAGTGGCTGCGCAAAGTCAGCGCACGCCTGCGCGCATCTGCTGAAAATGCGGAGTCAAGCTCACGCCTCACTGGGTTTCTTTGGAAATTTATGCATGCTTCTATCAGTGTACAGAAAAAAATGTAAGTACTTGTTAAAATCAGTTTAAAAAGTCTAAGATCACAAATTTAATAAATTATTCAATTTTTTTTTCAACAGTTACCTTACTAAATTTCATTTGATTTGAAGTTCAAAGGGGGATTTCAAAATGAAAAATAGTAGTAATGTTGATCTTCCATTTTATATTCCTATGTTTGATATTTTTATAAATCTTAATAAAATTTATAGTACTTTATTTTTAAAGGATTTTCTTACCAAATACGTAATATGTACAACTTTATTAAGTAAGATTTTGCCCCATTTAACATCTTTTTTCCCCATTTCCAACACCGCAAGACACATTTCTTCGAGTGCACTCAGCTCTTCTAAGAGAATTTAATCGTCACAGGGCTTATTGAAGCTTCTCAGCATTCTAAGCTCGCCCACGTGGGTTAATTGAAAAAAAAGAGCAGGGAATACAAAGATGCTGGCTGAATGAGATTCTATTTCTATTGCTTAATGATGCCCTTAGGCGGCGTTCCCATGTCTCGAAATCCATCTGCATAATTAACCTGTCTTCTGCACAGCAGGAAATGGCCACCACAAAGAGCAGAAACCGTCTATTAGTCTTGGCTCTTTGGGCCGCTTCTCATACTAAAATTAAATTTCATTTTAACACGTTCTTTTCTGACAGAAAGAGAGAGAAGAGCGAGGCAAATTCTAATTATTATGTAAGCATGCGAGCGAAACTGGCACTGGGCGCGTAATTAACAGCACTCACTGTGCGATCAAACAAAAATATGAGGGGGAATGAGAAAAAATGATCGAGGCAGCGCCGAGCAAAATAGGTGGAATGAATGGGCGCTAATGGAAAATAAAAACATTATTACTAGTTAGAATTTATATTTGGCATCAAAGTTCTGCCATATTGAGCGGAAGTTCGTAAGAAATGCTAATAAAATCGAAACGATAAGGGTTTGACTTTCTCAAACGACGATGATCACATCAAGAACTTCCACACATTTAGCATTAATAATTGCTTCGTTTTTCGGGTTTTTGACGGTTAAGTTTGTGCCTGGCATATCGAATGAGCTCTAAAGTGGTATGATATATATATATATATATGTATATGAAATATGAAAAGCCAAAAGTAAAAGCGTGGGCAGCGGCCAATTAAATGAGAAACTTAACCCATAAATACCCGCCAAGGTTTCTCCGTGGTTTCTTCTATCGAGAATTGATTCCGCGATTGTATCAGAGTGTATCAGAATGGAAAGGCCTCGTAGGCTGCACAATAATTACCTTCAGTATGGTATCACCTGAAACTGGAGTGTGAAAATGTCCCCACAATTGAGCTGGTCACAAAAGGTGTCCGAAATACGGCTATTGTGTGTGGTGTATTTCTGTTGAATAAGCGATGCCTCGACAATCTCTTTGGCTTTACGGATCTGGGCACTGGAGCATGGACAAGTGTACCCGGGGAGTTGGATCTGGGCTATTGTTTTACGACTTGGATTGCGTCTCGGGGGCTCTAATCAGTGGCCAGTGAAAGGAGAAGTCATGAAGCCATGTAGCTGTCTGTGATATCGTTAACTCGTCAAATGGTCTCGGTTACACCCAAAACCCGGTAGCGCAGTGTACCGTATAGTGGGATTGTGTATCGTAAAACTCAAGGAAATTCTGCTTGATTCTTTCTCAATCTTAACTTTCACTGTATACAAAGATATCCCGATCGGTCGATGCAATTCTAATTAGTGTGTTGCATTAAACCAGTTTTCCACTGACGTCATTTCTTATTTTCATTTCTTTTTTTTATGGCCGAAACGTGCGACTTGCCACTGCCGAATTTGCGCCGAAAGTATCTGCAACATTGTAGTTGTTGCCACTGTGTTTTGTTGAACTTGTTAATCAGCGAATTGGAAACGAAATAACATAAGAGATGAAGTAACTGAACAGCTCAAGAAACATGCATATGGGCAGAGGTTTTCGCTTTTGGGTCTTGGGTTTTGGCCACTCGCATGAGACGCAAAAACAAAAAAATGTGTAATGGAAGGGAAGTGGTGGTGGCGACGAGGGGCCATCGATTGTGGTAAGCAAATTGCACATTCGAAAAGTCAGTCCCAAGTTAAAAGTAAAAATAAGCAAACAAATATGCGAACTGCCGGCAGACATGGAATTAGCCGAGCCCAGTTGCAGATACTGTTTAAACTGCGGGACCATGAAATTGGTCAATAAATTGTACATTTCAGTGCAAAATTTTGGCAGCGAATAATTGAATTAGTTTATTATCTATCTATAGAGCTATAGAGTCAATGTGTAAAACTGGGAAGGAAATTAATATATCTTGCTTGATTGACAAAGTTATAAAGACATAATTTATTTTTAAATTGTTTTTGGATTTTTAATTTTTAGGTCTATTTAAAGCTAAAGGCGTCTCTTTACTTTACCTTTTCCCTCTTTAAACAATTAACAATTAACAAATATGGCAGTTGTTACTTTATCTAGAAATCTTACATGAACTTTACAACTTTGTACAATCGGATTAAAAGCAAATTTCAATTTAATCATTTGCAGTTGCCTTTAACGGTTTATCTCTAGCATAACAAAAGATTTAGGCCACGAACTTTGTGCCCCGATTACTATGCAGCACTTTATGGGATTACTTTGTTATGCTGTTTTGCTAAAAATATTAGCATACCCCAGGGGGCAGCAAAAAATTTACTTGACATGTTTGTCAAATAGTGTAGAAAAAGATGTCAAGTTGATGTATACAAATTTTCATTAAAGATTTTTACAGAATTGGTTTTCAGTTTAAAAAAAGCTATAAAAAATATCAAAAACATAAAGTTTACAACATATTGATCAAAAAATATGCGGATAAGTTGGTTTAACTTAATTTGGATTTATGAAATAACTCTATTTATTTATTATTTACTCCATTAATGAGCTTCAAAAGGCTTCCAGAAAAAACCTACGTAAGTATTTAATTTATTTTATTACCGCTAAAACTATATATTAACTTTCGTTGATGCTAATATATTCTAGTTTTATCTAAAGCAAATAAAACCAACAAACTATTTTCATTAATTTCTTCATGGCCGCAAAAATAGCCTTAAAGTTTATTTTTTATTGAATTAGCTATACACGCATAACGGTCATCGTACTAGTGTATGTGTGTGATGCTAATTAAAGCCAATTAACATCTGTTCGACGCATTTCATATTGCACTTGGCACTTGCACTTGCACTTCTACTCGGCCGGGGAACCTGGCCTGAATGGGTGAAAATTGCGGGAAACAATGGGAGAGCTGTGTTGATGCGAAAGACAATGGCCAAGCGACCAGCTGGGCCCTATCCGGTCCACTCCGATCCAGTCCGGTGGTGCCCGCTGCCTTACTAACCCAAATAGGAGACAAATACGAGCACACAGATGCCGAAACTAGTTTTATGATCTTGTTTATGATGTTGCCGCGGCCCGACAAACCCTATAAACAATGACTATTAGACCAAGACACCAGGATGGTATTGTATGAAAGACCTGCATTCCCCTCCCGATACGAGCAACAAAAGCGCTTCAGGTGTTCGAAGGTTGCCAAAGCCACGCCCCTCTGCTGCAACCAATTTATGTGTAGTCTTAGGTAATCTTCATCTTGAAAACTATTCAAACACCTCAAATCGAAGATCAGCAAACAAAGGAGGAGAGCAAACAAATCCCGCGAAAATTAACGCGTTTCAACTCAACTGCTAGAAGGTATGACAGTGAGCGGGAAAAGTCTGTTGATATGTATAGAAACTAATTTTAAACTAAACTGCACCCATGCCATTTTATAGCTTAGAAGATCTAAGATATATTTTTAATTAAGGAAGAAGTTAAATTACCTAAGTAATTATCACTTAATAAAAATAGTAAATTCTTACAAATTCTTTTAAAAAATATAAGGCATTGCAGTGCTAGCTTTTTATTATATTTTTTGTTTACGGAAGTCTTTAAAAATCATACAACTATCACTGCCAGACGATTTCATTAGCTTAGACAAATCAATCGAATTGGAGCCAAGCAAACAAAAATGTGAATATTCTGTTGGGACCTGAGACACGTACACAAAGTCGTTCTGAATATTTTCAGCATTATTAAGCGGATAAATAAAATTTACAGCGACTCGTGAGTAATCAATAAACGGAATCACCGAATCTCCATTCAGAGAAGACTCGCCTCACCTGATGATAAGCAGCAGTCAGCGGAGAATTACCCCAACATCATTCTTATTCACATTCATTCTGATTTATTCTGACAAAATCTGAAGAGGAAGATGAATCAAATCGCTTCTGGCTAACCCGTAACATTGAACAAAAGGGGTTTGACTTGTGAGATCTTGGCCGATAACTTCTAAATAACCAAAACAGGTAAGACCGCCACTCTTCTGGAAGTAGAAATAAATTGCATACACGAGCTCCGGCTTCGAAGATGAACTACTTTTTTGAAAGTTCAATCTATCGGAATGCTAAATGAATCTCAAACATGCTAATAAATATACACTTTAATTGCTTTGGCTAGGCCACGAATTCAAAGGCGTGTGTCTGATATGGGATTAAGTTTCTTTTGGAAGCTTTTTCATTTAACAGACGAATTGTATTAATTAATTTTTGTAGCTCAGCAGAGAGGTCGTTTAATCAAATATACTATTTAGTTTGTTATTAATTGAAAGTTGAAATGGTTGAAATATTTAACAGATAGTGAAAGATGATAAGGAATTGAGTTAATTCAAGGATTTAGAAATAAAACAAAATAATGTAATAACGAAAATAAACGTATATAATGATAAAAATCTTAAATTTCACAAAGTCTTAACTAAAAACTAAATGAAATTATTTTTAGTTCAATAAAGTTAGTTTTTTTACGTGCAAGCCCGTTAAGCAGTAACTAATCAATAGCCTTGAAAATTATTTTTAATTTCCTTATAAACTCCATTTCCTATTAGCTTTCCCACCATAAAACCACAAGATTTTCCCCCGCTTTCCCCCTAAGCTGTCTTCCCCACTCACCTGTTTGTTGGACTCATCCTCGACGGCGGGCAGCAACTTGGCATTGCTGGCCGTGGTTATGTTGTGGGCGGAGTGGGCAGATGCCGACACGGAGAAGTTCTTGGACACCGCGTCATGATCCATGTCGTGGTATCCACCCTGGATTTCGCTCAGTGTGTTGTTGCTGCCGCTCAGGGTGACGATGCCGCTGGAGCTGATGCGACCAGAAGTAGCGGTAGTACGACCGCCTCCACTGTCCACCACACTGGACACCGTGGAGATGCAACTGCGAGTGGTCTGGGGCGAGGGCGTAACCGTAGGCAGATCCGTCTCATTGGCCTTGGCCTTTCGCATATTCAGCCAGGACATTCGTTGCGGTTGCCGACGATCCAGGGTCACGGATATCTGACCATTTCCTGTTCCACCGCTCGTCGGCGCCCCACCAATATAAACACAGGTTCGCGACGTGGCTGTGGAATCGCTGCGCAGGCGGTTGGAGCTGTCACTTTGATTGTGGTTGTTATCATGGCGCGGCAGGGTTGCCATGGCGCCGGATATTTGTCGGTAGGTGGGAGTGGCCGGGGGCTTGGTGCCACTTCCGGCACGGGCTAAGCTAAACTGCTCGGCTAGGGCCTCGTCACTACTGCGGGGCTTATAGCTGCTGCTCATCGATCAGTTCTACGGAGATAATGATAAAAAAAAAAGAAGATTGTCAGCCGAATTTGTCAAGTAAGATTAATATTTCCTTGCATTAATAGAGGTAAACAAATTGGGGATCAAAAACCTTTTCAGGAGTGCCACACAATCTTACAAAATCTAATTTCATCCGAACTCTGAATCATAGAATAATTTTGGGTTGTTTCAAGGAAAACAAAAGGTCATGTATTTCTCAAAGAGAATATTACTGAAAATTAAACTTAAAAAAGGTATCTGTCAGATACAATTAAAATTTTACGGTTTTGAATGCTAAAAAACCGATAAAAGATCTAATTTATATAAAAAATGACCTTTAATGGATTTTATATATTCTTTTCATGAAAATCTTTTATCAAAATCCAAAAATAATGATAAATATTTAAAAACAACAACAAGCGAATTTTTCAATAATTTTTGCTTTGTCTCAGTGAGTAAAATTCGTGGAAATATCAGAATAACTTCAAAGCCCCACTCCGCCAGAGGAGTTCACACGCAACCCAAAAATCATATTAAAAATACGATTATATCCGCTTTTTGGTTTTTCTAACGAAATGATTCATATGGGAGATTGGATGGGGCTTTGTTTTTTTTGGCCTGTTTGGACAACAGATTTACATGCGAATCGAACTGCGAGAGAGAACAATGTCTGTCCGTTGAACGGAAAGTGAAAAGTCGCCACTGATCGCAGCACTGCGAAAGTGAAAGCCCTTTAGCCATTCTACAGCATACTGATGACCATATTATGGTATATGGATTATGACATTGTTTTCTGAAGATTCTGCAAAGGCCTTTTGTTATACAATTCAGCACAAATCAGAGCAAATCATTTCATTTTCTGATCTAGACAGGTGCCTTTTTAGTTGCCAAAAATTTCACTTGGTTGTTTTTTATCAGTCACTGACAGAGAAAACATCTCCACCGAAAGTTGGCAACAATGAGCGTTGAAACAAAGTCGTAAAAAACAACTGTTCCAATATGAACATGGCTAAATAAAAAACAAAACAAAATAAACCGAATCGCAAGACACACAGAGCGATATCAGTTGGTTGGCTCACTGTTTCCCAACTTACTTTATTGACCTGAAAATGAGTTTCTAGAGCTGGAAATATTTTTAGCGTTTCATTGCCATCGTTTAACCCATTGGCAGTCAAGCTTAATTTGATCAGATTTAGTTTGAAAATTTAAATGGTGTTATTTAACCAAGAATTTCAAAAATCTGTTAGGAAACAGCCTAGTTTTATTGCTTTTAAATTAACAGATTTACGAGCTGATAGATTTTATAGTTAAAAATGGTCCTCCTTCAAGGTCTACTATCTCTGCGATCCCAATGCTGATCTTTTTGTTAATTATTTTCATTTGAATAGAATACAAACTCTATTTCAGAACGGAAGATAAACGAAGTAGCCGGACAAGTTTCATTATCAAACTTGAATAGCTAAAAATTCTTTGTGATAAAATTCACTTAAAATTGATAAACGTTTAACCTCTCAACATAAACAACTATTTTATTGACATTCCCTATTTGGCATCCCATAAATCTGTCAATGTGTTTCCCAAAAAGCGATAAAGAAAAGACTTAAATACAGTTCATAATTAAGCCAGCTACCGTCTTCGAGCCTTGGCAACGCAAATTAAGCAAATATATGCGGCTAATAATCATTAATTAAGCCAAGTGCTCGAATATGTTCGGCGATCGGCTCTTTTTATTTTTATTTTGCACCGCTGGATACAATTCAAATGGCAAGATGACTCAACCTGAACATAACATTTCGATTGTTAAGGTTGTGTCATTATATTAATGACTGCTCTCATCTTATCGGCACAATGGCACACATTTATCTTGGCAACAGCCACAGCAGCACCACCAGCAGCCTCTTATCACAATCACCTCAAAATGCATATTTTCAAATAATTATGCATGCTTGCATAAATGAGCAAAAAAATAAAAAGGCAAGAGAAGAAAACAAAATCAACTCTTAACATGCGATTGAGTTCGGTGACCAGCAAAACAGTCCAAAGGGGGCCGTATCCGAATCTTAGCCGGGTATTTATACAAATTTTCGAACATTTACTGCTCTTCCAGACCGCCGAGTCATAAAAATAAAAGCAGGTGCTGGTCTGAGGGGTACGAACTAAGGGATATCCTGTAAGTTATGGCTTCATTTTAAAGATTTTCACTTTTTAATTATGATCATCAATCACAAATAAGGAGTAAAAAGCCAAAATCAACCTAAAAATGTGTTTTAATTTTAGAAAAATTCACTTTCAGAAACTTAAACTCAAAATATGTTTAACTTATCTTTTAACAAGTTTATCTATATCAGCTTAACAAGATTGTGTCATTCTGATATTCAACATTATCTTGATCATTGCATAACCTACATTATTATCTTTGACAAACTGCAATATGCCTTTTAGACCCTTAAAACTGAATTTCCCGTGAAACTTCCTTTTTTCGTATCAAATTACTTTGGCCAGCCGATGTTTATCCACAAACAAGCATTAATGAGTACCGGGTATCGAAGTGTTTACGGCGTCTTTGGCCAAATGAAGGCACCAAAGTGGATAACGGCGGCGGCGTCTCCATTTGTTTATTATTGAACATTTTGCAAACAAATGTGGCGCCGTAGTGGCAGAGATTTACATGTTGCATATACACAATCAGATTCAGATACGAAATAAGGAGAAATTGTGAATGCCTTCAGAGCCCACTCACACAGGGACAAGCTAGCAGATCGCAGACACAGATACAAATTTTGAAGAGACGGGGCGGAACCAAAAGCGGGATCGCTCGACCGTTGGGCGAAGACTCGGAAACCCAGTCCAGCGGGACGAAAGCCAAGGGATCCGGCGATCCGGCGATGCATCAAGTTACAAGTTATTAACAGGTACGAGTGCGAGTACAAGTGTTGCCAAGGAAAGCACCATACAATACCCGTATATATATACAATATATATATATATATATCTTTGTATATATCCGTGGTACCTGCTTTTCTTTGTGCACTCAAACTGAACGGCGACAAGTGAGAGAGTTGGGGGTTTGAAAAATGTATGACACTTGATAAAGGTTCTGACGAGGGCAGCATATATATATGATTATAGTACTTCTATATATAGAAATGCCGGTGGTGCCAGTAGCTACTCCATCACCACCATGGAACCCAGCCGGGCGTAACCACAACGCAAGACAACTTGGTCAGTGGCCAAAGCCAAACTGAACATTAACTTGCCATTTAGCCATTTAGCCTGTACTTATGTTTTGGCCCGGAGAGCCCAAACAAACCGCACAGAACCCCAGATCATCATACTCCACCTTTGGTAATAAAGTTTTTCTTAGCTTAAATTATCAAGGGTTCACTTCCAAGGAAACCCCAAGAATCAACGTTGCTTTGGCAGTCATTATTTTTAATGGAAAAGCAAATGGATGGATGGATGATTTTGATATATATAAAAAGCTTGTCTTATGGGAAATTCACAAAACAAAGAACCCGCCAGATCAATCTGTTTTTGAAGGTCAAAGTAGTTGAAGGGTTTTTGTTACAGACAAATGGATATGATACGTTCTTAATGGGTCTTTATGGGTATTTAATGGTCATCATGATAGGGTTACTGATATGGGTAATGAAGTAAAGAACTGCACAGCTAGTTTCGGGATATTTCTATTCAAATTCTCATCAGTCTAGAGCTTTTAGCAGTTTGAAGTTGATATATATAAAATCATAAGAACACTTCTGGTACCAATATTTCTCGCTGTGCTACAACCTTTACCATTAATAACATTCCCACCGGACTACCGTCAATTAAACGGCGTACTATCATTATTTTCGTACCCAATTGTAACGAGCACACGTGGTTGACCTTTGACAGGGCGAAAGTCCAAGCTGCCAGCAATTCGAACATCCATTATATATGGATGAACCTGAACCTGAGGCAGAATTGTCACAAGTGGCAGGCAAACAACACAGTAATTTCCATTTACAAAGCGGCAGCACTAATTAGTGTCCGACTGGGTGGCTAATTTGGAGATCATCCAACGGGGAGACCACATCCAAATCAAATCAAAGCCAATCTCGTGGCAACAATTCATTTAGTGAATCTCGGGGATAATCGCAATTAGCTATGGGTTGTGTATCTAAATCTGTATCTCTAATAGCCGTATCTGTATCTCAATCTGCATTCGAGTAATTGAAAGTCTGCGCTTGGCTTTTAAGTAAAAGGAAAGTAAAAACTATTTAGATGGGTCTCTGTTTATTTCTCCTCTTTCTTCTGCTTCTGACGGCTCACAGATCACAGCGGCTAACAAACGAAAGTAAAAACAACAAAGCCAAGTTAGTATACTACTTGGCTAACTAACTGGCAACTTCCAGCCGACAACTTCCAACTTCCAACTGACTTGACACCATTTCTCAAAAGGCGAAGATTATGTAAAATTATGTGCAAATTGAATTGAAACTCAGGCGACACAAGTAAAAGTATCTGCAAGTAGTATCTCGGCATTCGCGCGTGTATCGTGTCGCTATCGTATGTATTGATTGCCTTTTATTGATTGTCCAATTCCAATCGAGTTTAATTAATGCTGTCCGCTCTGGGGACACGGACCACTGCAAAATCTCGCCATGCCACGCCCCACGACCGCTTCACTGAATCCACATTTCGATGTGAATTTTCAGCGGTGTTTTCTCAACAAATTGTCACATCTGCGATGGCAATTCGAGTTCCGTTTTTATTTCGAGTTAGTGGGACGAAACAAACACTATAGAGATGTGATCCGAAAACTTGTTCGGCCATTATGGCTCTGCAAATTGCATTTAGCTCGTGGTAATTACACTTATCCACAGATCAAGGCAAGTGGACACTTTTTACTTTGAGTTTTTTCGCTTTTTTCCGTTTTTATTGGACCTGTTTTGCGCGTGGAGATTAGCCAAGAAATTACCCACTTTGACACTTGTTTGCCACTGGGTCAAGAGCATAAAAAAGAGATACACCAGGAGGCTAAAACTCAGACCGCAAACTCGATTCAATAGTTGATTCAGGACCGTGTTGGCCCATGATTTGCATAAATGGCGTCGTGCTGCCCTTGCCGCTCGTTAATTGCATCAGCATCAAGTCTCTGGCAATCATAATCGGTACTCAAAACAAAACTCTACTAAATGTTAGTTGCCCCCTTACCATGCCCCCTCCCTCTAGTTGCACAACCAAAGTTTCGCTTTTGGTTTCGCACAATGGCAATTATCAGAATCATTAGCAACTGAATGCCCCCCTCATTGACATTAGATTTGCCGCTTTCGCAATCGATTCCAGCCAACAGAAATGGCAATGAAAACGCTGGGATGCTACCTGAATAACTTCAATTGTTTAAATAATATTCAAGCCAGGTGTTTGAAGATGATAACTCGTTTTATGAAACTTTTTCTGTGCCTAAACAAGTTGCAAAAATCTTTTGGTTGCGCTTCTAAGTTTAGTTAAAGGTTTTTGTTGTGTCTAAGTTTAAGCTGGTTCTGAGCTAAGCATTCTCAGTGTAGGAGGATGATCACTTAAATATAAGTTTAAAAAAAGAATAAGAGATAATATATTTAAAGTAAATCAAGTCTATTTGGAGGGAAATAAACTATCATATCGATATTTCACGCTTTGTAGTTTAATTTTCCATTTAAACCACATAAAATTAGTCCGAGTTTTTGTATTAAGACAAAAGCATTAATTACCGTAAAATTCCTCGAAAATGTATAAAATAAACTAAGCTCCGGTAAAACGATCACAAGCACTTTGAAAACAGTTTTTAGCATGCAAATATTTTGATATATTTTCGCTTTTCACAGAATTTCAATGAACTTCTTTCCACTTCTTATGGTCGGGCTAAGGTTAAGCCGACATTCATTCATCACTTGTTAGGAAGTAGATAATTTTTAATTTGTATTCAAGTTGGCTTCTGCTTTTTTTCGGGGGCAACCAGCGAAACTGGAACTGGTAATCAGAGACGTAACTCTGATCCAAAAAGCTCATTTGAATGCTCCACAAAGAGCAATTGCCACACGGCGAAATGGCAATCATTGAAGCACTGGAACCGTCATCAATTTCGATTCAATAGCGCAAAAATTCATGGAAATTACGTTCTCACACACGCGAAAAAAACAAACAAATAGACAATGAAAATTCGAAATACACAAATTCGAAGCGTTTTGCGGTAACAGAAAAACTAAACGGCGACGACGACAGGTTCAGCGTTACTGACTGACTGACTGAGCTGACTGCCTGAGAGCGGAACTACGATGAGCTGAGCTGAGCAGAGCTACGGATAACGTTTACCTGTCAGGTAGCGACCGAGCTGAGCGGTACTACACGTGTAACAGCTAAATGTATCTGGCAGATACACAGCTCCTAGCCCATCCGATCAGGCGTCTGCTAATCGAGGTAATATCAACGAAACACGCAAACCATTTTAAGATAACTCTGGTGAGAGAGACTCTCTATTTTACCATATCCTGCACGCGAAAAAATTATATCAATTTTGGGCTTAGATCTATAAATATTACCCAATTTGTATTATCAATTTTGATGGCAGATCTAGAGAGGGAAAGAGAGAGGTCACATGAGCGAGACTCTCTTTTTGCAGGTGCACAGTAAGAAATTCTATACGTTTACTAAGAAGTTTCTTAAATATTGTACAATTTACAATTTAAATAAACTATTTGTAAAATTTGTAGTTGAGTTTTAAATATTTTAGAAAGCAGAAAAGTTATAAAATCAGGAAAAAGACTTCTCTTCAGAAATATTAACTAATGAACTACGAAAACTTTTTGATGGACAACCCTCATGAGTGCATATAAGAAATCAATATTGTTGTGCCTTAATTAACTTTTTCTAATCCCAACCTTCAAAACAATTTAACTTACAAAGTAAAAACTAATTAAGACAAGGGTAAAAGAAACATGAGTTTGTTTGAAAATCTTGCTTAAATATGTTAAAAAGATTAATCTCTTCTTCAACATACATAAAACATAAAAATATGTTATCTAAATTGAAATTTAAAAACAAAAACAAAACAAAAGAGAAACAAGAAGAGATAAGATACAAACAATATGAGCTAATGTAAAAATGATCCATTTATACATTCAAAGTTAAAAGTTTATCAGTTCCTTGATTTCTTAATATTTGTTTTGAGCTGAAACAACCTTACAAGTAGTACATAAATTTGTTCCGTGTATTCAGCACATAGGAACAAATATAGGAATCCCAAAAACTGGGTTTCATTGAGGGAGGGAAAAACCTTCGAAACCTTCGCCAAAGAAGCCGCACAACAAAGAATCAGGCAAACGAAATGCTCATAAACAGGAAATTAATCACTCGAGTGTGTGTATGACGCGTCGATTCCCATTCTCAGGGGATCATCAGGTAGGAGGACCTAAGTCTCTACTGGCAGAAAAAGGACGAGGTTGTGGACGAGGAAGTGAGAATTTGAGGGTTAGGGCAAGGTTCGGTTCAGGTTCGAGTAAATTCCCATTTGCCAAGGTCGCTCAGGTACTTACAACTTCATTCGCTCGCTGCGTGCAATTCAATTCTGTTTATTTTGACTTTTCGATTGTTCACACTGTGCAACATAAAACGATTTAAGCAAAAGAAAAAAACAAGATTCCCAGGTAGTGCTATGCTATTGGCATAATGCTAATGAGTTCCTAGTTTGAGTTTTTTCCTAACGATGATCCAATGGCATGCTGAAAGATTCTTTGCCAATAACTAATTACAATTGGAGATGTTGCCACTTTTTAGAGGAGGCGGGTAGAGCAAAGTTACCGGTTTCCGGCTCATTTCTAATTATAAATCAGACAACTCAACAATTATCTTTTTAATATTAATTTAGCATGCATCCAGCAAATATTTCATGGCCCCAGAACATTTGCGCATTACTGTTGTTGATCATGAGCTCGAGGGGCACAAAGTAAGGCCCTCTGAACATCTTTTGATACGAGAAACGTGCGAGTGCTTTGTCTTGTTTTGATTTTTTTGTTCTACTCGAGAATTAATGGGATGAGGAAACCATCTTCGCAGCTTCACAAAAAAGAAGCTTAGCAATATTTGTTATTTCCTTGGAAGGTTATTTTCTTTATATAATCCGGAAAAAGGTATTTTCTCTAAAGCGATGTTTTCTAAGAAGTATTTCATGAATTTTTAGCTATAGTTATAGTTCGGAACTACTTCTTGGTTTGGTTTTTAGTTAAAATGTAAATGACGTACGTTTCCCCAAAGATCAATATTCATTTTTAAAATAAGTTAAGTCAGTCCTAAGGATTTCAATTTATTAAGTTGAATATATTTCCTCTCCTTAGCGGACACTACCAACAATCTCTTTAAGATAATTCCTTAATGTGATAATTTCCTATTCGTATGCTTAGCTGATTTATGCCGACATTTTCGTCACACCTGAGCCTCCCAGGTAAAACCTCTTTCTTCTTAAAGAGCTCAAGGCAGTTGAGCTTTCAGCTTGGAACTGTGTTAGAACCGGGTAGATCAAAATGGGGGAAACTGGTCTATGTGTAATGTAAGACACGAGTTCGTCCACTTCCAAGATCACGTTTGCATGGTGAAAACAAACCAAACCAGACGAACGCAGACACACACTCGAAAAAAAGGGGACGATAGCCGACTCGCCTTGGCAAGAAGTAACCTGTCAGTTACCAAAATGAGCGCAGAGCCATTTTCCGCAGCATGCTTTACTTTGCTTTACATTACGCTTTTTTGTTTTGCTATTTCCCAGCCGCCTTTTGGCCACTTTCTAGCAGCAGACTGTAAGACTGTGTAAGACTATTAGAACCGCCAAGCAAATTGCACCACTTTGTGGCGTTCTGGAGGCGAGTCGGCCAAGAGGCATCATTATCATGGCCATTACCGGCTGCAGTGTACCTTACTGACACCATAAATGGTCCGCCTGGGCCCTGTGCTTCAGCGTTATGTGTTCTAGGTCCAGAAGGGGAGCCTCTCTACGAGATTAAATGTGTGAGTGTGTGTTGTCAACTATCTGGAGTTACTTTCCACCTCGACTGCGTGGAGCAATCGAGATGCGAGATCTGCAACTCTACCCCAATCGAATATGACGTGCTCAAGCGTTTATTCTTTCATCGTTTCTAAGAGCCAACTTGAGCAAATATCGCATGTCTCTTCACTTTTCTAGCAGGTAAATTGCTTATAGTGAAGAACAGTTTTTTCTTGAGAACTTTGGTACCATTTTGTATACTAAAATATAGACATTAACTAAGCATGAGATTGGCTTAAAACAAACTCTTAAATAGTAAAAGATCTATATTTTAACTTCTAAACTGTCTTTACATGACAAGCGTCAAACTATTGGTTAAAAAGTTACATATATATATCTTAATCTTCTTGGTTTGAGAAATTATGAAGTATTTCGGGTGGTACAGCTATTAACTAACAGGAAGTTTAAATGAAGATTTGGAGGCAAAAGAGCTCTTCTTACTTTCTCATTAAAAGATTATGAGAATGATCATTTTCGTTTTTATCCCAAATAATTATCTTTACAACTTCTGATTATATCAACAAGATTCTTCATGATGTATAAGCTTGTTAATTATACAATTTTACTTTTTCCAAAGATTTTAAGGCCACAGTACACTTAAAACCAGGCAACTTCCTCACTTTTGCAGCTTTTGATTTAGTTACAACGCCTGTCACGGGTTCACACAGTTCACATGGCTGATGGATTTCGAGAATAAAGATCCGTAGCCAGGGGGATGAGCGGGTGGTATTATGTGTCTGGCTTGCATACTATATTCAGTTAGCACTTGCCGTAACTCCTCTTGCCTTTGATTTTATTTAATTCGAGAGTGACTTCATTTTCTCAGGGCTGAGACGAGCGAGATCTAAGGCTGAGCTGGGCCGGTGGGTGACATGCAACCCCCGTTTCGGGTTATTTATACACATTTTATCGTATAACGTTCCATTGTTCCGAACAATGTGCACTGCGCACACACTCTTTTTTTTCCACATGCATTATAAAACAAGCACATAACTATATAAGCACCTGTATATAGGTGTTTTCATATGCACACTTGCGGCGCTTATTGTTTAAGCTTTTTCGATTGCCAAACACCCCGAAAATTTTTAAAAGAAAAAATTTGAGCACGTATGTCAGAGATTAGGTGCCAACTCTGGCTGACCGTCGGTGGGTTCTGCTGATGACAGCAGACCTGGAAAATTTGGAATTAATTAGTCTAGGTCTAGACTCGGCTCGCGAAAATATAACGGTCAGTTGGCTGGGCAAAAATGGAAAATGCGAATGTGAAAGAAATGTGCGGCCCGCGGCCCACGGCGAGCCATGGTGCACTTACCAATGGCAAAAACAAAGAAGCGAAAATGAAGAAAGAACGAAAGGTAAGGTAAGAAGCCAGAAATGGGCAGGGAAAAAACCACCTCTGGCTGTGCTAACCTCAAGTAAACCTAAGTTCTGGTTCAGGCTAAAAACCGGAGTGAGATTGAGGAAAAAACCTGATGACTCAGTCACGAAGTACAAAGTTGATGGCTTCCCCTTCGGGAAATTGTCGGAAAGTTATGGGGGAGAGTGGGTGAGCTGAGAGTGGGGGGTAGGCGGCAGTAGGGGCCACGTTCCCGTACTCCCGACGACATTGCAGTTGAGTAAAATATTAAAAACAAAAGATAATGACCGAGTGCAAATATTTACCAAGCCATGCATTCTACAGCGGAAATTACTCGGTCATATGCCATTTCCTTTAGTAATATAATTCTAAGTGTGCCACGCAAATAGGTAAACACTCGTCTTAGAACGAAAACAAGAGTGACTCCAAGTGTTTACACTTAATTCAAGGTATAATAATTGTAAATAACAAGTGCTAAAAAGTAAACTTCTGATTTTAGCAACAAGTTTACATAACTTAAAAATATTATTAGTTTAACATTTCCCTTTAGTCATTATATTTCATTTTCCAGAACACCATTAACATTTATATTTATATATAATATTTATATTCCCAACTGGCACTTTTCTTAGGTACATATTACAAAACAAATGAGGTGTGGACCATTAATTCTCCACGGTTATCAAGAGCACAAAATATATTCTTTGCATGCAAATAATAAAATGGGACGGTAATTAAAATTAAGCAAATAAAAATTTCAATGCTGGCAATCAGGGAAATTAAATACTGTATATAGAGCACAAATGAGAACTTTGATATCGCCGCAATTGATGCAAGGTACAGTGATGAAATCTGATACTATACTCATTCATACATAGCAACTGAAATAATATTTATATTTGCAAAAGTATAAAACTTGAAACTTGGCATTGAAGTAATAAGACACGGGAATTCTAAAAATGAAAACATTAATTGTTAACCTACTTATTGTTAAGCATATATACTAATTAACAAGTTCAAGCTGCTAAGTGAGGCCACATCATTCCTGGTCTTTAAATGACTCAAGATTACCTTAGTGATTACAATGTTTACTGATCACATACATAGATAACTCTTTTACTTAATCACTACGCATAGTTGGAGTCTTATCGCACTTTATCCGTTTCTTCCAGCACAATTACAGTGAGTTCTCTGAGCGGAGGGCCAAAAATGAGTTGACTACGGTCTGAACTAGCTAATTATAGCGGAAGTCGAAAATGCACCGCCAATATCGTAGCATTGAACTTGCCAAGACGATCGGCCGAGCGATCGCAACTGACTGACTTTCCAGGGGCTTATCAAGGTGGGCCAGGTTTCAGCGAAACTTCGTTAAAATATACTGCAACAGCCACTCTGATGACCGTCAGTTAAGGCGAAAAACAAAAGGCAGTTGTTAAAGTGGAATGGTAAGAAGGAAAGAAACAGTGGAAGTTGGCTTAGATATATAAGTAACTTTAAAAGTGCAACACGAAGAAGGGACCTTTAACAAAATAAGGAAATCTCGATGAGTATAAAAAGCAAGTAAGCCATTTATTAAACTCCACTTAAAATACAATATTTTTAAAAACCATTATTTATTTTTAACACTGTTTTTAAGGAACTACAGTTTGACATTGTTTTAGAGAATAGTGTTTGTATAGACGACATAGCTTGGTAAGGATTTAATCAGGATTTTAATCACGAACGAAATTCGAATTAGTTTACACTATGTCAGTTGTTCGATTAGTTTTAAATCACCAATAAATATGTAAATAAGTTCTTCAAGTTCCTCCGAACCGGAATAACAGTTAACCGGTATCCACTGTACTACAGGCAGCCGAAAAAGTGGAAGAACATGAGCACGGGAGCGCACGAAAAACACAAAAAGCGAGGAACTTGTGTGCATAAGAAATGCAAAGACGGAGGGCAAGGCAAGGTAAGGAAAGGAAAGGAAAGGAGGAGATGGATGGGGATATGGGAAGGTAAGGAGAATCGAGTCAGGAGCGACAACCGCAGCACGAAACTGGTCAAACGGGTCGCTATAGTGGCCTTATATTCATGGGACAGCCCAGACAGGAGGGAGGATCAGTTCGGAACGGCGGATCGGCGGGTGTCTAACTTTTTGTTCTCCCTCTGACGGAGCTTCGTAAAATATGCACCACATTCAGTCGCATGCATTGCGGCATTTTGCAATTACCATTTGCATTTCACGGAGTTATCAACACAGGGCACATGAGCACACACGGAAACACGTACGGATAGAACAATTTAAAATGCACGGAATAAAAACGCTTATAATTCAGTTGGAGGCGAAACGACGCGGACGGGCGACAACCGATCCCAGTGACGGCTTTTTTGAACTGACGTTGGCGCGCAACTTGGCTGGGAGCTCGACCCAGAACTCCAACTGCTAGCGGCTGAAAAGCAACCCCAGAAAGCTCACTCTTCAAGCTGCAGGGCTCTCTCTGTATCTCTTCGGGTCTCTGCTATCTCTTATGATCTTGAAGAGCTATCTCTTTGACCTTACCGGACTGTTTAAATATGCGTGATATATATTTTACGATCAGCTGAAGTGACGCTTTTAATTTTATAGTCACGAAAAAACCTGGAGTATATGATCTTTAGGGTTTTACGTTTTCATGTAAGAGACAATTCAACTCTTAGATTTTTAGAATAAATACTGAAGCTAATAATCAGTGTAGTACCTAAATCATTCTACTTTTTTACAAAAATCTTACCCACATTTTAAAAAAATGTAATAGGGGAAGTTCAATATTTATCTAGAACTTATACAACAAACAACATCAGATGCTGACTATTGAAAAGCTCCCCTTAAAGTTACTCTCCCCGGAACTTAGTATCTGTGATCTCTCTCTTGCTCCCTCTCTTTTACTGTTTTGAGCCTTTACAGATCCACATCTGTTTAAATATACGCGCCATATATTTTCCAATCAGCAGAAACAGCGCTTTAAATACTATTGCACTTAAAAATAAAACCCGGTTTACACGTTCCCTGATTTCAAGATACCAATCCCTTGATCAGTGAGAGCGCGCTATGTCCGAGAAGAAGGCGAGTATGTCCTGAATGTTGAACTCCAAGTTAATCATGGCGCCGGCGTAGCACTTCTGGATGCGCTCCTCCAGATAGTTGTACTGGGCAATGAACTCCTCCTGCATGGCGTGCCACACCACCTGCAGCAGATTTTCCTCCTCACTTAAATGCTTTTCGACTTTTTTGTAGAGGTTCTCCAAGCCTTTCTTTACTTCTCGCGCCGGATACTGGGCAATAACCTTGCGAAGCTCCTGTTTGGAGAAGGCCATCTGGTAGCTGATCTCTGTCTCTTTGACTCCCTGTGCCACTTTTTGCTGCACGCCTTCGAAGAATTGCTGCAAACGGATATTTGAATAAACAGCTGTGAGTGTGTTTTGAGGGTCATTGACTTTGACTTACATTCAGTTTCTCCAAAGGCCGTCCGAAGTATTGAGTCACATAAGCTTTTAGCGCATCGTTGTAACACTTCTTGGCTTCTTTTTTTAAAGCATCCAGACCAGGAACCTTAAGCTGGGCTAGCAAGGCGTACATGTGGTGGTAGTTCTCCATGCGCACCACCTGCACAGGTGTCTTTGGATGCTCTTGCGAATGGAGATGAATACCCTCAAAGATGGCATTAACCAATTGCAAGTACCATTTCTCCATATCCGTACGGCGATCTGACTTACGGAAGATTCCTTCCGCCGTTTGAGCAAAGTTCTCGAAGTTCTCGACATACGGCAGAATGGCCTTTGAGCGCTTGTGTAACTTGGCTTCCCGGATAGACTGCAACTGGTTCTGCATAAAGCGGTCAAAACTGCGCTTCACCTGAACCAAGGCGGAGGCAAAGGTCATGCTGAGAAAGGAATGTGTGTCCTGAGCGGACATGACGTGCTGGGTGAGTCGCACAAAGACGTAAAGAGAGTAGCTGCAAGTAGAGAGCATTTCTTAATAAATATATGCAGGATCAATTTGTCCACCCTGATTACTCACAAGCTGTCCACACGCTCAAAGCTCTGAATGAAGCTAACTAGCTCCGGTTCGAGGCAACCGAACAGTCCCATCATCAGTTTTCGCACATCCTCATTAATTTGACGATCAATTCGTTTCTGAGGTACACCGTCACTTGATGGCGAGACCGCTCCCGCTAAGACAGACTGTGAAATGTCCACCGCCTTCTCCATCTCTAACGTGGTCTGCGTGTTCTTCGTCGTTGGACTGATAACGTCCATTTGGAAAAAGTTAATGCAGAATAGTTGTTCCTGCAGGGCAATGGGTTCCAGCTCAGCTAAAACCTTTTCCAGCAGGGCATCGAAACGAATTCGATCGGCACTCTCAACACCCGGTCCCCACTGATCCCTATTGATTCCCAAAGTGCCATAAGGTATTGTGGATACTGCCGACTTCCTAGAAGACGTGGACATGTCCAGATCTTCCCGGGAATTTCGAAGCTTCTCTGCCACCTGAATTTTAGCCTATTGAAGAGAAGGAGTAAGATTAATTCACAACAATTTAGATAGGATTTTAGTATCTTACCAAATTAAAAAAGTTCCTCACATCCCTGTCATAGATCTTGCTCAGTGAAGCCGTGTAGACCCGCATCAGACCGTCGTAAGTCTTCCGATCCATGGCTTTTGTCCAGTGCATCAGTTCCGTATAAGGCGTCAGTTCTCGATGTACGTTGGAATGATTGGGTAGCGTCAATTCGGTGCTGGTCACCGGACTGTCACCTATTTCGTTGCCCAGATGAATGAATAGGTTATTCATAAACCGGCTAACGGTGGCTGAAAACTTTTGTTTCCACTTTTCAAAGCGCTTGCGCTGATCCTGTACTGCCTCCAAACGAAGCAAGGCAGGATCTATGTCGCTGTTCATGGCCTGCTGCAGGCATTGAGCAGCTGCTATGGCCGCTTTGCGTCCATTGGCGGTCTTTAGATCGGGTTCATCCAGAGCCTGCTGTTGGCTGTGCGGCAAGTCCAGTTGGCTCTAAGGGAATCATTGTAACATTAACACCCATTAAATACCATATATTACCCATACTAACAATAACTTTGTTAAGTTCTTTCATCAGCTTAATATTGTTATTGTTGGCGATTTCGATCATGGCATTCTTGCCGCCTATCTTCTCCATGGTCTCCTTGACATGCCCCAAAATATCGTCATAGCTGTCAAGACGATTCTCAAACTTGTCAGCCTCGGAGATGGCGTTGTCTATGTGCTCCATCATTTTCAGAACCTTCTGCTCCGAGGCCAGAACACTTTGCATATTCGCCTGCAAGATAAGAAATTATGAGTAATGCTTATAAGCAGAACAAGTGGCATTTACCCACCCCATCCAGATCGTGCAGCTCCCGCGACAACTGCTCAATGAACTGCTCGGCATCCTTGATGGCGAAGTCGCACTCAGAGAAGAGTTTGCCCAGTTCATTGGCCTCCTTGTCTGTCAAAGCGGTAAACTCCTGGGCCTCCTCCTCCTCGTCCTCTTCGTCGTCGGTGTGTTGCGTTTTCGGGATCACTCTGCCTAGAGCCACCTTTTCTGGAGATTTCTCTGACAGCCAGGCAGCGGGCACATTCCTAAACTCCGCCCTCTGGCCACGCACACTCTTCTGGATCTGACGATTAAGCACTGCAAGGAAATTCTGCCGCTCGTGTGCATTGAGAGCATACCACTTGTACAACTTCTCGAGCTGCAGATCAAACTCGTGTGTCTCGAACTGTTCGTTCCGCCCATCTACCCACTTAATCTCATCCAGCTGCCAGCTCCGCTTGCGCTTATACTCGCTTTCGCGCTGCTCCGACTGTTTAATCAGACAAAGAGTGACTACGGGCACTGGTGGGGCCGTGGTGACCACACACAGGTAGCAAGGCTTCTTGTCCTTCTTCTTGACCACCGTCACCACAGAAAGGAGGCGTTCACCGGTGGCCAGGAAAACTTCTTTCTGCAGCGTGTGCTTAATGTTGGCCAAGGCGCCGATAGACAACATGGCTGGGAATGTCTGGCGGGGCACTGGTGACGGAAAAAGTCCTTCCAACTATCAACAACTTGCCAATTGTTTTCACTTGCAATAAGCAATTGTAGAACGCCTCCGCATCAACAGCTGATTTAACAGAATTCCTGCAAAAACGTTAACAGAATATCGTTTAGGGATGATCGAGGGGAGTGATGGTCAAATACGGGGTTTAAAAGAATTTAAAGGTCGTAAATTTAAAAATAACAAAAGAAATTCACTTAAAGAATGTACTTTTTTATAAGCAATTCGTTTTCTCCAGCATTTTATTTAAAAAAACAGATAATTTTTTATATTTCTTTTGGCACATCTCTACCTTAAAAGTGTGGATTTCCATAAAACGCTAGCACGGCCACACTGTTCAACACAAGTAATCTTTGGGTGAGTTTTTACGCGAAAAAATATTTGGCTTAAAAATAAACCATCATTTACCTATTTCCAGCAACTTTCGAGCAATCATGTTGGTTAAGCACATTGTCAAGCAGGGGCTTCTGCTCAAAAATGGTGAGTTCATGCGAATTTAACACCCCTTTTCCGTGAAACTGTTAACCTTAAAAATTACATAATGTGGGTGAGCGAAGCGAGGGACTTGAAGGAACTGCGGAGCAATGGTTCACCCTTTAATCTACAAAAATAAATAACAAATGTTGTGCTCCCAATACGATCCACACGATTCTAATTTATATTTACTAATGTATGTCAAGAAATAAGTAGTTTAATACCTGTATGAGATCATATACCAATTGACATCTTCCTTTTAAAGCTTATCATTATCAAACTCCCATTTTAATTACTATTTATTCTATATTTCAGCTGGCGCCTTGTCGCGTGCTGCTTATCACGGTGGACATGGTCCCCACTCCACCATGAATGATCTGCCCGTACCCGCTGGAGATTGGAAGGAGCAGCACAGCCAGAAGAACGCCAAGTACAACGCCGCCCTTATCACTGGCATCCTTGTCCTGGCCAGCACCATTGGATTCGTGAGTTCCTTCCGCTCTGCTCATTATTCCCTACAGTTCTAACCGTAATTCATAATTGCAGGTGAAGTCCTCTGGTCTGATCCACTTCAACTACTACGTCCCCAAGAGCCTGGACTAAAGCAGTCCCCCTACTTGTATAAGAACCCAAAATATTTGTGTTAAATAAGCTTAAAGTGGCGACATAGTAAATCACAGATCCGAAAGTATTCCGTTCGATGGTTTTATTTAGCTCAGTATACGGGACCATCATCTAAATTGTCGTCCTCATCGTTGAAGGCTTCTCCGTTATCAAAATAGGTGGCACCGTAGTCATTATCTTCGTCCATCTCGTCATCCAACGCCGCCTCTGGATCATCCTGCTCCTCCTCCTGTTCAGAGTCGGAACCCTGCTTATTTTCATCCTGCTCGCCGCCACCAGACTTTAGTTCCTTTTGCTCCAGAACCTTTAGTCTGTCCTCGATATTGGTCTTCTTGGCTAGTAGCTTTGGCCGGACGTCTGCACCACGCCGTTTCCGACTGGAGATATTTAATTCTTGGGGCATGGTTTTGTAGTTGAATTCTGGCTGGGTCTTGAGCTTCATCCGCGCCATTGCTTTCTAGGGATTTAAACAGTTTATTTGAGATTGTAAATTATTAGCTTAAAGCTTACCTCTCGCCAATCTTTGTGTTCTTGGTTTTGCCCCTTATGGCTGGCGGATACAATATAATAAGGGGAATCACGCATTCGATTTAGGAAATCCTCTTTCCACAGCAGCTGGTAATTTTGTGGGGTGGTTGTCTGCCGGAGGAATAAAAATAACATTTTGATTATTTCTAAATTAATTTAGTTGGACTGATGTGCACCTCTATGTTAGTGGGTCTGTTCAAAAGGGGCGGAAATGTAGGAGGCGGTGCTGTCTGCACCGGCAAGTCCTTTGTGCAGCCCAGCATGGCCATTTGCTCGGCCGTGAGGGTGCCCGTCTTTCCACCCCTTCCGCGTCCAGCCATTATTTGAATATTCTTTATTTAATTCCGTTGAGCAATTTTATGTTTTTGTTTATATTGTTTAGCTCTCCCGCACGTTGATTTAACTCAAAAAAATTATCAGCTGTTGCGCTAACTAATGGCGTTGCCACCTAGTTGAAACTAAACATAATAGTAATTACTCGACGAATAAATATACTTCCTTTTTTTCATATAGTATAGTTTCAAAATGATCAGTTTTTCATTTTTTGTTTAAATAAAAACAAATGTAAATTTTACACATAACATATACATAGTTTATTGCAATTTGCACTTTTTTACTTACACTATGAACAGTAATTACACACTAATATTAGAGAGCATATAACATATATCAGCCCTGCTTCAATTTACAATTCGAATTTGTTTTCAAAATTACAATTAATATATATCAATATTTTAACTGATATCTGTTTGGAGCGAGAACAAAATGTAAACTATTGGTCAAATAAGGGGAAACAGGGCTGAATATTCAAAATAACCAAACGAATTAGACTCAATCGACACTCTGATTGGGAGATGTTATGTTAATAGGTTGACAATCATCGGTTGGCGCCAGGCCCACTTTCTGCATAAGTTCCGTGAGCTTCTGTGCCTTCCTGTCCTCGTTGTGGGCAATCACGGTGCAAAGATGTTCAGTGAGCAGCTCCTTCTTTTCCGAGGCATTGTGTAGTTCTATCTTTGCCCGCAGAAATTGAGCTTCAATCTTGACATATTGTTTTCTGTCAATTAAGTCATTAATATGGATTTAATAAACTTTTAAAATACCACCACTTACTCTACATTGGAGAAATGTATGCAGGCATTGTCGATCTGCTTTCTTAGCAGGGCCACGTCCACGGCCAGATCGCTCTCCAGCTTAGACAACTCATGGCGGATCTCCTCGATCTTTCGTGACTCCGCCGCCGTCTTCTGGGTGTGCTGCTCGATAGCCTGGTATAGCATTTGCTTCTTCTGCTTGTTCTGCTCCTCGATCATTCGACGATGCTGCTCGAAATCCTTTAGAGAGATACCCTTAAATGGTGAGTCTGTGTTAAGGCGCTCCCGCGAGGAAGACTCCTTACTGCTCGGCAGGATACTGGCATCATCCACGGACTGGCTATCACCGCCACTTATCTTCAGAATCGAACTGTCGTCGGTAGAGGTGGCCTCAGCATCCGTATACGTGGCAGTAGGTTTGTTATCTTTAGCTGTAGCATGCCCATGGTAGAGTGCCTCCATTAATGAATCGGAAAGAGCGCGGTCCAAATTCAGCGATCCATGAGCTACGTCATCTTCCGTTGTGGGAGTTTTTGGCTTTTCCGTGGGAGTCACCGTTTCCGCTTTGGACTTCTTTGGTACATCCGGTTTTTGGATGGGCTGCTGTTGTTGCTGCTGCTGCTGTTGCTTCCGTAATTGATCTGCTTGACGGAAGACTTTGTCGGGCATACGCCGTATGCCGGGTTGATTCCGGAGCGCCTGCTTTGCTGCTCACGCACACACATGTAAGGGGTTATTATTATAAACAGATAATTGTTTACACGCTTCTTAGTTCATTCATGGTGATCTAACCTGCTTCCAGATTTGCCGCTCTCTTTCCCACGCCCCCCTCCTTCACGCCTGTTATCTTGAGGATTTCATCGTGGCTAAAACCATTGAATTTCTCAGTCATTGTGCGGAACTTAATGATTATTAGCCATTAAACGACAATCGAGCCAAAAACATAACACAACACATCAGCAAAGCCAAACAGAGCACAGGAAGTTGCCAGATTGCTTCAGATTTCGATGCGATCACTTCCAAAAATAGGATGTTTTCACTAAGCTTGAATTCGCATTCAGCGTGTTTGGGATTTAACTTCAAATCAATTTCAACTTCAATTTTCAATTTCTTCTACTTATTTTGTAGAAATTTCTTTTCTTTAACTGTTTTGATTAGTTCGTCTTAATTAATAAATTAAAAATTCTTATAGTGGAAACATTACAAATAATAGCTTTACAACATGAGCTGCCAGATCGTCCCTTTAAGATCGCGATTCCATAACCGATAGCCTTAATCGATAATTTCCCAAATCAAACTGAAGTTTAAAAATAAAAGGCCTCATCAGACTTTATTCAACACAGTAATTCCCAGTTCGGATCGTAGCTCGTGGATATTCTGCTCCCAACGTTTCTCCCAGTAGACAGGCATCAAGGGCTTGGTCCGCTTACCATTCTCCAGGGCCCAGGGCAAATAATGCTTCAAGTACGCACGTCGCTGCCTAAGAACCCGAAAAGATAAACAAATGCGTGAATGATGGCATAATTGGGCGCCGCAGTTCAGTGAACTCACTTGGGACGTAGGCGAACTGCTCCGAACACCGCACCTCCATAGCACATTGGCAGTCCAGTGTTCAGAGCTTCCACCCACTTAACGGCCACCTCTCCGAGCATGTTGGTGGGCATGTCCAGCACCGTGTGGATTAGGTCGTGGCATTCGCGATACCTCGTCATCAGGTAGGCCAGCTTAGGGTCCTCCAAAAACCTCACGGCCATGCGACTGTCAGGCGTGACTTGCTGAAAGTTGATTACCAAAATTACCGACGAATCGATTGACACACAAACCCAACCGATATTCAGTAAAGTTATATATACTTTACTTACTACTTATACCTTGGTAATCTTAAAAAAACTTCTTGATTTTATAATTATTTTAGGGATAGTTACTAATTAACAAAACCGTCATTTTCTAAAGAACCTTTGGAATACACTTCTTTAATTGTTATTAAAGGTGTAACAGCTACCGAAAAATAGGGACTGCAAATTCCAATTCTAAAATTATCTTCAAGTTATCTTTACAATTGTATTAGGAATGTTTTTGAACCAAACCTTCCCACGTGTAGTGTGTTCTTACACTTGTTTCACTATCACTTAATTACTTACATTATCTTTCAAGAACTTGACGTAAGAGGCTCCAAACGTATCTGGTGGCAAGCCCTCCAAGTATTTAAAGTCAATTGTGCTGGTGTGGATGCGTGGTTTATCGGCCATGATGCGCTGACCTTCCTCGCTAGACTGCATGGTGTCCAAAATAGCCCAAAGAGCATCCTCTCCTGTGGTCTCACCCAAACAGGCAATCATGTCGTGGCTTGAAACGATATATTTTTATGTATTTAATGCTAAAGTAAAAACAAAAGTATGATAAGTATAACCTACCGTCTTGGATTCAGCAGGGCAGCAACGGAAGATCCAGCTCCCAAGATCACACGCTGGAAGGGCGATATCTCGATGCGCTCCTTGAGATACTGACGCTCGAAGGCATCCAGTGGCTCTGCCTCGGGCATTTCCGTGGCCACTGTTTGGCTTTTAGCCTGGCTTGTAGTAAGGCCTCGTCGCAGGGCCAGCTGCTTTGGAAGACGCCAACAGCGTTGCATCATGATGATCTGTGGATTCATAGAGGAGACATGGGGAGGTGCACCCGGTGACCTTATCAGCACGATCGTCGGCATCATCATAATCGTCATCGTAGCACATAAACATGACCCTGACTACCTGTCTTCGGTTAAAGCTTGTCGCTTGGCCGTACGTGCCCACTTTCAATAGCAGTGTGTATGAGCAAACAATTTGTCCATAATGTGGGTACGCGGACAGGGCTGATGCTGACTAACGATTTACCCTGCCGCACACTCCGTCCGCCCAACGGTGAAATCTGTGTAAACCTGTTTTGGCTTCCTCATTACCTGTCCCTACTACGAGTCTCTCACTTCACCACCTATCAATATTGCGGGGTCTCAAAATAAAACCCAAACAAAGTGCTGCAGGGGGCACTGGCACCTCATTCTGGGATTTTATGCTCAATTTCAATGTCGTCATTGTTGTTTCTTTGGATGAATGGCTAGACACTATTTGGAAGAAAAGTTATTTCAGGAAGAAACGTTGCTAGAACACCATGACAAATCTTTGGGGTCTTAAAAGCTGAACAATTTTATAACTCACTAACAGTCTCACATAATATGAGCTTCTTAGATTTAAATAACTAAGATTATAAGCATTTGGTCCGGTAGATTAGCTAGTTCTGGGAAAGCAGATACCCATCTTAAAAGCATGTATTTAGCTGAGAGATATGCACGAACTATGGCAAAGTTTCAGCTGTGCAAATTTATTTACTTTTATAACATAACAAAGCGAGAGATTCTTTAACAATCAATTTCATTGCCATACGCAGAGGTCTATTATTTGGCAATCAACAAAAAAAGGAAAAACTATACCAAAAACAAAAGGCGCAATAATCACAATTATATTACTACCACTCGTAATCTTTCTCTGGCCTGATAGTATTGTTTTTTTTGTTTTTTTTTTTTAAACATAAAAAACCCAACTTTAGATAGAGGGTAACCAGGGATCGGCCAACCTATTCCGTCTGGTTTTAATGGAGTGATGACGCTGCTGGACTGTCCAGCACTGCAGTACTTTGTTTAGTAGATTTCTCAAGGCGTCGACGTGTTTGCCCAGAATATATAAACAGCCGATTAAGCACAAATAATTGAAAAATTCCACACTAGGTAGTTCTGTATAATTTTTTTTACTTTAAATTCTAATTAGAGAAGCACATGTGAGAAAAGTAATATTACTTAATGAGCAGGAGCCACGTTGTAGGCCTTATCGCGGGAGGAAATCTTATCAGGAATGACCCAAAACTGTACAGAAGATAGAACACAATTGGTTATCTGGCCCACCCATTGCGGAAAGGGAGCTGGATGTCTGTGTATTTCTATTACTTATGACACTTTCGATGCAGGAAACAGTTGCATGCGGACAAATGTACAAAGTGATTAAAATTACATAATTGCACATTTTACACATTTTTAGATACTTGGCTAGATATATGTACAGATACGATGCGCTGTGTGCCTATAGGAAAATCGAATACGAAATCGAAGATCGCAGAACGAAGTACGTAGTTCGGAATACGCTTAAAATATCGTATGGCTTTGGCTTGAGTTTGAGCTAAGACGAAGCTAGACATTCTCGCCGCGGGTGCTGGGCAAGTGGGCTTGCTTATCGGGTGCCCGCTTCCGTCGGAAAGTGACATACGTGTACAGCAGACTCGCCAGCACGCTGATGTTGATCCCGATGCAGTTGAGCCACGAGAAGACGTAGTCACCGCCAATGAACATGCCCAGATAGGTCACGCAGATGTTCTTCAGGCAGCCCACAATTGTGGTGGTCAGTGCCGAGTTGAATTGCGTGCACAGGATTGTACTGTATGACAAGATGAATCCCATGACGCAGCTGAGCAAGAACTGCAGCACAAATACTGAGTCGTTCCATTGTCCATAGTTCAGCGCCTGATCCAGATCTCCTGTGGCATAATTGAGTGCCAGGGCGGGCAGGAACATGAACAGCGAGTTGTAGTACATCAGGCCGTACTTTCCGATCTCTGAGGTGTCCAGTTTTTTTTTCACATACACTCCGTTTGATGCGGTCAAGGCGTTGGTGATCATAACATAGATGTAGCCTCTCATGTTGAACGACAAATCATCAGAGGCTGCCAGCAAGGCTCCACCGATCATGGCGTAAACGCTGATTTGAACCGCATTCGACGGTCTTAGTCCAAGGATTTTAAGCTCCAGCAACATTGTCATTAAAATGGAAAACCGACGCAAGGCCGCAAACATCGGCAAACTCAAGGTTTTAGTCCCGCCTAGACCGAACATCATGTTGCCCAGAAAGATCAATGGCAGCGGAAAGATCTTGGCAAATGTATTCCTTTGCAGAGGCGGAAATGAGACAAGTTTTAGGCGTTTTCCAATGCCGAGAACTACTATACTGGCAGTCAGTTGGCCCAGGCTGAGGAACAGAAACGAGGGGAAGTGATAGGAGGTCAGCACCGTCTTGTTCACCACCGTGATCATGAAGGAGGATAGTCCATAGAACAACGCGCTGCCGATCTTCTTTATGAATACCGCAGAGTCCTCGCGTTCCCGGTGGCTCAGCTCCTTCGAACCAGATCCATTGTGTAGCGAAACTCCCCCTGATCCTCCGATTTTCTCCTCCTGCTCCTTGCTATCATCGCTGTCCGTCAGAAGGGGCTGGAGGTCCAGCGTTGTGTTGCCGCCGCGCGAAACATTCATCGTAATTGCGGGGCGGCTGATACTTCAATTTAAACGCTTTCGTCACTATGGTTCTTTCGGCGACGACTATCTTGCGGCGCGCACATTTGTTTAACTTTTAAGGGGCCACTTTGGGGCCGGGGTAGTGGCTTTCCCGCAGCACATCAACGAGTATTTTTCTATTTTTACCGACGCGAATTCGCAGTCATTCCGGGAACATATGATCAGTGTGCCCGTGTCTGAACTGTCAGAACATACTGAGGAAATGAAATTCGCTAAATATGTTATTAACAGCCACATTGTTTCTGTTACATATTTAGCTGTATGTTGAGCAGAAAACAAGAATTTACAATTTACGATTTGGTCTAATGGGCTGCTAGCTTTCAATTCATTCCTTATTCATAACATCCCTAAGACTAGCGACCTGCCGCAAATAACATTAATGCGCGTAACAGCTCACTATCTTTGTACACAAGCTCTCCAAACGAACTTTAAACAGGCGATGACACATTAATAACATTCTGCGCTACTGCTGACTAATTTTTAATGCTTTTAAATCCAAAGCAAGTTAATTTACCTTATTAATTGTTCGCCAAAAACACTCCACAAATTTTTTACAGCCTTGTACCGCTTGCGAATCAGCTGCTCTGTACAAATAACAATAACACTGTTAACAGTAGCGCACAGTGGAAACCGACTCAAAAAATAAAAATACATAAGCAACACAAGATCATTTATTACTGATATAAAAATGTTAATTCTGTTGTCAGAAATATATAAAAATGTATTCAATTCTTAATTATAATAATAGCTTTTAACAACTCCTTAATTTAATTTTAGCAGAGTCTGGAAAATCAAAATACATCTCACTGTGCATCGACTATTCATCAGAGTGGCAACTCTGGCTAAAAGACCGAAAATTGTTTTGTTTTGTTTATTGTCTTCGACTGAAAGTTGGTTAGAATGAGTGGATCAAAGGCGAAAAAACACAGCAAAGGCGACCAAATCCCTAAGCCCATTAACATAAAGAAGGAGAAGATTGAGGAGGACCGCACTCTGCACCCAATATCACACTATATAGATGACCGTCTGGAGCTGGTGAAACAGATTTTTGGTACTCTTAAGCCGAAAACTATAATGAATCTGGCGCCCGAGTTTCTAAAGGTAAAAGAAGACTAGCCCATAAAGTAATTACTAAAGGTACTCCTTACACAGAAAACACCAATGGACGAGATCGAGGAACTATGTCTGGAGGAACTTCTTTGCTTGTCCACAAAGCGTCTAAAATCTATTATAGAAGACACCAAGTGTCCTACAGACACCGAGAGTTCCGAGGATTCCGACGTAGAGCATAAGGAGGGTAAGTTAGATCACTTCATTACCCGATGAGCCCTTTCATTTAAATCTGATATTTCAGAACACATTTCTTTGGAAGAGATTTCCTCAGACAGTGACATCGGAGGCCAGGAATCTCGAAGAAGTGAGTAATTTGACTTGTTTTACATTTAATTTAGAGTATATAATCTGTTTAATCTGCACAACTGCACGCCGAAAAGTTAGCCTCCGTATTTGAACTTCTCGCAAGCTAAATGCGGCGAAACGTAGAATGCTCTCAATATGCAGACATCCTCGCCTATGCCGATGACCACATTCTCCTTGTCCTCCTTGGCCACTTCCAGGGTAACCACAAAGTCCCCAACCTCCAAGCAGCCCTTCTTTCGCATATAATCCACTCCAAACTCAATCGGACTGTAGTTGCACTCGTTGAGGTCCTTGGTGTACAGAACCGGATGCATGTTGCGGCGCAAGTGAAGCGCACGTGCCAGTTCCACCTTGCATGTAATAGTTTCTGCATTGTCTGTTTCCTCTAGTGGCATCATCACAAATACTGGGCAGTAAATTTCTATGCGAGAAAGAGCTACACTGGCAGTCTCGCATGTAGTGAACAAGAAGATAGCCTGGCACTCAATTGAACTGATAGTTCGAATGATGAAGTTCACTACCGTTTGGTATGAAGTCAGAATATTCTTCAGAACCATTTTGTTTTGAACCACTCCAACTCTGTAATCCTTGATCGGCATCAGCTTCTTGACAATCAGCGGATATTTGTTGCACCAGGGACTTTTCTGGATGTGGATGGCGTCGACTTTCCACAAGAATTCGTGCAATTCAAAACGCTTAAAGTCGCTGCACCGCTCCAGAGGCACCGTGCCAATTATAGGCTTCTTCTGGCACATAGAAATAGGCAGTACGTCTTCCATAATGTAGTTATAGACGCAGCAGCTCACGCTAAACATGTCCGGTATCCAAATATAATCCACCAGCTTAATGATTCCAAGCAGATCCAGCATGTTACTGCGCACATACTCGAAGTCGATCATTCCGATTAACTTCAGGTTGAAGTCAGAGTTCAACTTCTGCCGCACGACCCGAAGAAAGCTCTTGCATCGAATTTTAGGTAGAACTACATAATTGGCGTTTAATGAAGCGACCATTTCCAGGTCCTTCACAAACAGATCCGGGTAGGTTTCGGGATTCAGAGCGTGGCACTGTCTAGGTAGCTCGATAAAGTCGTAGGAAGCCACTAGACCTGCATCAATGATCATCACGGTCAAGGCCTCTCGAAGGGTTTTAACAACACGACCCCTAACTTCACGTCCAATCAGCAACATGTCACCAAGCTGGACTGAGGAAAGATAAGCTTGCAGATTGATTACATACACAATCTCCTTATAGCCTTTGTAGCGGTAGGCTTCATCAGTGGTGAGAGTGACCACCGAGCCTCGGGCCAGAATTACGGTGCAGTTGTTCCTCAACCTGCCAACGCGGCAGCACTCTCCGTTAATCTCTAGTGCCAGTCCGGTAGTTAGTCGGAGTTCCCTTTCTGCAGAATACGCTGAGATCGCAATGTTCATTGTGTTCAAAATAGCTGTCAGTTCATCTGGCTTGTTTGAGACCGTATCGACGTGGAAGGTGTAAGTTCCATTCTCCAGCATGCGACGCAGCTCGTCATGGGTGGTTTCATTCACTAGCTTGGCCACGAGGCCCAGGTGGTAATAGCGCCTACGTTTTCGTCGCCTAGCATGCTTTTCATGGGCCTCGCAGGCCGCCTTAAAGTCCTTTAAACGCTGCTCTAGGTCATGCTGCCCGTTGAGCCTAACTGTGAACTTTTCCAGTCGGTTCTCGTCCTCCGGCAGCTCCTCCTCCTCGCCTTGCTCTTCGGCCGTTTGGCTGTCAAGCTCAGGCGGAACCTCTTGCTGGTTAACGGGCATTCTGGCGTGCAGTTAATTTGAACTATACTTTATCTACAATTTTTAATGTAATGTTATGTTAATCTTGTCAATTTTTTAGACAAGAAGAAGCTTAAGGCCAAAAAAGCGAATAATGAGAATGAAAATAAGGAGTGTGAGTATCAACTTAATGAAAATATAAACACAAAACAAGATGTAATGAACACATGATAGAAACTGATTCCTACATCTGTGCTCGTTTGATTTTTAAGGTTCTCAGCTTACTTAGCTTTTTTTTTCTCCCATAGCTGGCGGTCAGATGAGCGTGCTGGAACTGTTGGAGCTTCAAGCACGAGCTCGGGCCATTCGTTCCCAGCTAGCAATGGAACCAATCACCAAGATAGAGGTCAAGTCGGATGATGATGAGGAGATTCCAGATGAGAAAGTCAAGCATAGGGAAAAAGAAAAGCGCAGCAATAAGAACAAGGAGTCTGGGAAGCGCAAAACACAGGAAAGTAAAGCAGTTGGAGAAGGTTCATCTATTTCACAGGCAGATGCCGATAGTAGCTGCAAGGAACAGCAAACGCCCCGTAAGAAAATAAAGATTAAGAGAAACTATCGGCAGAGCTCTAAGTCGCCAGAAAAGGAAAATCCAGCTCCAGCATCTGTTCCTCCTCCTCTTTCTGAATCCTCAGTTCCGAATAAAGAAACCAGAAAGTTATCACGTTCGGCCTCACCAGATGTGATCACCATACAAACGGAACCAGAAACCTTGCTAATCAGCGACAGCACAGACGATGAGAGCACAAAACAGAAGTCAAACGAAATTATTAATCCAACTCCACTAGAGCCACCAGCTCCACTCGTAGAAAGCGAGCCGGAGGAGGGAGAAGTGCGGGATGAATCCGAAGAACCAGCAAATTCAGAAGGATCTGGATACTCAGTCAAGCCAGAGGAAACTGTCATTTCTAAAGAACAAGGTGATCAGCATAACGAGGAATGTTCCGAAAAACTAGAAAAATCCGCTGATGATGAACACCTACCAGAAGAAGTACCTTTGGCTAAGCAAAATCCACCCTCTGATGCAAAGGAACCTGTTACATCCCAACCTGCAATCCTAGACGATGAAGATCAAAACGACGATGTCATATCAATTGGCGGTGATCTGGAAATGATTGAGGAAATGACCAAGGAAGACGAGCTGCCTTCTGTGAGTATCAAGAACGAAAAGAAAGAAAAGATGTCTGATCCCGACGAAATGGATAACGACGTTATCTCTCTGGACACAAGCGAGGATGAGCGCGACAAAATACAGCGGTCGGACTCAGAGGTATTCTTGAATGTTACAAAAAACAATAAACTTGTTAATCACCAATAAACCCCTTTTTTAATAGCAATCCTGGCGCACACGCTACATGAAGAGCTCCAAGGTCAGCCAGGTGCTGGCAGAGTCGCGACTAGCAAAACGCGTTCGCGATAAACTTAAGAAATCAAAGCGCAGCAAAGTCTCTGCCAGCAATGAGCAGGAGAAATCTGAAAAACCGATCGTGTTCACATCCAAACATGAGGATGGATCCATTGAGCAGTACCAGGAGCTGTTGCAGCACCGACAACGCAAAACTTCAAACAGCAGTAAGGGCGATAAATAAATCCATACACCGAAGAGAAGGATTTGTATTGAAAATTCGCGTACTGACGCACAGTTCTACTTTATATGGCATATAAAAGTCAAATAAAAATTCACTGTCTTGCGGGGGCGGCAGGAAACGTAAAAAATTTGAATATATCGTGCTAAGCGCATATTTGATTTCTCATTCGTCTTTTCTTATAATGCATACACTATAGGGAATAGAATGTATGTTAAACTATGCTAGGAGTTTTAATTTAAATTGTTTAAATTAAGTTGATTTTATTTGTAGTGTTTATATCTTAAATTTTTTTAATTTTAACCCAAACCCTTTATTAGACAAATTATACAATTTTGTTTTATTTATTAACTGATTAAGTAAAATTGCCTGTACAATATACACTGACTCTGGTATTAAGGTGACTAACTCCTATGTTCAATAAAATTTATTGTATATACTGTATTATTTTTAAAATCCCTAATGTATATGTCTTAAGGTATGAAATGCGTCGACTTGCTTTCCTAAACTCCCTTTTTTGTTTTTAGTTTTGTTTTGTAATTTAAAAGAAAATGCGAAAACTATGCCCTCTCATTTCCGCCTGGTACTCCATTTTGCGAGGGGAACAACCATTTACGAAGGGTTCGCCAAGGGGACAAGGGGCGTGGAAAAGGCAGTTAAACGAGCCGCACGCATGTTACGCCTATGCATTGATATTGTTTGTCATAAACTAGCTCAAAAATCATTATGCAAAAAATTTGAATGGAAGGGTTTGAGTATAACCTAGTTTGGCATTCCACCCGCAACCCTCAATTTCTCTCCCCACATAAGGATTCAACTCCTCCCGCCACTTTGTCGTCGACTTTACTCGATTTCTAATCATGCGGTTACCAGAACATGTCCGTCCACACCATTCTACAATTGAATCCACTCCAACTACATCTGGCTGCCCTCCTGGCCATTCCACTCCACTCGGTTCCACCCCGGTTCGATGTTACTGGTCTGGTCACTGGACTATATCTCAATTATGCTGCTGGGGGGCGGCGGTTGAAGCGTGTTGCACCATAAACGATGATTGTTTTATCAGAGACTCGGTCGTGTTGATAAACTGTTTTAGCAACAACAACAAAAAACGGCCTGGAGAGCAGTTTTCTGAGTGGCATTTCTATTTTGGCTTATCTAATACGCATGTCCTGTGAGCAGAGGGTATAGATGTGTGCTTTTACTGCGAATCCATCAAGTGGGCGAGCTACATACATATAATATGACATGGGTATACAACAATAGCTTTTAATTTATTTCATTTAATTTTGACTTTTGAAAGATGTTTAAGAACCCTGAAAAGTAGGCCACAAAAATGTATGAAACCTCAGAGAAGCCGCACGTTGCAACGCGTTGGTCGCCATAAAAAGTTTACTGTAACAAAATCGATTTTTATGAAAATAAAATTGTTTACAGTTTACAATTTGTTTATATTTTTGAGTACTACATAGGTAAGGCACACAATTAAACTTTTATTCAAACTTTCATAGTTGGCCGCCAAAAATAAAAGTAGGTAGTGGAAAAGGCTAGCACATGTTTTGCCTAGCACTACAACCCTCTCCTTAACTATACTCCTCGGGGTTCTCTCTCTTTTTTTGTCCGTTGAACGCCCCCGCGGCGAGAAGTAAACAAAATAGCAACAGAGCGTTGCCTGCTGGAGGTTGGGGGTGGCTCTGGGGGTGGTTTCTCTCGTGAGTGCTGTGGCTCTCTCTTTTGCTCAAGTGCTCGAGTGTGGGTGTCCGCATCCTTTGGCGGCAGGCTAGCGATTGGGAAAACGGAAAAGCCGAATCAGTCTACAGAAAACGCGTACGTGGTGCAGAAGTAGCCGCGGGTGGCTACCACAGCGTCGTTTTGGACTTGTCGGCATGATCAAATAAGTGTAACGCCCTGTACAAGTTCTGTAAGTTTCCAGCTGCAACAAAACAAAACCAAATTCATGAGAAGCAAATGAAAGCCAAACAAATGCAAAATATCAATCTGCCGATTTCAGTGTCCAAAGTGTTTGAAATGAGTGACAAAACCCGAGGATTTCTAAGCCAATAACAATCAAAAAAAGTGGTGGCAACGCATACAAATTGAATCAAGGATAACCAAGCTTATTTTGTATTTTTATAACCAGAAACGCTGTGCTAAAGAAAACCCAAAAAGTGCTTTAAACGTTAACAAACTACTTAAGTAAATAAATAAATGAAAATTTTGATACTAGCCTAAAACATGCCTTATCCAAGGAGTTTCCGTTCGATGCGCGTTTATTTTCGCAAAAGTTTACACTTAGGATTAAAGATGCTCTCTCTGGCCAGAGACATAGTGAGTCCCAGCTATAAAAACTGTAACCCAAATTAATCCATAAATACATATATAATCGGATTATTGAACTGTGCCCGTTTGCATTGGCCACTAAAAACGACAAAAACATCTCAAATTGGCTTGAAAAAAATGGAATCGAAATTAATTCAAATTGGCAAATTTATAAAAATGTGTTTGCTAAATGCTTTCGAATGCTTTCAAACTCCCAATGATACTAAAATGCAGTCTACTTTAATTTCCAGCTCTTAATTACCATAAACAGAGTTCAAAAAGTATACAAATCTTTATTATGAGCTTTGGAAACTAAGTAACTGCATTTTTTCTCGTAAAAATATTCCTTCCAAATCAAAATTCTGTCCTTGAAATAATCCCTGTGATATGCATGTATGTATATAATAACTTTAAAAATATACGTCTGGATTTTTTTATTTTTTTTATTTTATATGTTTCAGGCGCTGACTTAATTCATATAGGTACATATTATCATACTTTTTAGCTTGGGCTATGGGCACAAAACAAGGATTATCATAGCATCAAAATATAAAGAGTATTTAATTAAGGAGAGATTATAAATTATGATTGAAAATTAGGAATTCAAGTATTCGTATTAGCATACGAGTATTTTAAAAAGATTACTCTTATAAGTATGGATTAATATTTCCCTGATAGTACTCTATGTTGTTAAGCCACTTTCTAAGAGCGTATCATTTAAATATCGCCTCATTTATCCTTACTCTAACACCCTTCAAAATGTACAATGTTAAACTTGAAAGGCAGAAATTCTGAAATGATAGATGCGATTTTTGATAGAAGCAATGACGCACTCACACACACTCAGAGACAATTTCGAACGAAGTTGGTAAATTTAATTGGAATAATAAATGGTTTTCGTATGTGTGTGTGGTGTTCATTGCTCTCTCTCTTTTTTATGAAACAAAAATGCACAATGTCTGATATAGGTGTCATAAAGTTTTATTAATAATGAAAATTGTACTAAAAACGAGGCCGAACGGAATGGGACAATTTATTAAAAAGTCTCATTAGCTCACGGGTTTTATCGCACATCGAGCATACGCCACGAGGTCCCCTTACGGGTGCTAATAACGTAAAAGCAGAAACGGGAATAATAATATAATATGCCCGGCTCGGGATATTGTGATAAAGTAAAATTTTCGATATGGACATGATTAAAATGCCGACACCGAGTTGCCACCCACTTTTTATGACTAGGCGGGCGGCGAGGCAATAACTGGGCCGTCGGAGATTAAGTATTTTTAATGCGACTCCGACTGACAATAAAAATATAAAAATTTCAACGATAACATATAGCAACGTCAGCAGGCCAAATCAATTTCAATATATATATCTTCATATATATATATCTATTGATATGCGTTTTGCATGTGTCTATTGTAAATATCCAGCCGACTGATATTAAGTCACTTGCCATGTGCTCCTCCGGCAATATTTATTCGCTGAAAATCAATAAATTCCTCACAGACACACACACTGGCAAAAGGAATATTTTTCTTTTTTCTCATTTTCTCTTTGCGCTGGCGCTGGGGCTCATTATTAATATAAGTATATACTTGTATATATCTGTAGATATATAAATATATTTATATATATATGTATGATTTTTTTACATTTTGATATTTCGCAGAGCTTGGGGTGTAGGGTTGGCTTAAGTGTTTTTCTATTACGCCTTTTGCCCGAATTCGAGCTAAGAAAATCCTCCTTCTACTCACACACACACACACACACTGAGACCTAAGAGCCACCCACTTCCCCCAATATTATATTTGCTTTTAAATATTTTGATATACAGCCCAGTAACTCACACACACACTCATACACCCACATCCAGGCATTTTCTCATAAAAATTTCGTACTCGAAGAAGACGAAGTAGCTGCACACACCAACACACACACACACACACACAAACTGGGCAAAATGTAACCCGCAGGCATTATGGGCTAAGGGAAGAGGAGCAGGGAGAAGGGGCTTTGGTGGGGGCCACATGGCTAAAACTTTGAGCAGCAGCAGGAAAATAATGTAAAGGATGTGCCAGGGCCACCATGGAGACCAAGCCGACTGTAACTGGAAAATAATAATTTTTTCTCCCTTTTTTCCTTCATTTCTTGCTTTCTCCGAATAGCACCAACCCACCACACCTCCCACCCCCCAACATTCATCCCTCCTTCTGTATGTTTGCCGTTTCTTTTGAGTGTCAGAAATGGAAAAGAAAATAATTTGATGGTTTCATAAACTCGCTTCGGGGGCCAAAAAAGAGGCGTGGGGTGGTGGTTTTCCTTGGATGTGTGTGTGTGTATATTTCTGATAAAATTGCAAACTTCTCCCCCACTGCTCGAACGAGTGTGTGTAGTTGAAGAAGAAGAAGAAGCTAGATTTATGGAATTTTTCTGCTTTTGTATTCTTTTTTTGGATGAAAAGTTCTTGGACGATAGATTTCTCCTGCAAACTATTTCACTGCATACTTAAGGGGGTAGCTTCCAAGTAAAGTTCATAATGCTGATAAGGCAGATGATAAGGAACACAGTCTCGGTCTCATTAGACCCAAGGAAAACACTTGCCTTATTATAAACATGATTATTATAACCCCTCTTACGTATATCCTCCACACACACGCACTCGCACGGCTTATGTGCACAGCATTTGTCCTTGTCTCAGTGTTTGAGCTTCATTATTAATTTTCCTCATTTTTTCATATTTTTTCGTATTTTTATTTTATCACACACAAACACACACACATAAGCTTAGGGGGTGGAACGCATACACACACACACACGCATTTAGTTTATTGTACAAAATAATATTTGATAGAAAAAAGTTTTAGTGCCCGACAGAGATGGAAATAGTTTTTGTTGGCTTTTCGCTTTTCGGTTGGTCGGAAAATAGGTTGTGCTTGTATGTGTGTTAGAAATAAAAATGGTTTGGGGGGAATTAATTTTTCACTTCGTGGCCCATGCGCCATGGAGATGTAAAAGTGAAAATGATGGAAAAATATCAAACGGTGAACGATTTTGAGGCCTTCGCCGCTCTCATTACAGGGTTTTCCACCTCCCCCTCCCAATACATATATATATATATATATGTATCTTTGTTTGCTTGTTTGTTTTTCCTGCGCGTTCATTGGTTTCTAATGAGATTTCTTACTAATGAGCTGAGCACCTAGAAACTGGCAACGCTTTTCTGTTTTTTTTTCGTGTTGCTTAGCTTTGGGAAAAGGAACATGAATTCTACGAAATTGTTTCAGATGATTATGACTTCTGTAGAATTAAGGAGGTTTTCTTTATCAATTATGGGTCTGTTTTACTTTATTACGGTCATTATTTGATTATACTTGAACTAAAATTATTTTTGGTGGTGTTTACTGGAAAGCATATCTGGGTTCGGCTTAAAGTATTAGCCTTATTTTCAATAATCATATTCTTCAACATATTATTATTAATACACTATATACTCTGCTTCTTTTCTAATTTTTATTTAAAGAAAAACCTATAAACCTATTTCAAGTTATAATTTCGTAATCAAACAGACTTCATAGATGCAGCCCAAACTTAGCACATCAAAAAACTAAGCAGAATCTCACGTACATTGTGCATTTCTAATAAAGTAATTTGTCGCACACACATTTCCCGAGGAAAGGCGACACCAGAACTCCCCCTCCCGTGAATAATTCCTCCCCCGCACTACAAGGAAAACCAACATAGATCATTACTCCCAAGCTGAGGGTTGTTTTTCCAATCCCCTGACCCATTATTATTCCCATTTCCATTTACATTTTTGAGTCCACGCATAATTTCAATTTGATTTTCATCAGAAATATTAATTGCAATCCATAAACCACATTCAGGGCGGGGGTGTCCTGTCAGGGGCTGCTTTCTGGTGGGAGTATGTGCGGCATATGGGCAGAAAGGGGCGTATCAATCATAAGCGACACCTCGTCAGGACATGCCAGGTTAAGGGTGCGAACGGGGTTGGGACTAGTTAGAAATTTAAATTTAATAATTACTATTTTGGTGTTCAACGAGTTGGGCGGGTGTTCAATTTTGAAGCACCCTATATTTTGTGGTTTTGAGGATAAAAACAAAGTTATAAATGAATATTTTTCTAACTTTTAGTGTATAATTTTCAAGATTTAAAGTAATAAGTATATATACGGAAACTTGTATTAAAATGTTATTTATTGTTTGAACTGATTCTTAAGTTTTCTCTTAGAATTTGAAAGCTAAAATGAATGCTCATATTTTGAAAAGACTACTCGGATATTAAATTAGTTTTCTCAGGGCAAGAACCAACTTTTTCAAATCATTCTTTAAAGAAATGAAAATTTTCCTACTTAACATTCCTTAGATGGGGACCCAAACGACTAATTAGTTTAATACCAAAACGACTTGCCCCTAATGCAAAATACTTTAAAGTCTAGAATGATTTGACCGCCACATTTGGGGTTTGTTTACATTCCTCCCACCGCAAGGACATGCGCCTACGAACAGGGGAAGCCCCTCTTTTCGGGAGGTGCGTGCGTGCGAGTGATTCCAGTCGAGTGCGGGCGAAAGTGAAAGTGCCGGCAACGACAACGTCACAGTGGACATGTGTGAGAGTGAAAGTCGATGGGAAAACCTTGACCACGACCACGACAGCGACCAGGTCAAAATAGACCAGACCGAGTAGGTGGTCGGTTGGGTCTTTTTGGTGTCCGATCCGATTCGATTCCGTTGCCGACCAATGAGTTGCCAACTGCTCCGTTCCGACTGTTGCTGTTGGACTATTTTGCTAGCCTGGTTCGTTCAACCGGCGATTTTCTAGCCACACTCGTACACATATGGCCGGCTGCTCCAAAAAAATAAGAGAGTCACCTTCATGGCGCATGTGCAGATCCAGAAGTACGCTCGCAGGATGTCAGGGGAAACGGGAGAAGTCACTTTCACTTTCACTTGTTCGGCCTCTGATGTGTGTTGAATGCCGAATGGCAAAAGGCTAAAGGAAAATGGAAAAACGAAAAGGTTGGACCTGCACACACGCACACACATGCACTTGCATTGGGTATGTCCTTCGAGGTACAAGTATCTGTAAGTCAATCCGTCAATCGGCCAAAGCAAACAATCACTCGCCACATCTCTGGGGAGAGTTTATGACTCAGATTTATGGAGATGTCCACTGAAGCAAATCCTAATCCCTTCAGGGACTCCCTTGAACCCTAACGTGATCATAAATATTGCTCAAGGCATTTTATTTGTGTATTTCATTTAATATATTCTTCATAAATTATAATCGAGTTTAAAAGACAAAAATTTATTTCATGTGTTATTTACAATAGGTTCAGTTAAATAGTTCCTTGAAACAAAACCTCTTACTCTTCCCCAGACTTGAGGCAATATCAATTAGTTTAAGATCTTGTAATTAATTGAAATTGAGTTGGAATGACATATTTCTTTTTACAACCTAATTAAAAGTGGTAATTGGAGACAATATACACAACGACGATCAATCATAACCTCTTTGACTTCATCACCCATATCTTTGATAATAATAAAGTCACTTCATCGTAAAAACTCCCTCTTATCAACATCACTGGGATTTTCTTATTGTTCTTTGTTAGGATTAAATTTGTATATTCTTGTACCGAAATGTCAGGCCTTCAGACACTGTTTCGTGGTAAGCCTTTTTGTCACGGCTATTCAAAAATTGCTCTCTATATCCATTCAATCCAGATATAGTGTTTCCTCAAAGGGTTTCTTACAATAACCATAGGTAATCATGTTATTAAAAGACTATTACCTAATATCCCTAAGGACATTAAAAAGGAAGTCTTACCTGGGTGTGCATAAAGATACCTTAGGGGCCGCAGATACCCTTCAATTAGCCAATTTTAGATTTTTTTAACATTGAACAACCCCTAAGAACCCTTTCAGGAATATTTATTTAATTCCAAGCTACTTAAGTCAAGAAGTTTGGGCTTCTGTGACAGATACTTGAAAGAAACCGAAAGAATTTGTGACTTCTTTCATTGGGAGTGCATAAATTAAAATAACAAAAATATAACTGCCGCTGCCGGAAGACCAGAAACACCAATAACAACGATGGAGGAACACGAACTTCTGCAGTAGGAAAAACAAATTGAAAATCCTATCGAACAATGATAAATTGGCACGACAACAATGATATCGGGGGAAAAACCTTCCAAGTTGCGCGGTTGTTGCTCATTCGAGTGTCGCCGTCCCTTTCTTTTGTAGTTGTAGTTATAGTTGTGGTGGTTACTGAAAATTTCAAAAAAATAAAAGAGAGGAGGAAAATAGAAAACGAAAAGGGGCGGAGCAATAATGGTTTTCCGGGCAGCGCTGCTCAGTTGTCGCTGTATAGATTTTTTAAGGGAAATTCTATGATTTTTGATATTTTGGGGTGTTTTATTGAGGTTTTTTCTCCGATATGGGTAGGGGCCCAGTGTGTTAGTCTGTGTGTGTGCTCGCGTATTAAATGATATGGAGGGTTAGAGTTGTTATGTGTGTGTGTGTGTCGTTGGGATTTTAGTATCATTGCTATTTGCTGTTTTGATTTTCAACCGGCAACTGGCAATTGATAGCCGATATTTTTTGTTATTCCGCTGCGTCATGCGGCAGTTGACAACGAGCTAGCCACTTGGCAGGACACGATCCCGACACACGCCAAAGAAAATATAGAGAAAGAAAGTGCGCATGCGCAAAAGTGACTTGCATAACGCGAACCAAAACGAGAGCATCAAGTGATCAGTGATCGGTTATAATGATCTTTGAGAATGTAAAGTGAATGATTAAAGTGATAATAGATAAAGTTTAACGCGAAACTATTTCGGATTTCGAATAATTCAGGAATATACTTAATGAGTAGGTTGATTAATAATCTAATTAGTATAGTGAATTAACTAATTGATTTCGTGAACAATGGTGTTTAGTGATGTCTTAAAGTTATCATTGTGGCATGATCATAAAGTAAATGTTTGGGGTTCGGGTGTGTATAAATCGAATACTATTTAAAGCCTTAAAAGAAAATAATCGATCCATTCATTTCAAAGATTCAACTCATTTCTACTTTAACCAACATTTCCTGAGAAATCTTTAGTCTGGCATTAAGTCTTTCTATTTCCTACCTAAAATCAATTTTCTCAGAAGTTCTTCTGAGTTACTATCAAATATCTGAGACAGAACGAAAAGCAATCTGACGTTATTGGTTTCCCCTTGGCCAGTGTCAAGATTATATTCTGATTCCTCCGACCCCCATCCAAAACTGGGTTGATATGTTGGTTTGCCAAATTAGCCGCTTCTCTTGCGGAGTCTCAAAATATACAGTGTACACATGGACATTCACTATACATATATATATATACCTAGTCAAGGAGTAGTACATGGTTTTGTTTACACTCTGTTGGCATTTTCATTTCGAACATTTTTCCCGGGCATCCTCCTCCTTCTGGCACGCAGAGATGGATATAGGGCGGGCAGGCAGGCGAAAAAAATCAAATAAAATAACATCAAACTACCTTAGGCTTTATAAAAATCCCAACCGAAATACAAGCAACACTCGCCCACTCACACCAACACACAAAGATACTGAAGAGAAATGCGCACATCCTGGCAGGCATTTTTGCTTAACTCCTCAAAGTGCCAGGTCCGGGGTCATGGGTGGAGGTGGGTTAAAAGGGGCAGAGGCAGGGGCTTTCGGCCTGAAGAAATTGTATAAAAGCAAAGTCAACAACAACTACAACGACAACATGTAGCTGGAGAACCAATTTCCAACCATGGAAACTTAATTTATGTCTGCAGCATAGTTGAGAATATTTTTCTTTCTTTCTTTTTTGCCTACTCCCCTGCCTGCCAGCCCATCCCCCACCTCCCTCCCACACCCGCAACCCAAGAAACTTATTTTCCCCCCATCCTTTGACTGCTTCTCCTTGGGTTTTCTCCTTTTTGCCTGCGCTCAAATAGGAAAAAGAAATTTTCGGTTTATTTCGAAAATTTTTTCATACACAGGAAGAAAACAAATATTAAGAGCGGTCTACTTTTAGTTATTGATTTTTTAATTTGGCAAAATATTTTCTCTACTTTACAATATAGTTTTCTTTTTAATTGATTTAATTATTTCTGTTCTTTATTTTCTAAATTTTAAAACATTTTATGAACACTCAAAAAACAGTTCCATTCAGCATTCTATTTTAATACAAAAAACATTTTTCCAAATTACAATATAAATATTATCCAATTACATAAATTTTTCTTTCCGTGTATCTCCGCCTATTTTTGCCTCCCTGTTGCCAGGCATTTCCCCCCGTTTCCCCCTTACTTATATTCCTTTTTGCTTTTCTTGAGAATCAAATTTATTTTACCAAGTCATGTTGAAGAAAATTTTTATAAGTTTTATGCTTGACTCAAGTGATGGTGTTGGCTGGGGGGTAAAAGTGGGTGGGAAACGACTGTGTGTGTGTGTGCTGGTAAGGCGCAAAAAGTTTTCTGTGTGCGCCACACAAACACACACACACACTCACCCACACACAAGAAAATAAGCAAAATTTGTATTCCTTAAATCGGATGACTTTGTATAAATTTTCGTGTGCGCCACAATGGGGTTGTGTGTGTATGTGTGTTAGTGGGTGGCAGCTGGGGCGCTTAGTAAACAAACAGCAAGAAAAAAAGAAACTTTCCTTTCCCTTATATGTATGCTATGCATATATATGTGTGTATGTGTGTGTGTATATATATAATGGAAAAATTTTTCATAGAATTTGCACAAAAATGAAAAAGTGTAGCCACAGCAAAATGGTGTGGGAGGTGGGCGATAGATATGGGTGGGTGGGAATAATGATGATGGAGAAGAAGCAGAGGATGGCGGACAAAAGTAGAAAAATGAAATTAAGCGCATACGGAAATGAGACACAAATATTCTGCGTGTGTGTGCGGGCTTATGCGATTGTATATGTGTATATATGTGTGTGTGTAGGAGAAATATTTGAGTGGCATTCGGTTGAAGCCAAACTAAAATTGAATGGAATCCTTGGTCAAATATTCTGTGCTTCCTTCATCGTTTTTCCTTTTTGCAAAAATAATGCGATCTAAGCCTCGGCACATTCGTTATGTACACTGAAAAAAAGTAGTGAGGGGATATATGAATAAATGGATTGTATAGTGAAGGAAAGTGGCTACTTTGCTGCTATTATTCTGATTATTTATTCACATATTAGGAGAGAAATATGCCAGGAGATGTTTACTTTATATTCCCTTGTAATGTACTCATTATTACTTTTCAAGTTTACAACTACTCATTTTTAAAGTTATTATATAACATTTAGAAGCATTTTCCCCCTCATATGTTATGACCAAATCCACCGCATATGGTGGCTAAATTACTATACGTACATGCATATAAATAACCCTTATCCCATTCCCTCCAGCTATGCCCCCCGCTGGCATGGCTTCGACTTCAATTAAAAAGTTCTCCACTACAATGTTTCCCCCTCTCAATCTCTTACCCTGCAGTAATATCATCCAAAATGGCTGCATCCATATATGCCACCCCACCGCCAGATCTGAGCAGCGAGGACACTGCTCTCTCCGACGTCTCCAACTCATCGACACTCAACACGAACAGGAACAACCACACCAGCAGCAGCAACAGCAACAATCCACATGAAGCCACAGGAGCAACACCCACAGCCACAACAGCCACATCTAGAGCAGCAACAGGAGGTGGAGGTGGAGTGGAAGGCACTTCACCCACCGCACACTTGGTCAAGGCAATGGAGCTGGAACTGGAGCCACAGCCAGCGGGAAGCGGCACAAATGAGGCGGACCAATTGGAGGAGTCAGAGGAGGGGCCCAAGGATGCTGAGGAGGAGGCGGGGGATGCCAACATGGCCACCATGGCGGCAGCCATGCAGCTGCAGATCCTGGAGGCCCTCAGTGATGCGGCCAAAAAGCGTCGCAAACAGCACAATCCCAGCCGTTTGGAGGCTCTCAATTTGAGTGGAGAATCCGGTGGTGAAGTGGGTCAAAAGAGAACTGACTCCTCCACCGTGGACTATGAAGAGAAATTGTCTAAGATGTTCCTTCCAAAGTCCATTGAACAGCTGAAGGAGACCTTCGAAATGCTGCAGCAGCAGAAACAACAGGAGGAGCAACCAGAAACGGAAACGGAAGTGGAAACAGATGCCATGGCAAACATATCAGAACCCGCCAAGCAGCGCGAGAATCCCTATCACACATACTGCAAGCAGTGCGGTGAAAGCTTCGAGACCGAGTTCAAGTTGAGCCTGCACATGTTGCAGGATCATGGCGAGGATAGGTCGGGTGAACAGGATCCCGCTGACTTCTTGGCCTCCATCAAGGTGAAACTGGAGCGTGCCGACATTCCCAGTCCGCAGCAGGAACAGAATCTGCAACAGGATCTTACCAATGGGCATGGCAAGGACTTGGAGCGAGAGCAGGAGCACTGGTTCCAGGCCATGCAGGCCCAGCATCATCCGCATGGTCCGCAAATGCCGCCTGCCTTTCCCTTTCCACCGGAGGCAGCCTTGGGTCCAGCTGGATATTTACCTCTACTTGGCATGTCCGGATTTCCGGGCGTAGATGGCCTGAATCGTCCTCCCTTGAGGATCTTCAATCCCGAGGCCTACTGCGAGCTGTGCAACAAGGAGTTCTGCAACAAGTACTTCCTCAAGACGCACAAGGCCAATAAGCATGGCATCTTCGATCCCGTCGGCGAATCGAGTACCACCAACCCTTCCAGTCACCACAACAATAACAACAACAATATCACCAGCAGTAACAATAATAACAGTGGTCACCCCAATCCCAGTATGAGTTCCATGAGTCAAATGTTCCAGTTGCAGAGGGAAGCCCAGGTGGCGAAGCAGGATTCCACCCCAGTCGGTAGTTCATCGAATCCCGTGGCCTCGGTACATTGTGACATCTGTTCCAAGCGATTCACCAATATCTTCGCCATGCGTCGTCATCGGGCCAAGCAGCATGATGCACAACCAGGTACCCAGGATTCACCCAACTCTCAGACTCCCATGCAATCCCAATCCCTTCGCGGTAGTCCCAATGAAGCACCTCAACCGGCTATCAAGCAGGAAATGTCACAAGAATCAGAGGTTAAGCCGTATCAATTACCCGAGGGTTTCCGCGAGGACTTCACCCTGGAGCAGGAGGAGCTGAGCTTTGTACCACCGCCCAGAAAGTTGCCCTCTCACCTCCATCAGCAGGCTAAAGATTCAAACTTCAACCCTGACAAACTGCGTCGTCTAGGCGTCCAGTTTCCCGACTTTTTCTGTGAACTGTGCTACCGGGAGTATGCCAATCGGTACTTCCTGCGTACCCACAAGTGGAAGCGTCATGGTCTCTTTGTCCCACCCGAAGACGTGGCACCACAACCAGGCGGCAAAGATGAAGCCCAGTTGGCCAGTGCCTGGCCCTTTATGCCACTGAATCTAATGCTGGCCAAGGCAGCAGCTGCCACTATGGATCAGCAGGATCAGGAACGTGACCCGGAATTGGATGCAGAGTCGGAACAGCCCAGCAAGAGGATCAAATTGGAGCAGGAACAGACACCGCCTGAGGGTTACGATGAGGATAAACTGAATGGTTCGGTAGTGGGCCTGCAGAATCTCCAGAAACTGCAGTCGATGTTGCAGCAACTTAACGACATCAATGGCAAACGCCCGCTGCCCTGTCATCTTTGTGGCCAGGAACAGGAGAATCAGTATGCCCTAAGAGCTCATCTCATGACCGAGCATGCTGGCCAGATGCAACTGCCCATGCCCATACCAATTCCTCTGCCCGATCAGCAGGCTCCACATCCCATGGCCAGTTTGTATCATGCACAAGGGAATCCCCAAACTCCACCGGCACCAGGAGCCAGATCCCCTTCAGGTGGTGATCTCCGCTGTCAGCAGTGCGATCGGGATTTCGTCACATCCCAGGAATTTAAGCAACATATCGCCGAGGTGCACTTGGGCAGGAACGGCGGATTAGGTGGAAGTCCCCTCCGCGACGGTTTCTTCACGCCCGAACGACCAGTGGCACCGTCAGCGGGCGGTCCTGGAGCACAAGTTGCTCCGCCAGGAAATCGTCCGGCTTATACCCTTACACCCACGAGCAGCTACTGCGAGATCTGCAACAAGGAGCTGTGCAACAAGTATTTCATGAAGACGCACATGCAACGGATGCACGGCATTGAGATAGAGAATGGCGCCCAAATCGGTGGAGTGGTATGCAACATTTGCAACAAGGAGCTGTGCAGCAAGTACTTCTTGCGGGTGCACAAACACAACACCCATGGCATCATCGAGGAGGGATCCCCATTGCCGCAGCCGAGGGGCCAGAATGGAGTCAAGATGGACGCAGCGGCCGCAGCAGCAGCGGCTGCAACCTCGCAGCCACCACCGCAGCAGGATCAGGAACTCAATGTCTCACCACCCACAGTGGAGGGCAGTGCCAGCAGTTCATCCAGCGCCCCACACGAGGTATGTCCCCTGTGCTCTCGCCAATTCCGAAGCTTCAAGTGGCTGCGATCCCATCTGATGAACGAACATGGAACCGCCGGAGTGGAACGCCTCCGGGAAATGGACACAACTCAATCTTCGACACGCAGCAAGCCCAACAGTCCCACGCTCAAGATTCCCAACGGCAGTGGCAGTAACCCAACTGCAGCGGGTGCAGGAGCTGGAAATACCGCTCCAAATCTCGCCCAGGCCCTGCAGAACCTCAATGCCCAGCATCTCTTTGGGCAAATGCAACAGCAGCAGATGCCCAAGATGCCTCCACTTCCGCTACCCGGAATGTTTGGTGAACAGGGATCTAGGTTCAAGGAGTACCAGTGTTCACTGTGCCCCTTCACCACGCCCTACTACGCCTTCTTATTCATCCATGAGCGTTCCCACGCGTTGCTCAACAATGGAGGCGAAGGCATGGAATTGCCTATGGAGACGCCACCACCACAACCCTCAAGGAATTCGGGAAAATCGCGCAGCAAATCTAGCAAGGCGGTGGTACCACCTCCTGCCATTAAATCCGAAGATCCGGAGACTCCATTAGAGCCCACCAACCTCAGCACCTCAGCACCCAAGGCCGCGGCCCACTCACCAACAACTGGAGCTGGATCTCCGCCCGTCTACTCCCCCAAGGCAACCAGCTCAACTTCACCGAAGATTCAACGCCGTCGATCCACCTCGAAACCTCCAACCACGCCCAATGGACTGGGAAGCGGTAACGGCAATGGAAACCATCGATCGGCGGCCACATCACCCTTCGAGGGCTGTGGGGAGCTGGCCAACGGAAGTGGTAAGCCGGCCAGCTATGCGCAACCGGATCGGGCAGAGGAAGCATATCAGATGCAGGCCTTCCACCTGCAGCCCGCCGATGCTGACTCGGAAATGCAGTTCGCTCCTGCCCTGGTCTACCTGCCCGTTAGGGTACGGGCCTCGGAGTCGGCCACGCTCAGCTTCCGGCTCACACCGGCCTAAAGGTGCCACATGCAACAAGTATAGTGTTGCCAGCGTAAGTTCAAGCCATAGTAACCAAAGTAATCCCAAAAAGTTAAGGGGATTGGGACATTTGGATTCATGAGTGTCCCAATCCCAGAAACTCCCAAGCCCTCCCCCCACTAAATAGTTAAGCAAACGAAGTTAGGAACATGAAAAAGACAAAATAGTGGAACTACAAAAGACTGAGTGCGCATATTAGTTGAGCTCATAATTAAAGTTAAATATACAAAAACCAATAAAACAACAATCGATCAATATCTCTAAGCCCGTTATCGGCCCCAAAAGCTAACCATGTCCAACATGGCACTGATCAAATCTATAGCCTATAACACAACAAGAACAAGTCCGTTTCAGCTGGCAACACTGTGCTAACCATCAAAATAGGATATATACTAAATATATATATATTTTGATAGTCGCATGACAAAGCATAACATACCGCAACCTATAACATATATCTCTAGTGATTAACTATCAAAGTTCCTATGCGTAATAGTAATTTATCGTAAACGAGTTGCAAAAAAATAAAAGACGAGGAGAAGGGATGGCGAAGGAATCTAAATACGTACATAGATTAGGCGAAGGGAAGGCAGGCGAAATGGAGTGGCAGACCCATTGGAAGAATACTATATATACCAACTTAGAAGGCATATATATATCGTAGTAGCAGCAGCATAAAATCAAAATTACAATTATACATTTCTCATCTAGATATGGCGTGGGTTTGTCGTGCTTAGAATAGGGCTGAAAGGTCTGATCCCTGGGGGATCAGCTCAGATATAGCATATATATTATGCAATATAATAACATAATGCTATGGTAAAGCTTCAGCACAAAGAAATTGCTCAAAATCAAAAATCCAAATCTTTATAGCGAAGACTAGACACTCTTAGGATGTTCTGACAGATGGCCCTGGCTATCTCCACTTCCTTTGATTATCATCCTCTATATAAAAACTCCTATATATTAACCGTATCTGAACCAAGTTATATCCAAGGAAATGTCTTCACTAAAACATAATTCCAGCGCACAACGTGTATATAAAAAGTTGTTAAAGATAACACCATGAGAAGTTCAGATTTTCGATAGAGAGGGGTAATAGGAGATAGAAAGAGAGGTAACTAGCGCCACAAGGTTAAAATTAAGAACATTTAAACAACTCAGGGCAAAAGTACAATGACCATTAGTACTTTTTTATACAAACATATTTAAAGAAACCAAAAAAAACCAAAAAAAACAAAACAAAACAAAACATACGCAAGTAAAATATTACCATAATAATAAATTAAATATATATTATGAAACGTTAAAAAAAGATAACAAATATGCTACCTCAGACGGACTTGAAAACAATAATTTAAATAAAATGAATTTATAAAGAAAAATCTACGAAACCATTAAATGCAGCAGAAGCAACCCCAAAGCTAAATCAAATTTTTTGTAGTAACTTTACCTCGAAAACAGAATTACATTTTATACTTTATTCGAAATTCTAATATATATATCCTATGATTTAGTTAACCATTCTAAGTTTAAACATTCCAAAGACCCAAAAACTAGTCCCATAAACAAGAACCAAACCAATCTAGTCAAAAATATAAGATAAACATAATTTAAAATATTAAAACAAAAGCCAAAAACAGAACCATTAACACTTCGGCTGTGGGTGGCTCTTTTCGCAGATTATTTTGTAGTGTTTAAGGAATTTGTTCTTCGGCGAGAAGAGCTGCCCAAGACGAGTTGATGAGTGCGGATCGGCTTAGAAGTATTTGCTATATTTGAAATTTTCTTTTTTTAAAAACGTGTGTTTTTTAAAATGCTGCGTGCCTTTTAGCAAATACTTCGACCAGTCCGCAATACCAATAACTTGAACTTGAAAATCGAAATGAAACTACAAATATAGTTCTTAATTTTATTTTACATTCCACTTATTCCTTAGTTCTTATATCTTACTTTTAATGTGTATATATATGTATTGAATAAATGTCATGCAATTTGTATTTGTTAAACTTGAGTTTCTTTTATTATTTTGATGTTGATTTCTGATAACCCAATTTACAAGCCACTGCATGTTTTTGAACCCTGATTGAAGTGTGCCAGACTCGAGTCAAAGGTCTTAAAAAATCAGTGTCTTCAACTTATCGACTGTGAAGTTGTAGCCGATAGGGGAAGACCACTTCCTTTGTTTCGGTTTCTTTTTTTTTTGAAAATTTTCCCATAGGGGACCTTCATTTTTTCGGGGTGTCATATGCTGGTCCAACGCCTTAGCTACTTCAATTATTAAATTGCCATTTGATTCAATTTGTCAACAATAGCTTGAGAGCCTATCTGCGACTTGTTTAATCATTTTAAAAAACTCCCAAGCAGCTGCCTTCCTTCCTCTTTTTTTCTTTCTACAAATTTAACCAAAAACAGCACCCTCATAAAAAAAAATGAGAAACATAATAAGTGAAACTGTTTCCGGTTTTGGGTCAGGCCTTGACCAACCCCCTGATTAGTATGTTTGCATTAAAAAATACATCTGTATGAATGGCTATATAAAAAACCCGAAACTACGATAACAAAAACTCAGCATGGTCATGGGAGGGTCAAGTTGGAGGGTCAGGTCAGCAGCTGCAGTTGCTTGAAGTTTCTAAAAAAAAAACTGTTTCTAAGCCAGACCAAAATCGATATTGCCATGGCTATTGATTAGATGCAGCCACCCTCTGCGATCCGAATCGTCCCGTTTTGGCAGTTAATTATTTGTCACGTGTCCATGCAAATTTCATCTCATTGATTACGACTATTCGAGATATTCGATACTTTTTCGCCTGACGGCGCTGCAATTAAAGATTGACTCGAGCAACTACCCCCAGGTTGACCAGGGGATGGTAGGCAAATTTCATAAATATTTTTCCGAGATTTCCCCCAGCATTTTCCTATTGAATTTTTATGGCAATTTTTGGGAAAAATCCGCAGGCAGCTATTTTTAAGGGCGCATACAAATGACCAAACGCAGGGCTACCCCATGCGGAATTTGCATTGGCGTTTTAAGGGTGTTCCCCGCTATTTGCATGTTTAAAAGTGAACTGGAAAAATTGCAATTTATATAAAAATAAAAATAAAAATGAAAATGAAAAAGAAAAATTGCAATTGCCAAGGGTGATTTGGCAGCAACCCCATGCAAATTCTTTATTTCCTTTGGGCTCGGGTTCTTGGCAATGTTCTACCATTATTTTAATTTCCTTACATTTTGGCATGACTGCAACCCTCACACAGAAGAGCGCACAAATCAAAAATCACCAAAAATATGTTTTATTAAAACTAAAGCTAAATGAATTTTACAACACAAAATCCAAAAAAAAGAAAACTTGCAACGTACCTTGAGCATAAATCAAAATTTTGTATGACCTTCTCGGTGGGGTCAAGCTGCAAAAACAAAACACAAGAAAATCAAAAATACAATTTTACTAGAGCTAAGCAAAACAAAAACAAAACAAAAATGATTACACTCTTAATAAATATTTTAGTTGTAGGCTTAAGTCGAAGCAACAAAATGCATTGCAAATTTATTAATTTAATTGATGTTGAAGTTGGAACAAGGAGAAGGAAAGTGACGAGAAAAGCAACACAAAGACGTGAGAGCGCAAAATCAAAAGCCACGAGCAAAAAATCAAAACAAAATTAAATTTAAATTTAATATAAACAAACAAATTAACATTTATTTAGCAATTGGCAATGTATGAGATATATACACTTATATATCGATATATATATATATATAAATTACATATACTTAAACAATTTTACTTTGTTATTATGTAAAACTATGTGTGAGAAAAATCAAAAGAAACCAAGGCAAACTTGAACAAAATAATTTATAATATGTGTAAAATGTGAAAGAGCAAAGAATCAAAAACGGTGGAAAACCAAACATTTTTCATTTCATTGTAAGTGAGCATTTATCAAAATTGTATGTGTTTTAAATTGATTATATTAAATATATATACAAATACATATAAATAAATCCAAAGACTCTATGATTTTGGGTGAGAGTTGGGCGGGTGCCTTCTTCGACTTTATCGTGACTTCTTTTAGTTCGACTTCCCTGAAGCAAAACCGCACTCAGGTACAAGTGTCATCATCTCGAGCTTTAAAAGTGCTTTGGTCGCCCTGTGATTCCCATTCAAAGTTGCCCAGGGACTTGTCTAAGCTGATTTTGCGACTCTTGAGACGGGTATCCTGCCCCAGTCCATGCCACAACCCCCATCGTGCCGGGCGAACATGGGGAAATTTTCAACTTTTCCGAGTTTTGACATTTGCTTTCAGCTTTTCAATATATCCAAAGGATACAGGGATGAACGGAAAGCACTCAAAGAAAAGAGATAAAGTAGAAAAAGTATTCATAGTTGGTAAAAGAATATAAAAATTTCTGTTGAAGGTTATCAATATCTTATGTTTTTCCAGAGAAATGTATAAAAATGTTTTTAGAGTGACTTGTATTAGAAAATATTTTTCTCTGTGCAAAAGCGAAGAAGGGACCTAAATCCTTCATCCCCAAGAGAATCGCAGAAAGTCTTCCATTCGCTTGTTGCTACCCTAAGCCCGAGCAGCTAAGCATTGCGAAATCAAAGTATGTCAATATTTGTATTACATGGGACACTCACTGGCAGGAGCGACTGTAGCTGTTGCTGTAATGGGCAAATACAATGCCTCTGGAAATGTCTTATCAATAATTTTTGAAAAGAATGCGACGAAATCAATTCCGATTCAGGGGGCTGGAGATGTGCGTCTGGCGCGTGTTCCTGACAGCTTCATGGTTTCCTTGTCCTGTCGTCCCTTGTCTAAACTTCCTGTTGCCAAAAAAGGCGAGGAAACAAACTTGTTCATAAATTGGCAGCGGAAGAGGGAATATTTTCTACATAGTTTTTCGATGGAAAAAAGTACTGGTAAGTTTTCATAAATATATAGTGCTATATAAGTTGAAGAAGTTTCCTGGGTACAGTTGGCATGGATTATTGTTACTTAAAAGTTGTAGACATTCTTGTACTTATAACCAGTTACAAGATTGAACTTCGTTGGGGCTTATTAATAAAGCAAAAATGAGCTTTATAAGTGTATATCATTAAAATCTTATAGTAAATATTTGGCCAACTGTACCATATAGAGCTACTAATGTAACATAGTTCTAACATTTGTCCCCTGAAACACACCATTTTTTATTTAGATACATACTCGTATGTGACACCTACCCCTTCTTCCTAATACATTATAGATTAAAACCATCCATCAACGACAGCAACAGCTCAAAAATTCCACAATTAAATTATAGTTTTCGTAGTTTTTTGAATGGATTGTGAGGGGAAATTAGTTTTTAATCGATTTGACAGAGCTTCGCACGCAGACCGACAAATTATAGGCCTGAAATACTCATTGAACACCATTAAACCGCCAACCTCAGGACTTCACCCACTAATTCCCCATGTGTATGTGCTTAGGCATATACATATACATATTTACGAGTAATTTCAACTCTCAATTAAATTGTTTAGGCGGCGCCAGGCGCAAACAACAATTTTTGTTGTCACCATATGCTTTGGAAACGCTTTCTGTTTTGAATACCCCTTGGCAAAGCAAGTCTGAAAGTATGTCACTTTCATGTAAGCTCTAACATTGGGTATTTAAAACCAAAATAGTTAAAATATCGAACATGTATTTATTCCTTCAACACAAGAAGACAGAAATTCTTTAGCAACTTGATGAGGGGAAACCTTCTTTAGATTATATTCATTAATATTTAAAAGCAAGGATCAAACTTGGATAATAATTATTTAGTAATTATTTTACAATCAGAGAAATCTTTTAATTTTAGAAAATTATTTTGAAATCATTACTTTATTTCATATACTAATCAAAAGTTCACTAAATAAAAGGGTACTTTCCATTTGAGACTCCAGCCCAGTTCATTCTTGCTTTTATGGGACTTCGTTTCATTGACCGCTTGCCGAGTCCTTGGAATGTGTCAAAAAAAAAACCCAAAACCTTGAGTCAACAACAACAGCAGCTACAAACTTTAATAATTTAACTTATGGATTTTTTTTCGGCTCCCAGGAGTGGGTAAAGTATTTGTTATTTCGTTTTCTCATTTTCCAAATGTATATAGCAAGTCGAAGGAGCAGAGGGAGGGCGAGGGGATCTGGGGTGGGTTTTTCATTTGTTTTCCCCCTGGCATATGCACATTAGTCCTGGAAATGCGGCAATTTAAATAAATGACGCAAAAGGACACGCACCAGAGGCGAGTGGTTAGGAGAACGTTAGAGGGTAGGGTGCTTGCTAGTAGTAGGTTACCCTAATGACTTTTCAGAACGCGACTAAAATTGGTTTTGGCTTTCCTTTTGCATACATTTTCACCAGTGTTTAGCATTTTTAACTAGGAATTTTTTGACATCATTTTGTTTAACTCTCACAAAGTGGAGTGAGAATTTGGTATTTACATATTCATATATTAATTTATGATGTTAGGTCGTTGGACTTTGAATTTTATACTAGAAACAGGAAATGGTCATTAGAATAAAATTTTAATTTTGTAAAAATTGGTGAACACATTATTTGGCTGCATTAAATGTTAAATGGGGAAGTTATTGCATTAAGATTGCTTTTTTGGTAAAAGATCAAAAAAACCCTTGTTTATTTCTTCAAATATTTTGAGTTTTATTTAATTCTCCAAAAAAAAGTTTTATTTAAAGATCATTATACGGAAATAATAGCTTAATAGATAAAGATCGAAAAATTATTTAGGGATTCATATCATAACCCAGATTTATTGACAAAAGTGGCATTAATCAGAAGACTAATGATTGCCCTTAATTATCATAAATTAAATCCCAATGAGTTCATTGGGTAATTTTCGATCCAATCAAAATTCTTAGCACATTGTATCCTGCAACCCCATATCATAGATCCAGATCTGTTATCTAACTTTTCTAAAAGGCTGCATCCCTTTGGCCATTTCTCATTTGCAGGCCATGATGAAGCCAAAGAAAGTGGGAAAAGTAGAGCCATCGACAGCCGAAACACGGATTTATTTTAGTTTCAGTTGCGTTTTGAGATTTCTCCGTTCGTCCGGCTTTCCTTGTCCTTTCAATTGGATACACACAGCCTCAGTAGAATGTGCGTGAATGTGTGTGTGTACGAGAAAGGACTGCCAGGACTCAAAGTCTGAGTTTGAGTTTCAGTTTGAGGTTTGCCGTGGAGGGGGACTGGGTTGAACGGGCGTTGATGAGGAATAAAACTTGCCAGGAGAAAGGACACAAACTCACACACAAGCATGTGTGTGTGTTGGTGTGCGTACTTGTATGGTTACGAGGGGAAAGGACATCAAGGAAAGGGCAAGGAAGAACCAACGAACGAACGGAAGCAACAAGAGGGCAAACAATTTCTTCCTTTTTGCCATGAAAGTTGAGAGAAAAATAAGACGAAAATTGTAATTTTCATCAAGCAGAAAAAAACTTTTTTTGTATTTCATTTCAGCTTGACCTTAAAAGAAAATTAGATGCTCGTGTGGGTGTGTTCGTGTGGTATACATATATATGTATATCCACACATATGTACCTATACATGTGCAGAGACTATCGAACAAAATTCCAAAATAAAAAGAAAAATTTAACGCAAAAGGCAAAGTTTTTTTGGGGGAGTGCCAGAGCAAGGATACGGTTGCCAGGATAATGGAGTAGGGGTTGGGTAAATTCTATAAGCATGTGTGTGGGATGCTGAGGCTTCTGGCTTCTCCAATTTCCAGCTGGACACCCAAAATGAGGGTGACCCTTGAATTCCTGCCAGCTTGGGTATGTGGATGTGTGTGTGTGTTTTTTTTGGGTGGGTGGAATGTATGCTAAAGTGAAAAGTAGTAAATTGAACTTTCTTCCTTCTCTTCCTCTCCATCTGCTCCTTCTGGCATCGTTTTTATATTTTTGTGGGCAATTTGTACTTTGTCTGCGTTCAGCAGTTTTTGCAGTTGTTGCTTCGGCTACTTTTCCACTTTTCTTTTGCTTTTCACTTTCATTTTACGGCTGTCCCTGTACCGTGTGCATGTGTATACGTACATCCGTGTGTGTCCGGAATCCGGATTCCGGAATTTGGAAAGAGGAGTGGAATTTAGCTTTGGACTGGGGCCATTTGTTATTTATCGCTTTGCAAATTAAAGTTGAGCCGCATAAAACTTGCAAAATTATTTATAGCAATAAATATTAACCCACTGGCTGTGCCCCGACTATATCCTTAATTACAAAAAAGAGGAAGCAAAAAAGGAGGAAAAACGGCTGACAAGCTGATAATAAATTGAAAAATCTATCAAAGGTAGCAGCCTGACTTTTCTTTTTCTTTGGAGCAGGGGAAGTGGTGAGGGGCTATCAGCTGGCTGCTGATGGAGTAGAAATCATAATGTCAGGATTGACTTGACAGCTACAAAAACAATACCAACATCCTGCGTTGTCCTTGTGGGAGAAGATTGGGCAAAAAATGCTAGGCATAGGTACAGTGGAAATCACATGTGTGGAAATACTTTAAAAACAGAGAACATTGTAATACCTTAAAAGCAGAACAAGATTCTTGAATGAGGCATCTAACTTTGAAACAGTTGACTTTTATGACTATGTCATAAAAGAGATTAGTAGTGGAGAAATTTATAGACTATATTTTAATACCCAATTATTAACTTTCTCTATAAACTATAAATTAATATCTACTTTAAAATCTGGTATCCATCTGAAAAAACTTATAACTCTAATACATATTTATAACATTTATATGAATAATATTGAAAAATTTTTAAACATCTGCATTAACAGAATTAAGAAATTAAGTATTGTAAAATATGATGTCTTAATAACAGAAGTAGACCTTGTAGCCATGCCCCACTTTATGTATAAATGATGACAATAAAATTGCTCCGCTAGGATGTGTATGTGGATGTGGGTGCGTGTCTGTTTGTTTGGCAATCAGCCATGACAGCCCGGAATTCTTATTCTTATTCCCGACCGAAGTCTATGCCTCAGCCAAACCGACCACCCCCTCAGCAGGCCACCCTTGGCCATCACTTTCCCTGCAGTGATTTTGCAATGAAATTCGATGGCTCCAACAGGGGAGTTGGGCCGATATAAGCCTCATTATGGAAAATCAATAGAGACGAACGTAACTTTAGACTTTGCCAACTACAGAAAAAAGCAAAACGAGATGGAGCGATAAAGAAAAATAGAAAGAGGAGTACACGGAAAATATACTTTGTGCTGTCCCAAAATAATGGGCCAACGATCACAAAATCTAAAAGTAGCAAAGAAAAACTATATGATTACATTTTATATATGTATATTTTGAGAGACTTACCAAACATCGAGATACTGAAAAATGGAATTAATTTCATCTTTTAAAAACTTGTTTGAAATGCTTGTTTTCATATGCGAATCTTTTAATCTAACTACTAGGGTTTTGTACATATCAAACTGATAATTATAACGAGTATCATTTATTATTATCTTTTTAAACTATTTAGAAATAATTTTTTGGAACATGATTCTAAGATCTGTCTGAAATTAAACTTTTTTTTAAGTGCAGTTCAATGTTATGGACTACGCATTAAACAAAATTTCGATAGGCCTACGACCACATGCCCCCAACACCCCCTACTCTAGGACACAGCAAACAAAAAAAGAGGCAAAACAAAATTAATTAATTTATGTGCCAGCCGGAATTTTCCATGGCAATAACCACTTACACCAAAACCGATACACACACACATACGCAGACAATTGTCTATTGATACAATTTTTCCAATTTCAACGCCATCCTCTAACAACGTTGTTGTTGTTTGTGTTACTGTTGTTGCTGCCTATCCTGTGGACAACAAAAGCAGCAACAACACCATCAACTCATTACAAAAACATAATAACAAAATAAATATTGAAAGAAATGGCATAAAATTATAAAAGCCTTGTCCACAACAAGGAAAACTGCCAGTCGCAGACCGAAGTGAAAGTGGAGCTCGCCTTTCTTAACGCTCTCCCCTCCCTTTCGGAAAACCTTGTTTTCCCGCCTCCCCCCAAAGCACCAATAAATTTTATGCACTATCACACGCACACATACACACACACACTCAACCGCTTGCTGAGTGCGTAAGCTGCTTAAGGGAAATGAAAGTGGAAATGGAAAAGGCAGAGAAAAGCGCTAGGAAATAACGGTCAGTGTGTGTGTGTGTGGTCAGACTTTCAAAGTGTATCCGTGGGGGAGTTTGCATTATTCAAGTAAAAAAGGCAGGAAAAAATAAAGAAGTATGGAGCCCCGCCCCCAAAAACCCACTGACTTTTATACTTTTATCTCACAAAACGTTCGAGAACAGAAAGTGGTCAAAATGTGGCCAAGGAGTAGCAAAGATACATCAATAACTGCTGAGCTAAAGATAAGCACAGTGACGGCTATAATGCCTTGCGATCTTCTTAAGCCTTTTTTCAATCGGTAAGTTTTTCCTAACTAACCTAACTTGTTTTGTAATTTCAATACAAATTTTACAATAATTAGTAACTGATATTTGATACCAGAAATAATTACCTGATCATAAGGATTAAAATAAAACGAATTATAATCTTACAATAACAGAAATCTGATATCTCAAAGAATTATATCTCAATACATTAGTAGAAGCTCAAAGAAGATATTTAAATGACCGTCATATCATTCAAATACCTATAAAAAATAAGCTTATAATATTTCCTAATTAGTGCTCATTTACAATTGTTACCACTTTTGTTCTTTAAGTACCCCTAAAATCACCGTTAAATCCCAGAAAAGGAAAACACTTGGCCCTGAACCTTGGCCAGCATGTGAAGACATTACACATTTCCCAACGACGCGTGTCTTGATTTAAAAACCCTAAATTCAACCCAAACCCACAAGCCAGGCAGAGTCAATTTTTTATAAAAAAAAACCCTGGTAAATTTTTACACCAAAAACCCCGAGAGTTTCCTTATCTCTGACACCCCAGGAAAATATCCGGCTGCGGCCCCTGAGCCGTGGGCAAACACAGACGCGTGCGCCAATAGTATCAAAATCGAATAAGTAAACAAGATCCATAAAAAAGCGTAAGATACTGGCAAAGTGTGTATTTGTTGTTGTCGTCGTGTTTGTGGCACGGGTAGTTTTTGGTTTTTAAAAACCATTTGGACTTGTGGACCCTACGAATTCCGGAATCGTGGCAGCTGCTTGTCGAATGGAAAATGTGAAATCCACACGCGTGCGAAGCGTGTGTGGTGCCCCCAAAAGTTGTCAAAGGAATCGACATAAATTTCATTAGAGTTCACAATTCTCTGCATTGTTGCACATGAAGGAAAGGGTTGGCCGATTGGACAGTTTTTGGAAAATGTGTAAAATTTAACCCAAAAACTGTAAAAGGGGTCACCAAATTACTTTTGAGCGCAAATGAAGCGAACGAATGTGAAATCGAAATTCTCGCATCCTCGCATGACACTGAAAAGGGGTTAGGGGCTATAGGGTAAGGGGTAAGTGCTCTGATGCCCTGATGCTCTGAACCCTTGCCCATTGTAAAATTGCAATTTTCTATGGATAATGCGAATTTTGCAACAAAAATTTTCTTGACATTTTCCGCATAAAAATCTCACTGGGTCGCCGGGGGTAAAAAGGGTCACCGAATGCTGCCGCTCATTGTGTAAATAAAGGATCAGGCGAGAGCAGCCAACTGTCACACGTCCATGTGAAATTAATAAATTACATTTTCTCATTCTTTTGCGCAAAAATACTTGCCAATTTTTTAACCCAAAAGGAGAGGGTAGGGGGTAAATTTAATTTTCGGGTGCAAGAAGGGGTTGTGCGACACATTAACTGAGCCCATTAATAAGCGTAGCCAACCCCGGATGACACGTGGGTCAATGTCGCCCGACCTGGAAAAAGGACAAGGACGACAGGCGGCGCGAAAATGGGTGAAAAAAATAACAAAAAAAAGGGAACCCAACAAAACAAAGAAAAAACAGGTAAAAAACTGCAAAAAAGGAAGCCCGTTAAAATTCTCACTCGATTTGAAATCGGGATTTTTCAATAAATTGGCACAAACCTCGGCAATTCCTTCTTTGTTCGCCAGGCAATAATCCTCTTAACTGCAGCGACTGTCGCAAAATTGGAACAAAGCCGAAGGGAAAATGAAAATGTTGCATAGGGGTACCAGTAGTCGGTTCCTTCCTCCTTCCACCCTCCTCCAGCTCCTTGTTGCCGCCGGGACTAGTTAAATAAATGAGATTTCAGTGGGAACAAAGGCGGAAGCCTTCTTGGATAAGTCGGTAACTAGGAGGACCGCTTCAGTGATTAGCGGACAAAAAGTGCAGTACGCTGTGAAGTTAATCAGGGAATTCTCTACTACCGTTTCAGCCAAACAATTAAAGATTTTAAAAATTTGTTGAAATAGCCTAAAAACTATAAAATAATTTAAAACTATGAAAAAAGTACAAAATATGGAATTCTTAAGCATATCCTTTTTCAAATAAGGGTTTTGAAGTTGTTAATTAAGATAAAATAAATAATGGTTTAAATTTTATTTTAAAGTAAGTTGAAGTCGACGTTTGCTTTTTGCTTTTGTGTCGTTATACCCGTTACTATAATATATTTGTTGAAAAGTACGTAACAGGTAGAAGGAAGCGTTTCCAACCGTATAACGTATATATATACTTGATCAGGATCAATAGCCGACTCGATTAAGCCATGTACGTCTGTACGTCTGTCAGTTTGTCCGTATGAACGCTGAGATCTCAGGAACAATAAGAAGTAAAAAGTTAAGATTAAGCAGACACACATTCTTGTGGTCCCTACGCAGCACAAGTTTCTTTCACCATCTTTTATCTCTAACGCCCACAAATCACGGAAGACTAAAATCGTTGAAATCTCAGGATTTTAGAAAAGATTCTAGAAAATTGGAATTTAGAAATTATAATTTGTAATTTGTCAGCGCATCTTATGGTGGTACCCGGCCACGCCGACTCTTATGCCCACCAAGCTCGAATGACGATTTTCGCTATTTGAAGAAAAGCTGATATATCAGTAACTATAAGAGATACAATTTTGGGATTTAGCATGTAGTTTCTAATGACGTTCCAAATGCGTATTATTTTTACACCATCTGGCCACTCCAACTCCAACGCCCCAAAAACACGGAAAACCAAAAATGCTAAATCTGGGTAACTTTAAGAGCTATAAAGTTATGCTTAGGAAAACGTATTTAAGAGATGCCACTGCAGCTCAACGTCAGTTTTCATCCGGGCACGCCCACAAACCTTGGAAATCTATGGCGTCCATAATATTATTATGTATGTATGTCTTCGTTTAGTCTTTTAAAACATTTTTTGTTAATATCTATCGATCTACCAAGGATTTTTCAAATCGGAACATTATTTAACTTCTTATGAAGAAATGCATGTTATAAGGCCTCACATGGACAGTGAGGTCAGCATCAGTTAATAAACATTCTTTTTGACAAAAGGTGGCGCTTTGTCCATTTCCAACAGCAAAATTAATATTTTAAAATAGTAACTAAAAGAAAACTTCCTGGCCTATAAAAAGTATATGAAAAAAATAAAAATAAAATATTTTTTAGAAATTTCAAAGTGATGATAATTAAGTAATGCAATAAAAAAAGGTATAAATAACTATAAGATATTTTAGTTTTCAAAACATAATAATCTTGGTTAATCTAAGCTAAGCTTTAAACTACACAAGCAAGTAATTTAACGAATAAAATAATATAACAAAATGAGTTTTCCCATTTTAGTTTTAACAGCAGTTAGGTACAGTTTAAAAATCTGGTACAATTTGGTTTTAAGATGTGCTAAGTGTCTTGTCAATTTATATTTGATGGTTTGAGACCATGCTTAGCCAGAAAACATTTCAGTTTATGGTCATACTGCAATATTTCTAAAGATTCCCAGCTACGGTCACTCCTTCATAATAATATGAAGTAAAACAACATATTTTCCAACTAATTTTAAACGAAAACGACCAGACTGCTATTGTTTGGATAAAAGGAAGTCTCCCAAGTGACTGTTACTCTCTCTTCCCCAAAACAAACGAACCAACATGGTTGTTGGGTAAGTCCGGATACATTTGTTTGAGACTTACGTAAGTCTAAATATGGAATATTTTTCAGATTTTTGGTGCGCAGCGGTCTGGTGGCCGGAACTGTTTACTATACACAGAAGGTGGGCGTCTGGGGAAATACGGATCAGACGGACAAGCTCTATAACACCGTGAAATCGGAACTGTGTCCGTATGTCAAGAAGCTCGAGAAGCAATTGCCATTCGAAGTTCCACAGCTGCCAAGAACGGGCGAGATGCGCTTTCTGGCCAAGCACTACTACAATGAGGGCGTGAAGAACACCTTCCACTTCATCCAAATGCTGCCTTGTTATGCGGGCAGGGGCTTGAAAAAGGTTAAGGACACGTTCCAGGACTTTGCCAAATCACCAGCGATCACCGGCGGTGCGGAATCCAGTCCGGCGAAGTAACTTAACCAACTGCTCTTCAATGGCAGGCTGTTTTCGTGTTAGCTCATAGTTAGCCTATTGAATAATGTCGTTGTAATGTGTCGTTATTCCTCGATCCGCTCGCCAGCAGATCCGCGACTATAGATCTGTTCTCGACGTACTGAAACGCATCGAACTGGAACTTCCAGTTTAGAAATAAACAATTTAACGTAGTAAGCGTAAGATCGCACTGAACCGCTGATGTATTCATTTGTTTACACGGGAAGAAATTATAATTACGAGCTCAACAACCTGTGGGTGAATATTACATACCTTCAGCAAAATCACTCAATGGTTTTCTGATTCTGAACTTACTTTTATTAATGAGTTAGTTTGAATAATTAAAAGGATTAAATAATCTTAAGTATGCCCACAAAAAGGGTCTGCCAAGGTAAGATTACTTACCAAATTAAATGATTTGCCAACTTTTTTATTAACTTTACATTTTCCTTTATGTCCTTTTTGACATTAAAAAACTACTCCTTGTATGACTAAACTCGATATTTCTGTAATAGTAATATTAAATAATTTTAAATCTTCCTTATTAAAGTTTCGTTTTTGATTTCAAGCACAATCTTTTATGAAGAAATCTACTAACTTACAGAAATTATCTTCACAATCTATGTGTCATCCTTCCAAGATATTTTCTAAAACCAATGTTAAATGACCGAGTAGTTAAGATAACATTATTTGGTTCATTCTTATACAAGTTTGGAAAAAATATTTGTATTAATGTGACTTTTTCCGGTGTAGTGGGAGTAACTTGCCAGACAAGATCCTATTATTTCAGCTTCTATATATATCCAACTTAGTTGCTTTTTGTGCTCTGCCTATTTGTTTAGATCTTTTCGTGTCCACGTAAGACGCCTGTCACAGCACACTCCCCAAACAAAACAAAAAAAGAAAAACTGATTTACTATCCCACTACCGCTTCTGCTTTTTCTGCCAACTCAATTAAGATCTTGCTTTTGGCGAGCTAGAAAAACGGAGCAAACTGTCACGATGATGGGCTTTTATGAAGCACGTGAATCCGGTTTTGTATTTTTCATATGTCAGGGATCTCAAAAATATCACAGACACGCTACTGATGAAGTGTGGCAAGAAGGGGAACTGATTTCGATGTCTTTTATACCTTTTGTCTTGTCGCTGATAACATGAAATTATTGCTGTAAACAAAGCGATGTTTGAGATTGGCAATTGGTATAAAAGAGATGGCCGACTCTTGTTTATCAGATCGGTGATAAAGCTCTCAACCAGCATTGCTGTGACTTTAACTGACTCAGCGCACTGGATGGTTGACATTTTACAGCAGCTTCCGCTATGACAGCACGTTACGCATACGCCCCAGTGGCAAGAGCAAATATTATACCTTACTTTAGGAGGCGCAGCAAATAAAACAGCCAAAGACGTCACTGAAGGCGAACGTACGCCGACAACTGATAACAGTTTAGTGCCCAATTGGGCTACCAGGAGTTAGATAGAGCCAGGCCAAATATTATTAAAAACCCCGTCAAGAAGTACCAAAAGATAGAACTGGTTGACCATCTCAGCCCGCTTTGCTGTCATCGCTTTAAATTTAGACACCCACTTGAGACTTCTACAGTAGCTTGATTATCTCCGGGGTAATACTACACGTTTTTAATTTCGATTATTTGATTATTTGCCTTTCTATTTATGATATTTGCCCAGTGCCACTGACGCTGGCTTCTATTTACATAGCCCCACCATGTTTTTAATTAATTAAACTTTTCGCTTGTTTATTGGCTGTGACGACCCAAACACAAGCAACTGTCTACTGCCTGCCAGAGAGCAGATGTTGTCTTGAGATAAAGAATTTACCACCTCAGCTCCCCACGATGGCACCCAGGATGACTCATCTACAGGTGAGATAATGTCGTAGATCGTAGATCTCAAACAGCATCAAAGATCGAACCGAATAACACGATCACGTGTTAACCAGGACTTTTCATTACCGCACATGGATGGCCAATATTTGCTGGACAAACACGAAATCACATTGCCAGCGACCCATAAAATCGGTGCAAATATCAATATAACCTCTAAATAGCCCCGGTAAGCAACACCTCCTACGCATATACACATATTCCGTGGCAATGACTCCGGTAAACAGGCGCAAATGGGCCAGGGAAGATACCGAATACCCACCTCAAACCGTGATAAGCAAAGGCCTTTCTTTGCCAAATTGGCTAAATAGAGCACAAGTGCTTGTTTGCCTTGGCAATGCGAACAATAATTAAATAAGCCTTCTTGTTAAATATTCCCAGATCAAATTTGCTCAGCCACGAGCATTTCATTTAATTAAAGTTCCTAAAATAACCCCGATAAGAGGTGAGAAATTGAGAGAAGTCCCCTTTGGGAATTGACGTAAGAAAATTTCCCCTAAAGCACAGTATAATTTTAGGTTTTATTATTTATTTTTATATTTATAAATCTAAAAAATATTTATATCTTTTATTTATCACTCAAAGATGGAAAGGTAAAGTTATGTCTAAGGTTTCTTCTTCAAACTAAGTAATAAATAACAAATGAGGGAGGGAAGTCGAGTAGATTTAAAGGACTTATAGAAAATCAAATAAGTAGAACGATAATAGCAATATATGTAGACAAGCCAATATCAAACCATAAACTGATTTTGTTGAGAATAAAAAGGTAAAACAGCATCTTTCAGCACAGCTGCCGAATTAAGTAATTTCGCAAGATGATAATAAAAATTACCGAATCGAATATAAGTTTTATTATCCCTTAAAAGCCACTTGTAAGCTTGCCACTCAATTGGTCTAGCTGATCGTAGATGTCGGGCGAATAGTGAATAAATCATTCAAACATAACCAGCCGCAATCACGATCCACTCAAGTTTCAGACTACCGTCCGCGTCGGGCCAACTAATTGTGTTTGACAAAACGATATTAACTCATTCCGCTATTGGCCATTTGTCATATATTCAATTATTGTCACACTCTCAATTCTGTGTCACGTCGCGATTTTAGCTTCGCCTTTGCCTTCGTCAGCTCATTATTATTAACGATATTATGGGGCGTTAGGGTGTGGAGCTGTTCAAACCACCGACCTCTGAGCATAATCCCTTGGACAGATCGTTCAACCAGGAGGATCAGCTACTCGACTGATAAGAATTGAATAGTTTTAATTTTTTTTGTTTTGTGTTTGGAGACAAATGAGGGGGTGCGTTGAACCTGCAGCAGCTAGCACTCAAATACCCACTGGGTACCAAGTGGGATTCGATCATCCACTGATCGAGCGGAACGCAAATAAGGCCAAGAGCGTGTGCAAACATTACAGGCTTAATTAGAAGCGCGGGTGTTTTCAAACACTTGATCAAACAGCTGGGCCATATGACTTCCCATCTATCTATCATTTCGTTGTTACACACTCCGAGATATGTATGCTAATGCCTGGTAACAAGACAAGAAAAGCCACTGCCAGTGCCTTCATAAATGTTACGATTATTTATTCTGATTCTGTGCATTTTCCAATACGACTTCAATACCGGTTTGCTGATAGACGCAACTACGCTGCTTCCGATTTTTACACCGCAATAAACATAGTTTGTAGTAATTAGCAGTAGAGTCTTATTAAGACTTTTGACAAAAGGGCATCGGAAGTAACTTCGCAATGCCTATACCTCATTTGATTCTTTCAGCATTAAGATTATTCTACCTAAATAAGTATTTAGTTTGGGTTTAATGGTCTTCTTTGTGCAGTAAAAACAAGTCCTTTTTCTTTACTTAACCTATAATATTCGCAATTTGAAACAAAACACCTTTTCATTAAGTACCTATAAGACATCTGGTATGTGGATGATGTGTTATTTATCCAAATTACTTCGGTTACCCATTTTCTGTTCGTTACTAACACAAAGGTATAAGAGATAGTCGTTAGACAGTCGTCCAATATGAGGTATAAAAGTACTGAAGCTTTCTCGGGAAATTAGCTATTTTTCCAAGTAAAATTCCGACTTAAAGTTATCGCTTTGAATCCATGCATATGAAAAAAATATCTATAAATTACCGATACATTTTTCTCCGAGTGGCAAACGCACGCGGGTGAGTACATCTAGTATATATGGTATATGGAATGCTTATAAGTGAGCCGATCCCCAATCGACCCTGCGCTATTGCCTTCCAGCTCTTGACCAGCTAACAATATCTACTGCTGCTGCAATCGCTGCTGCTGCTGCCGCCGTTGTTGTTGTTGTTGTTGAGTTGAGAGTTAAGAGTTAAGAGCCACACCGAAGTATCACCTGGTCTTATCAGGCCCCGAAAAAAAAAAGCCGAGGGCTACTCCGCCTACAACTCAGTGCGCTTTCGGGTATCGGCGTCGACAGCAGCAGAGGCAGAGGCAGAGCGGCACCTGCTTCTCCGGGCTTTTCTGTATTTCTGGGGGGCGCAAACGCGGCGCGATCTCAAACCTCCGACGACCGGAGACCGGAGCGACAGGCACTCGTCCTCGAGAGAGCTGTGTGAAATTCGTAAATGATATCGCCGCCCGACGTGGATTTGCATTAATTGCAAAGTGAATGTGTGAAGTGAATGTGCGAGGAGATCGTGTGAAACATGAGCATATAATTTGACAAGCCAACTAAAACGAATCATTTCGCTTGCGGCCACCAAAAGAAAAAGTTGCAAACCTCCCCCAAATCAAGTTAAATAAAACAAACTTAATTTTAATAATTTCACCGCAACATGGAGAACCTGAAACTAAACCAAATATTGTGGATTACGCTGATTCTAGCCTGCAGCATCCAGACCCAGGCATTGGAAAAGTAAGTTGTAACCATTTTTTGGAGGGAAACACTCAGAATAGAATTCATCTGATAAGTTCATTCAAATGAACGTGTCTCTGTCTACCTCCAGCAGAGGTATGATAGAGATATCTTTTTGCAAAACTGTCTAAATTTAGATATTGTTTTGCTGTTTCTTTTTGGCAATTGGAAAAACCAAGTAACTTTCCAATGCATTGAGACTAAATGAAAGCTTCTCTCTTAGCAAAAGATGGCAATCTATATATTAGACAACCTATTTGTTCCTTAAATGGTATCAAAATTATTTCTGGTTTTAATGTATAAGTTTTATAAAAATGGAAGTAGACCAGAAATTACTCATATTAATATAAACAATATTTTGTCAACATTTACCATCTATACCATTTGATAAAGCCACTTTAGAAGGCTTAAAATTAAATACGCACTCATCGCAAAAGATGACAACAGATATTATAGTATAGAATAAACAATATTTTGACGAAAATTCCCATTTAGATTACTTTGATAAGGGTACTCGAAAAAGGTTGTCTGATAATGATGCCAAAAGATGTTCAAGAGAAAATGTTTACATGGAAGATGATAAGAAAAGGGTTACGCATAAAAGAATTTAGTAACTTTGTTTATAAACATTTCCTGTGACTGGGAAATTTCACATGCGTAGATATTATCAGAACTTATATTCTGCTTTAAAGCTTTTGAAAGTTGGAATTTTATGCTTAAGGAATTCCCCCAAAGCCCCTGGTAAATCTTTAAGAATTTGCGTAAACAAATCTTCAGATTAGAATTTAATTAAGATTTTCCTCGACTGCGCATAAAGTAAACGCACCGAAAATTATTTACAGTCGGCATTTGGTCTTTGATGTGCGAAAAAGGTCGCAGAACGGTGAAAATTTCTTATCGGATGAGTTCAAGATCTAAGCGGCTTATCAATAGGACTATAATTAGTTTCCTGTTGGGACCAGGTCAACTCGATTAATTGAATTGAACAATTTTTGTTGTTGCACAAGCAAGAAAATACATAGAAAATAAATAAATATTATTAATAAATAATGCCAGTTAAATAACGAGAGCCAGATAAGAAGACAAATATTTTTTTATTATTTATTTTTATTCAACCATTTATTCTGCTGTTTGACATTTTAAGGTAGCTGCAAATGAGCTTGCACAGCTGTTTAGCTGCTCAGTGCTCACTGAGGCTAACTCCGGTGCAAAAAGAAGGCAAAAGCCGAGAAAAATCATTAAGTGTGATCTCGAAATGGGCCATAAATTAATTTATTTTCAAAGAGTTAATAGAAATTAACGCAAAAATAGTAAACTATAATTAATGATCTTCTGCTAAATATGAATTATTGCATCAGAGAGTTTCTAAAAGTTTTATTTATATGTGTTTAATTTTTAAACGTTGTTCGGACTTTTTTTTGCTGTTTTTAATCATCCATGCACAAACTATTATTTTTAGTGATATTTCTTTTTGTGCTACTGTAAGGTTCACAACGTACTTTAATAATTTATGGTGCCTTTAAAAATTGATTACATTTGTTAAATGATATATGTATTTTAATTAAGGGTTTTAGTTGTCGTTACATAGTATACTTTCAAAGTTATATAATCCCCTTTGAAATTTAGTGGCCTAATTCAGGAGCTTAGCCAAACCTGGAATTTAATATCTAGTAGGTATCACGCATTTTAAAAAGTTTTTGGTTAAGACTTTTGGTTTATTTTTATGAGGTTAATAGAACTGCACCAACAATAACACACTCACTTTAAAATAAATAAAGATCAAGTTAAACAAAAGAGTATTTAGTAAAAGATTTTTTGATTGTTAAGTTTATGAACGAAGATTAAAACTAAACTACTTTTTTCAACTTCTTTAGAGCCTCCAACGAAACAGCCGATGATGAGGACTGTCCTTCCTTGACAAATGCGGAGAGTTTGCAACAAACTCAACTTATCCAGCGTTTAACACATGTTTGCCGCTATGATCGCCTGGAAAGGCCAATTGGTAGGCAATTTGTCTTAACTAAAGTAAAGACCTCCTTATTAAGACTTATTTATCTCCTTAGAATACGACACTGAGACGGCCAAACGACTGCCTATCGTGGTAAAGACTAGGATTTACGTGTACTTTCTGCAGAATCTGAACTCCGACCTGCTGCAGTTCAAAATGCACGCCCTCCTGCAATTGCGATTCCAGGACAAAAGGCTGGCGACCAAGGACTTGAAACGCAATGAGAACATCCTGGGGCAGAAACATCTCAGTGAACGTCTATGGTTGCCGCATATTTTCTTCGCGAACGAAAGGGAGTCAAGTATTTTGGGCACGGACGAGAAGGATGTCCTGACTTCTATTAGTCCTGAGGGAAACGTGATCATCTCCACTCGGATGCAGGCTACTCTGTATTGCTGGATGAACTTCAAGAAGTTCCCATTCGATCAGCAGTTCTGCTCTACCGTTCTAGAGAGCTGTACGTTCATTTTACCTTCATGTTAAATAATATAACGTACTTATTAAATTCCCTTTTCCCTTTCAGGGATGTACAACACTTCCGAGTTGCTCTTGGAATGGGAGCAGCACGAGCCCATTTCCTTCGATCCAGAAATGAGACTCACTGAATACAACATGGCCAGCTATTATCACAACACCACAGTGGTGGAGTCGGATGGAACCATCAATTTACGCCATGGAGCATTTAGTAAGCTGACGAAATATTTCATAAAAAACTTCTATTTTATAATATATTATTATATTACAGCTGGTAACTACAGTTCGTTGAGCTTTACGGTCAATCTAAAGCGTGAAATTGGCTTCTATCTGCTGGACTACTATTTGCCCTCCATGATGATCGTGGCCATCTCTTGGGTGTCCTTCTGGCTGCAGGCAGATGCGTCTCCTCCTCGTATTATGCTGGGTAAGCTTAAGGCTGTTTTTTAGAAGAGTCTCAATGCAAAAATCTATTTACAATAATCTTTACTCTCTATAGGAACCAGCACCATGTTGTCGTTCATCACACTCTCCTCATCTCAGAGTAAAACTTTGCCAAAGGTGAGCTACATTAAGGTGTCTGAAGTGTGGTTTCTGGGCTGCACCTTCTTCATCTTTGGTAGCCTGGTAGAGTTTGCCTTTGTCAACACGATTTGGCGCCGCAAAGAAAACATCGAGCTAAAAAAGGTCAACAGCAAGTACATCATTAAGTCTACTTTAACACCGCGACCTTCACGACGACAAATTGGCGGAAGTTTGAGCAACGATTCCAGGGCGAGATCCTGCTCCAGCTTGGACAACATTGTGTCCAGCACGGAAAGCGTTCGTAATGGCAATGGCAATGTGAATCAGGGCTTTAATAACTACCTAACAGTTCATGTGAGTACTCCATATATATTTCCTACCAAAGACTTAGTTACTAATTTGTATTCATTCCACAGCCCAATTTACCCATCATTAAGACAGAGTGCGCAGATACCGTTTCGATTTGCAGTGAGCGAATGAGTAACGATCACATTGTGGATGTGGAGGATAAAAAGGACACGCCGCCCACATTTACCACCATGACCCCACAGGAGATCGCCATGTGGATTGATCGGCGTTCCCGATTTCTTTTCCCAACAATGTTTTTGGCTTTCAACGCCTTGTATTGGACCTTTGTCTATGTTTTGTAATCGGCATTTGCCGGCGTTAATGTGAAATCTTGTCTATTTGTGTAGTCCTGCCCACGCAAATAATTGTTAAACTGTAAGATGCATCATCTCATAGCTGTTAATCATTAATAAAGCAATTAAACCTGAAAAGCTCGCTAGAATAAATGACTTTGCGGTGAAACCGGTATATAATCTGTAAAAGTTTTATAATACAAAATAATATATACCCCAAGGTTAACAGATAATATATATTATTGAAAATATTTGTTGTATATATTAACATTTAAAAATAAGTATTGTGTAAAAGATAAATATTTATTATTATTATCTAATACAATAGATCTTCAGACAATTTTTAAGAGCATTCATTCCCAAAACTATATAAATGAAGAATAAAAACAGAAAATAAATAGTAGGCTCAGATTTTTCATTTCAACATGAGTTTTTAGTACATTTTCATTTATTCCCAAAGAATTGTGTAAATCAACGAAATTAAAGTTTTTACCCTTTTCTCATAAACTTTTTTTTCCATACTTAAACGGTGAGTATTTAGTAAAAACCTAAAAATTTTATGTGCCTAATTTGGGTGTTTTGTCACGGGATTTTAATATCTTAAATAAATAAATTCAAATAACGATTAACGATAAGCCCAATACTTAAGCAAACAAGTTGCAGTCAATGCTAAAAGTCTACAAAGTATATTCCTAATGGTTCTGCACGACAATAAGTTTCTATCCAAGTATACAACCTGCTACCCGTGGCACATTTAGGGTAAAATTTCAAAAATAATTCAGAGAACCCTTTGTATTTTAAAGCGGTCCATTCACGGTCACACTGGTTGAGACGAGTCAAGAGGAATTTGCAGCGTAAAAGTCGAATTTCAAGGTAAAATTTGGCATCATAATTCGTGCAATGACAGGTGCTGGCTCTAAAAATATGCACAATTATGGGCTGCCAAAAGTGCAGAGATCGCGCCCACCGGCAGACGTACCCGGCCGCTGTTTTTCTGCGGAGCAGTGCGAAAATTACATAACCTCCGGGGGTTGCAGCTAGACCCAGCTGTGCCATAATGTTTATAATAACGATCTGTGTCTTCATCCAAATCCTGGTCCATTTTCTGTGCGGTTGCTAATCAATGACTTCTTACTCCCTTAGCCACTGAATCATGCGCCTATCCTCGATCCTGAATGGCCAGCACTTTGGCAACTTGGCCAAGGTGCATGGAATAGTCACCTACAAACTGTCTCCCTTCGAGCAGCGCGCCTTCGCTGGAGCGATCAGCAAGGGACTGCCCAACATGGTGCGTCGCTTCCGTTCCAACATCTTCATCGTGGCTCCCCGTGAGTATTTTCCTGAGTATCTCTCAAAAAACCTTTATAAAATCATTCATCTTTCAGCCTTCATCGTTGGATACCTGGTCTACGATTTGACCGAGCGCAAGCACGCCGCCCTGCTCCGCAAGAACCCCGCTGACTACGCGAATGACGAATAATTGCCCAACTAGCAAATAGTTATGTTAAACTAATTAATAAAACTAAACCCACAGTTCAAAAGAGTTGTGTGTTTCGGTTGCTGGAAGGCTAAAATACAATCGCTTTGTGTTTAGGAGGTTCAAGAGGTTAAATAATAAGTGCGTTTGTAAATTTATAACTTTTACAACTTGTTTAACCATTTTTTTGAATATTTGTTGTGTTCAATGAGAAGCGTTGGCTTGAGGCGAAGCTAACTTTCTGTGCAAATGCAGATTGACATCCTGTTAAAATCATGAAAAAAGACATAATCAGCAAGAAATAATCTCATTGAAAGACTATTAGTAGTCGTTTACAAAAAATCTCTAAAAAAAGCAACTGTCTACCAAATAATTAACTTAGCTTTTTATTCGTACGTGCTCGTATTACCAGGTATTGCACCTAAACGTTAACAAAATTTTTAACCAACTTTAAATATAAGAAAAGAACAAGGCTCCAATGTAATTTCAAAGTTTCTGAGTTCTTAAATACGTTTAATATATTTTAGAAAACTATTGCTTTTGACGGTTTACAAACAGCCCTGACACATTTGCATTAAGCAAAGTCTCCAACCCCCAAGAGTTACCAGACTTTCAAAGCTTATAAAACATCGATAGTCGCAGAAGAAATCGACGATTAAAAAGCAGTTACTTCCACCTCCAACCAGCTGTTTGCAAACAAAATATTGGCTTTTTAATAGTTTTTAACCAATATTAGTTACTTAATGGACTGCTGTGGCAACGAAGTGCGCAGCGAGAGCATATACAACATGCTACAGGCTTTGGTCGATTCGAAATTGGTCAACGTGCAGCTTTTATCCATTGCAGTGGGCATTTTCTTCGTGGTCCTGCTGCTGAAAAACAATTTCCGCAGCTTTTCTGGAACGTAGATGGATGATTACATTTAGTGTTTAATTTATTCAATAATGTAATGTAACGCTAAGGACTAATAATAACAACTTCAAGCCACCTTGACTTTTGTTTCAGTTCTATGTTTTTCGGAGCACCCCTTCATACAGTGACGTCACGCGCGATATATGTGTAATATTTTTGGGTACTAGTACTCGTGTTTTTGTTTTCGTCTCAGGGTCGTGTCGATTTATTTCGGAGGTGTTTTGTTTGCACAATAACACACCCAACGCAATATATAATTGTTCGAAGGCCAGCTGAACTGGTTTGACTGCCCCCCGAAATTTCTATGGAACATGCTAAAAAACGAGCCCAGAAATGGTTAATTTCATCATTAGATGGCTGTGATTCACGGCAACCTGTCTTCCGATAAGATAGCTTATTAAAATACTCGAACTAAGTGCTACTTCGAACTGGCTTTGTCATCCAAAACTTGCTGAACTTTTGGCCCAATTGCCGTAGGAGAAGCCATATCCAATCAATCTCAATTGCTATCCACAAACGATTTCAATTGACCGGCTATTGATTGCCCAATGTCTGCACGCACTTCCTGGTGCAGCATTAGAATTCAATAGACGCCCGACTGACTTCAGCTGGCTTCATTCTGCAATCCCACATTGACTCATTGCCCAGCGCTTGCAGAATTTATGCAATGTTGGGTACGTGCTCTTATGCTGAAATATTCCATTAGAACACCCAGCAAACGTGACTTGCTTACAGGGCTCGTAATCACAATACTACCTTTAAGACCAGAATAAACCCTAGAAAACAAATTAAGCCAGTTACTGGTCTTGCTCTATTCTTACCTAACATGATAGAAAATATTCAGATATCCTTCATTCTGATGTAATCCTGTAACGGTATTAGACCCCAAGTACATATATGTAATCAATTACTAAAGCTATTTCACAGTTCCGCTAATCAAGCACATATTTTTCAGAGATTAAAGAAATGTATAACAAATCATTGAATTAATTAATTTTGTTTTTTATTATATTTGGTTAGTCTGATTGATGACTTATAACGTCATTACTTCTTTTAATCTTCCTTCACATTGTTAAAGCAAATGCTTAATACACAAAATATATCAAAATAAACCCGCCCATTAAACCAGATCATTAACCCGATTGTTCTATTTTGCTGAATGGATAATCCAAAAGCTTGTCAATGAACTTGTAAACCTGGGAGTTCCTGGAACACCGACGCCCACCGACATCGAATTGCTGACCTAAGTTCCGTTTAGTTCATATACCCATCGTCAGTTTATATAATAACTATATATATATATCTTTGTTGTTGGAAAGCATTAAAAATTACATACGAATTTTTTTAACGGATTATTGGATTTGCTAACCAATGAACTTTTAAAATTAAATAAATCTGGTCATGAGATCCTTGGTGCCATTCAATGATCGGCAGTTACGTCCTTCTGAGTATTTAGTTTATTTTTCAGAGCTGAGGATAGACAGACAAAGTTCAGCTGTTTACTTTTGGAAGACTTGTATTTCTCCTTATGAACGGGTGGTTCATCAGGAGCGATCAATTCAGCCTTATCCTTTTTGGAGGATGTTCTCTTTCGATGATGGCCCGTATCTGCTCTTCTACCCTTCGTTTTATCATAATGCTTCTGAAGACGTGCCATGACGGCCATCATTTCCTCTTGCTGGCTTTCGTACTTGGCGATTATAGAGTTCCGGCGTTCGAGCTTGGCGCTGAGGAAGCCGACCTGCTGCTGTACGTGATCCATCTCGCCGGCTTGCTCAGCAATGGTCTTCATTTCACAGCGCACTCTCTTCAGTTCCTTTTCTACCAGTTCGGCATTCTTCCGGACATCGATCATCCGCTCATGGTACTTATTACGTACTTGGTTGATTTGCTCCTCCAAAAAGGCTATATACTTCTCCTGCTTCACCACGTGCTCGTCCAGTTTCTCCAGCTGATTGTTCAGCAAAGAGCACTCTTCGGCGCCACCTCGTTCCCGCTCTTTGCGAGCGCACCTGGAGGCAGCTAGTTCTAACTGCAGCACATTGATTTCTTGCTCCAGACGCGCCTGGTGCACTGCCTGTTCCTCGCGAACCTTGCGGCGTTGGATTAGCTTAGAGCGGAGCGAAGCCACTTCATTTCGAAGGAGGACCACCTCGTGTTCCAACCGGGCTTTGGCCCTGTCGTGGAACGGCATTGTTGATGGATGGATAATTTAGAAGTTATATTTACTGGTTGAATTTTGGCAGCCCGAATCCGACCGTTGGCTATTGAGTTATGGCTTTTAGAGTTTTCGAATTTCGAAGGAATTCGTTATGGAAACTGTGATTTTCTTTTGAAAACGTTAACTTATGCGAATTAATTTTTTCGGAGTTTTAAATAATAATAAAGTTTATAAGCATGAATCATTTTAAGAAACAGGAACAAATGACACGATTATGTATTATTAAAGCATATGATCAATAGAAATCCGAAGGTTATATTATTTTTAATTTCAAAAAAAAGACTAGTATTTTCAAAAACAATTCTTTATTTTGTATTTCAAAAAGCCACTTTATTGGTATGAATATATAAATTCCTAGATGACGATCTAAGTCCTAAGAAACCAGATAATCTAATGAAAATATGAAGTACAAGCAGGAATCCGATTCACATTTTTCTGCTGATACGCATATTTTCTTTAGTTTTCCTGGGCGAGAGCGAAATGGCTTTGGAGTCCGAAAACTTGTTTAGCATCTGGTTGGGCACGGATTTGGGCTTAAATTGAGTTCCGCTCTTCTGCAACTTTTCCACGGCACCGAACATATCCTGGTAATGATGAGTGATTCGCTTGGCACGATCCCTGTTGACATTGGACAGCACCTTTGCCAGATGAGACTCCAGCATAATGGCATTGTTCTTGATAGTAGACACCTGGCGCTCATAGTGGGCTTTTATTAGATGCATTTCACGCCTCAGCCTTTCGATGCGTCGAGCCTGCATGATGACTATATCGGCCAAAGTCTGCCGATCGGTATGTCGCTTCTCCGTTTTATAATCCCGCTGGAACATTGCTGTATAGTCTGGCTGGGTCATCGGTTTTACCTTGTACTTCAAGCTGATGGGACTCGTGTTTCGACCAGAGATTTGTGGTGACTGCACTGGTTTTCTAGAAGGTTTAAGAATAGTTTTCTGCCCATTTTGCATCCTTGACAATCCCTCGCTTAACATCCTCATGCCCCGGGTCATTTTAAACAATAATTTTGTAACTCTTGAATTGATTCTCAATTTTAGATAAATTACACTACATTTTGTCAAATCGGTGAAGGCAAACGTTGTTGTATGAAGAAAATGTAATTATATAACAACAAATCAATGTTTAATATAATATTATCCGCTTGATCATTTTTAAAAACTTTTATACTACTACTTGCTAAAATTTTAAAACAAAAGATTTCAAGCTTTGAAATCTTAAAACAGTTGAATAATTTCCAGAAAACCAAAAATTTGCTTGAAAGTGAAAAAATCAACAACTTTTACCTTTTCTTTAAACGGATACTCAACAACTAATTTCAGTTATTTAAAATTACTCACAAAAACTCACTAAATAACAGCAATTTGATAAACTCAGGTTCAAGGTGGTCTTAGTTGTTGCTTAAGTCTGTGAGAGTTTTTGCGGTTGTATGGGTTGTACCGGACTTGAAACGACCACGCCCACTACGCCTTTGAAAGCTGGAGGCGAAAGATGCAGGCAAACAAACTGAGACAATAAATTTAAATAGAAACCAATTTCCACTTTTTATACTCTCATTACTAGAAAAATTTCCTGTTTCAGTTTTATAAATACAAACATTCCTATTTTTCTTTTAAAGTTCAGATAATTTAAAAGATGACCTTAAGATTGGCCTACCGTTATGCTTTTCATATAAGTAATTATAAATTTTTTATAAAATTCCATGTGTTTTAATTGTAACGAAATTGTACCAAAGTGCATACCCCAAAACCATATCCCATTATTTATCCACACATTTTTCGAATACGAGAGCATTTTAAAATCGGTTAGCTTTGTAAATATTTGATCCCTGTTTTTATTTTTGGTTTTTTTGCAAAGCATAATTTGTATTTTGGCTCCGCGATGCCGCACACTTGATAAGGGTTATCGATATGCCCATGGATATGAATGCATTATGTGTGGTTGATCATTATTTGTTTTTTTTTTGTTGCCCACTTTCTGTGCATCGTTTTCGCAAGTTGTAATTCATTTGGCAGCGCTTTGTGATATGTGCTCAGGAAGCGGATTTTGGATGGTTTTCGGGGTGTGGAAGATGGATGTTGCCTCCGAAAAAGAAAATATACTCGTATTAATATCCTCAATGGTCATAAATTCGAAATCCCCTCGTATGCCATAATTCAAGCTACTTCCTCGACTTATTCGGATTCAGAATTCAGATCCTTCAAGACAATGCCAAGGTCTGGTCTTTTATGTCACCATCACTTGGCTTTGGGTTTCTATGACTCTTTTTTTGTGCCAGTATATATTTCTTAATATGACAAAGTTGTTCCCACTTATGCAATTTCCATAAATTCAAGGTCAGCCGTACAATAAAAGTCCAGACAGCAGATACTATATACGATATACTACATACTATATGCCCACCAACACATGAAGACAGACGTCTGGCTACTTTTTTCGGCTGCCAACAGATTGAGAGCTGGAGAGGAAGAGAGACCCGAGCGATGCTTTAAGTTCCAAGCGAATTTCCAACAGAGATGCGCGAAAAGCTCTAGTCGCCTTGTTACATAGTTATGAAAATATCACGATTTATATTATGTTATGTTTATAGTTATATTATAGATTATATTATATAAACATAACATAACATAAGACTATAAAATAAAGGCGTTCCCCAGAAAACAGCTTCTGATGATAAAGTAACGTAAAGTCTAATAGACAAGTATGTTGAATATAAATATTTAAAAATTGGATCTTAAAATAGGAAAACATTTTCGAGTAGCAATCAAAGAAACTATTTTTGAGAAGTTTATGATAAATAAATAATAATAAAAATATTAATTGGCTGAATTGACCTTTCTTATGAAATCTATCATAACTAGCAAAGCTCTCAAAATATTGACTATTAATTTAAGTTAAAATAATAGCCAAATATTTGTGAAATAAAAATGATTAACATTCTTAGAACTGTTAGTAAAACGCATCGTAACAACTGTAATTAAATAAGTTAAGCATACTTAATCTTAAAGTTGTATAAATAAATAATTTATTTTATTTTTCAGCTTTGCTTACATACAAGACTAGCTACTACCCATTGCCAGCTCTATACATTCGGCTTATTATATAAACAGAATACATCTAAGAGGGCAACCCCTGGTACCGCATGCCCGCTTTGCACATGCCGAAAAATGATATCAAAATGCGAAATCAAAACAAAGACCCCGAATTTCGGCAGACTAACCCAAACAACATAAAAAAAGGTCAGAACCTGACTAACATCTAACCCAAACACAAAGGGACCACAAAAAGCAGACAGTTAGCAGACGGGCGAACCCCAAAATTCAAAGCACAAGCTCAAGGGCTTTCTTCCATCTCACTCTTTCAGTTCACTTTTTAAAAGTTCCTTTAGAAGCTTAGACTTTAGCTAGACGAAATTTGAGATACTCTAAGGACGATGAGGAGGCAATCAAAAGGAAGAGATGCCGTCAAGTGCCGACCAAAAAAATAATAATAATAAACAAGACCAGACAGAATTTGCTGGATTCGTTTGAATTGTTCTATCAATTTCAGTTTAATTGCATTTAATTTGAATTGCAGACATCAAAATCAGGTTTTGTTTATTTTGTTTTTTTCGTTTTAACAACTTGATTTAATTTGTTTTCTAGACGTCGACCAAAAACCGAAGGAGATATTGCGCAATTTGGTCACCCTGAGAGCAAAAATTAAATGCAGCTGGAAAGTCAAATAAAAGTGAATTGATTTATGGGGTTTTTGTTTGTTTTTGCATCTGTAATATAGAAGACATTTATTAAAATTTATTGGCCTTGCTATAAATCAGATATAACTATAAAATAACTGAGCTGTTCTTATAAATAGAAAAAAGTTGTTACTTATAAATTGAATAATGAATCGAATATTCATCGATTTTAGGGTTACTTACCTAATATTTTGCACAAATTTCGCATCTATCATTCTAACAATTTCTTGCATTTCCATATTATCTTCAGACAAAGGACTCTGCTGATTTTTTGGCACAGTTTTTCCATCCACCAGGGCCACCACCCCCTGACGATTAAGCACTTGCGCATAAATCTGCAGAGCAATCAGCATAAAGCTATAGCTTTAGACAAGAATCCAAACATATGAAATATGCAACAGGCCAGACACTTCGGTCAGGGAATTTGTTTTGCAAATTCTGCTGGATTTTGGCGACAAATTTCAATTAACAATCGAGCACAGACATCCGTTCTGGGCTCAGGCTAAAAGCAGATATCGAAGATATATATATGTATCGTAAGATATTTGAGAGATTCGAGCCATAAGAAGACCCTTAAGAACCATAACTCACCAAAGGCAAACTCCGATTTCCGTCAGGGGATCCCCAGCTCCTGCTCCAACCCAAAAATCTCTGAAACTGACTCTGAGTTATTAAAAACTGCACACAAGCCATGAGTAAGGGAAACAAACACAAAGTTTGTTATGTTGCGCAGGCGCAGGCGCAGCCCAGCAACGCCCTCAAATCCAGGGCCTCAGATTCGGACTCATATATGGTGTTTCATTTTCTTTTTTTGGAGGTAAACTTGGAGGCAGAAGGAGGCATCCGTACAATGTTATTGACCCGTCTCAACGATCCGTTAGCAATCCTCCGCCCGAATACTCCGCCCTGCCCCGCCAAATTCTTATTAAGATCAATCAGCTAAATGTCGGTTTTATGCTTAATGCTCATGATTCACACGGGCAGAAAAGTCCAGGAATCGAAAATGCATATGGCAGTACTCGGAAGGGTTACGAATTTTTACTTATGATAAGAGACTTTGAAATGCACTTATTTATAGTAAAAATGCAGGCCTGATAACAGCATATTTTTCCCTCTCAATTTATTGCATACTTTCAGACATCTTCTTATATATTTGAAATCTCTATATATTTCGCTGGTTGGAGTTAGCCTTTGGTTTGATTTTTTTAAGAAAACTATTTTGAAACATTTTGAATAAATTTTCGAAGACATAAAAATTCTAAATAACTATAAACCATATTTTTAAGAAATAACATCTATTTTCTTTTTATGACTTTAAAATAAAGAACGCTACCAACTTAATGTCTTAGTTATGTTACCCCTTCAACTAAAATTCAACTCCCCAAAGCATGTCCCAACATCGTATATGAGAATATAAATAAAAATGTGCATTTTTGGCAGCCTTTACAAAGTTGTCGGCACGTTTTAATGCTGAGAATTTGAGCAGCTTTTTGCCTTCTTTTCTTATTTTTTGGTTACTTAATTAGTCATGGCAGGCACATTTGCTGGAGCGGGCAAGCTGGAGGGGGAGAAATAAAACCCTCTCGCGAGGATTGCAAACTGTATTTAATCAAATCGATTTAACTAAGTCCCGTCGGATCGTATAGCTATATATATAGTTCCCTCCCCCTTAAAGTTCGTTATCATAATTGACACACATTGGATTCACTCTGTGTTCTGATCGGCTCTATTCGGTTCAAGCTCTTGCAATCCAGAAGCGTGCTTCCTGTTTCAAGTCAAGATTAGAAGAAGCGTATTTCCTAACTCCAAACTCACTTTCCCATCAGGCAATAAAGAGCTAGTTCATTGATAATTACAATCAATTTGTGGGAATATTCTTAGGTCAGACGAAAAAAATAAAAATGCTACTTAAACAAATATTATATAAATATATTATACTTAATAGAGTAATCGAGTACACTTTTTAACCTAAAACTTAAAACTATTAAGTGTGTAATATTCGTTGACTTACAGAAAACGTAAGTTGATTTTAACGAAGCTCCACTGCATATACCACACCACATTGTATGCACCACATATAAATGTGAATGTTTATTCGATCTGACAACGGTTAGCGATAAGCCCAGCGATGTAGTCAATACAACAAACAATAACGAACATTTTTGGAATTTCGTCTCCGACTTTGTCATTATTTGCTTGCCGTTTGTTTACAGGCTGAAACATCAACACACAAGTCTGCATCAGCTGCTCGGATGACTTCCTATACCCGTGCCCCCATCCCAAGCTCTCTTAGCTCAGCCCCCCATACCCAACGCCCATGGGTTCATCTGTGCGGGTTATCAGCAGCGGAGTGCAACTAGAATTGGTTACAAAAAAAAAAGCGAGCTTCGGAAAAGGGAAAACAACATATTCAGTCGGCGAGAAAAGCAACCGCAAAAGTTCAATGCACATTTCGAGGTGAATTTGTTTTTCGAGCTCTCGCTCGTCGCGAGTCTGCAATTAATTACACAAATCGATCGAGCGTGTTTAACTTGTTTTCGCGTCTAACATGTCACGTAATTAACCGTCTAGTTGCGGATCGAGGCGATTTCGATTGGAGTTGCCAAAAGAATATCCAATAGATACGGGTTGGCCAAGTATCAAAGCGTTGCACTCAATTTGCTTAACTACGGCATGTATAGTATGTATGTGGTCTATGCATGGGTAGTTTGCCTATCTGCCCGACTGCCAGTCGACCTTGCGCCCAATATGCAATTGATATATGCTGTGCACATATGAATATGACCAGAAAGATAGTTAACGAATTTCGCAAGCCGAATCCCATTAGATTGTTAACCGTAGACCATTGAATGCTTGCTAAGATTGTTTTTTATAGTAACTTAATACTTTGTAAATAATATGATGTATAACCCAAAGCGATAACCCTCTAATCTCTAAAATCATATTCACACTCAACTGATAGAAATTAATTAATGTATTATTATTTTATACCTTATTTTAATTGTATTTTTACAAAATCATTAAATTCTTCTATATTATCAAATTTGGCCAGTAAGCCCAATCTTTAAAGGACGAAGCTTCTTAGACTAAGGAAAGCAAATAAGCTTGTTGTATATCAAAAGTTGTATCAAATGACAAGAAAAATCAATCAATAGAATCCCAGACTGGAAATTATCACCCACGCTTGTTTACTTTCTTTCTTTCTTTTATAACACCACCCCCAATACTCTATCAATCTAGTCAGGGGCTTTTCCATGGGGATGAACGGTATTTGTTTGCTTTAAAATCTTTTAAACTAGGTACTTAAAAGTATGCAACAACATAGTGGCGTTATTTATAAAGACTTCATATTCTCAGACCGTACAGGATTCTGTGGTTCTCTATTTTTGAAAATTTTAGGTTTTTTATAGTTTATCTTATCCCCCACAAAAAAAAGGGACTTTCTTGATCTGATAAACGCTACTCCCCTTAGATAAAAGAGTCCACGCCACTGATAACAGAGAGAGTATTTCAGCTAACAGAGCCCTAACATCTTGGGCGGCTTAACAGAGCCCCAACAGCAGCACTGCCGGCGTTGACTGCGGCGGCGGCAAAACATTTTGGCTGTTTTCAGTTCGCTTTGCCGTTTTGCGTATTCGTATTCGAATTGTGACCGTGTGCGGACTGTGCCGACGGGCAGCGGAACTCAGGCGGTGCAACTGTATGTGTGCGGGTGCGTGAGAGTGTGTGCGTGCGACTGTGAGTGGGGGCGAAAGAGCGAGAGACAGAGAGAGAGATAATATGTACATTTTGTGTTTTTATTTATATGGGACTCCTCCGAGTGCGGTGCGTATATATACGTATATATATATATATATATGCCAGCTTAAATAAATACACATGTGTATACGTATTATTTCTATACCCTGCCACCAAAAGCAACAACAATGTGGGTCGTGCATATTGAGCGTATGCAAATAAAATAACAACAGATAAATGCCAAAAATCTACTACACTTTTATAACCAAAACACACAGAGCGCGTGAGAGCAAAAGAGAGAGTGGAGTGGAATGAAGTCTAGCGGCAGAGAAAGAGCGGCGATAACAGTGGCGGTGGCAGAGATACAGACGGAGAGAAAGACCACCCCCACAGCGAAGAGAGCTAAAGAGAGCGGCAGTTAGAAGTATCTTCGAGATACACTAATACCAAAAGAGCGCGTATGTGCATCTGTATCTGTATCTTCTTCGTCTGGTCGTATAAATTGAGCCGCACTTTGCTTATTCTCGAGTTTTTGCCGCTCAGACGTCGCTGTAAGTGCACGCGTCGCTCGTTTTTTCGGGTTTTTCATCGAATCGGTTTCGTTTTCGGTTCCCAATATCTGCAACTCCAACAATTCAATTGAATGGAAAACTATCTGAAAGATACCTGTGCCCAAGAACCCAGTTTAAAACGACAAATTTATAATAACTGTTACGTATTTTGAAGTTTTAAAAACAGTTTAAGCATTTCAAAAAGTTAAGAACCAAGTTTTTAAACGAAAATTCCAGATAAAACTAAGCCCAAAAGAACAGATATATTAAAATTTGATGAAATAAACAACTTTATCAAAACTTTGGGAAGCCTAAAGTTTACCAAATATACGATACGATAATTAAAATAAAACCGTGAATACAAATTAAAGTGCCAAATCCATTTTCAGCGAGTGCTCGAAATATTGTTTTTATTTGAAAACCAGCCCCAAATACAATTTTCAATTGGCTGAGTGCGTGTTTCCAACGCACAAACATACAAATATATAGCATTTAATTTTGTCCATTATGTGTGCAATTAAATAAAAAAAATTCTGTGTGTGAAAAAGCAAAAAACAGTGCGGCGAACGGAGGCAGCAAAAAATTAGACGCGTAAATTGCGTAGCAAATTCTGAATGAAAAAAAAAGCAACAAAACCAGAAAGCGAAACAGGAGCGATAAGCGTAAGTACAGCTTTAATAAATTTTAATTTAATTTACTTAAAAAAAACTTTAATTTTGGATGGAAAATAAAAAAGTCGCAAGAAGGAACTATTTAAAAGATAAAAATAACAGTTTTAATGAGAAGGTTACCTAATTGGTAATATTTATATTCTAACGTATGTACTTAAATTATTTCAAATGAAAACAGCATCTGTGTATATTGCAATTAAATGTTGTGGCGAAATAAAAATTTCAAAGGAAATGATCAATTAAAAAGCAAACATTCACTCCCTGAAATTAACACAAAGTCCATGGAATAACCTGATTTTGTTTCTTTTCATTTAATTGGGCTAAAGAAATTTCCCTTTTCAATGCTGCCACAAAAGAAATGCAAAGAAAGAAACATTCTCTGATTGATGTGGGGAAAAACAAAAACAGAAACCCCGAAAAGACATTTCGAAATACCATAGAGAATGCCAGACGATGTCTAAGCATTTATCTTTCGGTTCTTCAGCGACGGCGTTCTTGTTATTTCTTTTTTGGATCAGAGAGGGGGGGACTCTTCAGGCGCCAGAGAAAGTGAAACATGTAATTTTTTTGTTGGACGGCCTACAAAAATCATACGCCGTATTGAGTGAAATCGTAATGGGTTAAGAAATCTCTTAAATACGAAGGTTAAAAGGGGGCAGAGCAATCAGAAAGTGCACAATACACACTGGGAAATAATGATAAGACACGAGCACCAGAAACACACTCCAGTTCTCCGTTCGTTTTTGGTGTGTCGTTCCTCTTTCCCTTGGTAATTACATGCCGTAAAACCAAAATAAATACGCACAGATAAAGATGCACAGATGCAGATACAAAAAGTTGGGTTGGGTTCGGTTTTTTCCTGCATTCTGTTTTTGCTTTTTTCTTGGTGTCCTCCTCCCAAAAAATCAGCGAAATGCATTAAAATCGAACAAAAGCAAAAACGAAAACAGTCAATAAACGCTGTTTAATCAAATGTAAATGTTTATGCCGCAACGATCGGCTCAGAATCACCGAGTTTCACTTTTGTACCTCAATCATAAGAGTGTTTGTTCTGTTAAGAAAACCAGAAAGAAACACTCTTTTTCGCCTGACCCACATCGGGTTCGTTATCACCGATTTTTATTATCCATTTATATATATATTTGGTTGATCGCATTGAATGTGTACACATTTACAGAACAATTTATTTTCGGTATTCCAAATTAAATACTTAAAACGATGTTAACAAACAGCAGGAAAAATATCCGAAACTTACTGAGAAAAAGCGTTTTAGGTTTCATATAAATGTTTTCAATATTGTCTTATGAATTAAAATTCTCTTACGCTATTTTTCATACAATTTCAAAATATATGATGCTAGATTATTTTTCTCATGATTATAGAGAAAGTTAAATCAGTGCTACAATTTTTAAATTATTCATTTGATAGGTTTGTGGGTGACTTTTTGTAGTTCCTCTCATTACTATTATAAGTTATTTTATAATTTTGCAGAATACAAAGACTAACAGAAAGAATCCAAAGATATTTTTACCTTATAAGGTGTTTCCCAAAAGCAAAGCTTTCGATCTAACTTTGTCTGCCGCGCCATTCCCATATTTTTCCACTGTTTCTTTTCAACTCCAGCGAATCTGCCGGCCAATAAATGATCAATGGCCCAAAGCATTTCGATTTCAGCCAAACTCATTTAATTTTTTTTTCTGATTCCGCTCTTCTTTTCGCCGAGCGTCCTAAGTCCAGAAAAATAAAGCACAGCGAGGGAAAAAACTACAGAATTCACCTGTAATAACGTCGCAGAAAATGAAGAAATCTGATGAGAAGCCGCGGACAAAAACAAGAATCGAGTAGAATTAAAAAAAAAAGAGAAGCAACAGCCGGAGCAGAAGAAAAAGTTGGGGGAATCGAGAGAACGAACCCGAAATCAGAAAACCAGATTTACTACTAATTTAAATTCTTGGCATACAAAATATTCTAAAAAAAAAGAAAAATATACTGGAAAAAGGCAAAAACAAAATATAAATGTTGTGTATTGCTTAACGAAACGAAGCGAAAATGGTTTTTATTGGCCAAATATTGACAGACATTTCCACATAGCTCAAGGAATACCTACATTTCCGTTTCCTCGGAACTCTTTTTCGTATCTGATGGATTGACATTTGTTTTATCTGCCTTTTGACGTTCAAAAGTACATTTCTTTGCCATAGAATACAAGAAGGGGAAACATTTAGTCATCGTTGACACAAAGGAAATTTTCAAGAATCGATTTTTTACTGCCTCGTTGTTCAGTTTTTTCGTTCTTTAGAGCACGTGTAACGTGTTGTACACAAATAAGTCTTATTCACAAGTCCAAGCTGATAATTTTATATGGGGGCTGTGTATGTATTTGGCATTATGTTAATCAACTGGAGAAACAAATACGTACAACCGAATCGTCATTAATTATGCATTTATTTTTTAAAGCGTCTCAGGCCGCTGGCTGTGACCACATTTGATATGAATATGAAAGTATTTAACATAAGTTTTACAAGATAATGGGAAAATAAATACATTCATTCTATAAATAGATTTAAATTTAAGACATGTGTATAGGTATGAGAAATTTCATTGATCATAAGTAATGCTATGAAAAATTAGAAGATGTAGTGACCCCTAACAACCTCTAATATTGTATGAATTACCATTTTACACCTAATTGCGTAGTTAAGGAAACACTTAATCCGGATCAATACGTATTTTCAAACGTTGAACTTGTCTACAAAATCATATGCCTGACACTCCCCAGACCACTTGAAAAGCCCCAATTCCCCATGCCAATCATGAATATATGAGACGAATTCCCACATTCTCCACGCGACACGCCCTCTCTTTTGGACAGACAAAAGCCCAAGCCCCACTTGAGATGTATATATTTGTATATCAGAGGACTGGCTGGCAACAGTTTGAGAACGATTAACGAACCAGAAGTCGCACTTGACTTGCTCAAAGCCGAGATGACATACAAAAGAGCCATTGAAGACCAGCCTAGAAGATGTGGTATGGTGGCAGTGCTCGATGTCCAATGGAAGCGGCCAAGAGGAAGACGAATCATGATCATCAGTGCCACAATTACCGCACTGTAACTACGCAGCATCCGCAACAGCAGCAAAAACAACAATGTAAACGGGCTGCGTGCAAAATCGAGCAAAGGGAAAAAAAACCAAGAGGCACATAGATACACAAGAAGCGGGTCTCCAGATGGAGCCCCTTCATCCTCCATCCCGAGGCTGCCTCATCTGGTTGCTTGTTTTGCTGATGCTGGCTGCGACGCGTCTTTAGCAAGTGATTTCAATTTAATTGACAGTCCTTGAACTTGACTTAAACGCAACGCATAACACAAACAACAATAATAATAAAAACATAAAAACACACCACAAGCAACAACAAGATCTCTTCACTCTCGATTCGCCATTCTCCGAAGTATAAGTTCCCCCGGGCTCTTGTGACTAAAGTATCTCCTCTATATGGGGTCTTTCGCTTTTAGATTTCATTAAATTGATTTTAATGGTTTCCCAAATATTTTAAATTTTTTTGCAGTTACAACTTTTATAGATTTTTTATGATAATGCATTAGTGTAACTTAATAAACCATAAAAATATTATTAAAATTGTTAAAAGTTAAGCTGATTTAAAAGCTTTAAAATATATATACAAACATTATAAAAAAGCAAGTTATATGATATATTTTAGTGCTTTTAAATTAGTAAGCGCAAATATATATTTGACTTTATCTTGTAATAAAACTATTAAAATTGAAAAACCAAATCAAAAGTTACATAGCTTAAAACCACACAAACTAAGTTTTTAATCATTAAGTTAAGTGAATAATAATATTTTTTTAGTTCATTTCAAATATATTGCAGACAAAGCAACTATTTTTAACCATAGTTTTAGTTACCAAAACAACTCAGACATAAAGTCTATTAATAAACAAATCAAATAAATTTGAATTTTAAATAGATGTTATAGTATCCAGTCTAATAATACCTTGAAAGATATGCGAATTTTTGGGCCATTTGATGTCTAAATTGAAGCCATACAGGATACTAAATCTACTTTAAATAATAGGCCATAAAATGTTTATGTAGTCTAAACCGAAAACATATATTAAAGATAAAAGATTTCATTTACTAAATGATTCATTGCTTTTGAATAATTTGAAATTTATCGGGAAATTCTTAAGAAATTCGAGTTGATTTGCTTTCCTGAGAAATTTGAATCATCTGAAGAGGGACTTTAAAGTTCGCTATAGCCAACCGATATTTCCGCCCTTGTCTTGCCCCTTGTTCATCTTAATCTGCATTTTCCTCCTTCCTTTGTTGACAAAGTTGAAGAGCAAAGCCACACACAAAAAGGGGCAGCCGCAAAAAGTTGCCCATTTGCGATTTCAGCACACAGTATTTTACGGCTCTTCTCGTCGTCATATTTTTTGGCAAATAAATCTTTTTTAAAACAACAAGCGAAACACACAGACACATCCCAAAAAAAACCGGCGGATATACAATATATATAGAGATATTTAAATATATATAAACGCATTTGTCTATATAAAATCGTATCATCGCCGCATATATAATTTATTTTGAAAGCGTGCGTACGCCACGCATTTGATGCCGTCTGTATTTTTTTTCAGCTTTTGGGCCTAGACAAATGGCTGTCCAAAAGGCAATAACGCACACACAAACGCCGATCTATACCATATAGACTTTCATTCAATGAATTTTGATATTTTTCGGGCTTAATTGTTTTTCTAGTCGAGAGGCCCCCGAATTCTCGTGGAGATCTATAAAAATTTACAATTATGACTTGGCAACTTCTCGGCTATATCGACACGTGTCTCAAAGATTTTTTGTCTCTTGGCTGTGCTTCTTTCATTTTGGTTTCTACTTCACATTGTGTATACGCCCCGTGGGCCTGGAGTAAGTTTCGTGAGATAAATGGCCACAGGTGACAAAAGATGTAAATGCACAACTTGATATTCAATAGATAAGGCCACAGTCCAGTCCCAGTCCAGTAAAGTAAATGAAAGAAACATGGCGAGTCGGCGTACCCATGCAAAAACTTTCACCCGCAAATGATCTATGGGCCAAAAACAGAAAGACTTTCGCATTGAGAGCGCCGGTGAGCGGTACGCACATCTAATTACCGCACTCGAAAATGTGATTAGAAATCAGTTCTCGTCGTCGCCGCTAAGAATCGCGAGAGTGCCACAGCACTCGGCAGAATTTGTATAAACCAAGCACATATATATTTTGTACTTTCACAACTATCAAAATTCAAGTTCATGGCGAGGTTTGTCAGTTTTTTTTTTTGGGTATTCGACTGCGATTAGGCATTCATATATGCCCCGATCCAATGTCAGTACTCGGGTTTGTTGGGGTTTCGGGTTTACTAATCAGTGATAACTAAAACGAAAAGCGTACGGTGGTGCGATCCATTGAGTCTATAATGAATCGTGCGTTGATCGCACGCACAGGAAAACTAAATTTTGATTTCTTCGTTTCTGTGTCAACGAACTCATTTGAACTAAATTCTCTTTTATGATTTTTCGGCTTTTTTCTCTGATTTCATGTGTGTTTTTTTCTTTTTATTGAGAGCTTTTTGGGAACGCCGGTGCGTGCGGCGTTATCTCGAAAAAGTCGGTTGCGTAGGCCGATTTGAATGCGTTTAGAAAAGAAAAGTTATGGCAGAGCGCGCCCCTCTTTCAGGCTGATTAGAGACACTCAGATATCGCATCTAATCGGATGGGAATTAACATATGTTTATATATTTTAGCATAACTAAACAGATTTCTAAATACAGAGATCTTAGAAATGCAAGTTCCCATGATTAAGTCAGAAAGGCTGTACTGGAAATACTATCATATCAATATCAATCTTATAAAGCTCATATATTATTATTACAAATTATACTTTTTTCAGCAAATGTAATAAATATTAAAGTTCGGAGGCTTTGCTTTAAAGATTGAATTCATTGAAAATCGAAAAAACCAACCACTTATCTTTTCAAATGCCTATATTCCTGAATAATACCAGTATCGACTTCCATGAGACTTAGAACAGATCTAAAGTTGGGCAAATTTCTGTATCAAATATAAATCGCTCCTCCTGTTATTGTCATTCGAAGCTGATAAGGATCCCCGATTGGGATGCACCTTTAAGAAAAAGCACCGTCCCAAGATGATAACAAACAATGGGATGCCAAGTAAAAGTCCCCGCCTAGGTGAATCCCATTGGAACTCGCTGTGCTCCTATAAAAGCCCAAACCACTCTTCGCTCTCCATCAGTTTGATTCAACAAATTATCCAATTAAGATGTCCTCCAACAAGTGCCAAGTTGTGCTCCTCATCGCCTGCTGTCTGGTGGCTCTAGTGGCTTCTTATCCTGAGCCATATCCCGAGGAATACCAAACCAATCCCATGAAGTTTTTCGAGGAGTTTCCTTTGCTGCGCCGTGCTCGATCGCCTGAGGGAGGTTCCCTAGTCCTTACAGCCAGCAAGGACAGACAAGTGGGTCGCGAGGCCAGTCTTCAGTACAACCACAATCTGTACACTAGTCGCGATGGGCGTGGCAGCATCGACGCTTATGCCCAGGCCAGTCGGAATTTCGATCACAATCGTAATAACTACGGCGGTGGCATTCAGGGCACCATACGTTTTTGAGCTGGAATATAAGTATTAAATTGGTAACAAAATGATCAACATGAATAAAGAAATGTGTTTACCCAAGCGTACTTCTCACCGTGTCAGTTGTTGTTTTCCCATTAGCGATGGATCCTCCTCCGGAGGTACCATCAAAACCCAAAGATCTGTGCGCCTGACCAAAACAAACAGTAGCCGATGCATTGGCTATTTACCCAAAGTAAATCAACTGAAAAGACACAACAAGAGGCAGCTGAGAAATGGGGAAATATTAAGAAAACCAACCAACAGTTTATCACTTTGAACTGCAACATACTCTTTATGGAACGCAGTAATATTATTAAGGCACTTTTGAAGGCACACTTAACTCATAAGCAAATCTAAAAGTCAACCAATTTTAGAAAAAACATTAGTTATATTAATCATTGCTTTAATCACTCATTTTTTAAGACAAAATATTGTTAAAGAGCATTACTTAAATCAATAATAATAATTGTTTCTCAGAACTGTATATAACAACATATTTTGTAATTAACAAAAAACAAATCGTCTAAAGAACAATATTTAAGCATGCGGCCAATCATGATGATCTGTTACTTGCCTTTAAAAATAAAATCAATATTCTTATCCTTTTATTAAGTTAGCTGTGCTATAAAAAGGAAAAGGTTTTCAATACTTTAGAAATCTTCTTAAACTTAAAATATTAAAAAAAAACCTTTTCCGTTGCAAGTTTACCTGAAAATTATGGCATACCCCTTACAAAGTGTATGCCAAGAAGTACTAAAAGTCATGAGTCGTCGCCGGGGTCAATGGACTTTTCCTTCGCTGCTGGCGTCGTCGTTGTGTAACCAATAAAAATTGATTCTGTTGCGTGTGTGCAGAGGGGCAGAAGAGGGCGGGGCAGGAAGGGGCGGCGAATTACGCACACTGCAATACAATCACCCATATGCACACAAGCGCACACACCCATATGAAACATACAGCCGAGGGCCTGTTAATGCAATTGGGGGTTGCTGCATTTATCGCTCGCTTTCTTGGGGAATTCTTATGGGAACCCGTCCTACATCTATATCTCCCGGTATTTGGGTGTATACTCGTACATATATATATATATATATATATATGTATATATACATATATCTGCTTGTAGGCATGACTAAGGGTAATTACTTTCGCTTTCCGTTTGCTCAGCTGGCAAATCAATAAAAATAAAAAACAAGCAGGCGACGCAAGTCAAGAATACGTTAAATGCTTGACCCCCTTGCACATTTTTCGGGAAAGCCGCTGCCGCTGCTTGTGCCGTTGCTGTTGCTGTTGTGGCAACAAAGGCGTCGTTAATGAAAAGCCACGAAAAAGGAAAAGCAATGCCTGGAAAATGACTTTCCATTTTCATTTAACAATAAGCAATCAATTGCAAGTTCATGGCACAGCTAACGATCTATTAGAAGAAAGTAAAAACAAGTAACGAAACCCATGCGAGGCAGAAACAAAAGACCAAAACCGACGAAAAGCGACGCCTACACAGGTAGGCCAGGTGACTCGAGTTGAGTTGCGTCCAGGTGAGTTTCCAGGTGAGTGCAGCTGTCAGCTGTTGCTGCTGCCAATCAGTGCGAGCGGGATAGAGAGAGAGAGTGCTGGAGATGCTGTCGGAGTCAGAGTCAAAGTCGGAGTAGGAGTCGGAGTCGGAGTCTCTGTCTCTCGACTGGTTTTCATTTTGGCTTGGAAAAACCACACATTGGCATTGCCCCGTTGCCATTTTTAGTGGCAAAAACTGACTGCATCATAATGAAAGTGAAATGCATTGCGCAGATGGCGATGGCGATGGCGATGGCAGTTACCAGATGCAACACCGCCAGGCAAGTAAGTCAAGTGCAGCAGTGCAGCAGCGACCGTAGCAGCAGCAACTGCAACTGCAACTGCAGTTGTTGCAACATGAAGTGCCGACTGAAACGCGGAGCGGATTGGATCGTATCGCTGCGGATTGGAATGCGCGCGCGTCACCGACATCTCCATTTCCATTTCCATGTCCATCCAGCCAACTGAATTCGGCACCATTCGGTTAATTGGCTAAATGCGAAAAGCGCTAAGCAAAGCACACACTTTGCATGCACTTAAAGAAAAGTATGTGACTTAGTTGTTATTTGAACTAAAAGTTAAAGAAGCTACATAATCCGAAGAATTTAATTAGAAAGATAAAGATAAAAAGTCAAGGTGATCTTTTGATATAATAAATGGCTAATTAGCATCATTGACCATCCGTTGATTGCCTAATATTTATTAAAATTATCAAAATAATAAATAAAAATTGTGTTATTACTAAATTATTAAAAGGAATTTTCGAAAAAATCATCATTTAAGGATAAATGTGTGGATAAATATACCAATTTCCTTAGAATTAATGCTTGATTTCTTTCGGTGTATGCTCTGGATAAATTATGTCAACAGCATGTAAGGCAACAAAAGTCGAGGAGGTATGTACAAGTACCGTAGCCATACAACCTACAACATACACTCTGAACACTGAACACTGGTACATGCCTCCATTTATAGCCAGTGTTCAATGTCAGATCGGCGCCGAAGGTCGTTGTCGGATGCAGCGCGCGGTTTTATCTGGTTTCTTCGCTCGGATGTTTATCTGCATCCATAGCATGAATATGCATCGGTATCTGTATCTGTTTCTGTTTCTGTATCTGCATCTCCAACTGCTCTCCATCTGCAACTGCAACTCGTGCCAGTGTGTGAGTGGAGTTCTGGACCAGTGTAATTGATTCCAATAGCATGCAAAACTTGACATTGAGACAAGCAATTCGCATTGTGGTAGGACCACGATAACTTGACATAAAACACGCATACTGTCAGAAAGGAAACTAAAGCGAAGTTACTGAAAGGCATTTAAATTCTTGGTAATATATATAATATAATAAATGTTGTAGAAGTGTTATAACATTGAAATGTATCCAAGTGTTTCTTCCCAAAATCAATATTCATTCCCATCAAAACCACACAATCGAATCCTTTACTTCAGTTAGTTACTCGACTTTATTAAGAATATTATTAAAAAATGTATCTGTCTACCTCTGCAAATTGAATTCTAACTCATTGCATTGCAAAAAGAAGGTCAAACTAAACAAACATATAAATAATTATTATATTCATTAGTTTCCAATATGAAACATAAAGAAAATTGCCAAGCAAAAGTTTTATAATTTATTGACTCCTCACCTTTCGTGGCGGCAGTTTCTCTGGCATTTTTTAAGGAGCATGAGCATGCTCGACTCAATCAAGTCACAATAAATTAACCTCTATTTGTAAGCCAAGTGAATAATGCGAATAGCTAACAAACAGACAGCTGAACACAATGCAACATCAATTCACTTTTTTTTTGGTCACATTTCACTGATTTTGAAAGTGAACGTTGTGGCAGGCGGCGGCTGTGGCGGTGGCGGCAACTGGCGGAATCACGATTTTGTGGGCACCACAAATCTCTCCATCTCCCTCAGCAGTACAGTGGATACGGGGTATGATGAATAGTTAAATGTAATTAAAGTTTTGTTTATTTAATTGAGTTAAGTGGGTAGTAAGGCTTGGGCTACAAAGGGTATTGGTTGAGATTGATTGATATTACTGTTAAGTATCATAAAAGCTATTAAATCTTCATGATTTTTAAGGGTTGCCCTGATCTATTAGCTAAACTATAAATCAACATAAAATGTTTAAAACTTTTATAGAAGTTATGGATATTTCTACTTCCAAAGTTGCTGCTGTTTTTATTGGCTAACTGCGTGGGTGAAATCCAGCAGACATAAATTTGGCGTCGTGTAGCTGCCGTTTTTACTTTTCCAGTGCGAGCAAATGAAGCGAAACGTGGGTTACACTTTTTTCCATTTGCCTCTGCCTTTATTTATTTTATTTCAGTTTCAGTTTTTCTGTTGCTATTTTTTTCCTATTTTTTGGCATGCATCTACAGCTGCATATCTTTTTGAGTTACATATTTGTAGCGTCTGCAAGCGGATAGACAACGAGGTGGATGTGAATGTGGCTGAATGGAGCTGCGTAGGCCGCTCTGCATCAGGTTGACCCAGTTTTCGCTTTCTGTCTCCGTTTTGGCTTGGCTTTAGTTTTTTTCTATGTGATTTTGTTTTTTTTTTTTGTATTATTATTTGTGAAAATTATACGACGATATGCAACCCGCTGCAGACTTGTTCCATGTTTGTCCCGTTAATTTATGGCACTCGTTGCAGCTCAATCAATTTAGCACACATTCGTCTCGATCCAATCCGCCGGCCGTTGGGCACTTATTCAATTAAGCGCCACGTAACTTTGCCACCACAATGCAAAATTCCTACTAAACTAGTTTTCCACCCATCCAGCTTTCTTATTCTTATAATCCGACAAACATTGCGAATTTCTCACATCTGATGCACAGTACAATGAAACGGATGCGACAATGTTGGAAAGGCCAGTAAAGTGCAGTGCTTTTGATTATACCCATTACGATTGTATACTCTGTGCGAATGGGCGATAAGGTTACACAAATGAACAATACGCCATGTGTGACAGGGTGTTGTGTGGTGATAGCCAAGCCTCGTAAAAAGTCAAATAATTTTATGATTTGCTCACACTAATCAAGGAAGTATAGAACAAAATTGTAGTACCATTATGTAAGTATTTGTGTAGCCTTAACTTGTAAAAGATTCTAAATAATATTCCCTTTGCCTTTTTGATATTCGAACTAGTAAATGATGCAAATATTTACATTTTATAGACGTGAAACATGTTCTTAATTTATCATTATCATTAAAAAAAACCAATAATTGGGAATTTAATGAAAATTAAAATCATTTTTAATTGCTTTCTTGGCTATTAACTGGTATATTACCTTTTAAAAACGAAATATACCTCCCCTAGTGTAGTAGTTAAAAACCGTTGCTCATAAATTGTGGTTTGTATTTAATTACCTTTAAATAATGTAATGTTGTAATTGATTTTTATGCAATAAAGATAAGATTTCCTCTGCGGATGGAATTCAAAAATATAATATATCCAAGCAGTTGCCATTTTATGGTGCTCTATTTCTGGACCATTGAATCACTTCTCAGACACACCCAACTTAAAAAGGAAACAAAATCATCCCTGGGACACCACAAAGGATTGCTAACAACCTCACTTTATGACATTTTCCTTTGGCCATAAAACAAGAGGAGTAGCAAACTGCATCAGAAGAAACACAAATTGAAATTGGCCATTGCAATCTTGGCCACATGCCATTCACACTCACACACACACACACCGACAAGTAAACACAAATACTATCAAACGGACAAGTCAATGCACTTTTTGCAAGTACACTCACACACTGGAAAAGCCAGAGAGGAAAAGCGCGAGAGAGAGGGAGAGCAACCGTTAGTCAACTGTATGTGTGCGTGCCTAGATTTTGCAATAATTTCGTTTTCATTTCGAATTTGAATTTCGTTTTCATTTCGCCTATAAAGTGTGTTTCCAAGTGCTTTCAAACTACGATTGTTTCACCTATTCACTTTCACTAATTATGTCATCACGGAATCAAAGGCCGCTCCTCCTTTTTTTTAAAGAGTTTCTGGTTTTGTATCTCTGAATTTATCACAATCCTTTAATTACTTGTCTAGACTAAGGAAACCCCACTTTTTTCGTCTACTGCGCAATAAGTTTTTTATTGTCTGTATTCCTTGGATGTAACCTTCTGCCCCCCCTTTTTTGTTAAGAGAGCTTTTCTTGGGATTTGCCAAAAAAATAAAGCTCTTTGAGGGTGGTATTTCGTCTTGTTTGGGATTCCCTTGCCACAGTCATCTATGTTCTTGTTGTCCTAGGTCCGGAAAATGAGGAAAACAGGGGATGTAACTGAGAGCAACGGATGAGAGAGAAATTGACGCAGCTTTACAAACAATTTGGCATGACTTAACTTAGGGCAAAATTAGATCTTTGTTCCGTTTAATTTGATTTTTAAAATAAATGAATAGAAAGTGTAATTCAAATCAATCAATCTTTAAAGATGGTTATTATTATATTTTTTCTTAGTTATTTAATATTTTTATACTTTCCTGAAGGCAATCGTTAAGATCAGATTATTTGATAAATGTATATTACAGCGGTATATCTCACTAACTGATTCCCCTACAAAATCGAAGTGAAAAAAGTACTTTGGAGTCTACTACTATTTCTGTAAAAAAAATGCAGCAGAAAGTGCAAGTAAACGAAGAGATTTCCGCCTCTCTTTCTCTGTGGGATGCATTTCCTCTCTTTCCCGAAGAGCTTAATGCAACTTGCTCTCCGGTCGCTCGCCAAATTATTGAAATTGCACAAAGAAAAGTGAATCGAGAGAGCGGCATTGCGATTGTGTAAGTTTTACATGGATGCAAGAAACTTGTTTTTCTTTTTATGGCCTGCAATTTCAGTTCTTATTGCTGAGGAGGGGATTACTATTGTGGTAAAAAGAGGAAATGCCACCCCTAAGGTAGCGTAATTAGAGCAGTTATCAAACACACACACACCTATACAGTAAAGCTTCGATACCAAAAGAGAGTCCGCTGCACTCGAGTGTTTTGTGCCTGTGTGAGTGTGTGTGACTGACCTATCTCAATGCAATTTTGCTTGCCCGCTGCACATAACACACACACACTTACACACTCACAACAGGCCGTTGTGCTCATTTATCTTTTATTTTTATACAATATTTTGCCGTGGCTGTTGTTGTTGTTGTTCCCAAGGCGTCAGCAACTATTTTTGCCACAGACAAGATTTGCATTTTACATTTATTGTACACTTTGCCCCCATTTAATGGCTCTCCTTGTCGCTCATGTTAATAAACAATAATAATGTCCGCTGCATTTTTTTCACACGCAGTGCAGGCGCACAAAATTGTTGTTAATCGGTCTGGCTGTAATTGTTATGACCCAACTAAACGTCTTGCTCGTTTTTATATACGTACTTTTAATTACAGTCGATTGTATATGGGTACAATTTTATGACGCCAATTTTATGGACATAAAATTCTTGAAACACTTTGACAGCCATTGTATTTACAAGATGTTTGCAAAAGCGTTAAAGCAAAAACCAAACTGTAAAACAAATTTAAAACTGTAATATCTCATCCCAAAACCTTAAATCATTTTTAGAAGTTCTTCAATTCAAGCAATAATTATTAGCTGAGGTTACGAACTAAATAAATATATTATATTGAAAAAACCTTCATTTAGAGATAAGCAAAATGTATATTTAAATTTAGTTTTTGTATTTCAGTTAAGTAAATAAGAAACCTTAAGTAATTTTGACCAAGATCTCTAATTTATTCTCTGCCTTCTTTACACTTCCAGTTACCAACTACAGAAACTCAAGCCTAACAAAAATGTAAGTTGACAACAGAAAAGAAACCCCCTCGAAGTTCTTTATAAGTAAACAACTAATTTAAAATGGAACACCATAAAAAGGCAGGCGCCGTAAAAAAAGGCAAGACACCACAAGCAAAAACTCAAGTGGAAATTTACAAACGCCAAAAAGTTGAATAAATAAGAAATTACAAACACGCACTCAGTCGCAGAATTATGCATGGATTTTTGTTCGTTAAACAATTGAAATCATTTTTTTGGGCAGCTTGGAAAGGCGAAAAAGAACCTGCTAAGTACTTTCATAAACAAATACTCATGAGTAATAATTTTAGTTTCGTATCTATGCGAATTGCCATGAATCTCTGGCTACATAAGCCAGTTTTTGCTCGTTGGCCAGCCACTTGACACTTGGAGTGAACTAACTCCGAGAGCCAAAACACTTGAGAAGTCTATTGAATGGCCATTCATCTGCCTGATATTATGCAAATGAGCCATACTTTCTTTGCGCATGACGAGGTTTTGCCGCATAATTGGTCGCTAATTGAAAAAATCAATGCAGAACCCACAATAAATTATGCTAAATTCCCGGATTTCGCAGAAGATGGACATTGGCCAATGACAGTTAACAATTTATAAAAGTTCAATTAGCCGCTATAACGGTATCATTCGGACGGCGGTGCATTTAAGCCAAGTTAACACCTCATCCGTTGGTCCTACAGTTGCTATCCTGGCTACCAAAAAGCCGCTTAAATCAGCGGGTCAATCAATCAGACAGAAGGTTCTGTTCTGTTTTAAATTAAGAATTTTTTCTCCGCTTTTGAAACAAGCTTTCTTTTTACTCTGCTGTCGGTACAGTGGGCCGAAGAGGGCTTAAAAATGGGTTACATTTTGTGTTGTAATATCTGCAAAAATGTTTTTCAAAGTAATTTTAGCTAAATAAATTTGCTTTTGAGAGAGAAATCATAAGTAGAAGTTTATTCATAGCGCTTAAAGTATTCCCATTCCCATTTTTAAATGACTTCGTTCCACTGTCCGCGTGAAATGACAAATGTAAGCTGTTTTCTGCCAAAGCAAAAAGCAATCCACTCGCATTTATTCAGTACCCGCATATGTGCGTACCTATATAGGTATATCCAGAAGGGAAATAAATGTCTTTTATTTCGGCTCCATCCAGAACGTCACGTCAGCGCCATGTACTGATCTTCACGCGAGATATTCGGGTGAATCGGAGGATCGGAGGATTGAGAGCGGCTACCAGGGAACACTGGACTCCGAGTTCAACTCGGACTTAATGCAGTCCTCTGCGAATACCTTTTTGATTGCATTTCATTAAGTTTTTTGTTTTGTTTTTGTTTATTTCGAATTTGTTTCGGCATGGACTTTTGCGGGCATTTTAAAAATTTATGCACACTTGGCTGCCATTTTGAGCTTGTTAATTTTTCTTCATTTTTTGTTTTCGGTTTTTTTGTATTGCTTTAGTGTTTTTTACCTTTCTCAGATTTTTAACAAGCGCCGTCAAAAAGGAAGTTTGGCTTCTCGCCAAATTAATGCAAGAAAAAAGAAAAGTAAATGCAGTCTGAAAAAAAGGAATAATTGCTATGCCATAAAATAAATAAATAAATAACTTTTTCAGAAACTTCACTTCTTTGTTACTTAATCAACATATTTCACCCGTTGCTTAAAATATGTGGGTATCTTTTGTCTTTATTTTTTGGGCAAGGAAGCCACACCCTTTGTCTCGCCATGAATCATGTACCTCACATTGTATCTATATGTACCAAACACCGACTTTTTACATGGTTGTTCCAGTTTAAAAAAACCGAAAAGCACATACGTAAATATCCGTATATGTGTGGGATTTTTATGGTATCTTGATCGCATTGAAATATAAATTTTATAATCCAAGATTTGCCGGTTGAAAAGTTTTATGGCGTTTGGATTTGATGCGAGGTGATTAAAAATTAAATTAAGTTTTTTATAATAGGATTTAAAAGTATTACAAATAAAACAAGTGAATGAGTCATGCTGCCTTAAAAAACGTAATAATTTAGGTTGAACAATTATAATACACAAATACAAAGCATCGTATATAAGTGGTGAGCTACGTATTTATAATATAATCGCTTGTCACAGCCGAAAGTTGTGAACTTTTTGTTATTATTATTGTCTGTTTAACAGTTTGTTTACCCAATTCGAGCTTCTGGTTCAAATTTCAGTTCTCAATGTGAAGGTCAAAGTCAAAAGCAGAATAAACGAAGATATCTGATTGGTCAGCGAATCGGAGACCCTAGGGAATGACTCAATGTCGTCTGGCTGAAATAAAAATAAACAAACAAGTGTCTTGAGTTCCAAACATTGTAGAAACATAAAACAATATCCCAGTGATTAATAAGTGATTTTGTTTGGCTACAAGAGATTCCTAGATATCACACAGGTTCTAAATCGTTTCTATGCTAAAAGTGAAATGTGGAAAAACCACTTTTCCAAACTGTTTTCAAACTGCGACTGCAGCGACTTCAACTTGGACTTGCAACTGGCATCTGTTGCCGTCTTGCTGGTCGAGTGTGCAATTTACTTTCAATGCCGCTTCTAGCCATTGTTGGGGCTTTCTTCTCTGGCTTTGGCACTTGTTTGTTGCCATGTTGCTGCAGTGCGGCAATGTTGCTGTTGCTGCTGTCAGCGTCTAGTCAGCACGTTGCCCGCGTGTCTGGTTTTGTTGCATGTTGGCATGCAGCAGCAGCAGCAGCAGCAACATCAGCCACTGAGCTGCTTGGTATGCAATTTGCAATAGTTGCGCTTGCGCAATTCAAATGCTCACCCATACTCTGACACTCGGCACACGTACATACATAACTCAGTTACGTAGTAGGAAAAGCGAAGACCAAAGACGGAAGAGGGAAGACGTGTTGCAAGTGGCCAGGAAAACCGGAAAATCCACACGTTATGAGCAGAGAAAAAGTGCAACTCCCCTTTTTTCCTCACTAGTTTTATACCATTCTTGTTACACTAGTCAACAAAAACATGTGTTTTATTTAATAAAATACCATAAGATAAAAACAATAAAATTCATAATAAAAATCCAATTTAATTATAAAAATTAACATTCAAGATGAACAAATTTGTTACCCCAAAATCGGATTTATTTATTTTCTGATTTGATTGTTAATATAATTGTTAATGTATTAAAAATTTTTCTTAGTTCACTCATAGTTGGACTTAAAATTCCTAACAATAATTAATTTGGGCACCTTGTGCTCCTGTGTAAAATCAAGAGTTGATTTTCTCACATTGTATTTATGACGATAGGCTGCGGGCCCAATTGAAATGGAAACCTAGGCCACAATCTACATATCGATCTCTGCTAACCAGTATGCCCCGCTGGAATAGAGCAAGATGGGCCTATCCCAGTAGTAGATAGTTTCGTAAACTGGTGGTTTAATTGCACTTATTATGATTGACACTGATAAATCGGCAATCTCTGGCTGTCATTCGAACACTTGCAGCAATTTGAACAATTAACCATCCATCAGGCCAAATTAAAGCCAATAGATGGTGGTGGATGGTCCGGGGTCTTACATAAACATCTGGCGATAGTTCGCAACCTGGTCAGTTCGGCTACCAGTTGGGTTCAATGAGCCCTGCCCGCAGCTCGAACTTAAAGTTACGCTCAAACCCAAACAGGTAACTGCAGGAGTTCAAGCTCAGACCATTGCCCAGCAAGTGCATCGGAATAACTCCAAAGTTTAAACTCTTTTCTGCATAGCCAGATGGAAAACGAGGATCGCGGAGAAGGGAGGATTACGCAGTCGATGGCAGCGATAAGTGGCAACCGAGTACTGGAGTACTAAAGTACTGGCTTTGTTGGCCCATCTACGTCACCAGTTAGATACTTTAAACAAAAAGTACAGAACACTGTGGGAAAGTGTGAGACAGATAAGGAGAGGAAATAAAGATACAGGCAGCGGCTTATCTTGAGCTATTCTATTTTCTGTATTATGTCGGAAATTTACTCTGTGATGTGTGATTCACAGATCTCAGACTAAAATTATCCTCAAAGGTTTGCTAAACTCTTTATCCAAAGTAAATTGAAAGAAGCTTTCTTAAAGAGATCGACCAGTGATCGATGTGTGAATGAATAACCGAAATCAGGATTCTGGGGTTGATCTAATCTATTAGGTAAAAATTTGTGGTTACTTTAAAGTTCATGCCATATATTTGCTATATTTTATTTAACTTTAAAAATCTCCTAAATACTTTTTAACACAAACTTCATCATAGTTGATTTGTTTTCATTTCAATAATGATATCTAAATTTAAATTTAACAGTTTCTGGGCTTTCTGGGCCGTTTTTCTCAGATTTTGTAACCTCATATTGGCGGTGCAACATCTTCCATAAAAACAAAATCAAAAATGCTAATTGAGCACGTGCTACTTCCATTCATCTCTAATTATGCATAAATAAATATTCCCTTGGTTCACACGCATTCCAATGGAACAACAACGAAGTATTTCAAACAGAAATCAAAAGCGCAAAATGCGCAATAAATAAAATCGAATGAAAAACAGAGAAAAAAGGAAAGAAACCCAACAGCAGCAATAATAACAATTTCAAGGCCAAAGTCTATGACGACTGAGGCTAAGACGGCAAAAAAGAAAACATTGAGTTGTTTTAAATATGCTCTCATTTTTTTAGTGCACTTTCTCTAAGTTTAAGCTTTGAGTATAATTTTAGAAATAATTATTATTCGTACTTCAAAAACATAAGCAGATCTTTCTGTTACTTAGCTGACAATAATATCCTTTATAATCCTTGCCGAAAAGTATGCAATTCCTTTACAATTATAATGTTTTTAAACATGAAAGCAAACGGTACGACTTTTTATATTAATTCTTAGTAAAAATTTTTCTTTATGTTTTTTGACCAATCATTAAATCCAAAACATCACCTTTATTATTTTAGTTGTTAACAGAGTCAAAATTGTACAGTTAATGTAATCTTAATAATAAAGAGAGTATTATATTTTTAAAATATGTTTATATATTTTTGAATTTAGGAGTGTGTCTTGTCAGCACCCACCTCCCTTTATCATCGTGCAGAAATTTCACTTTCCTTATCAGCGAGGTCGGGCACAATGATAAGATTTGCGAGTGCAGCCAGTCCACTCTGATTGCAATGGGACCGGAGCGGCTGGCTGTCCCGGCAGAAAGTGAAACTGAATTCAGTCATTGCTTTTTATAAGCCAACACAATCGCAAATGGCTGAGTCAAAAACAAAAGCAACAAGTGCTTAGAATGAAATTTGCGAATATTTGACATTGAAATTTTTGTGCACAAATAAAAAAGCAGCAAACCTAAATTGAGATACGAGTACGAGTAGGGGGGAATTTGGACAAACTGTTTTAATATTTGTTTTGCATATACACATTTGTTCTGTATATATAAAGCCAGATATATAGTTTGTTTTAGTAAAATATCTCTTGGTAAATCGGTAGTATATAGTTTTAGGAATAAAATATCTATAAACTAGCTTAGCACGCTCCTCGTGTGATTAAAACTCCATATCAGCTTAACCTTGAACTTTTTAAGAGCTCTTATCAAGTTGCCAAAAAATGTGGTGCAATCAAATATATTTGCAGCTTTTGCTAGTATTTTGTCGCATGCTGTTCGCACGACTGCGTTTCAAATGCATGTGTGTGTGTGGGTGTGTGCTCGGGAGCTGATAAGGTGTGTGTGCTCAGTGGTTTTCCGATTTTTTCCCAGTCTTCATTGGGATTTCAGCAATATAGCTTCATCATAATCGGAGAGTGAAGTGTGGCTTACAAAAAGGAATATATAATATATATCAATATTAACATGAATTTAATTTTTTTTTAAACAAAAGTGAGAATTATTACTGTTTCCATTTTCATATATATAATTAATAATAAAAAAACAAAACAAAAATAAAATAAAGTTATGTAATATATGTACATATATATACATACATATGCATATAAGCTTTATTGTGAATTGACGTTTAAATGTTTTTAAACAAAAGTGAGCATTTTTTATATAAACAAAAATAAAACTTTTAAAAAATATACATTAAAGAAATAATCAAATATAATTATATATTTCATATTTTGTATATATTTACGAACACAAATTAAAACTGTATTTAGTATTTAATACTGTTTTTAAAATCTGCTAGGTATTAGAAAGAAATCAAATTTAAATATAAAACTCTTATATTATTAACACTAATAAAATGGTAACTAAAAGAATTTAATTTAAAGTTTGATTAAAAAAATGTCTGTAATAAGGTACTTTCTGCCTTATTAATAAGGACTTCTTTTCAAAATATCACTTTTATTAAATTTAATTTAATTCATTGAAATTTAAATCTAAGATAATAAATTGAAATGAACTTAGATATATAAATATCAATTTAAAAAAGAGATTTCCTTAGAACGATTTGATTTCCTTTTGCCTATAACTTATAACAACTCCCTTCTTTGGCCCTTTTCAGACACAACACTGCCATATTGCAACAAAGAATATAGAACTGTTATCAAGAACCAGATCAACCAATCTACCTCGTCTTTTCTGGGCCAATAATCAAAAGTAAATTGAATTCAATGCAAATACCCTATTTGCCAATAGGAAAATGGAACAGGCAATAACCAAGACCACGTAAAGGGAATACCACAAAACCGAACCGTTGAGATTACACATTTGAGATCAATAGAGTCCTCCCCAATAGATCAAAGCCTTTCACATTTCTGGATAACCATTCGCAAGTAAGATGACGAAGAGCAATGGCGATGTGGAGGCGGCAGCCCAGGTCCAGTCTCTGGGTGGAAAGCCCAGCAATGGTCATGGACAGATGAATGGGAATGGCTATCATCAGAATGGAGGTCGTCGAGACTCCAGCCAGGCATTTACACCACTGCTCCCGCAGCATAATACCAATGGCACCGCCAACGGCTCGGAGGTGACCTCTCTGCCTCCAAGCACAGTGCTTTACGAAAGCACCCCCAGCAATAATAATGAGTGGAAGGCTCCGCAGGACCTTGGCCACCTTAAGAATGGACTGGGCAATATCCTGAGCAGCAACAACAATGGCACTGGCAATGGTCACAGTATCAGCGAAAAGTATGCCCACGAACAGGCTCCCCTGACTGGGAGCTACAAGCTGCCTCCTCGTTCCAGTGAGTCCGAGGAATCCGATTTCGATTCCGACCTCAATGGCAGCTCTACCGCAGAGTCCAGCTCCTGTGGCTTGTTTGGATGCCGGCCCAGGTGGGCCAGAAGATTCGCCTCCACACATGTCTTCATGGTGGTCTTTCTACTGGCCTACATCCTGCAGGGCATGTACATGACCTACTTTGTATCCGTGATCACCACCATCGAGAAGCTTTTCCAGATCAAGTCGAAGACGACGGGAATCCTTTTGAGTGCCAGTGAGATGGGTCAGATATGCACTGCCATGCTGTTGACCTACTTCGCAGGAAGGGGTCATCGCCCCAGATGGATTGCTTGCGGCATGGTCCTGTTCTCCATAGCTGCCTTCTCCTGTGCGCTGCCACACTTCATCTTCGGTGAGCAACTGATGCACTCCAGTGTGATCCTGCAGCAGACGCAGGTAGCTCCTGCCGGGAATTCCACGTCGTCACTCTGGACAAATGCTAGCAGGGAGCAGGTGAATCCGAATCTCTGCATTTTGGGTGGCAATCAAACACTTTCGGGCAGCGAATGTAATGAGGAACGGCAACTGGAGCAGGCCTCCCACTCCAAGATCACAGTCATTGTGCTATGCATTTTCTTTGGTAGTCTATTAAGCTCGGGAATTGGACAAACTGCGGTGGCCACTCTGGGCATACCTTATATCGATGATAATGTTGGCAGCAAGCAGTCACCCATGTACATGGCCGTCACCATTGGTATGAGAATCCTGGGACCAGCTTCTGGTTTCATTTTTGGCAGCTTCTGCACCCGCTGGTATGTGAATTTCTCGAATCCCGGGTTTGATGCTACTGATCCGCGATGGATCGGTGCCTGGTGGCTGGGACCCGTGGCCATAGGTAGTCTTATGCTGTTGGCCTCTATTGCCATGTTCTCGTTCCCCAAACAACTTAGAGGCAAGCAGCAGTCGCAAGGGCAGGCGGCAACTCCAGCAACTCCAATTGAGCCAGAAGAAAAACCCAAACTGAAAGGTGAGTACTATGGAAATTGCCAGAGGTTTTTTCATAGTTTATTACTATCAAGATTTTTTCGAAGATGGATCATCCCTAAATCCCTTAACTTTTCCCTCTACAGACTTTCCCAAGACAGTCCGTCGTCAGCTGAGCAACGACATCCTGATGTTCCGCACCGCCTCGTGCGTGTTCCATTTGCTGCCCATCGCTGGTCTCTACACGTTCCTGCCCAAATATCTGGAAACTCAGTTCCGGCTGGCCACCTATGATGCCAATATGATTGCCGCCTTCTGCGGTATCCTCGTCATGGGCATTGGCATCGTCATTTCGGGCCTGTTTATCCTAAAGCGTAAACCCACTGCCAGGGGTGTGGCTGCGTGGATTGCTTTCACAGCCCTTGTTTACTCAGCGGGCATGATCATCTTGATGTTCATAGGCTGCAGCATGAACGACTTTGCCGGCTATAAGCCAAGCGATGGCAACAGGTGAGTTCCTAAATGTAATAATTTTATTGATTTAAGGGAATTTGTGAATAAGAAACTACAGTCTTTATAGAAAGAAATTAAAGCTAAATACAACCATTTTTTCTAAAAGCTGCTTCCAAAAGTATGCATTCGTGTGTATTAAGACTACAGATCAAGTCCTTCGGACATCCATTAAGAAAAATGCCATGATTGGGAGTCGGTTTGCCAACCCTAGTCAATTTAAGAAAAAAAGTAATAAGAAATATTTATAATTATAACTTTCCCACTTGTTTTAATCCCTAGTCCCGCTCTGATTGAGCCCACGTGCAGCGCCGCTCTCAACTGTACCTGTGATAAGGAGAACTTTGCTCCCATCTGCGCCGATGGCAAGATGTACATCTCAGCTTGCCATGCCGGATGCAGCAGCTCCTCGCTGCGGCCCAGCGACAATCGCACCCTCTACTCCGATTGTGCTTGCATTCCAGATGGTAAGATCCCATCCATTTAACCAGAATCATAGTATTTTAATCAGAAAACCAACTTGCAGCTCCAGAGGCGGTCAACGGTTACTGTGATAATAACTGCAAGAACTTCATCTACTTTATACTGATCTTTGCCATTTGCGTATTTATGCATTCCACCTCAGAGGTGGGCAGCATGCTGCTCGTCATGCGCTGTACACATCCTAAAGGTAATGACTAGGCTTGGGAATCCCAGATGTTATACTAACTAAATAATACCTTGATCCCTTTCAGATAAGGCCATGGCCATGGGTGTAATACAGTCGGCCATCGGCTTGTTTGGGAATGTTCCTTGTCCGATTATCTACGGCGCAGTGGTGGACTCCGCCTGCCTCATCTGGAAGTCGGTGTGCGGCAAGCACGGAGCCTGTTCGCTCTACGATGCGGACACCTTCAGGCAATATTTCCTAGGTGAGTCTAAAGATACAAAGTTATTAAAATTATCCAAATGAAACCTCAAAACTTGATAAAGTTGTCTAAGGAATCACTAATAACCTTAATATCACCCCCAGGAATCACGGCTGGTATTATGTTCCTGGCATTCCTAATGGACCTGGTGGTGTGGCGAAAGGCACACCGGATCGACATTGCGCCAGAGGACCCGCAAGAGGCTGGGCCCACGCCCAATGGAAGGTCCTTGGAGGTGTCCGAGTCGAAGCAACCCATAACTCCGGCGCCGGACACGACGGTCTAGGTGGAGCGGAACCGAGATGAGCCTTGCACCTGCTGCAAGATTTCCAATAAACGTTTACTTTAATTGTTAATTAGTTATCATTTTGTCTAGTTTGTTAGCCTAGTGCAAGAGTTATGTATTTAGTTAAGTGGCATATTCGAGCGTCGGGAGACCTCATTAAAATCTACCTTAGAACGCGCTCGTCCAGCCCCCGATCCCGCTCCAAATCCCTGCTCCATATTCTACATAAAACCTTTATATAAAATTACGATTTAATTCTGTGTAAATCTCAACGCGAAACGAAGAAATGAAATTGTAGACATTATCGAAGTTCATGCATGTGCGTAATCAGACGACAAATAACTAAATGAAAATGATCGAAAGTTATGCAAACGGCAAGAAAATTGATAAGCCCTTATGTGTAACTATATGTAACAGCTATATCGCGATTTATGTATATCTGTAATTAATATATTAGACATATACATTTACATGTATGTATGTAATTGCAACCTATCTGTGGTAGTTAAATTTTAGTTAAAATTCAAATTAATTGTCTAAGTTTGTCATACAACAAAACTATACGAAAAGAAATTAAATGGAAAACTATATACATATATAAAAAAGATGATTTTAATTTATGAGCTTTAATCAACAGACTATAATTGGGGACCATTAAACAAGTCATTGCTCAAACTTAATTTCCAAAATCATCCCATAAAAGCCATTAAAAACATGACAACTTAACTTTTCTACCAAAAATGTGTTTTTTTATTAACAATTTCAATAAAAAATTCTTAAATTTACGAAATGCAACATCGCTGCATCTGCCTTTCGCCTAACAAAAACAACAAATTGTGTTATACAAAACGAAAACTTGAATTGTTTGCAAGAACTGTCTTGGGCTATTGTCTCTGAAATAACAAAAACAGTGAATGAGTAAGTCGTGCCCAGCGGGCAGATCGCAAATGGAGATTGTCTGCGTACGCCCACGGGCGTGTACAATAAAGTAATGGTATCAAAAAATCAGCTATCCGGCGACCACAACTTGAATGTGCGGTCGAAAGAGGTTGTGGCTATATACTGCGAGTTGGGCGCTATGTCCACCGATATGACCTTGTTGTCGTGGCCCTGTAGCGTCTTCAACGGCTGCCACGTCTTGTTAGACCAGATCTTGGTGGTCGAATCGTATGAACAGGTGACCAGAAAGCTGCCGCACTCCTGCTGATACTTCACATCTGAAATCAGGTTGGTGTGGGCGGGAATGGTGTAGACGGGCTGGCGTCGCCGCAGGTCCCAGATTTTGCAGGTGTTGTCCTGAGACCCCGTCGCAATGTGATATCCATTTGGCGAAAAGTCTACGCCGAAAACAGCGCCCAGATGTCCCTCCAGAAACATAATACACCGCCCAGTGCGGAGATCCCATACGCGTCCGAAGGCATCTAGTCCGCCGGTCACCAAAACACTGCCGTCCGAATGATAGCTTAGGCAGTGCACCGGCTTGGCGTGTCCCTCCTGATGCAACACCTCTGTCTTCTGCTCCAGGTCCCACAATCGCCAGCTAGAGTCGTAACAAGCGGTGGCCAGGAAACGGCCGGACGGATGAAAGGCCACCTTGGAGACACGATGGGGCATATGCCCTGTGATGTCAGCAATGGACTCCTCGTTGTTAAAGCCCCACAGCTTGACAGCGCCATCATGGCCTCCTGATGCCATGGCCACTACGTTTTCCTCGTCAGCCTTAACTCCTGGCCGCAAAGCGACTCCGCCCACATAGCTGGCATGTCCGCGCAGTGTCTGCTTTAGCTCACAATCGGGCACGCTCCACAGCTTACAGAGACCCGACCACGAAGAGGTCAGCAGGAGACCGGAGTCGGCGCTAAAGGCGGCACTGCTCACGGGCCGCGTGTCGCCCACCTGAGAGCACAGTGGAGCCAGGGACTGGAGCTTCTTCTGCATCTCCACCATACGTCCAGCCCTTGTGGCACTGGGCACTTCTAGGGCCTCACGAGCCCTCACCAAGCGATCCTTGGCCCGCGGCAGGGAGTAATCCGCGAGCCAGAGACGAGCAATTCGCAGGGTATCGGGTCCCTCGTGATACCAGGTAGCCTGATCCTGATCCCGCTGCTGTTGCTTACGCTCTTCCTCCTCGTAGTGTTTTCTGTTAATGGCATGTTCGCCCAGACCTGCAAGAAGTTCCTTGAGACGTCTTCGCCGCTCCGCTGGTCCTTCCCCGAAGTAGCAAATCGGTTCGTTTAACTGGCGCAGATTGCTTTTGATCTCTGTGTCGTCCGTAGAAACATTTATCTGACGCGCCCGCTTCTTGCGCTCGAATTCCTCCAAAAGCGCCACCTTATCCCGTTCCATTTCCATCTCCAGATCAAAGTAGTCATCGTCGATTTTGTTTGCTAGTGTAGCGGCAGTGGGTGGAGGTGCTCCCGCCTGCTTGGAGTTATTAGTTTTCTTTGTTGACTCTTCATAATCCTCATCGGAATCTATGTCCTCCAATTGGCCGCCGCCTGTGCCTGCTGCTGTTGTTGTTGTTGTTGTTGTTCCTGCACCAGACGATGCCGGCGTTCCCGTTGTTGTTGCTGTTGCTGCCCCAGACGCCGCGGCATTTTGACGCTTGCGTTCCGATTCCTCGAGGGATCCATAGTGTAGCGTGCGCTGCCGCTTAATGTACTGTATATCGTCGTCATCGGACATCGTGGGCGCCAGCAAGTGAGCCGCAAATAATTAATTTTAAAACAAAATTTCGCCGAAAAAACGAAGAAACAACAAAAAAATATCGCCTCAAAGAAAACGTTTTGCTACCTAGTGTTAAACAACGCTTAGAGGGGTGGGTTAGCGATGGCACCGCATCCCCATCGATATTTAGCCCGCAATGTGGTGCGTCTATCGGTATATTTAGAAATTTAAGAACGGATGTTTAGAGGATTTTAATATTTTAATTGTAAACAACTTAAGCAAACAAAAAAATTAAATTGAACTAAGGAGTACAAAAAAAAATGTTTATTTTAATTTTCTTTGAAGAAGATTTTAATGTCTCATTGTGTTTCACAAAAATGAATAAGGGAATAAATACAAATTCCTAATATGTTTTTTTACTCATAATACCACTACTTACTCATATAATATTAAGTGAGAATTGAATTTAGATTCCCAAATTCACGACTTTTTTAAAACTGTGACTTTTCACCGTTATGTTGCCACGCACTCGCTTCGTAACACTGTTTTAGCAGCACTACCCCATTTTAGTCCATCCACACGCACACACTCACACGACTTTTCCTAGGTGGTAAAAAAGTGAGTGAAAATTTTGGATTTCCACACGCCTAGCACGCTAGCGGTCACAAAGCCTGCGAAATAGCTGTCACTGCCATCGCCGCAGCACCTTTCTCCCGCTTCCGGCCAGAAGGACATGAACGCGACGAACAACAAAATGTCGGCTACAGATCAGATGCGAGCAATGTTGGACCAATTGATGGGCACAACGAGGAATGGCGACGAGCGCCAGCTGAAATTCTCAGACACCAGGGTCTGCAAGTCCTTCCTGCTCGACTGCTGTCCGCACGACATCCTGGCGTCCACGCGCATGGATTTGGGTGAGTGTCCCAAAGTGCATGACCTGGCTTTCCGCGCAGATTACGAGAGTGCCGCCAAGAGTCGCGACTACTACTACGATATTGAGGCCATGGAACACCTGCAGGCCTTCATCGCCGACTGTGACCGACGCACAGACTCCGCCAAGCAGCGACTAAAAGAAACCCAGGAGGAGCTGACAGCCGAGGTGGCCGAAAAAGCCAATGCAGTTCACGGACTGGCTGAGGAGATTGGCAAAAAGCTGGCCAAGGCCGAGGCTCTCGGTGAGGCTGGTGAAGTAGAGGACAGTATGGAGCTGATGAAGGAAATCGAAGAGCTGCGCGCCAAGAAGGTGAAAGCCGAACACGAGTACCGCACGTCAATGCCCGCCTCTACATACCAGCAGCAGAAACTGCGAGTCTGTGAAGTCTGCTCCGCCTATCTGGGCATCCACGACAACGACATCCGACTGGCGGACCACTTTGGTGGTAAGTTGCATCTGGGGTTCCTCACCATTCGCGAGAAGCTTATCGAGCTAGAGAAGACAGCAGCGCCACGCAAAGCGGAACTCAGGCGGACGGGTAAGATGACCGATCGCGACGACGAGGGGCGCGGCCGCAATCGCTACTTTGTAGGTGGCCGCGAACTTGACCGCCGTTCCCGCGTGCATCGTTCCCGCTCTAGGGAACGCCAGCGAAATCGAGACACGGATCGTGATCGTCCCAACAACGGGCGTGGACCGGAGGAGAAGGGCGACGAGCGACCCAAGGACGTGGATGATGGTCCAGAACGAGCAGAACGGCCCGAACGTTCCGAACGAGCTGTAGAACGTGGAGGACGACGAGAGGATAGGGACAATCACGGCAGGGATCATCGCGAACGAGAGCGCGATGGCAGAAGGGATCGAGAGCGTCATGGACGTAACGACAGAGGTCGCTTTGGCGACAGGGGCGGTGGGGGAGGTGGCCATCACCGAGATGAAAGACGACGCTCCCGCTCCAGGGACCGATCACCACGTGAACGCCGCAACTTTAACCACTTCAGGGATGGCGGAGGTGGCGGTGGAAATGGCCAGCGCAGACGCTCCTATTCCCGCGAGCGCTACTCTCGCCGCTAGGCTAGAATCCCGCCCAGCGCACGTACGTAGCATTAATCACATCAACTACAACTACAATGCCACCACAAATTGAACTACTGAAAACAACAGCAACCGAATATTCATAGCCTAATCAATAAAGCAACCCAGAGCCATACATTCGACGCTCTAATGTGCAAAGACAACACCCTTTGTAAATTTTTAATGATTTCGATTTTTTATCTTGCGTTCCAACCTCCAAAGAAAGAACGAAATTCTGTTGCTACCCCCATTTGTTAACCTAACTCGTCCCAACCCTTAACCCGGAAAACTAGAAAAAAACTACAAGAAATGAGAAATATTCGATTATAATACGGTTGAAATTTGATAGACCCCATCCAGTCCAGATTATTTGCTGTAATGATACCAAACCGAAAATAGTTAACCCAACGAACTTGCAGTGTTGCCAGTTGTAGTTCAGTTTAGAATAACTCGGTCGGGACAAATCGTCTGTTAAGCTAAAGAAAACTAAATTATTGATACTCAGAGCAGGAGAATCCTTTAACATTTGATATTTTGTGTGTTGTATGGCAGCAAGCTACAAGTTGGTAACACTGACTGAAACCGAACCAAATCCCTGACCACTCGACAATGTACTCTTCTCAGCTAGCGATCACGTTCACCCATTCGAAGTCAACGTTGTGTTGTGCATCGGTGTCGTCCCGTTTTGGGGTAAGCCTCCACCATATATAACTCTTGACACTCTATCACTGCTCTGATCTGATTTGATATGATATGATTTGATTTGATTTGATTACCCCAAAGCGTTCTCGACTTGAAGTTCCGCAATTTTGCTGCCGCTTAACCTTCTCGCACAGCTTCGGTATGTATTGAGTATGGCGAGGTGACTATATCCTTTATACCAGACAAATTGTTAGTTGTTTTGGCAGATATACATATGCGTTTAACATAGATAATCCAGATAATATAGCTTGGGTACGTATTCATTCCGGCCGACGTTTCCTTTCGAATCGTCCTAAGAGAGTATCGTTTATGTTTTCGGTTCTGGGTACGTATTAATGTTAGAAGATCACGACTGTGTGGTACGTATGCATATAACGACTATGATATTTCCCCATAACCAGACCAGGCTTTGTAGGGTACTCGGCGATCCAGATCCCAAAGTACGTATTTCTCCTCTCTATCTCTTGAAAATAATAAAAAAAAAAAAAAAATACAACCACCACAATCCAATAAACCAAATAAAAATATTAATCTCGTAGCTATTTAGAGGTAATCGAAATCCGTTTCTAACCAAATCTCTGTTTATCTTGCCAAATGGTGTTTAAGCCACCGAATCGATGCTGCCGCATGGGGGCTCAGATCAGTGTACATAACATGCCTATATGTGAGTATTCAGGCCACTAATCTCTGATTTCAATAAAGCAAATGCCAAATTTGATCATCGAAGACGGTCGAAGTCCCGTTCTTGGCTCGTTTCTTTCGGCAGCCGAGGATTTATAGTGGGAATTGTGAGAGCAGTGAAAAGAGTTGTTTATGTTTGGCCCTGACAATGGGTAAGAATCGATTGAAAACGCCATCTGATTTTCTAACTACCTATATATCTATTTAACGATACCTATTGTTTTATCTACTTCTAAGTCTATACACTGTTCCACACACTTTTTAGTTATATACAACACACACACACCACACTAAGCGTCAAAATTAGAACTAATTTTTATGGATCTAAGCAGAATGTAATAAAATTGCACTTGAAATGTAGCCGAGTGAACTTCTTATTTCAAAAGCAATGGTAAAGGTATTATTGGGACACATGTGACTGAAAGTAATCTCTTTGAAGAGATCTTTTTATCTTATCACAATGGCGTTCATGAATAATGATAACGGCAAGTATGTTTTCAAAAATGTTTTTCTTAGGACTAAGTGTATTTGAACATCTCTAATGATTAAAGATGGCAACAAGATAAGGTCTACGTACTCACAATCTGTGACTCCAGGAAGCCCGCATGTGGACCTCCTGAAAAAGTTATGTTGCTTAGAGATAAATAGTAGATATCCCTTACTAATCACAGGTCCGAAATAATGTAACATGCTAAACACGATAAAAAAGGTCGGCACTTCTCTTGAGAAAGTTTTAGAATCCATTAAAGATTTTATAAAACACTTTGCCAACAAGAGAAGGGAAGGGAAGCGCAATACACACAGTAGGCATGATTATTGGTTTTTAAAATGTTTCCTTTGCGCTGCGCGCTTATTTAGTCATTATTTATCATTAAAAATAAAGTAATGTGCCCAAAAACCACCCAGTAAAAACGCAATAGAAAATTTGTTTTCTTCCATGAGAAGGCTTCTCGGTGTTGTTTGTATTTTTTAATATTGCTGTTTCGTTGGAAAGGACTTTCTTTTTGTTTTCTTCTTTTTTTGATCCGCTTTCTTTTTTCTGCTTAATTTTTTGTTCCAAAAGAGAATTTTCTTTACAATTTTGTCTTTTATGTATAAATTTAAAATTAACTTTTCATTCTTCGTTTAACAATTTCAATTGGCCCGAAAATAGATGTTTTTATCATTTTTAAAGCGTTACCAAAAATCTCGGACTGTTGGTTCTTCTTGTGTTGGTGTTTATTCGTTTGGTTGTGAATTCTGTTGTTGTTACTGTGGTATTTGGGAAAACCTTCTCATCCGCTCTCCACCAACATCCCTTTGAGGTCTGGTCAATCTCTACTAATCCTTACGCAAAACAGTCATTGCGGGATCCGCCTATCGGCCGATTAATCCGCATTCAACTCTCTTTTTACAATATAAATTGATGGTTTTTGGAAATTGATTTTGCAGATGATCATCAACATGATTGGAATTTAGAATCTACGTGTGTTGTTGGTATCTTTACAATTATAGTTATTATTTATACAACAAGTAGTTTTCATTTGGGTTGTTTGTTTGTTTGTTTGAGTTTTTGGTTGACTTGCTGAGTCGCAACCTTCTAAAATTTTGCACTATTAGATTGGATTTAATCTTATATAAAATTCATCGTTCTACAGTTTAGAGTATAAGTATTGTGTTGTGGTTTCTCTTTAGTATTCGATGGGTAAAAAATTATGCTCTCGACTTTGTTTAGTTTTGCTTAAAGACACATCTTAAATACGTCTATATATAATATAAAGTTTTTCTCATGTTATCATTGTTGTTTTGTTTGTTATGGTCTGTTAAAGGTTTAAACACTTTTTATGCTTACGAAACTAACTTAACTATTTGATTTGATTTATACTTGGATTTGTATTCCATATTACATCGTACAATAGTTGTTGCTTTTGCTGTTGATTTTATTCTTAAAATTAGACATTGAATTTGGCATTTATTGCGCATACTTGATAATAATTAACATGATCTTAGCATTCCCCATAGAATTGTATAGTTATTTACAAACAATTTATCGCCTGATTTGTTGATTACGTATATGAAGACCACTTGCGGGAAGGACAGGGAATACAAATCAAAATAAGGCCATAGCATCTGTCATAATTCTGATGGGGTTTTGAATTTTGGACTAAATGTTTTTGAAAATTTCTTAAAGTGTGCGCCTAAACTAAAGCTTTTGAAACTTGTAAATGCTGGACTAGCTTTCAGAGCATAGGGCTGTACAAAAATAAATTTTGTTAAAATTGAAAAAAAAAATAATCTAAAGGGTACAAGTTGAAAACTAATCATAATTTGGCACTTGGCCGGGGCAGCTTTGAATTATTTCTGAAAAAATATATATAATAACTAGGCATATTTTAGGGGCTGATGCATGAACTAACCTAAAAACTATATCTGTACGCGCCGTAGAACAAAAAGTTTAACTTTAGTAATATATGAGAGAAGACTACTAAGAGCTAGATTCACAGGAAACTGGACTTGATGATCATCACAAGTGTGCGGGTGTGTCATTGTTATTGTTGTGTGTGCTTGTTCTTTTGTTTTAATGTTTTGCTTGTATTTCTGATGCTACAGTTTGATTGCTGTTGTAAATGTTGGTGTTTTTGTTTTTGTTGTTGTCGTTGTTTCAGTCCTTTGAGTGAATCGGTATCACATATTTATGTCCATATGGACTTTTGTACTTAATGCCACAATCACGATAGAATTTATCCGGTATACCTAGATTACATAAATACAATTTGCCACAATTGTTCGTTGATGTTGCTGCTACTACTCCTGATTTGGTTGCCGTTGCCGCTGCCGCTGCCGAAGTGCTAGCAATGGGAGTTGGTGTGGCGGCAGCCGAAGAGGATGATGATGATGTTGCTGTTGATATGCCATTTAATGGTAGTATGGGTAGTATTGAGTACTTGATAGCCACATCATTAATGCCACACGGCGGCGGATCGATGGCAAGCACCGAAGCGCTAATAAAAAGGAAACAATGTCAAGGTGCCTTATGCCGGTTTAAGTTTTACTACTAACCGATTCACGCTGAGCCATTTCCTGATCGCATCGGATAGATTTGCGGTGTTAGTCGATAATATCACAAGATCTGGCGTGGGCAAAGCTATAAAATAAATGAACATGTGCTTTTGATTAGTGTGTTTGATTGACTACTTCGTCACTAACCATCTACTGAGTGAACTATGACATTATCGGTTGCCTTAAACAAGGAAATCTCAGCGCTGCTGCTATTTTGCTCCAACAGTTTAGCCTGCTCCACATACAGCAGCACTGTGAGGCCATGTGAAGCTAGCTGGCGACCTGTGGCTGCTCCAATATTAATTGTCCTGCACAGATTCCGATTAATTGACATCTCAATGTACTCAATAAAACTTACCTCATGTTCTTAACGCCATCACAGATGATAGCTATCTTCGGCCACTGATGATTGTTGGCCGGCGTCAAACGTCTGGCACCACCTAGCAATGTGATGGCCAGGTCACTGGCCCCGCGAGCCAATATGTCTAACTGCCTCTGCAAGGAGAGACCCGCCTTCTCGGCACTCATCTCGATTTTATTCCGAACGTATGCCGGAATCGTGGGGATAATTAGTCCATCGTCCGTCACAAAGTCCTGACTGCCATCAAAGATACTCTCGATCTGGCGAAGCTGCAAAGGCTTGCTGGCCAGGATATTCTCGTCGTGCCGGTACTTCTGCTCCGGCTGATGATGATGATTGTTCACTAAGTGTCGCACTACGTCTGGTTTTTGGTGCGTAGACTCGATATCATCCCAAATGGCCTGCTTGTCGAATAACGCCAGATTGCCCTCAAAATCGAAATCCTCGTGGATCAGTGGGTCATCCGCTTCGCTGCCAAAAGTCTGCTGCACATGTTGCTGGCGCATGCTGCTCTCCCTACGAACCCTGTTTCGCTTGTTCTTTCCATTGCCGTTGCCATTTCCATTGGTGTAAGATCCGTTTCCGTTGCCATTTACATTGTTGTTAACATTGCCATTCCTTCTGCCATTGCCATTTGCATTTCCGTAGCTGGAAGCTGCCGTTTGCTTATAGAAGCCATCCCCATTGCTGACGATATCTATGGGTTTGCTGCTTCCCACAGACAGCCCAGCCACCTCGCCACTATCCCCGCTGCTGCTGCAGTAGCTCTCTCTCGTATTGCCCACGTAGGCGCCCATTTTAACCTCCACTTTCGTCGGAATCATATTGCCAAAGAAGGCGGCCACACTGTTCGGGGTCGTCGACATCTGCGGCTGTTGCTGTGCACTGGACGCACAGGATGTTTGCGGTGTTCTGAGTGGCGAATAAATTAAAAAAGTTAGATCTGGGGGTTTAAAGTCGAATACTTGGATTCATATTTAAATTTATACAACCTAAGTCAGTACCTTTAAAATCTATCTAAAGATAAGTAGGTCATAGCAACTTTAAAACGAATGGGATATCTTGAACAATACCTTGTGTGCTGGGAAAAAATTAAAATTTTCAGGTTTTAACAAAACAAAAAATATTGAATAAGAAATAAAAATTACAAGACAGAACAAGTTTCTGTAGTTATTTTTTACTTTTGGCGGGAACATAAACAGGAGGAGAAGTCAAAGCTTTTAATGTCCATGCCTATTTAAACTATATTCGAATACATTCGGTTAGTATTTCTGCTGCTTGCTTTACAAAATATTTAAAGGACCATAATACCTTTGGTTGGTCTCGAGGAGTCTTATATGTCGCAAGCTATCGATGAACTTCGAGCCACGTGCCTCCAAAGAACCTGATGCGACTGGTACTGGTGGTGCTGCTCCTGCAGTTTCTCGCACATAGCCGTTAGTCCTTGAGCGCGGCGTGGATGAGAGATCAAGTTCCTGATCCTGCTCCTGGAATCGCTGCTTCTGTTGTTGCTGCTGCTGAAGTTGGAGCTGCTGTTGCTTGCCCAGGATATTGGAAAAGTGGGGCAGCTTGACGGGCGTTGGTTTGTTGATCACCGGTGGCGGGGCCGTGTGGCCATCTACATCCTGCTTTACGGGCTCGATGAGATCGATGCTGCGGATATCCGTGCACTTGAGGACCACCTCTGCATTCTGCTTGCGAAGCGGTACACCGTTCCGGAAAGCCCGTACGATGGTGATTTCCTCGGCGGAGATCTGCTTGATCAGGCCCTGAAAAACACCCAGAACCTCGTCGCAGGCTATAGACACCGCACAGCCAATCCAATCTTGATCTGTCGGACCCATGTAACCAGTTTCACGTATTCACACTGCGTATACAACAATGCGTGGGAGTTGTTTCTCGTTTGTTAGTTTATTGCGAAATGTTTCTTGGTTGCTTTTGCAGCCCTGCTTGTTGTTTTCTTTCCTAATACGCAATTTCGCACTAACTACGCACCACGCACCTCTCTTCCTCTTCTTCCTGCTGCTGCACAGCCGTTGATTTTTAATGTTTAATGGCTAAATGTAAGGAGTTTTTGGGTTTTCTGGCTCAGCGGTCAATTGTTATGAAATTCTTTATCTTTAAATCGCTAAATGCACCAACAATTGCAACACTTTCAGGCTTAAAACTTATTAGATTTCTCGTTTCATTGGGATTTTCACTGCTTGCGTGTGGCCGTTCGTCTTTGGTGAGAAAATACCAAGCTCAATGCGTGGCAAATTAATATATTTATCAATTTTAAAATCAAACGATTTCGCAAATAGTTTGTTATTGTAGTCTAATGATCATATTTATTACGCAATTTGTTACATTAACACCTTGAAGTTATTTTGTACCCAAAAGAATGTATTTAATTTAACTGTAAAGGCGGAAAGGTGTTTCGGTTTTTCTTAGTATTCACACACGGTCACACTGGTTGTTTTGTTCTCGATTTGGTCGCCGTTCTGTGTGTTTTCCCTGTCCGGTGTTCAATTTTATTTTTCTTTCAGCGTGCGGTATATATACATATATAGGTAGCTATAGCCGACCGATTTCGGCGATTAGAGCATGTAAGCCTCTGTAGAGGTTAAAGTGATTAATCGGCTATATATAGTGGTTTAGTGTTATTATTCGCCGTGTGAAAAGTACGTGATGATTTTCCGCAAATAGTGGATAAAGGCGAACCCACACGCATACTAGCGCGAAATATATACATATATCTCACGAAATTGTAGTGCCACCAGTGTGTGCGTTTTAAAACGTAAGTGGAAACTTGGGCGAAACTTTATGCTAACCATAAACGGTGGACGAAGACATGGCGTTGAACCCTTCGCGCTTGGCTAATTATCAAGAAAAATGTTTGGCTTTTGTGCTCTCACCCACACTTGCATGCAGACGCAGTCACAAACACATAGGCACGGGGGCAGGGCGGCAGACAGAGATGGCATCTAGCACAAGTACCGTTGTGCACTTTGTTTGCCATCTTTGTTGTCTGCTCGCTTTTCTTTTATTCATACCCATTCCGTTCTCTCTCTTTTGTCACCTTGTCGCAGCCTCCTCTTATTCTTCTCCACTCGTGTCTTTTCTCGTTTAATTTGCACTTCCGCTTAATACATTCTTACCACTTCTTCTCCTATGTCTCATTGCAGAAGTTTCTTAAAAAAAAAAACAACTCAATAATGTCGGCACGTTCCAGCGGGTTGGTAACCGCTACGGCCATTCCCGCCCCCTCATCTTCTTCCTCGGCGGTTGGCGGAGACGTGCCACGCCCACCTCCCCGCAGGCGGGCTGCTTCTGTTGCAGGACAACAGCAAACGCGCCCGGAATTTGGAAATGGACACACGCCGCGTCGATCGTTGGCAGCAGTGGTAAGTTTGCAGAAGTGTCAGTGATTTCTAAGCTCTTCCTTAAAAGAAAAAACAGTTTTCCCTTTATTTAACATATTACTCATAACACAATCAAAAGTCCTATAAAAATCGAAGTCCAAATATCTGATGTTTAACTGGCATTGGTTATGTTAATGTGGGTCCACTCTAAAAGCTAATATACAAATTTTCGATCAATATCTAGTTGATAATATATTATCAGTTAAGGTAGTAAACCTTCCTGATAATTTCTTGAGTTGTATAACTGCTTATGGCTTTAAATAAGTTTGTAAGAAAACTAATTACGGCATGATAAATAAATCATTTTAAATAAATAGAACAAAACGTTCAGTCGTAAGGTTAAAGGTTTATCACCTTCCTATGACATCTCAAAAGATTAACTACAATCAGGTAATTTTAGTATCGTTGTGAAGTTATTAATGATAAGATTGTCACTAAACATTCGATCTTATCAACGGTGTCCTATAAATCACTATTGTTTCTTGGTCGCCATTTCCTAGAATGAATCGAAAAAAATCTTTAAAATTGAAGAAGTGGTATCCAAAATTATTTTCTGTGTAACATATAAAAAAAGAATTTTTGGAGTGAGGGTGTCGGGGGAAGTTTCATATGCCTTATCATTGCCTCCGCTTTATGTGGTGTTTCTATTTTTACGATGTTTTCACTTTTAATCTAATCTGCAGCTTTTTAAACAGCTGAGTCGTGTAGATGGTCTCTGGAGATCCCACCCCAGCTATGAGTGATAAAACGGGGTATATGAGGGAAAAGGCGAGGGGAAACTATGTAATCTCTATTTACTATTACTCAATCCCTAGCTCGTATAGTATAAAGGCGCAGCTTAATAAAATGGAAATACTTATCAAGTTCCTGAAAGCAGTATTTCTTTTTCATATCGCATATAAAATTCTGAGAATAGTGGTCATTAATGAGTTACATAAAAATAAGAAAAATCGATAATAATTTAAGATATTTCTTGATGTTTATTTAGTTTAGAATGTCTAAAATGGGGGTGACCTATATAGTAACAAATATGGTTTTAAATATAAAAAAAATAATGCAATGGTACTTCGTTTATTTGTAATTCCAAAACTTTTGTAAACATCTCCTCACTTGCACTTTCCCAAAAGCGGGAAATTGCTGGATAGGCAGCTAATCAGAACATAAATCGGCCTGAACTGTTGTTTATTTAGTGTCTGGAATGGTCTTCTATTGTTTCGCTCACTTGTGTAAACACAAATAATTCGCTCGGCATCTCACACTGAACGGAACTAATTTATTTATCTTAATTTGCCAAAAGATGCGAGCCACTTCAGCCAGTCATCGGCAGCTTCGGGGCTAATTTAATTTATCAACACAATTCTTGGCCGCCGCCTTTTGAGTTTTGTGTGCGTAAATGCTCTGGTATTCGTTGTGCACTGAAAAAAGTAGTTAACATTTTATTTTATTTATTTATTAATATGGAGTTGTTATAACGAATTTTAAAATAATAAATAATACAAGTTATCTTTCTCATTTAAGTATCTACACTTTAATGTGAATTAAATATTTTTAATATATTTATATACATGGAGTAATGCCGTCACTTATGAAATTTAAATTATTCCTACTAATCCTATTACAAAAAAAAAAAACAATGAATTATTTAACTAATGTCTTATTTTTATTATAGTGTCGTGTGCATACACTTAATGAGCGGCTTCAAATACTGTTTACCTAACTTATTTAAGCGTTGTCAGAAAGGTTAGTGATTCCTGGCAAAAAAAAAACAGGGGGGATGGTGTCTGACCGGTTTATATTCATTAGTGCGCTTGTGTCGGTCAAAGTTGGATGTCCCTCGCTAATTGAGTCCGATTATTTGGGTTATCTAATTAATTTCGCACGTCAGCCGAAAAGAGGTGACGTCGACCAATCGACGCACTTGTCAAGCCGCTCAACGTCATAGTTTGCCCAGCGGGTTGCCTTATTCGCCAGCTTAGCATTCAACATTTGATCAATTACAGGATCTATTGCGTCAACTGCGCTCGCAGCATTCAAATGTCAATTATAATTGATTACGGCCCTACTAAGCCGAAAAATGTTAATGGTAAAGGGGTATTCCCAGTTTTTATTAGAGTCACACAGGTACAAATTGCACTCACAGGCACCCACTCACACATAGATACTCCCATACCACCTTGTCACGCCGCAGCCGACCAGCTGTTTTTGTTTTGTTTTGCTTTTGGACACTTGTTCCATGGCAGCTGTCAAAGGTGGGAGTGAGACAGATGGCTAAACAGAATGAGTGGCGGAGGAAAAAGACTGAAAGGGCCGAGCTGTCATTTTGAAAAGCTCTTACCCAGCAGCTGAAAGCTTCTTTTTCAGTGTTGAAAAATATATTCTAAATTTGATTTAAGTATTTTGGGTATTCGGTTTCCTATATTTTTTTATGACGGAGGTTTAGATTAAATATGTTAAAAGCTGCTGACATAGAAATGTGTATTTTTAAATAAAAGAAATCGAACCCTACACATGATACTTTAAATAAATGTTAAATAATAAATTTATATTTATATATTTTTCAAGCTAGTGGAGACTTTCTTTTTTTCTTCCGTTTACACTGAGTTCAGGGAAAGCTCAGCGGTAGACTTTTTGTGACCGCCCTCAATCTGGTCACACTCTCCGTGTTAGCTGCCTTCATTTTAGCTTAGAACGCGAAAGCGCAAAGTTTCGTGTTTCGCGCAGCGGTTGCCGACAAGTGTTGCTGTTGCTGTTCCGCTCGCACTCACAACCGCACACACACTCGCTGCGGGAGCGAGCGAGAGAGGCAGACATTTACGCAGAACATGTTTTCGCAATAGTGTTGGTGTGCCGTTTGTTATTGTTGTTATTGTATCCATCGCTTAGGACCGTTAATAAAAGATAAATAAGTGAATAATTGAATTATAAATATAGAGGGTACAGCGACGACACACACACAATCGTGGATTATTTAGATAAATTTATTTCCCCGTACCCATGAAATGTGTTAATTATATAAAAAAAAAAAGTAAATAATCGTTCGTATTGAAGAGCAACAGTTCATGCTCGTCAAAAACGAGAAATATCTAAAGCAAAATCAGGAACACAAAAATTCCCATTTCCCTCGCCTTATTCGGACGCCCTATTAGTCATTCTTGCAAAAAACAAGCTGAAAATGTTTGGCAACTTGGAATGTGAGCCTGATGATGCCCTGCCCCTTTTGGCCCTAACAAACATTACGTATACGCAATAAGCATAATAAAAACAAAACGGCAATTGTTGTGAAACCTGTTCCCTCCTTTACTTTCTGTCGCCGTGTGCAGCTTGCAGCTTAACAAAAAGTAAAAATCAAAAGCTTCGCCGAGATACCAAAATAAATCTTGTGTGCGCCAAAAAGTGAAAATCGAAAAACAAAAAGAACGCAAAAAGGCTGCTAGAATAGGAAATTCCTTTTGGCCAACCCGTTTGGTTTGGTTAAAACCGCCAAAAGCAGCAATTATTTCCATGCTGGTTTTTTATTTCTTTTTATAACCCTCGCCATTTATTGTTCAATTTAGTTTTGAGAGGCGTGCTCGAAAATTAACACAAACACAAAACGTAAACAGAGGAAGAAAAATCGGTAGTGAATAAAGTCCAAATCTAAATCCAAATCCACATCGAAATAAAAATAAAAATGGCCGAGTCAACAACCACATCGCCATCGGTGACGAGCGAAGATGGCCAAATCCATGGCTACAATAACAGTGATGTAAGTAACTGACGAGAGCAGCGCCTCTCTTTTCCGCTCTCTCTCTTGGCCAGTACGTGAAAATGGTACATATGCAAATGTTCGAGCCCCTGTGTTAGTGTGCTCATTTTCTTTAGCCGCTAATTGAGCCGCCTTTGATGTGCCTCACGTGTCCCCCATGCCCCATCTCGTCCCTCTGTCCTATCCTCCTTTCCACATATCTCTTGAGATTTTCCGGCTCAAGGCCTCCCGGTTGTTCAGATTGTACAGATATATATTAGGAGAACATCTTATGTGATCTGATCTGGGAAACTGGAAGGTCAACTGCGAGGACAATCAACTTTGACTTTCCTGTCGAGTCACTTCTTGCTCCAAATTTATCAGATTCTTTCTAATACCTTTTCTAAGTTTTTTCTTCTTAATGTTGTCCTCTGATTATTTAATACAAAATATTCATATTTGTTTGAGGTCAATATTCGATAATGAAATATTTAAACTTTTCGCATACTTTTCAAGATCTTTGTTCTAATCTAATTTAATGAATTATAATTTTGTTAGTATCCAGAATAAGCACTTTTATACCTTCACATTTTTCATTACAATTGTAACAATTTAACAAAATATGAGAATCAAAAAGTGTAACCATAATTTGAAATACATTTATAAGCATATTTTTTAAAGACTGCAAACTGTAAAAATATTTCTCATACAAAAATACTTATTTCTGATCTTTGTTGGTCATAAAATATAGATGTAGAATCAACAAATGATTCCAAAAGTTCAGTGTTGTTTTAGACCTTTCAAAAGATTGTTTAATTTGTTTTTACCAATTACTTTTCTTGGAATCCATTAAAAGCGAAAGATATAAAAATGAAATTATCGAATAATTTATCTTACCGATAACAGAAGGTTCTTTTTGCACTCACCAACGTCATAGACCTATATCATCGACACATTTAAACAATATATTTATAGCTTTTTAGATATTCGACTTAGATTAATTGAATAATTTCACTATTTTCTGCTTAAAGTCGGTTCTTTCTAGTTTTCGTTCTATATTTAGATTTTTAAGATAAATATCTTGCAAACTGACAAAGTATCTATCATCTAATTCAGATCAATTTGTGTAATGAATTTGCATTGGCCCGCTGAAATAGTGGCAAGTGAGGGGCGGCAACCAATCAATTAGGTTAATAGCAGCGTCTAAGCTTTAGGCCACACTCTCCTTTGGACTGTAGGATTTTTCGGCAGAGCGCATTAAAAACAACAATTGATATTCAAGTTTGTTTAATTTCGTTGTTGACTGGTATTTATTATCTTCCATCAGCTTTTCGCTTAAGCCGTCTATTTGAACAGCAGACGAAACGTTAAGAGCAACAAAAATATAAAGCGCCTTGACTTCTTTTGGCCACCGAAAAGCTTCTCTCTTTCTGACTCGCTTTTGCTTATCAGCGCACAGCTGAGTGACTATTCACATATATATTTTTATAATTCATTATTCATTCAGTTGGCACGGAAATAAAAGTGGGAGAAAACTATGGCGATTGTGAAATGGTTTGAGGAGGTCGGAAAACTGGTGATTGGATTGATGGGAAGCAGTCGGAGGAAGGGCGCCGCCAAGCTGGTTGTAGTATGTCACATGGACAACCAAATGGCAAAAGTCAACGATTTGCCAACTGCGATAATGGGAGCTCGTTTCTGCGCCTAATGATAACCGAATTCGGCTACGAATTCAGCTTTTCAGTAGCCAAGAAAATCGAAAACCCTATCAGTGGGATTCGTGATTAAAAAGGCTGACAACGCACAACCAAAGACAAAGATTTGCTTGCCTAAGTCAAATTGTTTTTAAAGAGAAAATACTTAGGGAAGCTTTAAGACATTAAATTTATAACTAAATACATATTTAAAGGTTTGAGCACAATAAAAAGGTTTATTTATACTAGAGAGCTTTTAGATGCCATTAAAATACTTTAGCCTCATAATGACTCATAAATCATTTTAGTAACATAGTTCTTATCTTTAATAGTCTTATTTATTTAATTTTTGTACTTTTTTCAAATCCATTTCGATTGGTTAATCTTAACATGCTAAAAATAATGATTTTCAAATAAAAAAAATTCCAAATCCCAATTGAACCCAATCCTTATCTAAAAATACTAAATTCACTTTTAAGTAATCCAAGAACGTAGTCTTGTCAAAAGAAGTACCGCTGTATGTCAGTCATCTAATGGAAGAAGATTAAATGACAGCCGTGCGCAGCAATGCGGATCATTACGACTGACATCCCTTTTAATTAACGCTTTTCCTGCCATGCCCAAGCCCCTAGTCACGCCTCCCATGTCAATCCAGTGCCAAACAGGCTTAAACCGCAAGAACCGTTTTAAGCTAATTTCCCTCGGTCCCAGATTTAATGGCTAAAAATCAATTTAATGTCAGCTACCGCTACAGCAACAGCTACTACCACGTGGCTCAGTCAGAGTCTTTGAGTCAAGATAGGGAACTGTGACAGCTGCACGGGCAATGAAGGCATGTGAAAGGATCCTGGGCAAGACCTTGGGGTTTTACTCTGCTTCAGGGTCACCAGCTTAGGCTGATTGATTGGACCCTTTGTCCAGGCAATAATCGAGACCTCACAACGGGGCATCTGGCATTTAATATTGCGCATTAGCTTAGCTTCGTTCATCATCAATGAAATGCGCGCTATATGATATAAAACCCATTATAGTTATATAGCTATTAGCATATAGGGACAGCTGAAATGTCCACAAGTACACAAAAAATAATAAAAATATGTTTTAGAAGCCATTCTAAATATAGATCATTTACAAAAAATATAAAATAAAAAAAGAGCGAAAGGTTAATCTTAATAAAAATTAGCTAATAATCATCGGTTGATTTAGTCTCAGAAATTCTTTTTTATAATGACGTTACAATATTACTTTATTTAAACAATCCTATTAATATAAAAGTAACAAAGAATTGTTATAATAATTTTTTTCCCTGTGTACGTTTAATTATTGCACAAGTGGGAAAAGCCGCAGCTATTTTAAAGAGGTAGCCCCACACGGTGAAAATCAATAGTACAAGTTCATGGGAAATGCGGAACTTGCAGCGTATAAATAAAAGTACAACCCGTCACTGGAACGGAACAAGAAAAGTAAAAAAAAAAAACAGAAACAGAATGAAATAGTTCCCCAGAGCGTGTACGAAATGGCACATGTAATATTGGGTCTAAAAACCAACGTTGTCAGGGTCATGGGGCGGCCAACAAGCCGCAACATGCGAGCCTGTGATATCTAATACAAGGGGCGACCGGGGGCGTCGAGGAGTCGGATATAGATATGGCGCCGTCTGGTCAGCAAACAAGTAGGAGGACAGCGGGGGACTTTGGTTTGCTCTCCTCTTTATAAACAATGTCGGCAAATTGAATATTTCATGGGAAAGCCTTTTAATGGAAACAAGTGCTGGCTCTCAGCCGAGATGAGTAGATAAAAATGGGGTTTGTTTAACTTCCAGGAATGCAGAAAGTTTGCTGCTCGACCGATCCCATGGAATGGGGTGCCACAGGCTAGAGATGTTGCCTCCTTTTGCTCTGTGGTTAGCTGTCAGGCTGACAACTAAAAACTGCATAAATAGAATAGCTTTAAGCTTTACGCAATAATGAAGAAGGAAATAATGAAAATCAATTTTCGTTCAGTTTAGTAATAAAATATTTGAAAATATGTTTGTAATCATTTTAAAAACATTTGTTTTCAAATCCTAAAGCATTCCAATAGAGATTACCTTTCCAAATCAAAGCTTTATGTTTATTTGAAGAATATAAATACTAAAGCTTTTAGTTAAATTCATAAAATTAACCAAAAAATTCTGTCATTAAATAATGTATTTGGGATGTAAATTTATTCACAAACCTTTAATAATTTCACAATTTATTTTATGACATGACCACTAAACTTTGAGGGTAGTATCAAACTCCCGCTCAATTAACCTAATTCTGAACTTTCAAGCCGCTTTAATTAAACCACAAAGTGTATACAGAAGGGAGAATTTATTTTAGAGAGATGCCGAAAATTGTGTTTTGCAATTTAACGAGAAATGCCAAAGCCAACTGCAAACTGGGCCACAACCGCATTTCTAGACCCAAGAGCGCACCAAGGCCCGAAGTGAATCACAACACGCAATTTAGCTCAAGTTTCGGGCCCACATTCTCTGCACTAGACAATTGCTTGATGACTCTCTTGAACTTCTGCGCCCTCTTTCTGTGGCAGTACTCTTGTGTCAAGGTCGTGGAAATTATCTAGCCGCGAATGAAAAAACAATTATGCGCGCGAATGTATAATGCAGATCCTTCAGAGAACATTTATAACGAACTTATGTGTCGGCCATAAAATGCATGGAATTTCACACAGGCGGGCACAACGCGGCGTATGCGTAATCGCGGACATTAAGCATACGCCACGTGGGCCAGGCTTATGGGCATTGCTGTGGCTTATTTATTTTCGATGTGACCCAGCTAGCTCCTCAGTGGCATTGAATTCCTGCCCGCTGTTTTTCCCCAGCGATGCGTGCACAAGTGTCGCATTTGTGTGTCGACTATTTTTACTAATTTTCCTGTTTTCCCTTTCTTTTTTTTGCGACCCCTTTTCAGAACGACTCTGGCGACTCGTGTCACCTGCGAATCGTTGTGCTCAGCGGCCAGTCGCTGGCCAAAAAGGATATATTCGGCGCCAGGTGAGTGAATCAGCTGCTAATTAAGCCAATTATAATATCTCGGATAATTAAAATGAATGCTCTCCCTCTCGTCCACAGCGACCCGTATGTCAGAATCGATTTGAATACAATCAACGGTGATATTAATATTGACTCAGTTCTCACGAAGACCAAAAAGAAGGTAAACATAAAACCCTTGAAAACATTAAGCCAGCCGCCTTAAGTCCAGTGACGAGGGCAATTTCGTTGGAGTTTATCTTATCGATTATGTTTGGCGCTACTTGCCACATTACTAAATGGAAGGTGCAACTGTATCTATTAGAAGACTATTTGGCCTTGATTGTACGATTAGAAATGTAAACCACACAATGCTTATCAATATCATATAGGCTCTATGACTAACGCTTAGATATCTACCTTAGGGATCAAAGACATACAAACAGTTTTCAAGAGCAGAAAACCTCTCGAGATAACTAATTTCCAGATTGTTTATAGTTGAAATTGGGTGTACAAATCAAGAGAACTAAAAGACAGATAGCAGTTAAAACTTATTATTTATTTAAAACTGTAATCTTCTGGAATTTATTATATTAAATCATAAAGTTGGCAACGAGTACTTGTAAGAATAATCAGTAGAATCCTTTTATATATTGGATTGATTAATGAATTAAAATTCTTTTAAAAAGTATTAATTAATATAAACTTTCATTCATATCTTCCCCGCACAGACACTGAACCCAATCTGGAACGAAGAGTTCATATTCAGAGTGAGTTTAAAAGCTTAACCAATTGATTGATTCGCCTCCTAATTGAGTGTTCTCACCTCGTTTGACCAGGTTAAACCGTCTGAGCATAAGCTTGTCTTTCAAGTATTTGACGAGAATCGCCTGACACGCGACGACTTCCTGGGCATGGTTGAGCTGACCCTGGTGAATCTGCCCACCGAGCAGGAGGGTCGCACCATCGGAGACCAAAGCTACACTCTGCGCCCGCGCAGGTCAGTAGGGTAGGTTTATATAGTTTGCAGTTTGATTTTGTTTCTTTAATTTCAGTTGATTTACACACAACTACATTGCCATAAAATCTAGTTATGTATCAAAAAGATAAAAAGATAAAAAAACGTCTAAAACAAGTCCAATGAATATGTTCCTATAACCAAAACTCAGGCAGAATTGTAAATGTGATAGAGAACTAAGATCTCGTTTAAGTCCACAACCCGTAGAGATTCTGTTGTAGTGCTATAGAGTTCACGTGCTTTGCTTTTTCCGACCTCACCTTGTTTATTGTTTATCACCACGCCCCTTCCGCCCAACTGCAATCCTCAATTGCAATTTTAATTTGCCAACGTATTCGTCGTCATCGTAGTAGAACACTTCACTTACCTTTAGAATAGAATCGCTTTTCAATTGCGTTTTTTTTTTACTGCTGCTTACAACTTAAAGGCCGGCTGACAATACAAGCAATTATAGAGCTATTTAATAGAAAAACTATATTTTCAAGAAGATTAAATGACTGTCAATATTGGTCCGATAATCATTGCAATATAGTTGCAAAAGAGACACTTAATTTTGTAATATATATTTACATAAATTTATCTCAATTAATCTTTTTATAATGCTAAATAATAAATATAAATCCTTTATAACAAACGCATTATGAGTCATAATAAAATCTGCCCACAAAAGTGACTAATGAGTCACGTTGGAAACCGGAAATATAAGATTAAAAATATTTTTGATTAAATTTGCTGAGTATGTATAGTACATTCTTATCACCTGAATTTCTCCAAGATTCACCTTAAACTGAAGTGAAAGCGGCCTTAAAGTTGTGAAACGCATCGTCGTAATCCATAGTATCCCAAATGTATCTGCATTCGTGTATTTGCTGTTGAGTTTATTTTTAGTTAACGCTTAGTATAACACTTATTGTTTTTAACTCGTGTGCGTTTGTGTGTGTCTCCCGTATGTGGGCCTGGTATTGGTGGCGGTGTCTGTGCATCTGTTTGGTTGGCTCATTAATATTTACCTTGCTCCCTGTCCTCCGACCAGCAGCGCCAAATCCCGCATCAAGGGCACCCTGCGCATCTACCACGCATTCATCCGGGAGACGCGGGAGCAGAGCGAGCCATCTAGCGGCAACAGCGATGGCGAGTGGGAGCACGTAGAGGCCACCAACTCTGTTGAGTCCTCAGCCCAGCCGGTAAGTGTCCGTATTCCTTTTGATATGCAAATTATAATCGTGTGTTATTCCCTATGGACAGTATCCCTTTCCTAATATCGGCCACGATGCCCTGCCCGCTGGCTGGGAGGAGCGCCAGGATGCCAATGGGCGCACGTACTATGTGAATCACACGGCAAGGACGACACAATGGGAACGGCCTACTGTGTAAGTGGAAAAAGATAGCTCAAGAGATCCTTTCTTTAACTTTTTGTGATTAATCTTTTAGCCTGACGAGCAACAGTAATCAGTCCACTGACCAGTTGGCCTCGGATTTCCAGAGACGTTTTCACATTAGCGTGGACGAAACGGAGTCAGGACGTTCGGCGGTAAGTGGAAATGCTTGGTTCCGGAACTCCTTTTCCGCGGGACAACTTTGTAAATTTAAATATATTTTTAAATCAATTATTTATACTATTTACTATGCATGTGTGATGAGCAATTGACTTGATTGATTTCTGTGCATGATCTCTTGAATTTCAACATCAAACACAAACCCATTACACAAACGCACACACAAAACGCACTCGAACCGACTAACCCAATAACAAAAACCACAAACCACAGAGGTCGAGGAACGCTGCTCACATGGAGACTCTGGCCAGCGAGGAGAGCAGCGAGGATGAGGATGTGGCTGAGAGTGGGGAGGAGACGGTGGATCTCCAGAATAATCAGGCCAATTGTCTGCACTGCGGCGAGTTGCATGACAATGAGGAAGCCGACGAGGACGATATTGAGGAGGAGCAGGCTAATGTGGAGCTGCAGCCTCCTATACCTGACCCAGAACAGCCCTCAGCCACATCTCAAAGCGCGCAAACTTGTGATATTCTCGATAGGAACTTGTACCTGAGACGCATATTTGTAATGGCAAAAGTTTTGTATTGACGATTAAGTGTATCGCTAATTTCTAGATAAGATGTTAGGAGCTCTCTTTAAGTTGTTAATCGCGAGTTGCGTGTTGCTGTAGATCCATTATACCATATCTTTGATAGGTTTTCTTTCTCAACACCCACTTAGCATTGTAGATTTATAGTCGTCTAGTGCCCACCATTAAACCATTCCCTGTATATATACGTAGGACACCATCAGTCGCAATAGTTTAGAGGACAATAACAATGTTGCTGGCTTAGCAACTACACCTACAACAACAACAGCAGCAACAACACCAACAACAACGATCTCACCACCCAACACACCAACAAACAACAATGGATTTCCAAGCCACATGGCCCTGTTGCAAGAGGGCGAACAGGCTGATCCAACATTGGACCATACAAGGTTAATATCATACGCTAAATATTAGCAAAACCCATCCAAAACCGATCCAAACAGCCTTCTATCGGTACTTTTTCCGAACCCTAAAGATCCTTCCAATCCCCTTAAGGCTCCTTCACTTCGCAGCCAGCTTCCTAATCTCGCCAACCGTTGTGCTCTATCTTTCATGACCTCAGTTTTGTTTACAATTCCCTGCGACATCCTGTCGCCCATAGGCAACCCGAAATCTCAGCGACCAGTTTACAGAACGACCTGCGGCCAGTGCGTGAGGCACCCGGGGTGCCGGATATAGCCATAACCAATCTGTTGACGCGGCGGGCCGCGAACAGCATGGCCGGCGGAGGTACGGGACGACAACAGCAGCGGCGGCGACAGCAGATGCAACTGCATATCCAGCAGCATCAGCAGCGGCAACAGCAGCAGCAGCAGCAGAATAGAATATTGGTTAGCAAGTCTTAAGCACACACACCCATCTCTTCTCTTCCAAAATGAAAATTTAAAACCAATCCATCCACATCACTCATTTCACTTGTAGCTTGATGTGGATAATAGTCAGCAGGAGCTGCAACATCGGGGGCAACGACACCAGCAACTTCAATTGCACCAGCAAACTCAGACATCGGTCAGCACATTCACATCCTCACACTCGAATCATTGCACTTGTAGTATAAAAACTTGGTTGTCTTCTCTCGATTGATTTGTCTCTGTTTGGAAAACCTAAACTATTTGGCGTCTCGAAATCTGTCAGTGTTAGAAAAACCCACCTTTCAGTGTTTGTTTTGTGGCATGTGGTATTTCAGAAGAAGGAGCGGTAAGCGAATCCGAGTCCAAGCCGATTGCTCCTCAACATATCTGTGTCTATGTCGCATGCTAAGCCAAGTTAATCTTGGTACTGACCCCTCATATTGCTTTGAATTTCAGCTTAGTGCCGTGTGCTAATATTAGCTAAGGTATTCGATTAGTTTTAATATTTTCTATGTTTGCATGTGTGGCTTAATTTGTGTTCCTAGTGAATTTTTCAATTGAGAATTTGATTTTAATTTGATCAACACTCTTTTCTGTTTCTTCCAAAAACAACAAACAAAAATACTTTACGCAATGCAATGCATCCATATGTATCCATTTATGAATAAAATAATCCACCCACCAATGACTAGAATGAAGACACCGATCACACAGACAGCCACAATCCCTCCGACATCTCAGCTCCGTCCACACGACGCAATTCCGAGGAAGACAACGCGGCTGTGCCTCCAATGGAACAAGTAAAGTCGAATCCCCTCTTTTTATTCCCATCCTAAATGCACACGAAAAACGTATATTCAGTTTGAAGATATTTTATCTGCATGTGCCAAGGATATTATCCAATCTGGACTTTGAGGTAAAGTGTCTAATGTTGCGTGGCAATCTTGTCTTGCAGAATGCTGGTGGCGAGGAGGAACCCCTGCCACCTCGCTGGTCGATGCAAGTAGCTCCCAATGGAAGGACTTTCTTTATTGATCACGCATCTCGGCGGACCACTTGGATTGATCCGCGCAACGGAAGGGCCAGCCCAATGCCAAATCAGACGCGTCGCGTCGAAGATGACCTAGGTCCCTTGCCGGAAGGATGGGAGGAACGAGTACATACCGATGGACGCATATTCTATATAGATCATAGTAAGTTATATATGAATGCAAATAGTTTCTTAGTGCTAAGATCTAACCTTACCATTCTTTATTAATTTAATTAATTATTCTTTGTTTGCAGACACACGAACCACGCAGTGGGAGGATCCTCGCATGTCCAATCCAAACATTGCCGGCCAAGCTGTGCCCTACTCAAGAGATTACAAGCAGAAATACGAGTATTTCAAGAGTCACATTAGGAAGCCAGTAAGTACTTAAAGAGATCTAGTCATATGCCTAGAAATGATCCAAACTTTTATCATCTTTTCAGACAAATGTACCAAATAAATTTGAGATACGTATTCGTCGTACATCGATTCTGGAGGATTCTTATAGAATTATAAGTTCGGTGACCAAGACCGATTTACTAAAGACTAAATTGTGGGTGGAGTTTGAGGGGGAAACTGGCTTGGGTAAGTTAAATAGCACTAATAAATTTATATTCCAATAATAATGCCTGTCCTTGCTTTGCAGATTACGGAGGCCTCGCTAGGGAATGGTTCTATTTATTATCAAAGGAGATGTTTAACCCATACTACGGACTCTTTGAGTATTCGGCCATGGATAACTATACGCTGCAGATAAATAATGGCAGCGGCTTGTGCAACGAGGAACATTTAAGTTACTTTAAGTAAGCCTTTCTAACTTTCAAAGTAAATCGTGTTTCTAAAAGTGGTATTAACTTTACAGATTCATTGGCCGCATTGCAGGCATGGCTGTGTATCATGGTAAGCTTTTGGATGCCTTCTTCATTCGTCCATTCTACAAGATGATGCTGCAAAAGCCCATAGACCTGAAGGACATGGAGTCCGTAGATACGGAATACTACAACTCGTTAATGTGGATCAAAGAGAATGATCCACGCATCCTTGAACTGACATTCTGCCTGGATGAGGACGTCTTTGGACAAAAGAGTCAGCACGAACTGAAGCCAGGCGGCGCCAACATAGACGTGACCAATGACAACAAGGATGAATACATAAAGTGAGTGTGAAAACCCATAGAAGTAATTGCAAAAGTTAAAATGAATTTCTTATATCAATAGACTGGTTATTGAGTGGCGTTTTGTGGCCCGTGTCAAGGAGCAGATGTCGTCGTTCCTGGACGGCTTCGGATCGATTATCCCCCTGAATCTTATAAAGATTTTCGACGAGCACGAGCTGGAGCTATTGATGTGCGGCATACAAAACATCGACGTAAAGGATTGGCGCGAGAATACTTTGTACAAGGGCGACTACCACATGAATCACATAATCATACAGTGGTTCTGGCGGGCGGTACTCTCCTTCACCAACGAGATGCGTTCACGTCTTTTGCAGTTTGTGACGGGCACATCGCGCGTGCCTATGAACGGTTTCAAGGAGTTGTATGGCTCCAATGGCCCCCAAATGTTTACCATCGAGAAGTGGGGCACGCCTAATAACTTTCCAAGGGCACATACCTGGTGAGCTACTAGAAATAGAGGGAAACCTCTAGCGACTGAAAAAATTGTGTGCTAATGACATTCATCTACAGTTTCAATCGACTGGACCTGCCGCCCTATGAGGGCTACCTGCAGCTGAAGGACAAGCTAATCAAGGCCATCGAGGGTAGCCAAGGATTTGCTGGAGTTGATTAATAACACCGGCAACGGGAATGAAAGCGAATGGCTTTGGCTGGAGGTGCAGCAACAGTTTCGGCAGCGCCAGGAGGAGGAGCGGCTACAACGATTCCACGCATCACAAGAACCACATGATCAACAACAACAACAACGACTTGAACAGCAACAGCAGCAGCATCAGCGAAATCAGCGGCACAACCGCAACCTCATTGCATCCACTTGGAGTAGCACCGCCAGCAGATCGTGTACTTATTTGTTCGTTTGCTTTTGTATTATAATCATTTTTGCTAGTTTAGTGTTATTTCGTATGTATTTTAACTAGGCGCCAAAACTCACACACAACAACACTTACTCCTTACACTTTAAACCTTAAACCTTAACCGTTAAACCTAAAACCTTATTGGAGCGAAGGAGAGAAGGATCCAAATAAAGCTGCGCATGGTGAACCACAAGAACCTAACAAAGAGTCCAAATTATATATAAATATATTTATTACATTGCCGACAATTGTAAAAAGTTGAGAACGTTTTACAAACTAAGTGAGAAGAGGAGAGACGAATCCAAACTAACTATTAAATCTATAGAGTCAAAAGTATATCTTGTATGTATATGCAGAGAAAAACCTTTTTATAATTGTTATTTTTATGCGCTATTCCTCTATACATGCCGACAGCAAATACCTAAGGGCGAAAAAAATTAATATAAATGCAAGTTAATATTTGTAATCTGATGGATGCATATTTTTAAACAAATTAAATTTTCTATTCTGTATAACTGTATGTGTATTCGTAATAATGATAATGTTAGTTCGTAAAAGTCGCTCTTTACTATTAAATAAAAAGACAAAACATCAAATATATATAAAAGCAGAAGTCTTAAAACTAAAACCTTAAAAATGCAATCAATGTATATTGTATAAATGTTAATTATATACAGACACACACATTCCAAATGTTTATTGCGAAAGAGTAACTCTGCAAAAGGAGGCCTATATGATAATATGATTATTGACCGATCGGAAGTCTATCAAAATTAAATTTTAAAGTCAAATTATGGTATAGTAAGTGAGGACTGGAACTTCTTATACGAAGCCAGAGAGCGACACAAAGAAAATGAATACCAATAAAAAGGTAAAGTTAAGTAATTCAAATTCAAAGTGGTTTTTTAAATTAATGGAGTTCCAATTATAAACCATAATTTATAGCTTTTTTGCTCTTTGAAGCAAAAAATTCTAATATATAACCGAAAGAAAGTCAAAATTTATATGCTCGAAAGTATCAGAATTGTTTAATCAAAGGGAACATCAACAACTTAGATGCCGGTGTGCTCCTTGATCCAATCCAGGTAGCTGGTGACACGGGTGAAGACAGCTGGGTACTCCTTCTCGCAGCCAGCAGAGGATCCGAAGGAGGTAAGACCGACCTGGACCTTGTCGGAGGACAGGACCAGAGGGCCACCGGAGTCGCCGTTGCAGGTGGACACGCCAGCAGAGGTGTTTACACAGATGTTCGTGTCGCGGATAGTGGAGTAGTAGGTACGTTTGCATTCGCTGTTTGAGATAACCTTCATGTGGGCGTACTGCAGATGGGCGGCCACGCCAGTGGCGGAGTCGGAAGTACGGCCCCATCCGGAAGCGATAACCTCATCACCATCGTAGGAAGCGTAGCGGGTCTCGCGCTTGGGCAGCTCAACATTGTGGATGGCGCTGCTGTATTCGACGGCGGGAATGCGGATCAGAGAGATGTCGTTCCTCAGAGTACGGCTGTTCCAGTCGGCGTGGATGATGATATCGTCCTTGCTGACGTGGTGCTTAACCTTAGGGCTTGAGCGAATGGTGCTACCCAGGTAGACCTCGACGGAGTCAACACTAAAAAGAATGATTGATTTTTAGCAAGGATATTTAGCATAAGTTGGAAGTAGCTTACCCATCGGTGCAGTGAGCGGCAGTCAGAACCCATTCCTTGCCAATAAGGGAACCACCGCACCAAGCGGACGAGGAACCGATTTTCAGGGAAAGTCCGACTTGGTAGGGGAACTGGTCGGTGCGGGCATCCTCGCCTTGGGTGATGCGACCGCCGGGTCCGTCCAGGGAACGGATGGCCGATCCGGAGGCGTAGGCCAAAGCCAAAGCGAAAACAATCAGTACTTTCATGTTGGAGCTACCTATGGAAAGTATGTCCCACTCGGACTTATCCCGCTGCTTTTATAGCCGTCTCTATCCAATCAAGTGACGTCTCCATCGTTATCTCATCTTCGGGCACCTGTTCAAGTGGTAAGGTCTCCTTGTGTAACGCCAGTCTATTGGCGATATGGGAGTTGATCTGCGTTTCCCATCGCTCGTGCTTGTTGAAACTGCTGAGATACGGGACCGTGAATCGTCAAAATTTCTCTCAACACAGAGATAGTATAACAGGAAAACAATTGGACAATTTGGGGATTTTTTCAGAGGCTTTAATAATCCATCGATCGAACCACCAAAGAACACAAAAGATAAGTACGTGAGATCTTTTCTAATTAATCGAATTTATAAAAATTATAACCAAAGCAGTTAAGATAGTACTGTTTTAATGTTAGTTGAATTTTAAAACTCTCAATGGTCGGAATTTCGAATGACAATGCATTACCTCGCACTTAAAAAAAAACCCATTACGGTTTATTAAATAGTTGTGGTATCATAGGAATTTAAGATCGAAATTTTTAAAATTTGACCAAGGTTCTAATTAAGCCTAGATGTTAATAAGTAAGATTCCTATACCAACTTATTTTTTATTGTTATTAATATAGTAATATTTAGCAGACCTTTTGGGTCTCACTTAATCATACATATATAATATAATAATTTTAATCAATGAAAGTAAACAGTGGTAGTCATCCACTGACTAACAACTTTCCATTTTTAAAATCCACTTAAAAGTATGCAATGCCAAAAATATGAAAGGTACAAGAAACAGCTTGGTTATCACCATCAGGCCATATTTCAAACTGCGTCACATTCTGAAGTGTCATTCCCACCCGAACGGTAACGCCCACCCATCCGAAATGAAAGCAATAGACGCAAATAAAATGCTCAACATTTAATTTAATTGCAGTGCCCAGCACTGTTTGATCAGCTATCAAGGGCTGGTCTATGAATAGATAACCCCGCTCACCTCGCCTATCCAATCTAAATAGGAGGTGACGCGTGTGAAAACCGATGGAAAACCCTTAGTGCAACCCGACTTTTTGCCATACGATGTAATGCCAATCAGTACGTCAGTATTTTGCGTGGGGTCGTTGTAGATCAGCGGTCCGCCGGAGTCGCCAGTGCACGTTGATTGGCCCCCGGTTGTGTCCATGCAAATATTACTGTATTTTATATTGGTGTAGCAGTAAATACAATCCTCATTGGATTCCACAAAGCGGGCAACATAGCGCAAGGTATCGGAAATGGCGGTAGATTCTGTGAATATTTAACAATTCTTTTATATGAGATTATATATAGTACTGTCATACTCTTGCTGATTCTAAATTAAAGACTATATCAAATAGCTGTCATACAAATATTCAGAAATATTCAGAAGAACAATAAAATACAATTTACGCAAATAAAAGCATTAAGGTATTATTATATGTATTAGTAAGGCGTTTTGTCCAAATCTGAGGACCAATTCATTAATATCAATGTCAACTCTAACTTTTATTCTTTTTATACATAAATTAACTTAGAATTTTCAAAATACAAGGGCTTACCGTCATTCATGCGGCCCCAACCGGATGCAACAGCTAGGACGTAGTCGTAACTAACACTTCTGGAGGAAATTCCTGGCAACCGGATGGGTCTTATAGAATCACAGATAATTGCGTCCTCCGGCAATCGTAGCAGGGCGATGTCGTTATCCAGGGTTTGACAATCAAAGTCAGGGTGCAGGTGCACTTCGGGCTTAGTCATCCGGATAAGCTGTCGCGGTGCTAGACGCAGCACTCCACCCAAATAGTACGTAATTGCGACAGCCCTTTAAGGTGTATATATAGTAACTAAGTATAGTTATAATATAGTAGAAGTACTTACTTTTCAACGCAATGTGCTGCCGTTAGCAGATATCGTTCTGAGATCAAACTAGCTCCACACCAGCTAAATAGGTCGTTGGGTTCCTCAATACTCAAACCAACTTGATAGGGAAACTGATTAGCCTCGGCTAATTTCCCACCAGAAATTCGTCCATCGATGCCATGACCCAAATCCAGGCAGTTAAACGACCTTCCCTGAATAAGCATCAGCAGAGAAACTAAAGCCAAACGGATTTGCATGTTTCTCGGGGTCCACTATTTTCGCCACTGACGTATTTCAACCAACTGAGTGAGGATTTATTGGCCCCTCAATGGGTTAATCTTAATCTCAAAGACGTACGAAAGGCCGTTATCCCTGATTATGGACTATCATTTCGCACTGATCAGAACGCCACTTGATTACAGAAATAATTTTATATACATGTGCTTTGATTTCATTTATCACGGGACTTCGATTAGAGCACTTTAGGCACCAGAGGAAGTTTCAAGTTTTGAAAACTCCTTTATTGAATTAGCTAGAAATGTAGTTAACAAATATTAAAAGTTTGATGAGTTATTTTTTTTTTCTATTTATTTTAACCGTTAAAAACCTCTTAAGACATTTGACTTTCTTTAATAGAAAGCTCCTTTTTTAAGACCTTTAATCAAAAGTATGCTACAATATATTTCATAAATAAAAACTGGGTGTTGAAATTACACAGATAACCGTATCAGTTAACACTTATTTAATCACATAGTTAACTGCACTGATATCAAAGCTATTGAAACGTGGGAATTCGTAATTGAATTTGTAAGACAATAAGTTAATACCTTGTGCTAACTGAAGAACAGGTTTGACTAATCCAGTTTTCTAATTCCCTACTCAGACAAAATATATAATAAGGGCTCACGTGCTGATTTTGGTTTACAGTGATTCATTGCGATCTAAATTCAAGTGAATTGTTTTTTGTGTGACCATGGTAATAATCCCACTGGTCTAGGGTGCTTGATGTTTGAGGGTGTCCCTTATCAGTGATAACATATGGTAGGAGGCTTAACCCGTTGCTATATAACCATGAAGCAGTCTTTCTTTCTCAGTTATTAACAGTTGAAGTAAAATGATTAAACTTTCTCTCTTTGTCCTGCTGGCAGCTTCCTGTACAGCCGTTCCTCTTTTGAGCGAAGTGGAACCATTCATTACCAATGGCGAGCTGGCTGAGGCGGGCCAGTTTCCATACCAGGCGGGTTTGAATGTCTCCTTTGGAAATTGGAGCACCTGGTGTGGTGGCACTTTGATCTCACATTACTGGATAATCACAGCAGCTCATTGCATGGACGGAGCAGAATCCGTAACAGTCTATTTGGGAGCCATAAACATTCATGATGAGACTGAGGTGGGACAGAAGAGGATTCTGGTGCAGAAATCGGGTATCATTGTTCACTCAAACTACACGGCCAGCACGGTTGTAAACGACATCTCGCTCATTAGACTACCCACTTTTGTCACTTTCACCGACCGCATCCGGGGGGCCAATCTGCCACGTCGTATAAACGGCAACTATCCAACGTACGAGTCTGTGCGAGCCTTTGCATCCGGCTGGGGACGTGATAGTGATGCCTCCGAAACGGTTTCGCCTGTGCTGAGGTACGTGGAAATGCCAGTTATGCCGCAAGCACTCTGCCGTATGTACTGGAGCGGAGCTGTAACTGAGAAAATGATCTGCATGAGCACCACTAGTGGCAAGTCCACCTGTCACGGTGATTCTGGCGGTCCGCTCATCTACAAGCAGGGCAACTCTAGCTATCTGATTGGATCGACATCCTTTGGAACTTCTATGGGCTGCCAGGTGGGATTCCCGGCTGTCTTCACCCGCATCAGTAGCTATTTGGAGTGGATCCTGAATCACTTAATCTCCCATGTATAAATGTATAAAAAGTATATAAAAAAACTAAAAATTGTAAGACTTCTTTAACTTTTAACTTTCTAATATCACATACTAATTCGATTTAAAAAAGCCATTTTGTAGAAATTTAGATTGAGATTAAAAAAGGAAAAAAAATGGCATGCAGCTCATGTTTAAAATTTGTTTTCATAATATTTCTATTGAATTCGAATATGGTTCTAGTTTAAGAAATATGATTACAATTAAAGTTGAGCCAAGCAACTCAATTTTTGTATCTTATACCTTTAATATCAGTAGCAACAAACATATTTTTATGACCAATTAGATCAAGTTTTAAAATCAATCAGATAAATAATCCTATACTGAGTTTTAACCAAATCTAGTTAATTCGAGTTGAACCAGTTGACCGGTTCCCTAAAAATCACAGTTAATGTGGTCGTTGGCCTTAACGGAACATTGAGAAAGCTGGCTTTTGGAAGCTGATCTATAAATGATTGTAAACAAAGTTCCCGATAAAAAACACCCCGAAGAAAAAACACAGATCATTTAATTTTTTCCTGATTTTTTTGTTGTTTATTTTTTGTATTTTAATTGTTTTTTGTTTAGAATTTTTGCCTGGTTTTAAAGATTTTTATTCGTGCCCTCGTGGGGACGTGCAAGTGACGAGTGATCATATTCGAACTATCCCAATGAAACCCGAAACTTGCCGCCGCCCGAGCGACGTGTTTTCCATTTGCTTTCTAAGTATGTACAAAAACTTAAGTTAGGAGGGGGCTAATGGTGAGGGGCATGTAGGGTATATGGGGCCAAGAATAAGTATGTAAAAGAAAATCTAAATCTTAGATGCAAATTACGCATTCATTCGATCGAGGGCGGGAGATCGATCGATTGGAAAAACGGGTTTCTTTGTTTCCCAACTTAAAGTAAATGTTTCTCGATTGTGTGGGGTGTATTTTATGATTGGATGTGTGTGTGTGTGGTATGTGTTTAGAGCTATATATGCTTGCAGCTTAATGCAGTAGGAGAGAAATCGAATACGAATATACGAGTACGAATAGTTTTGAAAAACGCGCAACGTTCGCTTAACCTTTGCCTTAGTCGAAAATTACATAAAATTTCATTTCATTCCCATTTTCGCCTCGAATATATAGATCTCACTTAGTTTTCTATATGCCTAACTTTTGTTTTTCTTCATTTTAGCACTTAGCATTTTGTTAGTTTTTCGTTCGTTTAGCTTAGTTTGCTTGCAACGTTTTCGCTTGCATGTTACATAATTTTTAAACCTTTTTGTTTTCTTGCACAACAATTTTTGTTTTATTCAAAATTTTGTTTTGGATTCTTTTTTTCTTGTTTGCATAATTCGTTTTTGTTTTGGGGGTTTTTGTTTTAGTTTTAGTTTTTTTGTGGTACTTTTTGTTCGTAATTCTATTTAAAAATAAATTAAAAACAAATGAAAGCTACTACGTCAACGTTCCAGGCGATCTTGAAACACAATATCCTCCGCTGAAACAATCAGATCTGTTTAGTTATCTTCAATGAAAATACGCTACTGTGTATATTGCTAGGTGACGAAAACTAATTTGGAATTTGGTTGGTAATCGGGGCAATAGTTCAAAAAGGAAAGAAAACTTTGCTAACTAAAGATAAACTTCTTCATTCACTTTCGGATTAGCAACTATGTTTTAATTAAATAATTTATTATGTAGTTTGGCGTCTTCAATTTTGAATCAAAGCGCTGGCTTTCATTTCTCCTATCCTCTTCTTCCACAACTACGTGCTTATCCGGCCTCTGCCCATGTGTTCCTTGTGGATTATTCTGAAGTTCTTACTCTGTCTGGTTTGCATTTAGTTGGGGCCGTATTTAGTATATTTGCTAAGCGGAAGTCGGTTCTATATATATCTCTCGATTTGTGTGTGAGTGTGTGTTTGTGAGTGGCTATATACAGCTTACAGTGTGTGTTTGTTACGGGTATTTGATTTGCTAACTTAAATGCTAGACGGCCATTGCTGCTCTGTATGAATATTCTGCTTGTTTATCGGATTCCGTTCGCCAACAATTTGCTTAAAACTATTCTGTGTTTTGTTTTTTATGTATGTGGGCGTATATGTATGTGATTTATTATAATTATAAATTAATTAATGCTGTACAAAAGTTTTCGCGTTTTGAGTTCCATCCTACCCCATCGCGACCTCCTCTCCTCATCCCACCTCTTCTCTTCTCTCATCTCGACTCGACTCGTTATTTAGAGTTTTAGCTTTGCGCTTAACTTAAATGAATAATGCATCTCACCAACAATCTAACAACTAGCCTACCAAACGGACTTACTGAGGTTCTAACACATATCAAAAAGTGCAACTTAAGGACCTAACCCGTTGACCGCTGCCACTACTTTTTGTTGTAGATGGGCATGGGAGGCGGTGCCAGCCCTAAGGCCGAGGGCGGTACACCGCCGGTCGGCGCTAACAGCATAGAAGGTGGTACGGCAGTGGTTAGCGGAGCGCCCATTCCTCCGGTCAAATTGGGTACGGCGCCAGCACCGCCAAGGGGATTAAAGACGCCGCCACCAGCTCCATTGTATTTCGAATAGTCTTGGCTTTTGTTCTTCTTGCTCTCCTTGTCGCGGTCACGATCGCTGTGCTTCTTCTTGCTGCTACCACCGGAACTGCTGCCACCTGAAGAGCTATAGCCACCTCCGCCGGCGCCATAAGGAGGCAGACCTGGAGGAACAGCTGGTCCTGTAGAGGAGGATGACGCCGTAGTAGCCGTAGCTGGAGGCAAGCCATAGCCAGTAGCTCCCGGCATTCCGGCCGCTGCAGAATAGTTACTAGGCTCAACCTTATTTTTGCTGATCTTGAGCTTAATGGGAGCTGCTGATGCACCCGACTGGAGATTTCCATTTGGATTCTTGATTACCATCTTCAGCGGTTCATTGGCCAGAGAACTGTCCTTACTGCCGCCACTACTGCTGCGGTCCTTCTGTTTGTCCTTTTTGTGCTTTTTGCGTTCTTCCTTTTCCGTTTTATCCTTAGACTTGTCCTTCTCCTTGTGTTTGTGCTTGTCCTTCTTCTTTTTCTTTTCGGACTTGCTGCTGATTTCTTCCTTAATCTCCCCAGACGGTTTGGTAGGCACTTCCAGATCCATTGGGGCAGGTCCACCAGCCAGACTGGTAATGGGAGTAATTCCTGGTTCTTTCTTGATTGTCGACGGCGAGGGCATGGGCTCCAGCAGTTCAGCCGGGGGTTTAAGACCGGGCATGGTCAAGGCATCCGGTTTTAAAAGCGAGGCGTTAGATGGACACAGACTTTCCTTCAGCAAACTGCGCACCAGATCCGGTGTCGTCTCTATTCCGTTGGACATATTTAAAGGCGTGTGCTTCTCCTCGTATCCAGGATACATCGGTATGTCCAGTTTACGCAGCTTCTCTCGTGGCATGTTACTGCTGTCATCATCCAACTTGTTTAGCCCGTATTGACTGCCAGAGATCTCGTTGGCCCGTTTCAGGCTGCCGCTCTCTCCAGGATTGGTCAGCAGGTCCCCGCCGTGGGGCAATTGTTTCTTGTGAGGCGGTAGCATCGGTTTTGATGAACCCGAAGCAGAGGAACTGCTGCCACTGCTGCCCATAGGCATAGCAGGACGGTGCTTGTCCTTTTTGGTGGGCGTGAGTCGTTCTTTCTTGGGACTTTCTTTATCGCGCGGATGGCTGTTCAGTTTGTAGTCGTGACCTGGTGGCGCCGGAGGTGGTAAGAGTCCGTTAAAGGGCTGCGGTTGCGACTGTGCAAGAGGCTCCTTCTTAATGTCGGGCCACTCTGGACTGAATAGTGAGTTTTTGGACTGTGAAGAGTGCTGAGTAGGCTCCGAGGGCATCTGTTGCTGCTGAGGTTGAGGCACTGGCTGCTGCATATGACCGTAGCTCTGGCTCTGGGGATAGGGCAGTTGCTGCTCGAAGGGCGGCATGCCATGGACGGTTGAGCCTGATTTGCTGCGATGACCTCCATAACCGGATGAAGGTGGTGGCTGGGATCCATTGCTGGCGCCAGGGTATCCACCACGCGACATCAGCGGGTTGGGAGGGGCACTATTACTGTATGGCGGCGGAGCGTTCGGGTACATCTTGCTGCTCTGGGACTTATCCTTAGAGGACATACTCGATGCAGATGAGTTTGAGGCGGATGGATGGGGGACTTGCTGCTGCTGCTGTGGTGGCTGAGGCTTAGAGCTTGAAGGCATCTTGTGGCTGCCATGCGGTGGCATACCCACGCCAACTGGGGGCATGCCGCGCGAGGATTTGTGATAGTCTACGGGCATAGACGGTCGACCGGGTTGCTGGCTCGACGATGACGATGAGGAGCTGCTGCGCTGGTTGCTGCTTCCCGAGGAACCGAGTCCGCTGCTACTGCTACGCTGGTGGCTTGAGGGCATGCGATTACTATAGCCTGGCTGTTTGGACTTATGATCTGGAAGGCAAACGTATTGTATTATTTGATTTTTTCACAGGCGGTAGGTTAACTTACCTGAATGCGCGTCGGGTGCCATACCACCAGGGTAGTTTGGCATCTTGTGATTGGAGGAAGACGAGGAGCTACTGCCCGGCACTCCGCCCACCGAAGACGAGCGTTGATGGCTACCATCCTGGCGTCTCTGCTGTGGCACCATCGCTGGAGGCGGCAAAATTGATTGATCCCGATCTCGCTCTCTGTCTCGTTCCCGATCCCGCTCCCTTTCCCGATTGTCGTTGCCATTTAACAGTTCCGGAGGTGGCGTGATGTTCGAATGATAGCCCTTCATCATCTCTGTGATTTTCCAGTCCTCCTTGGGCTTATCCTTGCTGTTAGCTGTCCGGTTGCTGGCTCCCTGGGCGATCGCCTTAATGGAGTTGAGCTTGGACTTAAGGCGGGCAGGACTCTTTTCGTAGATGGCGATAAACTCATCGGTCAACTGCTTCAGAAGATCCAGCGAGACACTCTTGTCTACGTAGTAAAACCAGTGCTTGCCCTCAGTCGACTGGGGGATCTCCCAGCGGGACCATTTGCAGGCCAGGTAAATGCAGAAACAGGCCACCACGGTGGGGCGGTATTGCAGGCACATCGAGGTCAGATGTAGGCTGTGCCAGGATAGTTAAGTCAATTTAGTGGTAATTCGTTTTATATACGTTAGAAAAAAGAGTGTGTAGTTAGGTGAGTGTGTGCAGGGGGATTTCATCACTAATAACACAGATTACGTCTTAGATGTTTAGCATGTTCCCAGGGGCATTATTGATTTCTCTTCCCTACTTTGGGGATACATAATTCAAAATAATTATCAAATAACAGCTTCTAAGATTTCAATATATTCAATAGATATTCAAAAATCCAAAAGAACAGTCTTTGATATCCGCGAGTAACAAAAATGTTCCAAGAAGTTATAGGTACTTTCTGTGTTATGGCAGGTAAGTCAGAAGCGTCTTTATCTTTCTTGCAGATGCTCAGATTGAAAAGGTTTATAACTGTAGTACTTAAAATTTTCGCGTATCCCAAAAAGAAATCTTATTTTTCTTGGAATTATATAATTTCCCTTGACATTTGGCGGATTTTCCGATACAAATTACTATGTTATTGCCGGCATCTGAAGATAATTACCGCGAGGGACCCGGAAAATACTGCCTTTTTGTTGAGATATGGGATTTATTCAGCCTGTCTGCCTGCTGTGACCAGGGACCGCGTGTCCTTGTTCGGTGACTTCGGGTCCTCACCTTTTCTTTGTTTCGGCCCAGATACCTGTGTATATTGGCTATGAGATGGGGAACAGCAGGTAAAATCTAGCTGCCTGTATGTTTCTGGATGACCATACCCTCAACCTAGGATATGATGCCCCACCACCTGACCACTTTCTGGGGTGGATTTGGCCCATTCTCCACCAGCACACACACACACACCGCGTATACCACTGTCATGTTCGCGCTTGGAGTCGATCTCTGCGAGGGATTATACCATAAAATAGCGCATTGCTAGCCATACCTGTTCGAGGCCAAGAAGTACGAGGTCTGCGCCAGATCCTTGCATGCTAAAATATACCACAGTAATCAGTACCATCTGACATGTGAGGGGGACATGGCTTGGGTCGGATGGTGGGTGCCTACCTTTGACCAGCTGGCAGGTGCGCACCACATGGGTGTGGGGATGGTCGATAGCTACGTCGAAGCCCAGCGTCTGCAGCAGCACGTTCTCGTTGAACACAAGCTCCTGGGCGAGTTCGGCGTAATTCTGCTCGGTGGTCGGCGGCAGGCACTTGTTGGCGGCCCTGATAACATGCTCTAGCTTCCTTGGCTGCTCCTCAACCTTGGCGGCCAGAAAGAGACTCGCCGACGCCATGGAATTCCGATGAAAGTGGGTGAACGAATGGAAGGCGTAGAACCGATGCATGTACACAATGGCCGTGTTGATACATAGCTGAGAGACCTGTAGACGTTGGCCCATCTCCTGGATCAGATAGGCGGTCATTTGGCGGTACTGCAGCTCGTCATCGCTTTTAATGCCGCACCTTCTGCTTGGTGAGTTGACCAGCTGCTCATTGCTAAAGTACCAGATCTTGTCCTTCTCAAAAGGCAGGTTGTTGTTGGCGCTGGGTGGAATCCCGCTGGCCGCGGATGAAGAGGATGAGGCGGTGGCCGCTGGGGCCATTGGCGTGGCCAGGAGACTCATGGTGGTTTTTCTTGTCTGTGCTTTTGTGTCTTGCGGGGATGTTTGGGGCTTGGTTTTGGGCTCCTCCGCTTCACATTCAACCTACGCCTCTGTTTAGGCAACTAATTCCCTTTTAGCTGATTCAGCTGTAGGAACTAACTGTACAAAGAAGAAGAGAGAGCTCTCTTTCTTTGTCGGCCGTGCTGGAGTGCGCTGGTATTGGTATCCGTATCCGTGTCCGTGTGCGTTGCTGCAGTGTCAAGGGTGGCGGCGGTACGGAGGGGGCAGCGGGGATCGCACAGCACATTGGCTACGCCACACTTGATTTCGTTGTTTTTCGGGGACTCCAATTTGGGTTCAGATCGAGGGGCTATATCCACAGTACGCACACTTTTTCCGCCGCCGCGTCTCCGCGTTGCTGTACGAGTGTGTGTGTGCGTGGTGGTGTGGTGTGGTGAGGTTTTCTGGAAATTGCGACTGCGGCGGAAACGAAAACGAGACGAAAAACACACTAACCGCGACACCAGGCGACGTGTTATGCAACTTTCGTATCAATTCATAGTTATTCGCACTGCAATCGCCGACGCGTCGGGCACTTGAACCATTACGGGTCGTTTACTGCACGTTATTAATTCCACAACGCATCACAGATTCCATTCACACAGTGACAATGACAAACTTTGCAGAAAAAAATGTATTTTCAATGGCCGTCCGCAGTGTTACCAGACGGTGGAACGGAAAACAGCAGTGTTACCGTGTCGTACAATCGATAACGTTAGAAATTTGTGGTCCCCTGGTAATATTAAAGAACGATATATCGTAACCCGTTTTTTTTAGCTCCCTATCGTTACAATATATTTTTGAAATATATTTTATCTTCAATACACCTGTTTGCGGAAAAATATGAAAAAGTATTTTATTGTATATTCATTTGATAGTTCGATTTACAAGACTAAGAAAATTATCCCACTCTGTAACAAGAATCCATCGAATTTATAACAGAAAAAGATGGCTTGAAATATATATAAGACATGAATGATAGTTAAGTTGGGGTTCAGATCCCCCTATAAGGTTTAAAAATATTTAAAAAATATTTCCAAATGTTTTTAACCTAGAAAATGTTGCATTTTATTAAGAAATTAAATTTAGAAGGTATACCAAAAAATATAACACATACGATTATCAGGGTCTCAAACCTTGGTAGGGAACCACGATTGGAATAAGTAACGAGCCGATCCCACTATGACATTGCAACTATTTCGAATTCAACTGCATTAATTGAAAAAAGTACAGTCATTAAAAAAATTTCTGAATATATAAGAAAATATAATAGACTGATCAAACGATTAAAATTGGCTCATTCCCAGAGACAATTAATTAATTGACATAAAAACACATGTTCTTTTTATTGTTATTTATAAAACAGATAATATATATATTTTATAGTTTGTAGATTAAAATATACAAAATTTAGCTAAAAACCTTAAAACTCTTATGTTGTCATAACAGTAAATAATTATACTAGCTTGCGACTGTTGCTCTGCTTCGTTTTTTTTAATGCGTTCTTATAAAAATTAATCTAATCCTTTCGCTTGCGCTTTCCTCTAACCATAAAATTCACCTACATACCATGTCATCGATCCAACGTTCATTCCCTTACTTAATATGCATTAAAGTAAATATACATATTATATATATATTGTGGCTGGCTTTAGCTGATTTCTCATCGCAGACAGTTTAAAATGTGTCTGTCAAATGTACAAAGATTGAACTAAAATTCAAATAAACGTGCAAAAACTTAACTTAGGTTAGTTAGCCGTAAACTAATCGTAACTAATGTTAATACATTCAACATATTTATCTAAATCTGTCCCAATTTGTGTTAATGGAGAGTTTTATTCTCCAGCATATTGAAATAATCGCACGTTTTTGATTTAAAAGCTATATAGTTCGTTTCGTTTTTCTTTTTACTTTACCGATAGAAAGTTATGGTGTCTTAGCCTAGTAAAGAAATCCTGCCCAGCGGCACCGATATTCATTTATATTTAATTTAGTTGGTCTTATCCAGCATTCGGGGTTTATCCAATCTAACAAATAATTGGTGTATATATATATAATACGTTTATAATCAAGTGGAATCATGAGGTCCAGAAGTTGTTTATATACAATTATCGTGGTAAGCATGTATAAATGCTAAGAGTTTCCAACTATTTTTAGGCTATCGAAGTGAAAGAAAGTCTTTCTGGGGATTTCCGAATCTCAAACTAAGAAGTACTATCTCGATTTAAAGCTGCATTCTTCGGATTGTGGCTCAGATTCATGTTTACCGAATTCGTTGTACTCAAGTTGTGATTTTTTCATATATGGTTCGATTCTGTTTCTGTTTGTGGGTGTCCTTATAGCTAGCATCCTTATAACATTGTAATATTCATTCTCTAATAACTAATAACTGATTTACTCTAGGTAATAATGGTACATAGATGCGATGTCCTAAGCTAATAAATAGACATACATATAAATCCATGATCTGTGGGGAAACCTCATAAACTGAGACCTCGTGAAATGGTGTCAAATGCTATATATTGTGTCTTAGAACTACAAAATACACCAAATCGACTTTATCTAAAATATGTGATCTTGACTTTAAATATCTGCCATCCGCTCGCTCGACTATCCTATATAGACTTTGAATATACTTTAACTTATGCAACTTTATGTACTTTTCATGGGAGGTATATCTAGATTCCAAATTTGTAGCGGGTTTCATATCTTTGTATCATATTTTTTTTTGCTTACGTGCTACATTTTCGTTTTTGTTTTTTGTGTTTCGTCTGGGATTTTTCTGGTTTTGGCTGTGTGTAAATAAAACGCATGCACAAATTGAAATAATAATTTTATTTAAAAAATAAAAAATAATCATAAAAAATTGTTTACAATGAACAGAGTTGAACTCAAGACTCACTTTGTTTATTTGCATCATCAATCACCAAACATCATAAACAAAATGATATATTGTAGATTTCATTTTCACGTACACATAATAATAATAATAATAGATAAAGGTACTTAGAGAACGCAACTATTAAAGAAATAGATTAAAGAACTAGGAGTTGGTTTTATTCTCTTTTCCTATTCAAGGTTTCCTTTCAAGAGATTGCACGTTTTGGGCAGTGTTTGGAAAGTTATCGTAGAAGTTGTCGGTATATAATTGCATTGAGGATTGCGGTTGCAGTATCGCTTGAAACTATGGGTCAGTATCTCAGAATATCTGTTCGGTTATCTGTTTGGTTATCTGTTCAGATCTGTTCCATTATGTGTTAGGCTTGTTTCGATTTGTGGCAGTGTGACGTTAACAAGAATACGATAGTTTAGCTTTATGCTTTATAAATAAATTTCAGATCAGATCAAAAAAGAGTTGAGTTTGGTTTGGTGTTCTAAGACTGCTTAAACGATGGCTCAAGGAGTGCTTTTTTTCGGGTTTATCCTGTGAGTTTTTTTTTTGCTGTTTTTGCTGTTTTCTGCTGTTGATGTTGTAAATATACAAAACTTATCAAATAATAATTACAATAAAGTTTAGACCACCAGTTTTCTGGGTTCTTAGCTCCAGTTAGGATGTGTGTGTGTTTGTTTTTGTTTGTTTGTAGTTGTTGTTTGGGGAAGTTAAGGGATTTAGCTGGAGAAACACTTAAATAAATAACCTAAATTAATCGTAAAAATAGCTAAAACTATGAAATAATAAATTTCCATCTCTCTTTTCTTTTATAAAATAAGCAACAAAAACAATTAGCCCAAGCACAGACACCCACGCAGATCGTTCAGATCTGCATATATATATATATCATCTATATATGTAAAGTTATATCCTCTGCACTGTGTTTGTCCTTGGGCAGCTGGGGGCTGGGGGACAGTTGAAAGGGCATTAGGCTAGGCATATACATACTCATATACATATAGATTTCAATTTAGATTTAGATTTAGATCAATGGAGATAGAGAATTTCTTGCAGCTATAGGGGTTCGTACTCATTTACATATTACACACATTTATCGAATATCAATATTAATCAATTCGGTCGTCCTTCGTCCTTTGTCCTTCCGCCATAGCTATAGCAATAATAATATTAATAATAATAATAATAATAACCAATAATAACAATATTCATTACAGTTACAGTTTACAGATAAAATTACAAGTTACAAGTACAACACTAACGCCAATGAATAGATCATTATTTACCGCCGATTTAGCTGGGTGTATGTATAGGGTACAGGACACAGGGTGTGAATATATATATATATATATATATACTCATATATATATATACGTTTATGTACGGGTATTGGGACTATAGCTAGGTGTAACTTATGCTTATCTCTGGCTAACCAAGAAACTCAACGCATGTACAAAGAAAACCCTACCTCACGTGGCTTTCAGCCACTATTGCCGCTAGCCGGTTGATTTTACCCCTCCCCCAGAACCTATATTGCCATTCCAGTCCGATCCGCTCTCGGAATCAAACTACATATATATACAGGCCTCCTCAGGTCACTCCTCTTCAGACGCCATTGCAGTCGATCTCAACGATGTCCTTGGGCACATCGACGAACTGATAGACCAGCCTCTGGCCATCCACCTTGGCCAGGATGCCGCGCTGGTAGTAGTACCTCAGCGCCCTTCCCATCGTCTCGTAGTTCATGTCCGGCTTGTTCTTGTGCATGCCCCACAGACGGGACACTGCCTTCGAGTCGACCAGCTTGAAGACGCCCTTCTCCCGATTCGTCCACTTGATGAAGCGCGGACAGTACTCACGATCCTGCAAGAGTTTCAGCAGGAACTCCCACAGGTATGTGGTGGATCCCTCTCGACTGCGTCGCTTTACACCCATCTCCAGCTTGGGCTTGCGCGGCTTCTTTGCCTTGCGCTGCTGGAAGCCGCCCAGTTCCAGCATGTAGGAGAGATCATAGCTGACGCTGGACGTCGCCGGTTGGATAACGCTCTGGGATCCGCCCGCCGCCGCTGCTGCCGTTGCCGCTGCCGCTGCACTAGCGCTTAGCATGGCCGCCGCTGCTACGGCATTGCTGCTGCTGCTAACGACGGAAGCTGCTGCTGCTGCAGCCGCTGCAGCGATTGTGGAATGCGTGTGCTGGCCCGCGTGCGGGTGCGAATGCGGGTGGGAGTGCGGATGTGAGTGCGGATGCGGGCCATTCAGCTGCGAGTGCGGGTGTTGCTGCTGTTGCTGTTGCTGCTGTTGTTGTTGCTGCTGCTGCTGTTGGTGCGACAGTTGCTGGTGCAACGCCTGCTGCTGCTGGTGAGACAGTTGCTGGTGGGCCAGTTGCTGTTGCTGCTGCGATTGCTGCGACTGCTGTTGCTGCTGCTGGTGCAGGGAATGATAGCCGTTGATGGTGGTACCACGCTGGGACGCTGCCGCCGCTGCTGCTGTCGGTGCGTTGAAGTAGGACGTTGTCAGATAGCCCGGCGCTTGGGGGTTTCCTGGACCACCTGCCTGGCCGCCCCCGCTTCCGGCGCCACTGCTTCCATAGTAGTTATCGGGCACTGTAAGGTTAAAAGACAAAATATGGATTAGATAAATAAAAAGTAGAGGGTATTATCGAATCCTATAACTTTTAGGTTCCTTAAACTTTTTTCCAGGAACAAAAAGTCATTCTTTTGATCTTATCCAACTGTGTGTATCATTAAGAAATCCTTAAAAGATTCAATAAATTATTCGTAAAATGAAAAATCTTAACACAAGATTTTGACTTTTTTTAAATTATCTATAAAAAAATATTATTAGGATTTCTATAAAAACTATTTTAATGTTTAATTTAAAAAAATGTGGTAAATAATATGTGAAATAAATAGCATTAAAAATACTGCAGAATACTTTAAGATCATTCTCAGGTGACTTAAAAACATTTCTTCGTTTTAATGATTTGTGGTCAAGCTTAAGGTGCACAAAAACCTACCCAAATTTATAACACAAAAAAACCATGCAATCTCAACTTGGGAAGAGTGATTTATAGCTCAACCTGCCTGACATTTAAAATGATTTGTTTTGAATTTAAAGAACATATCCTGAAGAATCTGTTCGCTAGCAACCCGATCTGCCCCATGGTATCCAGATCGCAGATCGCTCGCGACTATTTCACACCGTTTCTGTTTTGGTTTCTGCTATTTTTGCTGTGCGGTGGCACAGGTATAATTTTGAATGCTATTTAGTAAGTTTAGTTTTTTTTTTACATCCGGCGTTGCCGTTGCCCAATTTCGCGGCTCAGCCAGTTGGCAGTCGGTGGATTTGGATTTGGACTCGATGGTCCATTTTAAAGGGGAGCAAAGGGGGTGGGGCTGGGAGAGAGTGGGCTGAGAGGAGAGGAGGGAAGACTGAATAAAAACAAAAGTGAGCAGCACACACTCACCAACACACGGAAAGTCTGCACAGAGAGCAACGGACGCTGTGCCGTTCGTGTGTGGCTCGTGTCTTTCATTCGTGTTTCTGTTGCATTTGCGTTGGTGTTTGGCACTCTCTCTTGTGCTCTGGCTCTGTGTCTTTCTCTCTGGGAGAAATAAAAAGAGCGCGAGAGCAGCATTATTGCCACATTGGCTCTGCTCCCGTTGTTGTTGTTGTTGCTGCTGCTGTTGCTGTCGTTGTCGTTGTGACCTTCACAATTTGCGCAAAGGCAATGTGTCGATGACCACAGATTTTTATACAGCAACGCGCACTCACACACACACAGCTGGCAGAGAGCATAAAAGCAGCGAGTGCAACACAATCTCATTGCAATTGAATGTACCGAATATGTGTGTGTGTGCGTGTGCGCCTTGTTTGCCTGACATTTTTGTAAAAAAAGTGTAAGTTGGATTAGGAGTGCATTATGTATGCAACAGATTATACCTACTTCAGGTAGATTGCAAAATGCAAATGCCTCATTAGGTCATATGATTAATTGGCTAAGATAAAACCGTTCTAAGCTGAGATCAAATCCCTAAAATAATTGTGTGAATTAAATCTATGAACATAAGTTATACTCTTGATCTTGACGCTTTTGTTACTAATGGTAACAAAGTAAATGAAACTTCTGTCTGCTGTGTTAATACAAAAAGAGTCTATAAGAAATCCTTAAGCCACACAGTTGGAATTGGCCACGTTTATCTCAGACATACTGGTATACTCACCCCCAACACTGCGATTCCATATGTTCCTCAGCGAATTCGCCGTGTTGTTCTGGTATAAATTCGGATGCAGAAAGGTGCCCGTGTGCAGGTGTGCCGCTGCCGCTGCCGCCGCTGCTGCTGCGGCCGCTGCCGACGCCGAAGTGGCCGCCGGCATACCAAGCCGCGCCTTCAACTCATCGGCGCAGGGCTGGCCGCCGGAACTGGAGCTGTCCACGTCGGAGACGCCGCTGTCGGCGGGACTGGGCGGAAATGAACCTGCGAACGGGACATGGCGATGCGGAGCGAGGACGAGCCAAGAAAAAGGGGCAATTAGCAATCGATATGGCTCGAATTGAGTCGAGGGCGTGTGCAGTGGTTCACCTTGCTATTGGACACGCTCGCCTCACTACTAGTTACACTCAAAGAAAAACTTGATAATTTTACAATTAACTTGGCATTTTTTGGTATTTTTTCCACAACAATGTAAATCTTTTTTACCGCTTTAAGTTAAATTAAATTGTCTTTAGATTAAATTTATGATACTGCTAACGATTGAATCTTAATATTTTCAAAATGCCTTTTAAGATCAAGTTTTCCATTGAATCCCGTTGTAAAATAAATAATTAAAAATTGGCTTAGTGTATATTCACCTGTTGTGGCCGTCGTGTAGTTTCTGTGGTGCGGATTGTGGATGGCACCGCCGCTGAGCAAATTATGTAGCAGCGGGCGGTGCGGTATGGCCAGCGGTTGCTGCTGCTGGTGGGCATTGTTGCTGTTGCTGCTGCCACCGTTGCCTGTTGCACCATGTAAGCTATGCTGCTGCTGTTGCTGTTGTTGTTGCTGCTGCTGCAGCTGGAGCGGTGTGAGTAGAGCATTCTGCTCTGTCTTGATGTGGAGCAGAGCGGTGGCACCGGCAAAGCTGGTCGCATTGTGCGGCTGCTGTTGCTGATGCTGCTGCAGGTGTTGCTGTTGCTGGTGTTGCTGCTGCGGTGCCGGACTCGTCGATTGTTTGACAATAGGAATTTCAGTGTCTGAAACGATTAAGAAGGAGGAAAGATTGTTTAAAATTCTGTTACCAAAAAGGGTGTAGTGTCTAAAGTAATTTGATTTAGCCTTAAACTTGTTTATTCTTATATATATTAATCTGACATAATTGTAAAAATATTTAAGAGATTGGAAATTATACAACTAACCTAAAAATACTTTAAATCCTTGAATAAATATATATCCTTCGGCTACATCAACTTTAATTAAATATTAACATTGCTTTAATAAGCCCAAAAACTTCATGTGCATTATATCAACTGTCATCAAAGGTAATAGCTAAATAATTAAACATCCTTCAGCAACATCAGTTTAAATTAAATTTTGCGATTGCTTCAATCACCAGAAATATGTGAACTTTTTGAAATTCCCAGTTGCTCAGCTGCTGGCTGTCCCAATTAAACGAATACATAGCCTCATCACGGAATACTTGCAGGGCCTTCGCCCACTCTTATTTTTTCGTACTCTTGGTGTTTGCCCACCAAGCAACCCCACTTGGCTACGCCCCTGTCCTCTTCACAGCTGTCAAAATGCCTATCCAACGAGCTAATAATACAAAAATTCGCATCATAATTTCATAGAAATGTCATGTTAAGCGAAATATGCAAAAAGGAAAACGAATAAAACGAAAAACGAAACAATTGAAATGCCCCAATTTGGTGAGCCATGAACTCACAAAACCGTTAAAAACAACGGCAGAGGAAAGGCAGCAGCAACAACAAATTAGCTTCTCACTTTCCTTTGGCTCGTAGTTGTTGGTGCCTTTGCTTTGGCTGCTGCTGCAGCTGAAAAGTAAAAGTGCATTTTCACTTATTTCATGCAGCAGCCGCAGCGGCATGAAAATAAGCACAGGCAAAAAAAATTGCATTGAATGTCAAGCGGTACGCACACACACACACACACAAGACCAACTGCAACTGCAGTGTGCAGGAAAACGTCAAAGCCAGCGGAGCAATGAAGCTTGCAAGCACACTCACTCTCACCGATAGTCACACACACACCCTCACATTACATGCACACACACTCACAGACAAGTGGCAGCAAGAGAGGAAGAGAAATCAGGTCAAGGCTTGTCGGCAACGGCGACGAGTTTACAATTTATGCTTTGCTGGCTGCATTATTGCATGTTGCGGCTGTGTGCGAGTGCTTTTTACAGCTTTTTAAATACACGGCGGCCCAGCCGACATCGCACAGTGGGCTAAAATGGGTTTATATAGTGGTAAAATGATCCATCTTTGATAAAATGATTAAATATTATATTTCCTTGCTTTATAACATATAGTTTGCGTTTACTAAGAAATTGATTTTCTTTTACGTTTTTGTTTAACTTAAAAGTACCACTGCGTAAAATTAAAATAAAATGAAAAGTAAATGTAAAACACTAATAATATTAAATTCTGTATCATATATTTTTAAAGTTATTAATTCAACATCGCTATTTAAGTCATTTCAGCCCACTGTACGAGGTAGCCGTCTCGTTTTGATTGCCGCCCGCCGCTCCACTCGTCGTGGGTGAATGAGAAGCATGTAAAAATATATATATATATTTATATATACCCATATTTTTTTGATATGTAAAAAATTCAAAAGCCACAGCAGCACAAAAGCGTATTTACCCACAAAAATAAAAAGCCAAAGTCGTGACGGAAATCGCGCCACAACAAAACAGCTGTGCGGTTGCATTGGTTAACCAACTCCTCCTCCTCCCCAAAACACCCTACCACCCCCTCCAAGACCCACAATTAGCCTTAGCTGCTACTGCAACAGCAGCGGCAACTTTTTAACGGAAATTATAAATATTATTTTCGCCAAGTTTTCGTTGCGAGAATTTCCCTCTATTTACTTGGGGCTTTAATCGCTTGTCGAAGTGGAAATGTCGGAAATGCCCGTCACTTGCGTCGATTTTTTATTTGCGCTTGTCTGCGTTTTTCTTTTAGTTTTTCCGTGGGGAAGTGCTCACGTGTTGTGTTTTACTGCGCCATACGCGGCGTATGCGTAATTTGTTGCAGGTGGCCGCCAACATGTTGATTTGAGTAAAGTTCTCAATGACAAACCAGTGACATGGAAATGTCCAAGTAAATTTAAGGCAAATAGATTTATGCGAAAAAAGCTACAAAGCTAATCATGTCGGTATTTTTCTATTAAGCTGTTTAGTTTTAAATTTTTAAAAACTAAAAATAGAAAAATAAAAATATTTAATAAAAGAATGAATTTGTTCCGTATTTAAAGACGTAAATCTTCAAAAAAGGATGTTTTACATAAATTCCCTTAGAAATATTCATTGGAAACTTACCTAACACAAAAATTTAAAAATTTTTTCAACAATTTACGAAAAGCCTATTACTAATATTTTGTTTACAACTGGATATTGCCACTAGAAAATTCCTAGAAATTCACATGAAGATTATTGTATTTATTCCTGGTAAAATAGTTTATGTCTGTTCAAACGAAACGTGTGCGGTTACTTCCTGTACGGCATACTAGTCGTATGAGTAATATACGAGCGTTCAAATTAAGCATACGTCTAGGTGGGCAGCGGAAGGAAGGCGAAGAATTTAGATTTCCTGGAGGATGATTAGCAGTCCTCCCTTACATACCCAGCTTTCACTGTACTTGTTTTGTGTGGCTCCCCCGTGGTATAAAAGAGACAGGCAATCAGACCGCCAGAGGTTCAGCTTTAATGGTGCATAAACAAACACAAATAGAAACAGAAAGAGAAAGAGAAACAGAAAGACGGCAGAAGGAAAGACAAATAGCCAGTGGTAACTGAGTCTACAAAACATTGCAATGCTGCGCCAAATGTGCGCTGACCTCTAAAAATGCGGTCTAATAAAACCAGCAGAAACTAACCAACCGACAAAACACCGACAGAAATACAACAAAAGCGAACAAAATTAAATATATTACGAGAAAACAAAGCAAAATTGGCAAACAACAAAAAATAATAAACAAAAAATAAGACACACACACATGGATATGTCAAAGAAATTAACGGTAAAGTCATGTGCATGTGAGCTGGTGGGTTTTGCTATATTTCTTTTGTTGAATTCAACTTCGAATTTGGACTTGAACTGGCTCGTTGATATGTGCACGGCATTTTGGGACAGTTACATCACAATTCCGGCGGATAGCTCAGCATTTGCGGCAATAGTAGGTCAATGTAGGTACGGGCCATCATCGCTGCTTGTTACCTCCATGATTAGTTTGCCTTATAAAGCCGATATGCTTTTTGTTTTTACTTTGGTTTTGCGGTGCGGTGTGGATAAGGCGTCATCCGAGGTGCTTGAATTTTGTTTACAATTTACGTAGCATTTCCGAAAGCCGTAGAAGCTGCCCGCCTGCCTGCCTGTCTGCCCAACAACAATTGCACACAGCAACAATTTGTAATTGTTTATGGCATTTTGGTTATTGGCCTATTTTTCGATGTGCCCAAAACACAACCGACGTTTTGTGAACTGTTGTGGGCGGTTTGGTAAGAAACGGAAAGTGAATATTTGTGTGGGCCAAAAACTGACTGGGGGATTTACCTATTGAGCTCAGACTTTATCATATATATAACGTATTTTCATCTGACATTAATCAGTGGAAAGTAGGCAAATGAAATTGTATATTTTGGAGTTTGCTGGTGTCTGAGATTATGGCTTTTTGGTTTGACAGATCAAATTACTTCGGAAAATAGCGTTTGGCATTTTATTGGCACTCGAAAGTGTGTCGTAAATTTGGTTGTAAATGTTTAAGATATATTTGCAGCTAATAAAATATAGGTGTTTTATATTTTTATTAAGTATATTAGCATTTGAATATGTGAACTTTTTGCTGTTCTTTTTTAATGCAATTTGAGTAATATTTCTTTGGATTGCCTATTCATTTAATAATTCAGTTAGTTAATCTACAAGTAATAAATATTTTATCATGCATTTGCATTTCGTATACATTTAATAGGTGACTCCCTGCAAAATAATCCATCATAAAACTGCCTTGCCCTAGTTGTTTACCACCAAAAAACATATTCAAATTCTATTCATCAGAAACAAAAACTATTACAAAAACAAATGATGGATGCCACCCGAATTCCCCGAATGGCCAAAACCAAAAGCGACAACAACAACAAACTGGAAATTGTTTTGTATCGATAATTTCACTTGTGCGGCGCAATAATGCGCCAAACCGGAATCAAAATGTATTTATTTATTTATAACCAATAATAATAATAATACAATTTATGGCAGTGCCAAAAACAAAACAAGACAATAGAGTTATGGGTGTGGTGGAATTTCTTCCAAAAAATTGAAGTTAATTCCAATGCATTCGCGACAGGCTGAAAGTAAAATGCACAAAGAGCCGAAAAAACAAAATCAACAGGAACGGGCGACAACAACGCAAAAGTTCTATATTTAAATATTATAATTTATGTGTTTGTTTGGCAATTGTAGTATTTGTTGTTGGTGTGAATGTCTCTTCCCCAATTTTATATATACATACATATATATATATATGCGTTTTTTCGGGTTCCGTCTGCCTCGTTTTTGCACGATCCCCATTATTCCCATTCCCATTTCCATGCCCGTTCCCGTTCCCATTCCCGATCCCCAAGCCCATTCCCCTTTTTTTTCTCTCTTCCTCTCTCTCTTTCTTCGACTCTCTGTCGCTCTCTAAATTCCTGTTCTGCCGACTTATTTTGGCTTTTATGCCGCTGCCAGCGTCGCTGCTTTCACAGGTTGCTCATGTATTGGTGGCCAGAATAAAAGCCAGTTGTTGTTCTCTCGCTTTTTTCGCGCCTGTGTGTGTGTTTGTGTGTGTACGCTTTTTGGAAATTCAGTCTCAAGTTCAAGGTCTCGCGGATAACGCACACCAGCAAAAGACACATTGCTTACACAGACACCAGATTCTCATTGTTTACACACACACAGCCACACGCACAGAGAGACATATGCATATCAGGCAATTTCTCATTGTCGTATACGAAAAATGTATGTTTATTTAAGCT